CCCCAACCCCAACCCCAACCCCAACCCCAAACCCTTCCCCAACCCCAACCCCAAACCCCAAACCCATACCCAAACCCAAACCCAAACCCAAACCCAAACCCAACCCCAAACCCAAACCCAAACCCAAAACCCAAAACCCAAACCACAGCCCGAGTTTATTCTGTATTGATATCCGTCTAGGGGAGACATGGCTTCTTCGTTAAGTGGGGATACTCCTACTCTGTCACATTGATGTTATCGCCGTTATAGGGGGACTCATATGTTAGTAAATATAGTCCAAACGTCTAACCACCAGCGTCCATGTCTCAAAGATTAACTCTTATCCGGGGACACACTTCGAAATAAAAGTTAATTTAATTTTTTATTTTTTCCTGACCTTATGCTTATTGCTTTTGTTTTCCTTTCCTATCATTCAATTAAAAAGGTGAAGGGATAGTTTCAATACTTATGATAAATCCTTAAATTCTATCTCAAATCTAATAATATTTGTTCTTTGCTATCTACCTTCATGCTTATATGATATTAATAAAAAATACTCCTAATTATGGAAATTCTTCAAATAAGCATTTATTTGTCTTTTCCAATTAAAAAACTTTATCCATTCTAATATCATTCTCAATATAAAGAATCTGCAGTCTTTTAAATTATAAAAATTGTGTTCTTTGCTGATTTAACCTAATTTTCATAGTTACCTAAAGACACAAAAGAAGAGTATGAAATAAATGTTTTATAGTATTGATCACTTAGTAATATATTTTTAATAGATAATATTTGAAGCCTTTTATGTTATATAATTTATTGTTATTTTGTTTATAAATGTGGTAAATTTAGGAAGAACTCCAAAATTATAATTGTAAATTTAATCACAACAGAAAGATTGAATTTATTTCATTAGATCCAAACTCACTTTCTGATGAGAGATTATTGTGTTCAGAATGCATGAATATAGGAATTTATTCTTAGATTATGAAGATAGAAAGAGTTATTGAATAAATTTAAATAAATGTAGAAAGGGGGACAAAGATGAGCAATGATATTACAAGGGGTCATTATTCATATATGAGATTTATTCAGTCATAAATTTTGATGTTGAAAGATAAGTAAATTACTATTTTTGATAAAATTCTCTCAACAATTGACTAGTGGAAGCAAAGAATATGAGAGTCACCTTATAAATAAATAACCTTTTAATTTACACTAAGAAATTTAACTGCTTATCAATAAATAATCTGATAATTTTGAGTGCATGGAAAGAAACAAATTAAAAAATATTAACTAGAAATGGATAAAAGAAACCTATCCTTATTTTAAATAACTCTTTATGAAGGAAGAATATTAAGTAATATATGAAGCCTTGAGAGAATTAGGAGGTATTTTCTAATAACCGGAGTATACTTAATATTTACAGCTATTTCCTCCTCGGTCTTAAAATACATCAATTTTAGCTTAATCATTTTTTTATAAGTTAATACCCAAAATGAGTATTTCTGAACCTTAGATTGTGTAGTTCAATTAGTCAATTAGTAAAGATAATTAATTGTTAGCAAGTGCATCTAAATTTGACATAAAAGTCTTTTATATAAATCAAAAACCAAAAAAAATGGATAAAGTTGTTGATTGTTTGCAACATATAGATACCAAATAAGCTTGTGAAGTGCATACACTAAACTTTTTTAATGCAGAAAGAGCTAAACATTCTTTTGTTTCTGGTTTTAAAAATGGTTTAATTATAGTCTGGAAACTTGAGAAATTTAGATTTGTTTGGTATTAAGAATAACAGATAAAAGGACACAGAGAGGCTATACTTTGCTTATAATTAAGCCAGAATGATCAAATCATATCTGGAAGCTAAGATTATACAATAAGATTTTGGCAGAAGGACAAGCAGTATGCTTGCTCGTAGATCTTGAGTGGCTATTCTGGATGTCCTTATGGGATTTCTTTAAATTAAGATGAAAGCAAGCTAGCTGCTCTATTGCATAATAAGTTCATTATAATTATTGAAAAAAACAATAATGACTGGTTTATAAGTCAATCTATACCTCTTGAACATACTGGATACAGATTATGCTTTATTTCAAATTCGATGTTTATATTCCAGCCTTTGCAAATTAATAAAATTTTCATCTTTAGTTAATCATAAGAAAGCAATGAGTTTAAGAAAATCTAAGAAGTTTAAATTAATGGCCGAGATGCAACTTGTATCGCTTACTTTCCTGCTATATACCTCTCAGAATCAGGCATAATAGTTATAAAAAATGGATATTCAGTGAATATTTTATAATTTAAAAACTAATTATCTTCATAAGATTATGGATTGGATATTAAATTAGTTTAATCTATTGATTATGATTTAAGGGGAGCCCAAGCATTTATTTTTGGAACAATAAGTCAAGATGGAAAGTTTTTAGTAATTTGGGATAGTCTATCAAGATAAATTTCGTTTAGAGTTTATCATTAGAACTGAAAGTATAAGTTTGTTTAACTAAAAATCAAAAAAAATTAAATTTATCGATGATCTGATCTTGTCTTATGATAAAATACATATAATTCTTTTCATAGCACTCAGATTTGTGTTAATTCAAGTCTAGAAGGAATTTTACTTAAAGTAATGGTGTATTAATTTTGTATCAAAATTATTTTATTAATAATACTTATATTTACAGAAAACATTATGATGAAAATAGACTAATGAGTAGTTGAATAAATAAAGCTTAGAACTTTAATATTTTCATAACAATTTATCCCACTTAAAGTTCACTAAAACTCAAACCTAATAAGAAGATACATAAAAATTCATTAAATTTTACACAATCCCTTATTTTAAATCAATCATAAATAATATTAATGTGATTTAAATTCTATATTAACTTTAAGATTAAAGAAATTATTACAAATGACAAAGATTAATTGAATGTTATTTATTTTGTTTTGCATCAATATAATTTATTATTTTATTTATAAAGTTTATACCTTAACTATAGCATCCCAATTTTTGGCGCTATTAATTAAATAGCAAAATGCGGGTTTATTTATTGATACCCTGAATTCGTTGCAAATATTAATAAATAATTAAGATAAGATGAATAACTACAAACTAATAAAAACATTGTCAGAGAATAAAACTATTGGTGAAGATGAATCTACAAGACATCTAAGTGAGTTAGCAGATGCTAAAATATCCTTAATTAAAGTGGCACATGTTTCTCCTATTAATTTTCTAAGCCTTAGAGAGAGATTTGGGTAAATTTCCGATTAATATCCATTACCAATTAAATTCTAATAATTATTATAAACAATGAGAAATATCGAATAAATGTATTGGAAAAAGAGATAACCACTTATATTTGACATAAAAACTAATTCCATCAAAATATTATAAATTGGATAATTGTTAAAACTAGATAAAGATTTATATGAGATAAAGATTTTAAATAAATCAATTGAGCTTATTATGAATGACATTCCTATAGAAAATTTACCTTAATTTTAGCCTTTTTAAAGTAAGTTGCCTGCAATATTTGAAAGTAGAATTGCTTCAATAAGAAATAAATTGGATGATTTAGTCTAAAAAGTTCATGAAAATTATTTAAGATTGATTGGAGAAGAGGCCTTTCTTGAATGTTCTCAAGAATTTAAGATTTATTATCCTGCATTTGATATGAATCTAGTATTAGACATCTCACCTGCATAATTGCCATTTCAAATATACTCTGATGAGCAGAGAGATTAAATTAAGTAAATTTTAGAAACGACGATTAAGTATTTCAATTAAAGATCGGTTTCATTTGTTTATTATAATAATTTAATACACCATTTACTTAATAAAATACCAATGAATAAAGAAATTATGGAGAAATCATTAATGTTTTTGATTAAAATCCAGCCAGATTTCTTGCAGATAACTAATGCAAAAAAAGAACAATTAAAAAGTAAATGGATAGTGTAGATTAATAAATTGAGTACAGAATAAAAATAGATAGAATCACTTAAGATGTATTTCTATTGATTTCATGTATTATATTCATTTTGATTTTAATTATTAAACTCTCTATTTTATTAATTAGATTTACATTAGGATTATGATTAAACAAACTTGATCATGGATTATTCTTAGGAGATAACTGACTATGTTGAAGTATATAATTAGAAAGTAAAGTTATCTTAAGGAAATAAGGATTTAAAAATAAAATATTTCATTACAAACAAAAATAATAAAAAAATCATCCAAGGTAAAAGATGCAGCAATAATCTTGATATAGATGAATGATTCAATTCCTCTTTCCCACCATCGCAGATTTCATAAAATTTGGAATTCAAAATTAAAATCACCTAACTTATTTAATTATTGAAAAATCCTCAATTTTAGTGGCCTTATTAATACAACATAAAATTACATTAAGGCTAAATTCTTGATTATAATTTCTAAAGAAATATGAATATTTTATTTTTTCTCATGTATCCAATTAATGTCTATCAATTTAATTTACACTCAAGTTTCAGTTGTCAAGTATCATGTGTTGACAAAAAGATGATATGCATCTGATTCTGTATCCATCTTTCTATCAAATCACCATTAAATTCGAATTTAGCCCTCCCTCACAACAGAGTAAAAGAGTTAGACAATACTTCCCAAAATAATAATGAAAACTTAAGATAAACTAAAATAGTTTAAGATTTTCAAATCCTCGAGAATAAACTTGGAAATATTGTAATAATCTAATTTTATTCTAGAATTATGGATAATTATGGACTTTATGGTTTTACAACCACTCAAGAGTGTTAGCAGCTATAACAGTTTATTGATTGAAAATATTTATCAGGAAATAGAAGATTAATATTAGAAAAGAATTATTCACAGAATTGAATTTGATTGAAAATATTATGAATTAAATAACAATAAATATTATATAATAAATTGAAAATCACAAATTTACTATTTTAAGAATTGAGAAATCTTTTTCTAGTAGTTTTTAGAAAAGATCTAGAATTTATTTAATATTTATAGAGAATCACTGATTATGTAGAACGATTGTCGTTAAGTGGAACTACTTGTTCAACATCATTCATTTCTGAAAACAATTTATGTTGTGCCAATCCTGATGAGTCAAGATCTATAGAATACTGTTATTGTTCATTATTGATATTTATTGAATAGAGAAGATATTTCAATAAAAGGAAAATTGTTGAATATATGAATGATCATAAAACTGATGTTTTAAGTTAGAAGAAAATAATTTTGACCAGTAAAGAACAAGTTTAACCTTTTGAGGCTGATAATAGCTAAAATATTGATACCAGCTAGCTTTGTTTATGCTAAGCAAATTTCAGGATTAGCCATGAGTAAATAATTTGGAGATTCTGTCGCTTTACAGCTAGAAGCATATTGGATCCAAAATAATTTATCATAAAATCAATCAAAATGACAAGTCTTGTTTATTCCTAATGATAGAGTTTAAGAGTTTTAAGTGATCAAGATACAGAGGTACAATAACGTATTTACACATTTTGGAATCCTTCAACGAAAGCAAAGAAATTGATGAAATTATGGAAATATTATTAAAAATTTACTCAAAGAATAGCAAAAAGAAATCATTGATAAAATATCTTTAAATAGTTGCTTATTTCTCTTGAATATTTAATATGCAAGAATTTCAGAATTTCTTCAGATTAATTTTAATTGATTGATTATTAATTAATAAGGAAGAGATAAAACACAATAATCAGAATTGAATTAAATTCATAATGGGAATACCATTATAGTTACATTGTCTCTTATATAATCACTTGATATTGCTTGATATAACTATTTTGCTAAATTCTTGTTTTGATCAAGTTTCTGAATGATCTATAAAATTTCTTATTCCGAAAGTTCCTAAAATAAATTTGCTATATTTACATTCCAGAAACCATCACTCGCCATAACTATGAATTTATCACCTTCTGAGATCTAGTATTTGAAGATCTCAGGCTCGCTGATAATGTACTTTTTAAGATAAAAATCACCAAATGATCTTGTAACAGTTAAAGATCCTGATACTCGGCAAATGTTTTGTCTCTTTGTAATTAGACTAATGAGATAGAAATAATAATTTTACCCTCCTTATTTAAGGATTCTCTAATTTTCTTCTTTGGATTAGGGTATATGAATAGAATTTAATTATTCAAATGAATTTTCTCGGAATACAATAGCCTTGGAATCTCCTAGATTTGTTATTGTAACAGTTTTATTTTAAATAGACAATAATATAGCAACCGACCCAGATTACATGTATTGACTTAAATTGTTATCAATGTCACTAAACACTACAAAAATTAAATTGTATACAATACCTTTTTTATATTCCTCATCTGACATTTCATTTTGTAATCTTTGTAACAAATTCTGCTATAAGTAATCGACAACATGAGAGGACCCATGACCATCAAAAATTGCATAATGATTATTCTAAACTTAATACTAAGAATAATTAATTGTTAAGTGTTACTCTATCAAGCATTTCCCTTCTAGATCCACGATTCATATATAAATGATATTTTTCATTTTATTCTTCCAACTCATCAAATAACTCACACAAATCATTGCTTGCAGGCTGGTTTTGTTCGTAATTTATTACTATTTCTAAATCCATTATAAAAATAAGTTATTTTTTTTATTGCTTCAAATTTTAATAATATACAATAAATAGTTAAATTATTGATATAAATTCATTTTTGTTGCATTAATTGTAACTTTTGGTCCTTCTGCATGATCCACATTTGCACGTATTGACTATTCTAAGCATTCTTTACTATCCAATTATGTTACAATAAGGTCTATGCATCCAATCGTTTGCTTTGATCCTTGTTTAAACTAAAATCCAAATTCAAATCTTACCAGATATTCACAAAGTCCCTCATTTCTAAACTGTACGGATAATTATCCAATTTTGGAGATTCAGATTTCAGAATATTCTGAATCATTTGGATATATGTCATTTACTTATTGGAGACTGAGTATGGATGCTTACCGGTTGCCATTTCATAAATGATTAATCCCCAAGGACCATATGTCTGAAGCATAAGAGTAGTTCTTACCTTCTGTTCTTTCTGGAGACCTTTGGAAATAGGAGTGATATATTACATGTACATCAAAGTACCTACAAAAGTTCTGGCTATAGCTATAGTGTTTTCCAATTATTTGCTAATTCCGAAATCAGTCAATTTTATCTATCCTAAACTGTTGATGAGAATATTTTCTGGTTTAATATCTCTGTGAAGTTAATGCTTTTGCTAATGTAAATATTATAATCCCATGAGGATATTATAGGTTATGGTTGCAATTATTTATTCATTTATCACTTCACTTAAATTATTCTTATAGATTTATTGAATGATGCTTCGTAATGATCCTTGATCCATATATTCAAGTACTAATCTTATGGTTCCTCAAAAATCAATGATAGAGCTACCTTCTTCATAATATGCACCATAAAACTTGATTAACTATTCACATTCACAACCATTTAAGAGTGTACTAAGATCATTTAACATCTAATGTCTCTTATCCTTATCGAAAACATTAATTATCTGTTATAATAGTATTAAAAATTAACCTTTAGAGCCACTTAGCAATTATAAGGCAAATATAATCCTCTGCAAACGTAGCTTGAAACTCCCTATCCAATAACATCTCCGACTTTTATTTATTAATGCGTTATTGATTCCTAAGTAATTTGTATCTATTCACCATTGGTTGTCGTTAAACCTTCATTATTTATTTTTATTCCTGCCTTTGGAAATCTAACACTATTATGTCCACTACTAATAACTATAAATTTAAACATTTCGAATGTCATAGAACTATTTTATTCAAAATTAACTTCAATGTCAAATTCATTTTGCATTTTATATAATATTAATTAATTATCATTATTTATAAACAAATAGTATTGGAAATTAGATAAGGGACAGAAGAATTTGATAAAACTATGTATCATCTCAACCATTTGGATCGGTTTGCACTTAGGAAACTTGAGAATCTATCAATCTTAAATATGGAAACGAAAATACTCAAACAATATAATGAATTAATATATTTCAGACTAACTTGCATAATGAAAAGAGGACCATCTTATTTCAGTATTTGGATGATTTTCCTAAGTTCGATAAATATGAATCATTACTGCATATTTGTAATTAAGTGCATTATATTTCCTTTTACCTAATGTCTACTCTCGCTAATTAAACGCAGCTATTTAGTAATAAAGTGTGTAATGAATTGGAATCCTTTAAATCTACCAATTTATGGAGACTCTAAAAGAAAAGAGCTCAGCCTAATTAGATATTAGAATAAAACAATATTGTCCATAGATGGGGTGATATTATCTTTTATATATTGATTACTACTACTGTATTAAAGTTAATTTGCCTTATAATTTAGCAGGAACACAACTAATCAAACAATTTTAACGAGATAATTACCTCTATGTTGAGTTGAGAATTAATGTCTTCATTTGGTCAAAATTATGATAAAAAATAAAAGTACTTTGAAATACTTTGAAAATAATAGGAATGCTGATTCATAAAATTATATAAATAATGATTACATAATAGATAGATATATATTTTAATCAAAGGTCAATTTTTATAAATTCTAATAGTCTCTTGGATTTTGACTCTGCAGAAGGGACAGAGAGCTAAACTCTTACTGCATTTCAAACAAGTGGCATTATGTTTACATGGCAATATTAAGCAATCCCTTTCTCTTTCAACACAAATTATGCACAAGTTTTCTCCTGAGATTTCATTAACCTTCATTTTATTTTATTGGCAAATGTATTAATTTGTAGTTCCAATTCTTATTATTATTTCTTCATTCGGATCCAAATAAAACAAATTGCTCATTTTTCCTTCTCCTGATAATCTCATCCAAGATCTAAAAATTTAACTTAAATTCTCTACCCATTAGTTGATCCATGATCTTCTAAAGTGACTGTTTATTCAACCAGATAAAACTTAGCGTGCTAATTTGATAAATGGTGGTCTTCAGGGAATGAGATATCTACAGTTGATTTCCTCCCAAGTGCTACAGAAGGTTTATCTTTATTTAATTGAAATATGATGGTATCTTCTAAATTTGGTCCTTCGATTACGAATAATGAGATCTAGCAATTTTATGGAGTCTTACTTCAATTCCTCCATTTTCTAATTGTTCCAATTTCTAAACACAAAATTAATTACTTCCCAATTCTAATTAACATCCCCCTTGCTTTAATGGTCAAAACTTTTAAGGTATTTTAATAAAAGTTCCTGTTGTACTTCCTATATCTTTAAGTGCAAACTAAATGAGATAGCAAATACTTAAATACCATGGAGTCTTAGAATATTATCTCAGCATGAAATCTGCTGATGTTCTCTTCCAAAATTAGAATTTGGTTGCTAGAATGTCTTCCAATTTTGGCACCTGCTTCGCGAACACAATAAAAATTGGACTATTAACCTTCTATTGGCTAAAGTATTAGTTGATGTTCGAATTTGTTAAATCCTGGTATTTCTTATTTTATAGCTTATTCCTCTTATCGAGCAACTGAACTTGTGAATTGTTCGTTGCCATTATTTTCATGACTTTCCATTAGCATTTATTCGAATTGAACATTTCCAACATTTTTTTGTATCGTGAAATCTTCATCTTACTATTTTTTGTTGTTTAGATTTGGCATTTTCATTTATTTTATATATTCATTATATTCTTTTAGTCCATGATTTACCCCTAAAATAAAAAACAGAGTTACAATTTAATAGTTTTCTTTTAATAATTCTTTATGTGATCCCTAATTCTTCATCTAGATCCTTTTCCGTCAAGTCTTCCAAAACTGCACCATCAATAGAACATTCAACTATTTTCTTTATATTTAAATACCAAATTTTTATTCCATTTGTCCTAACCCTATAAACTTTAGCCAGTTTATGACATCTTGAGTCAACCATTTCTTTGGTTCTTTCGGGATCAATTTATACAAAGACTCATAATCCATTTTTATTTATATATTATAAATAATAACTTATCATTCTTAATTTATATTTGGGTTTCTATAAACATTTCAAAGAGAATAAATTCAACAAGAAATCTCATATAAAAACTAAGAGATAAATATAACACTTAAATATGCAGATAAATTTCACTTGAAGAATGCCAGAATGACAGTGATGTCATCAATTACTTCATCTTCCCTCTACCAAGCCTCCTTTGCAGCTTAGGTTAATTTATTGCAAGCTCCAATGGCATCTCCTTTTTTATAATACTCATTGACAGTTTCGATGACCCATTCATTCGATAAGAATCTTTATTAATAAATTATTTATAATACTCCCAAATACCATCTGATGCAACAACTAAGAATTTGTCTGATGGTAATAGTTAATGCTTAATGATTTCAGGTTCACAAATGACTCCTACTTAACTTGCGACATAGTCCCCAAAGCTTCTTGACATTGCCAATCCTGGTACATCCTCATCTGCCTTCCATACTCTTGCTGGTCCTATAGGATTCCCATCCTCATCACTATATGCCTAAACTCGTCCTCCTCTCTGGATTATTCTAGCTTGTTCCAAAAAACAATCAGGCTTATGATCTTTTGATAATTCTACTACTTATAATTTAGTATCATATCTCCCTATTATCTAAATATATTGTCAAATTCTATACGGCTCGACTATCTCCTATGTTTGCACAATAAAGTATGTTTTCAAATGCTATTACAACAACTGTTGTAGCTCCTGAGTAGGTCACATCGATGCCAGAACTTAAGAGATCTTCATTTGTCTTCAAAAAGGATTGCTTAAAGATGTTATTTATTGTTCTAATTGGTTTAATTCAATTTCTTACTTATCTCTATCATAATAATAGGGAGCTTCCATTACTTCCTATTCTATGTAGGCTGGTAGTATTTCTTATACAAATTAGGCTACTTAATGTCCATTTGTTCCATGTCCATCAGAAACCTAAAGATACCAATCATTTTCCTTTGTTCCGAATTTCTGTATTAACTTATAAGAATCTTAATTAATTTTGGTTTATCCAGTGTAAAGCATTCCAGGTATCGATTTTGCATGTGCCTTTGTTATACAGAGTTAGAGAGTTGAGATATCAGGATTACTAATTGAACGAGGTCCTTTGAACAATTTTTATTTTTATTATTATTGTTATTGCTGTTGTTATAACTAATTATGCTCTGTTTATTTAGATAAGTCAAGTAATTTTTAATATTATTTTTAAATTAATTACTAATGATATTGTAAAATCTCCTTTGATGTTTGGATTTAACCAATTTTATTGTCTGGTCTTTCTGCTTTAATTTTTTATAATAATTGCAATGCTGATTATGTTAAATTTTATGAATTTTCTTTGGTCTCAATGATTTTACTATTTTAACGAGCATGAGTTTTCTTTAATAGGACTGTGCTTATATCTTTAAGATCTTTTCCACTTGTTGGTCTTGATTTCTTAGCATCAACTTTTAACTATCCTTAATTATTTCTAAATTTACAAACAATGCCATACCTCAATGAATTAATATACACGTTCCCTTGAATTACTGGAGATTTCACTATCTTTTATTATTAATCTGATTCATTTTTTTTTTTTAAAAGACTTGCATACAATTTATTAGGTGAAATTTAGGGGGCTTTTTATTTCATTCTAATAACCAAATTAAATTTATTATTCTTTATTTAATTATATATTTGATATATATAATAATTCATTTCCTTAAGTTTTTCAGTTATTCTTTAATATGATTGGTACTATTCAAGTATTTTGATCTTGGAATGTGATCTTAAGATATTGTTCTCTCTAGTAAAGATTGTTGTTATTAAGTAAGTATCTTACTTTATTCAGTATTTTGCACTTCAATCTTTACATTGCTCAACTTCTAAATATCTAACTATATTACAATCTATTACTCTCATTTTGAAGTTTCGTTTATAAAGTGAACTAATATTTATCAATCAATTTTTGAGTTTCATTTTTTGTGATACACTTTGAATTTGGTTTGTTAGTTTCTAAATCCTCATTTTCGAATTTCACCTTCAGCTCCTAACCCTTATCCTTCTCCAACGTTATAGATCGCATTCTATCACTTTTTTAATAACTATCCATTCTCTAATGCAAAAGAGGTGATTATAATCTTTCTCCTAAAATATTTGATTGTTTCAATTCCTATTTAAATAGAACCTCGGATTGCCGTATGTCTTTAGTCTTCATATTTTGCATATCTAGAGACAAATCCTTTGAATTATGAAACCCTTTTTTAACTAGATTGTATAATTGTTGGATGTCTTCCTATTTTAATTTATTTATATTGAAATTTGCTTTTGCAATTTTATCATCTTGTAACATTAATTTTGTATCAAAATTTTCTTTGAGTTTATCAAACAAAGAATGTAAATCATTAACTCTTTCGCTTAATTCATCAATTCTTTCAAATTTTTGATTGAATGACCTAATCCTTTCTTCCAAGTGATTGACCTTCTTCAAAAGACTTGTTTCATATTACTCCATTCTCTCCTCAATTACCCTTAACTTATATTCTTATTGTTCTTTTAATAACATTTCGAACTAACGATTTATTAAATTTTATATTGTAACATTTCTAATATTAATTAAAATTTCGATGACTATTTTTTTCTTCATTAAAATATTAAGCCCAAAAATAAATATTCAATTAAAACTAAAACTCATCATTTTAAATATCAATGAAGAGAGATTAACTTAATTGAAAGTTGAAATCAATTTTAAAATGAATTAATATGTATCTTTGATGGTTAGGACTCTATTGAAATTGCAAGCTATAAATTCATAAAGATATTCTACTTAGTTTTTATTGATTACATTTAAACGTAGATTTTTAAATGAATATAAATCCCATCAGTATTGTTCTTTGTTTCTTAATTACTTTTCAAATATAAAGGATAAATAGCTAAAATAGCAGTTTAAAATATATAATTAAAATTGATAATTTATTACATTTAGAATTAAAACTCAACTTTGAAATAGCTACCCATTTAATTTTTAAACAGAACAGCATAAATAAGGAAGTCTCAACAATTTTATAAAAAATTTAAAAATAGCTCGATACGTATAATTTCTATTTAAAATTATTTACATTCAATTAATGAAAATGCTGCTAAATAAAAATATTAATGTTATAAATTTCTAGGATTCCCTTTGATATTTTTTTCTTTTATAAAGAATTTATATATTATTAAATATAATGCTCATACATTTTAGATGTTAACAAGTTTGTACTTATTATTAAGATTCTCGGTTTAGCATTTATTCTATTCTTTTAAAGGGCATTTTAAGTTCTTCTATTGAATGTTACTAAGATAACACTATTCGCAAAATAAAAAATGCTAGCAAGGAAACTAAATTACATTTCTTTCTCTTGTTTAGCATTAGAAGCAAAGTAATTATTTTATCTTTTAAATCTATTTTAATATCAATATATCATATACTTTTTTTCTTGTCACTGATGCTTTTGCGATCTTGTCTTCTAATTATTTCTATGTTTATTAAATTTTATTTTTTTTGTCATTGCATGTTTGTATTAATTGTTCTTTTTCCTCAAAAAGGGACCTTACTTTTTCCTTTAATTTTTTTTATTTCAATTCTTTTTCATTCAAATCTACTTTTAACTCATCTAATTTAGTAATTTGTTTCTCAGATTCCATGCTTTTCATCTTTTAATAGAATCCAATTAAATTCTCTTCTGCTTGTTATAGCTTTTTACTGTTTAGTGCTAGATATTGACTCACCAAATTTTTATTGTTTGTGTCATTTTCTCTTAATTTGATTTGCAATTTAACTAATAAATTTTCTTATTAATCTAATTTCTAATTTTTTTTGGTCAAATATTTCAACACTGAATCAAGGTCATCAACACTATTTTGTAATTGTTATTTTAATCGAATCCCTCTTAGTTCCTCCTACTGTATCTAATATTCTAATTATGAAATTAGTGGGTCCTATTTCTTTATTTTAATTAGATCAATTGATTTTTCACAAATAACCTATTTAGTCATTATTTTAAACACACACCATGGTTCATCAAATCCGAACTCCTTGACAGGATTGTGAATTTCAGGAATCATCAACCATATTGATTTTGAATTATTGGTCTATATTATTTAAAGGTACATTTCTGGATTTTGATCTATTTTAGACTCACAAAATTCACAAACTTTAGCCTCATTCAACAATTCTTTGCTGAGAGTAATGTTATTTTTTTAGAAAAATAATTTAAAACTTTCTGGGGTAATTTTAAATGGATATTCCTTATTAATTTATTCTATGACTTATTTATTAAATAATTTATAATAAGCAGCCTCCATTTTTGTATGTCCCCCTAATAAACTAAATGTTAACCTTGAGTTCTTGATCATGGTCTTAGGGTTGAAGCTGTTTTCCACAGTTTTTGACAGAAATGCTCTCGAATCAGATTGTTCAATTATTTCCTATTAAAAGTCATCTTTTTCTGTTTAATCAGAATCAATTGTATTTCGTTGTTTAGGATGAATGATATCCTTGTAGAATCTAATCAGCTCTTGAATCTTTGAAGTTCCAGATTTACCTAAAGGAATTGGTTTCTAAAATTGAACTAAAATTTACGTTGACATCTTTGAACAACTACTTGAAATTATCGACTTTACAGAGATGCTAATGCATGTCTCTCTCAGTTATCAGCTCAAAAACTTATAAACAAGAAGCACAAAAATAATATTCACTTCAAATATATTCAACACATACTTTCTAGTCTCACCACAATCCTTAATCCTATCATTGATTAGATGACATTTCTGAAGATGATTGAGATAATCCCAAGCAGATTCAAATTGAATGGCATGAGCTTTCTGAGGACAAGCGAACTTCATTTTGTAGTTACAATAAATAAATAAATTGATCAGATTACAATCAATTCATTAACCAAAGATTAAGTTCAATAATCATCAGATTTAATTTTAGATTCAAATATCAAAGATTAATATGATGATTATTAAATAGAAAATTAAGACTATTAAGCTATATAATATTTGTTTTATTTCTATATTTCTTGTAAAATGTATATATTATTGATGATTAGTTTCAAAATGAAAAGAGTAGTTTTTTCTCATATATAGAGAATTTGATATTTAAATCTTATTTATAAGACAGCTTAATTGAAAAATAAGAATTAAATAATATTATTTTATTTTAATGCCATTCAAAATAAGAATTGATCAATTTATAAATTTTGATGAGTTTCATAATCTTTATGATATTTTTTATAAATTTTTAAAAGGAGAACAGAAGTTTAAATTAGACTTTTAATTTATTAATTAAATCTTCTGGAATAGCATTTTAAGAAAAGCTAATTTCTAGAATTTTAACATGATTGGATCACTTACAAAAGAATCATCTTACATCAATAGTTTTCATCAAGTTGTAGATGTGCTTCCTTATGCTCTTTAATACATGACTGCAGTATCACTACTAACAAGATTTCTAATTTTAGCTTTTTCGTTATTATAGAGCCTAACAAATTCGTTAATATTTTACATAGATAGTAGAAAGACTTCATTAGAAATCCTTAATGAAACAATTATTTTCTATACCGAAAGCTGATGCAGTTTCTTTTTAGACCTAATAATGATATTCATACTGATATTTAGTACATTTTTGATTTTCTTTCATTTTTAGTTAATCTTTTTCCATAATTTAATTAAAATGCTGTTACACGTTCGCGCTAGTAGTGGGTATCAAGAATCGTTGCATAAAAGTTTAAGTAGAAAGAGAGAGCGCATTTTCTCAGTATAATAGAAATCTAGATCAGAATTGGCTGATCTCAGCAATTAATGTACATCAAAGTTTATCAAAGATGAAGCAAAACTTGAATAAAGGAAACCTAAAGTAAAGAATTCTAAACAAAACTAATGCAAAAAGAAACTCTAGATGAAGCCATCATATGTTCCAGAGATGACTCTTTACTAAAAAGTATTGCAAAAATACTTCTGATTTATATTATATATTAAAATCTGTATTATAATGAGTTTTATCCTATTTTCTTAAAGTCTTGATAATTCATCATATTATTAGATTTATTTGGAGGAAGAAGAGTGCAAAAAGATTACAAATAAATAAAGCAGAAAAGATAATCTACATATATAAATATTAGTCACTTTAAAGCCTTTTAATCTGGATTATTAGCATTGATTGCCTTTATGATAATTTCTTTAAACTCTTAAAAGGAAATCTAGAAATAAATCAAATTAATACAGAACCATCACCATTTGCATCCACTTCAGCCAACAATTCTTTCCAGACATCATCACTAACCGCTGCTTCATTGCTTCCAAAAATGCCTTTGATTTCATCGATGGATATCGAGCCACTTCCATCCTTATCAAACATTTTAAATGCCTATTCTAATCTTGCGTCTTCTATTAGTTTCACCTTGTTAAATGTAGCCAAAACAAATTCTAAATTTAGTTAATACTTCCAACCTGAATAATCAATGCTTCCATTTTTATCCTAATCTATGTACTTCATTAATTTGGTAACCTCCAACTCTGCATCAGTATAACTCATCACTTTCGAATATCCTATCGAATAGTTACTAAGATATATACCAATGACTAATTCCTCTTTTGAGAGTCTTCCATCTCCATTTAGATCGAGTGCCTAAAATTATTACAATAATTCCTATTTCTCTTGACTTGTAGTCATTTGATTGACCATAAAAGTTAAAGCAGCTTCTTAGAATTTTTTTTCCACTCTGAAATTTCTTAAATTATTGAGAACTTTTGTTAATTAAGGTAAATTCATCTCAGTCTTTTTAACATAAGTAGTTATCCACGGATCTCTTTAAGCTTATTCAGCACTAATCCTCTTTTTTGGATCTCTCTCTAACATTTTTTTGATCAGTAGTTTGGCTTCATACGAAATTTGATTCCACTCTTCTCCATCAAATGTTAATTAGGCCTCTTTAACATTTTCTAATATCTCCTCCTCATCCTCTCCATTAAATGGTGGAAGTCCACAAAGCAAAATATACAATATCACACCACAAGACCATACATCACATTTTTCATCATATTTTCTCTCCAAAACTTCAGGTGCTATATAATAAGGCTTAAAATTAGGTATATTTATACTGTTCCCAATTTCTGATTCATTTTATAACCTGTTTCAAACACCCTACTAGTACCAAAATCCACTATCTTTAGTAATGCTTAGGGTTTATTTGCTTCATATAAAATGTTCTCTGGTTTTAAATCTCTATCTCATATAACCATTATTAACCTATGTACTATCTTACTTTTATGTAGATAATTAACAGCGCTAAGAACCTGTTTCATAGTCTCTGCTGCCTTTCTCTCGGAGAAGGCCTGCTGATCTTGAATTTTATCGAAGAGTTCTCCACCTGTACATAATTCTGTCACGATATAGATGTTTTTATGATCTTGATAGAACTCATAAATTTTTATAATGTTTGGATGATCCTATTGTTTTCTATTATGTCTTACTAATCTTTTTAAGATTTCAATCTCTATTCTCAATCTTTCCACTTCTACCTTGCTTGCTTTTTCTTTCGAAATTACTTTTACAGCTCTAATTTGATTAGTGACTTTGTGAATGGCCTTTCTGACTTCTCCAAATGCCCCTAAAGATAACAATCAATTGAAACCTTTTCCAATAGGAGGTTTAAGGAGAGTATACTCATTTGTTATTGATCCTTGTTTTTCAGCAACCATGCCTGACGAAGAAATTTAGAAATGAGCTACATCCTTAACTAAGCGTAAAATAAACTTAACTACTCTTGTTTGGATTGTCCACTTCTACGGGTTTACCAGATCCACACCCCATATCAATATAATACGATATAAAAATAACTAAATTATCTGAATAAATTGAGCTTTATTTTACGCGATAACATCTTTATTTAAAATTTAGTAAATTTTAGAACATTGCCACATAGAAGACGATGCTAGATATTTCTGAACAGAAAAAAGCTAATAATTTGAATTATTAGCTTGATTTTTCTAAATTAATTATAAAATTTTTAATTAATAACATTTTCTTGATAATTCATCCTTTTTTTTGAACTGTCGAATATATTATAATAGATGCAAAATGATTTTTAGAGGATGGATTCTTAGATTAACTCTTTTAATTAGCTATTAAGATACATGAAAATATTATGTATATGATTTTTAAAGTTTTCTAATTTAGAAGATAGCATCCCAAAAAATAGATAAATAGATTAATAAATTAATCAATTAATCAATTAATTGTTATTATTCAAATTAATATTAATTTATTATTTATACTCTAATGATCTATTGTAATCATCCTAATATAAAGATGTGATATACAATTTTCAATGATTCTACATTTTTTATTATTAAATGTAGTAATTTACTTTTAGTTAAAATCATTTACAAGACAACAATATTATTTTAAACAGATTATAATTATTTAAAATAAAAATTCATTTTTCATTTTATTACAATATCGAATTCAATTTTTTAGCTATTTAATCATCTAACTTAAGTTTCTCTTTTAATTTAGTTATTTCATTCTCTTTTTAATGTTCAGTAATTTCTTACTGCTTTTCTTCGATGTCTTCTTTTCTAACAGTAGATTGTAGATCCAACTCATCAACACATTAAATGTTATCCGTAAAGATCACTCCTTCATTTGACCTTTTAATCCAAGGAGCTTCTGGCTTATTCTCCACAACTTTAGGCTTTAAAAATAAAGAGTTTAATTACAGATATTTTTAGAAGTAGCTGCTCATCAAATAAAATAGGTTATGAAGGGAATTCAACGATTGGTAGACAAAATGACATTCTAATTTAGAAAGAATACTTTTTCAATTAGAATTAAACTGCAGGATAGATTGAACATAATCGATTATGTTAAGGGAATAATTAGAATTCCTAAATTTACGAAAACTGTTCTCCAGGAGGTGTATCCAATAAATCATCGCGTAATAAATCCAATAAGATCTACAATTGAGCTCTAAATTCTATTTAACTTAAATGCTCAAGAAGTAAAGTGAGAGTTTCAAAGGCTTCATCCATATTCCCTAACAGAACATCTAGAATTGCACAATTATAGAGATGCTCATAGATATTGTAAGTCTTATTGCTGAAATCAAAATCTTCAAGATTGTTCTAATTAATTAATTAGTCGTTTATCGACGATTTAATTTCTTTTTCCTTTAAATCATATGAAAAGGTAAGGCACTATTTTGCTTTAGAATATTGCCCCAAATGAGTATAGAATAAGCCTTTATAAAAATAGATATCAGATGATCTAAATATCAAGCCTTCCTATTACGTTTTTTAGATTTAGGTTATGCTGTTAATGCTATCTTCCAAAATCTTTGTGGATATTTGTAAACTAGTTTCCCTAAGTATAGTTAAGACTTAATGATCAACCACTGCTTCTTGGTTATGCATTTCTTCTATAATAATGGTTAGCTCATTGAGTGCTGAATTCAATTCCTTCCCATAAATTAAGACTTTAACTTTCTCATAATATCCTTCAATGTTCCTGCAATTACTAAATGCTTGGATAGCTTCATCATAAGCTCCAATTAAAAAGTATAGAATTCCTACAGTTTGATAGTTTATTGAATATTACTCCCTTAATTCAACGTATTTTTATAGATCTAGGTAAGCAGTGCCGACTTCTCCCATCATTGTTAATAGTTTACATCTATTCAGATAGGATTCCGAATGATTTTAATCTAAACTTAAGCAAATTGTAAAGTCGTTGACGGCCTATTTAAATAGTTATTGTTGACAATGAAGCAATCCTCTTACATAATAATGCTATGCTTGATTATCTTCTGACTTATCAATGGCCTGTTCTAAGTCTAAGGCAGATTTCTCTAGATTTCCAAAGGCAAAGTGCAAGATCCCTTTGTAGAAAAGCAAGTTTGATTACTCACAAATCTTTGAGGCTGCTTCAAGTAAATTTAAAGCATCCTTAAGATATTTTATCCTATTTTCTTCACTCGATTGGGGACAAGAGCAATATTTTTTAATTTGAATAATGGCTTGATAAAATAAGGGTTCCATCTTATTTGGAAGCATTTTATGAGCAAGCGAGAATTCTCTTCTGCTTTACTCTAATTCATTATCCTCATATTTAATTATACCATAACAAAGAAGCTTATTATAAAGAGATGCCTATAATCGTTAACAAAATTACTTTCTCCAAAAGATTTTCCTAATATAATTCTAAGTCTTGTTTCGCTAGATTGAACTTCGACATACAAAAATATCCATAGGCTCTATATTGATGGGCTTAGAATTTCAGATTATCACTTTAATGATTCTTAGTGATCATTTCTGTTAACAATTAGACACCATCTTCAAATTTCCTTTTCATTAAATAAATAGCTCCTCCAACAAAGAGCTCAAATTTTTATAATTGTGTATTATCAACGTCAAGATAGGTTGCTCTATCAAGTTCATGCTAAGCAGAATAATAATCATTTTATTCAATCTTTATTTTCACAATTTCATAGAGAGCTTTAGTGACTGGTTTTTTTTCACTATTGACCTTAATTGACTATTCAAGCGCCAAAAGTGCATCTTAAAGATGTTCTAAAATCAAATACAGTAATTACTCTACTTTTGCATTAAAATTCCTTTAAAATAATAAACTTCGGAATCATTTGGACAAATTTCAAGCAATAGGTTCATATCTTATTTTGCTTTCTCGAAATCTTTATTGTCTAAATAGATTGTGAATCTTTTTAATAGAATTTATTTTGATTTAGACAATTCTTCGAATTCAAGTGCCTTATTCAACTCTTCAATAGCCTGCTGAATTTAGTTTATTTGCTTATAACAATCACTTAATCCAACATAGCAAATAGATTTATTTGGATTAACTTAAATTGCTGATTGAAAGTCTTTGATAGCTTTTTCATAATTCTTAATCTTCAAAAACAATTTAGCTCTAAATATCAGAGCTTCAAAGTATCTGTTGAAATGATTGATACCTTAGGATATCACATGTATTGCTTCATTGATAAGATTATTTTTTTTGAGAGAAAGAGCTAAATACATATATGAAGTTCTTTTGAATCTTGGAAAAGTCTTTATTAGAGTCGAAAATTACTCAATGTATTTTTCTTCTTAATCTAGAGTCATGAAACATAATCCCGAGATGTACAATGCTTCAGGATGCAATCCATATTTGTTTTAATAATTTTAAAAATTTTTTAATGCTTCTTCAACTTTATTTTCAGTAAATAGTCTCTTGCCTTCATCCAATTCGCTGCTAGTTGCAATTTCTTTGCAAACTATATTGTTTCGAGGGTGATCATCAAGATGTTAATTAAAACTTTCATCTTTATATTGGTGAACTAATTACTAATATGAGAACTGACTGAGTGAATTTTCTTCATTCTATTACTTGATGAACGATTATTTAGAGTATTCAAGCAGTGCGTAGAGTCATATATTATTCGTTTATTTGGTTATCTATAATAATTTACTTATTAATGAGGCCCATTTCCACTAATATGTTAACTAATGGATTTGTTTTTCATTCTTCTTACCTCAGTAGTAGGATTCTATTATAACACCTTTGGTGGTAATTCTGAGGGTTTTACTTAATTAATTACTTCCCACATTTGGTTGACTTCCCAATTTCAAAACAAGAATAGAAGGTTCCTTCTAATTCATTTTGGTATGCCTAGACTCTCTAAGTATCGGTGGTCTTGTTAGCCTAGTATTTAGAGTGTATTTTACATTTCTTTTGAGCCTTATTTGAAAATTATGAAAATATAAATATTAGTTTAATTTAAATAACTAATAGTAAGTGATGCGCAAAAGATTGGGAGCCTTTCATGCAGAGTCTATTGAATAATACATTCAATTATCATAGCATAAATAAGAACTGCAGAACAAATATGAAGTAAAAGAGATGTGTCCTCATGCTTACCAATATGAAGAAATTGATAAGGACACAAATGTATTATTTGGCAAAGAATCTATTTAGACATCGACCAAAGAGGAGGAAATTGATTAGAAGGAATATTGCAGTATCAATGTTTTAATCGTGGATAATTGTGACCAAATAGATGAAATATTTAAATATTGCAATACTCCTAGACAACCAAGATCACATTATCATCTAGAATATTGTTCCAAAGTAGAATCAACAAATTCAAAGGAAAATCATTTTCACTTTTGGATTATTAACTAAGAATCCTCAAAATATTAAGAGCTAATTAATGGTATATCTTAGAAACAATAAATAGTGTATTTTAGTATTGCTGATATATATATCTATTTATATCACAAATCCTTTGAACCAAAGTTCCAGTCATTCACAGAGAAGGTTAAGTCCCTTAACAAAAAAGAAAACAAAGTCATCTATAAAATTGTTAATAATAAAAGAATTAGTGTAAGATATTTGATTGATAATATAATTTTAGAGTATGAACAACTTTTAAGACAAGGAATAGGTGAGAGAGATTACACTATAAAGTCTAGGGGAAGTAATAAAAAGAGTAAAAGATCAGTATTTTTGATTGAATTTGGCTTTCATCATGTTGCCATCTTAGCGGTGATTTTAATTGTTTTACGTACATCATAAAATAGTATAATGTTAAATTAGCACAAGATATTTATAAAATTTATAATAATAAATAATCAATCATTTAATTAAGATATTAGAGCTGTTCCTCTCAAGGTCCAATATTCTGGTTTCTCTATTTTGCTCATCAAATCCTAAAAGAATAAATTAAAAATGTATTACAATAGACAAAATGAAGTTTGTAGATTAACCTGTAGTTGAGAGAACTCCTGTTCTATTCGATGTTTTATAGCAAGGACAACTAATTATTGATTGCATAATGTTACTTATAATATTCATCGCCAATTTAGTATTCCTCCATTGGTTAGAAATACATCATGGCAAGAGGGAAATAAATTTAGCCTACTTATTATTCAATTAGGGTTTCATGTTAGTAATCCCAACGTGCTCCTTCCAAATAAAGACCATAAACATAGACTCCATCTTTAACTTCATCTCTGATCCTATCTTGTTCTATGTCCAACACCTTAAATTTGAAATTGAGTTTATTAATTGGGATCTTGTATTTTCTAGAATGAGTTTATAATACTCCAGTTAAAAATCCTTGTGGATAGAATAATCCAGACATCCAATAGGCAGGAATGAAATCTTTCTCCATCCAAGATCGAATGAAGTTTACTCTTGCAATCAAATCTTTGAACCAACTGGAAAGTGGTTTCAAAGTAGAGTACGATTATTTCATCCAATTAGGAGGAATGGCATTATTGAGAAATGCTAAATACATTTCATCTAAATCCGAGGATATCAAAACTAAGCCTTTTATTGCCTATTACATTTAAACTAAAGTAGATTGGATTAATTCAAGCAATCTGTTGAATTTATCTATTTCTTAAAACAACACTGTTGACAAAGATTAAACACTGCCATTTTCAGTAATTTAATAATGTCTCTGATGACAACTATTTTTATCCAAGAGTTCTGGAAGATTGCTTTAAAAGTAAATAGCCTTTTCCATAACAATCATATCAGGCGATTTCTAAGTGCTCGTACTACTCACACGAGGCTAGATGGATAAGATGATATCTAATATCTTTTGGCTCTCCTAAGTTTAGAACACAATGTTTGCATTTTCATGCATTCCAAATACTTCAGGATCTTCTTAATTTGGTAATTGGGAGATATAATTAATATAGTCATCTTCTGGCAAATAATAGATGCCACTGTTAGAGAATTTAACATTGTTTTCAATATGATCACCTAAATACTTCTTCAATATTGAAGTTAAGCATACTCTATCTTAATCATCAGTGACTCTTCCACCATAATTAATTTGCCCTATCATAAATTACATTGCATCCCATGGGATTTCTTCCTCTTAGGATATAAACATTTTCATCATTTATATACTTATATCCAGATCAGAGTCATTGAATTCATAAGAAATATTGAATCCAAGAGGTCCAAATTTCCTCCTCTCCTACACTATAGCATGAAAGAAGGAAATGCTGAAAAATAATTATTTGAATAGCTTTTATTGGTTGTCTGCTTGCTGAAATTCTTAGTAGGATCTCAGCAAGTTTGATTTCAATCCTCTAGGAGGTTCTGTGGTAAGTTTAAGACCATTCTGTAGTGTACTTACAGGGAAGTAAGCAGCAGGCATTGAAGTTAAAAAGATTCTGAAACTATTATGGACTTCAATTTGATGTGATGTGAGAGATTCCATCAATTTTTCTAATTAAGGCATCCATGATCTTGCTAAGTGGCAATTTTAAAGCATAACCCAGGTTCCCTCCTTCTATCCTTTTTAAATTAAGTGTTCTGCCTTTTTCCCTTGACCTTAACCCAAAGAAATTACATCTATCTAGCTTTGTTGTTCTTTTGCCAATTTAAATAATGTTTAAGTGGGATCAGCTCCTGGAGATAATATGAATATTATGGGAGTATGAGGTTCGGATGATTGATAGATTTCATCCATGGAAGAGGAAGCTAAATTGATATAAAATTCTCCGAACATTTCAATCACATACTCAGTCAAGCCAAACATAATCTTTTCTGGTTTTAAAGCCTTGATGATTAACAATCTATAGAAAGGGTTGAGAGTCGAACAGACTGCTAGAGGAGATTGAGCTGGGAAGGAGGCTTAATAGATATCATCTATTTGAGTAAACTCTTTCCAATACAACAAGTTGTTTTTGATATCTGAAGATAGATCAGTTAATTCTGTAATTTATTCTTAGATACATAAAATTAAATTCCATTGGGAATCCTTCAAGTATACCTTATCTGGATTAATGATTGGAGTTGAAGGTATCTGATCCCTTAATAATAAATTCCATGCTGCATTTGAAACGGAACCATTCTATCTCTGAACTTAAGCACAGATGAGGAATGAAAAGATCTTTCTATGCTATTAAAATAGACCTCGACAAATGTCTTTGAAGACAGTCTAAGTAATTGTCTCTTCTAAGTAAAGCAGCCTCTAACTAAGCAAATCAGTCTTAGGAGTAAGATTCAGAGAAATATTATAGAGTTTTTTGAAATATTGCAGAGAATATTGATACATTGGATCGATTAAGCTCATATCTGAGATAACAAAATATAATATTGTTCCTCTTATGGCTACTGAATGATAGAGATTTCTAGATTCATTGATCTATTATTCCACTATGATGGTTTCTTCAAGTGACCTTTGAATATCCGTAGACTGAAATTTCGAGACTTCAAGAGTGTGGATCAATTATTCATTATCTAAAATATTTCCTGTTACATTGGCTAACAAATCCAAAATGGAATCTTAGGCTCCTTTGAGTTGTTTGTTAGCATTACTCATTTTTATAATGATTTCATCTCTTTGCTTTTCAATTTCTGGCTTCTCAAACTTCATTACATCACCCAATAACTAATCACACAAGCCTTCAAAGGTGATACTAAATTTGATCACTGTAGTCTTAATAAACACTTCTGGTAAATAATTAGGGTTGGCTATTTTTGTAGTGAAATACAATTTAAATTAATTATGATAATCGACTTTCTAATCTCCGACTTTAATGAGTCTGCGTCCATCAACTTCAATAATCTGTTTCTAAAGTACTGAATCAACAGAAGGCTCAAGTTTCTCTTCAACCTCTTCAAATAAGACTTCATATCCAGAACTAATGCATTATTATAAACCTTTTAGAAAATGTTATTCTGTGAATCTCATAACTTTCAACTCCTTATTGAATTGTTTTAGCCATTTATTTGCTTATCCTTGCGGATCAATCATCAAAGGCCAACGATCAGCTCTAGTTACAATTACTCCATTATCAATCGAAACGGCATCATTAGGTAATCCACTAATAATCCAATCTCTTATAACGATTTGACTCTCAAGAGTGGAAGATAAGGAATAATTTTCTGAAAAAGGAATATTTAATTCTTTCAATTTTTCAATAGCATTCTTTAACAATTACTCTCTATATTGACCAGTAAATGCACCTAAATAGCTAACAGTACAAGCAGCCAAGAAAACATCTCCAATAACTTGCTACAAGACTTGCTCAATCAATTTAATTTAATCTTTCCATCTTACACCTTCATCTGCTAATAAATATGTTAACTTTTCTGCTGCAATTAATCTTTTCTTTGTTTGTTCTAATTTTTTCTCCAATAAATTCTTTCCTTCTACAGTTTCATCACATTCTTTCTATAATCTAGCCACTCTATCTCTAACTTTCTATAATTCATCTTGTTTTAGTGCCAATTCCTTGTTTTTGACTTCTAAAATCTATTGCTTATCTGCAACCTTCCTTTTCTTAGGTTCTACCTCTTTAACAATCCCTTGAATAATTATCAATAGCTCGACACCACATACACAGACTTTTGCAAGCTTGACTTTTTTGAGCAACACAAATTGGATCAAATTCCGGCTTAATTGTAATGAATCTCAACTTCTTCAACATCTATTCAGTTATCTAACTCTTATCATATTTCGTTAATCTTTCCGTAAAATCGCCACTGATCATAACTTATTTTGCTGAATTCCAATCAGTCTTCTCTTACAATAATATGCAAACAGCTTCTAACACCAATTAAACAACAGGTGGAGGACTGATAAAACCTCTAATCTCTGTAATATCATTTTTGTTGATATTTTTTAGTGCTTCTTCTGCTTCTTTCATCGCAGGCAATGCTTTATTTAATTCAGTCTATGCTTCATCTGCTATTATTTTAATTTCTGATGCTTACTGATTGACAATTTGGACTTCATCATTTACTAATCTTTCTTTGAGATTGGCTTCGCTCTAATCTATTGCTAATTATTTTAAAAATTCTTCTGTTTTTGCAGACTATTCAATTAATTAAGGTTATATAGTTTCCATGTCTATTTTCAAAATAGCCACAGTTTTATTGGCCTCAAATAATTTATCCAATCCATCAGCCAATTTTCTTTAAACCTATCCATGTTCCTATTGTTTTTATATTAATAAATCAGCATAAAGTTATATTTAATCCAAATATGATTTGGGTGTAGTATAAACTTATCTTCTCAATTCTTTCTAATATATGTCACTCAGATTTGCTACCTAAAGATTGACTTCCATGCACATCTATGCCAATTCTTCCTTTTATTTCAGATTAGGTATTTTGTCTAAGAATTTATTGGCCACTTCTAGTAGTGCTTCCTTAGGCCATTGAGTGAACCAATCTATAGTACAGCAATTTACCAAAGATGGGAACTTACGGCATCGAATTCTTAATTGATTGCCTACAGGACTCATGCATAATACAATATGCAATGAATTTCTGATTCCTTCGACGAAGAATGTCCACAGAGATTCAGGGGAATCTAGTCTCTTTGCTCTAATTGCTTAGGGTCTTACAGTGTTGTATACTTATTCCAAATCTTCCTTCTTAGCAAACAAGTTAGGGACTTCCCCCGTATTGAGAATGTTGTTAATATCTTCTAAGAAGCTCTCTTAGACAATTTGAGCCTCATTAAATATAAATGTCAATGGAATTCTTTCTCCTCCTGTCTTCATCAGGATTTTAATTAAATCAGCTCGGAAAGAGTCAGCATTATAGGTTTTGACAATTTCAATCTAAAAGATCTCAGATCTCATTAGAAATGAAGCCAACTTAGTGAGACTTTATTTTCCAGATCCACCAACACCTATTAGCATTGCATTACCTCTGGGTTGTCTGAAGATTCTGGATATTCTTAGGATATGTTCTAGAGCATCGTCAAAAAAGACTAACTCCATTTTATCATTCGTTGCCATCATGTAATCATCTAATTTATCTTGCAAAGATTTCACAATCACTTTCCTCTTCTCTGTAACTTCCTCATATAAAACATTTGCAGCCTCCAATTTAAGAATATCACTAAACAATATATTGCTTGTTATATCATCCTTATTAACACTAAAGTACCTCATTAATAATTCAACTGCTGTATTGTAAAACCAAAGTTTGTCTTAAACACTAATCAAACGATCACAGAAAACTCTAGCGCATTCATGCACCCATAATTTAGGAATGGTATCATTACTATTATTACATGAGATAGGTCTGATCATCAATAAACCTTAAAAGACCTTGCTTATGTCTCTCGAGTTAAAGGTATAATGGAACTTTGCAGGTATTGGCAATAGTTCTTAAGATATTCTCCTAAATAGTTCAACTGTGATTCTAGTGATTTAGTCACTTGTCTTCCTAACACTTTCACTAAAGTTAATGCTGTTAAAGTAGCCTTTCAAAAATTGATCCATAAATCATCTCCAAAATCGAATCAGATTGATTTGGCATGATTAAAACATTGAATTGTCTCACAAATCTTTATGATAATTGATTTCTTCCACCTCCTGGAGGTCCACCAGCAATCAATAGAGTCACATCTTCAATATGTTTCCAAAATAACTTGGTACGATCGAAAGTTCCTTATAATTCTATCATCTATCTCAGAAGTTCAATACAGGGCTAAGCACCATACTTTTCTAAAGCTGGCATATTGATATCATCAATAAAAATAGCTATTTATTCATTTACTCTTGCTCCAAACAATATTTTGCCCTTTTTAATTAATTTAGATTCTATAGCCAATTAGGTTTACTTTGATTTTGTCTATGCCGAGAAATTCAAAAGTACTGGTTACACCTTCTCATTTAACTTCATCTCGAAAAGCAATGATTAGACTAGCATAGACTTACCAACACCAGTCTATCCTGTAATTAAAGTAGGTATTTATTCCCTAATTAATAATTGGATGATGTATTGAAATTTCAAGGTGTCTACTGTTTAAACAACAATACTGAAGAATGATTGATCCTTTACAAATTAAAATTCTTATAACTGAGATTCCCATGATTATAATGTTGTGAAGTCATTTCCATCAACATAGAAATCAAATATGGTATCACCTTTGGGATAGAGTAACGATTGAAATTGGTCTTTGACATAAGTGGCAATCTAAAATAATAATTAAGGGGAAGTAATAATATATATATATGGATGTTAATAATGTTGTGTTCCTAATAGTAATCTAAACAAAGTTAATGCCGTGAAACTTCATTTAGTTACATCTAGGAGTTAATTTCTGCAGGTACCTAATCCCATTTATTTATAAACTTAAACAAAGGGGGGCTAAATCCACTGCAAAATAACGACAGTTGAAATAATATAAAATAATGTACCTTATCATAATATTTCTATTCGAATGATGCACACAATCCCCAAATACAACTGTATGCGAATACAGCTGTAATTTATTTTAATATATCAGCAGATTTCTAAACCAAAATGGACTTCAAAAAGTAAGTTAATATATTGCAAACACTCTTCACTCTCTATAATTCTATTGTTACAAATGGTTCATCTAGGTTTCCAAGCTTCTCCTATAGAAATTTATATTAAAGTTTAAACAAATTCCTTATCAAATCCAAATGTTTGGGTTCTATTTGAAGTAATTTCTTTGGCTTTTCCCTTACTTGATTGCAACATTTGATCTGACCCTTTTCCTAATCTGAGAAAGTCTCCTCAATCCAACTCTCCACATAATTGTACCAATTGATATCCTAAACAGTCATATAGACCATCCCACATCTACTTACAGTGGCAGGAGAGGCAACTGACAAGTCCTGGACTTCGAATAGCATTCTCAACTCATGTCTCAACTTAATTCTTTCTGAATTGGCCAAACACAAAGTCATTGAATCATCTAGGACTGAATTCATATTCTCAATCCACAATGCATCAACAGGTCCATCAAACACAATCCAATGTCTCTCCTTGCTGTTATTACACTCTCTGATGATAGAACTTGCTAAACCATCTTGCCATTCATTTGTAAAAGGATCTACCTCGCCATAAAGTTCTCCCATTGAAATTGACTTTGGATTTAATATAACATATTATAATTCTTAGAATCTGGGATCCTATGATAAATTCTAAACTTTGATATCAGTTAGTGTTTCAGCCAAAATCTGATAACAATTAGTCTTGCCAGATCCACTACCTCCAACAATCATAGTCCCAAATCTTACATTTTGAGTATCAAACAACTGCAACATTTTAGTTATAAAACTTGGTATGATTTACAATTTGAATTATCGGCATTTTTTATTTAACTACTACTCTAGGAACTCGAATGATGAATTGGCTATCTCAACTTTAGGAAATAGATCTTAAATTAGAGCCATAAATAATGGGATGTCATCTTTTAAAAACTTCGGAATGTTGGCATCACGCATGGCCTTAATTAATACAATATCTTCAGGGATGGTTGTATCTGCTCTCTTTAATGAACCAGCCATGACTAGTAAGGATTTGACTGCTCTCATACCAAAGTCATAATGATCTTATTATGACAATTATTATGATGATAATTTATATAACTAAACCATCTTGCTTGATAAATCATTTGCATTTTCAAATCCTTCAGCAAATAACATAATTTCTGCAATCAACCTATAATCTGGAATCATCATAGCCACAGGACGGAAGAGTGATTTCAAATTGTCAGGCAATTCAGTTCTTCCTGCATATCCTGGATTCATAGTGATGAATACTCCATAAGTATTCTTTAATTAGATGTGTCGACCATCAAATAAGAATTCAGTCAATGATTACAATTAAGCAATACGAATTGTCAACAACTATTATGCTATGACTGATAGCACTTCTATATCAATTCTGTTGAACTCATCTAAACAAGCCCATGCTCCTTATTAGGCTAAACCACTGAATAACTTATTCATAGTGGCAGCAGTAATTTAATCTGAACAATTAAACACTATGCAATATCTTCCCAAGCATTTGGCTAAGTCTTTCGTTGATTCTGTTTTTCCTGTCCCTGCTGGTCCTGCTGGGGCTGCACCTAATTAATTCGTTAAGGCTGACGTAATTGTAATCCAACAACGATCCGTAAGTGGTGTGATAACCAATCTACTTGTTGGTCCCAAATATTCGTATCCATAATGAAATACACTAGTAACTTATTTAACTAAGCAATCATCGTATTCATCATCCCAATAATATCTTAATTATTATTACCATTAAAAATCCGATGCTGTTTCGATGCTATTATCAGCCAACTTCATAACTATATCTCTATTATGAACATCTGTAGTAATTAATGAAACTATAGTTTTCCGTTAAACAACTGTCAAATCTCCTCTGACTAATGCTGTGAGTTATTTTAATTGTATTTCCATCATATCATGCCACTCGTAAAGTGCATTTGCTTTGGTACTTGATTCATTGATTGCATCTTCTGTGTTGATTGACCAAAGTATTTAACTAACAACGGCTACAATCTAGGATTTATGATTAAGTATCCAATCTGTTTTTGTCTTTTGCATTCCATTCAAATAGTCATGTAATCCTTGCTTACATAATTTACGTAATGACTCAACCATTTCCAATTCTAGCAAATGCAACCAAGTTTCAACATTTCCTCTAGCAGGTATAGATTTATAATATTGGACTAACTCACCATCTGAAGAATAAATTCCTTGAATAACATTTGGTTAATCACCAAAATATAGTTTGACCAATGCTTCAAAGCATTATCCTAAATGAGATTGGACTGAATTAATGTCAGTTTATTTAGATAGTATTTCTAATAATTCATCATTAGATAAAAAGTAGAATCTTGGGAATGATCCTCTTTTTACTTCTAGATAATCTTCCAAAGACTTCTCTATTTATTCCAAAGTCTCCAATGTTTTAGTTAAGTTGTCTAGCATATTTTACATAGCCAACAATCTCATAATCTAAGGTCTTAGATTGACCTGCTTGATTAACTTTTTTATTATTCTATCACAACTATCAAATTACTATGATTCATTAGATAGTTATTTCTTGATATCTTAACTACTAAAAATACTCTCCAAATACATCCACTTTTTTTAACATTCAACCCACTTCTCAATAATATCTGATAACAATAATAAATCAGATTAGAATTTCTCAGCTCTCTGTCTCAAAGGTCTGACATAACGACTAGCAAGTATATTAGACATATTTGCCAAACCTTCATCAAATAATTGAACTAACTCTTCCACTTCTCCCAAAACCATAACATCCAATTGATCCTTATAAGGTTTCAACTTCAATTCCACTTCATTCCATTGTGTCTCCAACTGTTTTAATTGAGTATTAAGTGAGTCCTCCTAAGCTGCTTTCACAGCAATCTCAGTGATCTACTCATTATGTTGTGCTACATTCAAATCCAACAAAGTGTTCAGTGTAAATTATTGATCATTTATATCGAATTCCTATCTGACCAGTTATTTTATTTCTTACCAATGTGTTTATTACAAATATTGAGAACGTAGTGCTGTCACTACTGGAATAGTATCTTTGAATTCCCACACAATCTTCTTCAAATAGGCAATCACTCTATTTTCTTACAAATTCTTCTCGCATCTTTGTACAATCCTAACGAATCCTTCAGTCTTCTAAGCTATTTCTTTGGCATTAATAGATGTGAATTATAATTGTTGCCACTCCTATGATAATTTTCTAAAGTCCTGAATCCCTTGCCACATTCCTAATCTCAAATTTATTTATTCTCTTGTATTCTCCAGTATTTCATATTGAGCTTATTCTTAACATTACAGGATTTCTTCATATTGAGTGTATAATTAGGCACTCTATTCCAATTATTTTGTCTTTGTATCTATCTCAGTTAACTCCTTGATGGCATCCACCAAATCTGTGTTTAGGGTCAGAAACTTCTCCTTATTAATTGCCTCACTCACTTCCAAACACTCTCCCTTTAATTTGTCTATACGTTCTTTCAATGTTTTTTTAAATCTTTCAATATTTTTTGCTGTATTATTGTCTGCTTCCGACAATGCCACATTCAAAGAAGACTCTAAATAATTCAATTCTTATGCTAAGTCCTTGTCTTCCTTCTTCATTGAAAATAGTTTACAATCTTAAGCCAAAGTGATTATACTGATAGCTGTTTCAATTTCTTCCCTCTTTGTAGGTAATTCTTTAGTTATTCGATCTACAGAGTTCTTCTATTCAATAAATTCTTCAATTCTGATAACCATACCAGATAATGATTTTATTGATTATTATAACCACACCTTCAATATATAAGATCTATTCCTAAACAATTGTAAGTAAAGCTCTTCCAATTATGCCAGTATTTATGATTATTTAGCACTCAATTACTTCTAAATATTTTAAATCTTGACTCTGTACAACCCAATGTCCACCTGAGGTATCAATTTCTATTGTAGTATATTTTCAATCAATTAAGCACTCTTTAAAGTACATGCAAATATCTTTGATTAATATATCAACCTTGGATTTTGTAATTATTTTATTTCGCTATTCTCTTGTCTCCAAATCAAATTCAGGTATTCATTGAATTCCTTTTAGAAATGCTCCAACTTTTAAAATGCTTCATCCAATTCCGAAGAAATCTCATGCATGAATATATTGTTCATAGGGTGTTCTTTAATCCAATATGAAGGATTCAGATTAATAGAATCAGGCTATGTCCACTTATCTCCAATAATTTCATCCCATTCTTCCAAGGCTTAAACATATTATAAGAAATCAGGATGTTTGCTCCATCTTTCAATTACCTATATCTAATCTAATCCATCACAGAACGCCTCTTGAATTCGACTAAGGAAATCCCTTTTAGATGGATGTACTTCCAATTGTGTTTCATACAGATTTTGTACCTCTCTTTTACATACAAACTCAGGTTCTTCAATCACCTCTTCTTATGGTTCCGTAGATAACTATTAATTTGAATTTTGATTATTCTACTGTTTCCTCTCTACCTTCTCAATGGTTTGTACCTTCTCTTCCTTCAATCTAATACACTCTTACAAATCAAAATCCAACAAATTTTCATTTAAAGTATCCCAAGGCACTTGCTACCTTTCAATATCAAGATATCCATCTATTGGATTAAATCTTAATTCAATAGTGAAGATGGGATCATAATCTTAGAGGTCTTTTTTCTCCTCATCATTTTCAGTCAATTTAGGTAGTTTTCTGTTATTTTTACTGCATTATTGTACCCTAATCAATTTATCCACAAATTCTGTTGCTGATTTAATGTAAATTTATCCCAAAGATTAAACAGCAATGAAATCTAATAGATAAGCTAATCTTAAAAACTTAATAAACTCTGTTCTCATTAATGCTCTGTGACCATAATCCATTCTTTCTGGAAATCCAAAAGTTTCGATAATTTATTACTTTCTATCAATTTACTTAGATTAAGACATATTTTTCTCTAATTTCAATGGCACATGATCATCATCTGATTGTTTCTCTTAATTAATTTGTGTTCTCAATTTATCAATAACAGTTTTGAGTCCTGATAAACAATTTTCTTTCATCTTCCTAGATTGAATCTAGATTTTCTCAACTAGTCTATTCCTCTACTTTTATTGTAATACACTAAATTCATGCAGACTCAAATACTAATCTTTTTTTTCAGTCAATTCTTCTTCTATCTTGTCTATATCGACAATTCTAAGGGCTTCAATGTCATAACATAAACTTCTATGTGAAACTATTAATTTTTAATAAATTGGATTCAAAATCAGCATCTTTTCACAAAGCTAAGCTTAAACAATAGAAGTTCTTTGTTAATGTAATATCTTTTGCCATTTCTTCAAAGTCTTCCATTTACGAAACTTCTTAAAAAAACCTTAATGATTTAATTGCATTAAATTAATCTCTTTTCTTCTAACCAAGTATTCAATGAAACAAACTCAATGGTAATATTATTCTCATATCTAGTCAATCCCTTGGCTGAAAGTGTATAGAAATTATTAAGCTAATGCTTTTGAATGTATGGATAATTCACTATCCTCATATTGTAAGCATCATTTGAATGTTTCTTCCTTTTTATCAAATACATGAATTCCTGCTAACTCAATTTGTGTTCCTTGATCATTTGAATAAATGCATCGACATCTTTCAATCCGAAATTACCATTCTCCTCACTTGAATCTTCTGAACTATCTGAAACCTAAGACATGGAGGTTTTATTTAAAATCTCTTTCCTCATTTATTATGTTCGAATGGTCTTTCTTGGAGCTGTCTTAGCATCCCTAGTCATAGTCATGCGAGTATTATCCAAGATGTTACTTGGCAACACTTATACAATCTTCTAAGCTTCCTTTGGCGGACTTGGAGGTTTTGCTCTTCCAATCATACGATCCATCAACTCATGAACCTGACGAGACTTTAATAACCGTCTCTCATCCTAGAAGATGTCACTTGTTAAATCAAAGGTTCTATTATGCTTTGGGAATGAGTCATTGTCTAAATTGAATCGAATCAATATTACTGTTCTATGATTTCCCTCGAGTTTGATTTAGACCTACTCCTCCCGATTTTTGATAAGATATACTACGTTCTTCGTGAATCGAAGGCAATTTATCCGGAGCCTTCTCAATCTTTGTCATAGTCATATTCATCTATGCTCTGATTGCTATCTTTGCAGTAAGTGGTCTTTCATTCGTATTACTTTACGGTGGTTTCCCTCTATCGAAGAGACGACTGGCTAGTTTTATTTTGGCACTCTCTGGTTACATCCTGAATTAATTTAAAATATGAAATATATTAAATGCTAAATACTAATATAATCTCATGATCAACCACAAATAGTTTCTATTATTCCCCCTTGACCAATCATACTCACTTAATTTATGAATACTATCAAATACAAATTGATTAAATTTAAAATAGGTCAACAATTTATTAATTCAAAAATGGAATTATTCATCCAAGGTCTTCTCTTAGACTCTTTAGAGTCCATAAAAACATAATTCTACACAATCAAGCACAAAAATATCAATTTTTTAAATCTTTATCTTCAGAAATAAATTAAATTCTGTTAGTTATCAATTTTTAGGACATCTTCTACTTAAATATACAGTCTTTAAAATGAAATTAAAAAAGTATTAGACTTTCAAATTTAATTGAGGCTTAAAAGTAGAAAAATGAAAAAAAAAAAATAAAAGAAAATTTCATTATATTTTTCTTTTAATAATTTCTTAAATTTTGTATTCAACATAAACTACATTAAAAAATAAGGCATCTCTACTTCTATTAGTTTTCTATTTTCTTTTTTAATTTGAAAATTTAAATATTTGATATTATTCTTTAATTTAAGTTTACAATTATACTGATAAGTAAAATATGTTGTCAACCTATTATTCAATAGATTATTTAATTAAAGAGTTAGTAATTTTAAAATCAGCTTCTATTTATACTATTGAATATTTCTATCAATTATTAATTTGTAAACTTCTATTTCTATTTCTATTGAACTAAATCTCATGAACTTTAGTATTACAATAATTATTATAAATTGGAACGATTTTCGCTTAAATTCTAGTTAGTTATGGACTAATTATCAACTTAAATCAAAATTTATTTATAAATATATTATAAATTATCAACTCATTAATTTTGATTAATTTTACTCAGGCCTTATCATCTCATTAAAAATACTTCTTCACGAAAAATAATTTGATTCTTGGGCTGTCTTTATAATACAAAATATAATGAACAAAAATTAATTTCATATTTAGGATATTGGTACAACTAATAATTTTTATTAATCTAGAGGTTAAGTTAATGGAGTGTGTTCTTCAAAATGCTTCAATCTTAAGTGCTGTTTTAGAGCTGGTTTTGAGGAGTAAGTATGAGTGCAATTAGTACATTTGAAAGGTTTTGCAATTGAATTTTTTCTTGAAATTCGTTTATTAATTACCTAATAAAATTAAATTACTACAAATATATAAATATAATAATGAGCAAATAGTAATATATTAACATGTATGTTCTATTGTTACCTCATCTTCAGAAATCTTATTTTTTAGTTTTACAATACTCTTTTGTGTATTTTCAACTTAATATCTCAGGAACTACTTGAGAAGATGTGATTTTCTAACTTCAAGTTTATAATTGATTTTTGAATCAAATTCTGGCTTTGTAACTAAATCGTATAGTTATTTATACTGTCATTTTCTCCAATCGTTCTTGGAGTAGAGTGATCAATTGATTCTATGAACATTTGATATTTAATAAATTTAAACAATAATTTATTTATGTTTTTTTATTAAAGATCATTTAATTAATTTGAATGTGCTTTGTAAATTGCAAAAAATATTTTTGATCAATTATTTTTTACTATGTCTTTCTGATTGGGTAGTTAAAACAAGAATCAATAATAGTTCAATCATGGATTTAATTGAATATACTTCAATTTTTCATGTTTTTAGAAATGATATATCCAGTATTGAAACTAAGTAGAATTAATAATTATATAGAGTTTAAAAACTTCAGATCTTCATTGAAGAATGATATAAGCTCATTAGGACGAGTTAGTTATAGATAATTGAACTTATAGTTGCTCTAAAGAATATAAAATAAATTTACAAATTCTGAAACTTCTTTTGAATTTTTATAATTAAATAACTAACTAACTAATTATAGAAAAGTAAGGGCAAATAAAATATCATCAATCCTGCTAGTAAATATGACAAAATCCTAATAATAAATTCTCAGCAAATGGTTAATAATAAAATAGTTTAAGTGATAATAATATTTTAGTTTATTCATTGAAATCAAAAAGAATGGTTCTATTGAATAATAGTTCCTAGCAGATTAAATCTAAGCATATTAATTCCTTTTTTCATATCTCAAACTCAAGAAGTTTAAGATTTTAATTTACTATATTTAATTTAATAATAGAGATTCTTCTTCTTTATATCAATAATCAATTTTAAATGAATACGTTTAATGCAAATTGATTCTTATTTCGAGAGCTCCTATTTTTGTTTATTCTAAAAGGAGATCACTAAAAAAGTTAATTAATATAATGATATTTTTGTCGTGCTAACATTAATTTTTTGTGTGAGAACTGATTCAAACACTAATTCTATTTATTTTAGATTGCTTTATAGTAATAGCAAATAATTGAACTAACAAAATCCTGATTATTATTGTTGGAACCTTCAAGTATTTGACACTACTATGAGTTCATTAATTTTATAAAAAATTTAATATAAATGAAAATTAGAAATTTGTCAGAGCTGCTTGGGATAGGCAATAGGGATAGTTACTATGTTTAGATTATGTGAATTTATATTCAAGGATAAATTCTTTTACACAATAAACAATTTATGGGTTTGAATTACACACTTATTTTTGATTATTAGGTAGAATTGATTAGTGCTTTTAATGAAGAAAGCATCTTGTAAAATATACTTCGTTTATAATAATATTATTGTTATAGCATAGTGAATAGTGTAATAAATATTAAATATTGATATTGTATTAATTAATTTATTTTGGATGTCTTAAATCTTGAAGAAGGCAACTAAATACAGAACTGTATCTACAATACTCCAACATGGGGAAGCCCATTTACGTGATCCATATACACTACCACCTGAGATCATTACTCCACCTCCACGTAATTAATGTTAGCATATATAAATATAGCAAGAAAAGAGAGAAAGCCAGATGATATTACTGATTTCCCAGAGTAAAAATTCGTACTTCTACCCGAATCCATCCCATATCCTGAAGGAAAGTACCGTCCTGCATCAGTGCCTTATGTTGCTGGTTTCTATCCTTATAATTGCTATCTTTAGAAGGGAAAGGTATTTTGAATTCGCTATATCAAGATTTACCAATGGTGTTCATGCGGCATTTCATAATCGAATCCTTGGTGTGATGGAATGTGCAATGCCTCAGTAACTAGAAATAGACCAATTAAATTTAATGTCGATACTTCTGGATATTATAAATTGTGTAATTGCAAACAGAGTGCAAATGCTCCCTTCTGTAATGGCACACACAGGTATTAAAGTAGTTGAATTTCAAGATAAGTGATTCGTCAATATCATGATGGTTTTAGAGGATTCTATGAACTTTGGGGGTGGGCTGCCTTTATGGGAACAACAGGATTCATGATTTGGAATTTCCACAATTGAAAGCAAATATCATTAGAACAACAATATTATCAAAAATAAAATTTCACTAACTTTATTGCCTTGTATCACTCTTTCTCTAACTTTTTTCACCTTATTATTTAATAAATTGCAGAATTTGCACAACAGCTTATTTGGTATTGATATATTTGACAGGATGCATGTTATAAATTCAATTTTCTGATGGACATTCTCAATCACAATTATTGAAAAATCATTCTACCAAAACACATTTTATCCTATCCATTTATTCTATTCTTAATACTAGATCTATTTAATGTAGTTACTAATAATAATAATAATTACATGAAAATCTTTCACATTAGTTATTCGTACATAAATAATTCAATCTACTACTATGCCAAAACACCAAGTACCTTTCAATATACAATTGCATAAATCTTATTTTATGATTGTTTCATCGAATACAGTAATAGAAGTAGTAAATCCAATCATATATAATAGAATTTGGATCGACAAGCAATTATTAGATCCTAAAATTTGATTTTGGAGAATAGAATTGAAAAATATGTTATTTTAACTCTTATAACATCTAAATATAAAATCATCTTAAGGATCAATTATGTTCTAAGTTCTTAGTTCTTTAATCTTCAAAATCCTAATACTAAATTACTACTATCATAACGAATAGATTTTCTTCTATTCATATTAAAGATGTACTATCCATTAATTTGACTTTTAGCACTTAATCTCATTCAAATACAGGGAGGTATCTTTATTAAATTTCAGATCTTTAATAGGACTGCATCAATATTTAATATAACAAATTCATTTTATTAATATAATATTCATTATTTTATCAATTATTTTTTCTATCTTTTATAATGCTATTTTAGGTTAGTTTTCGAGTAAAAGCTCGAAATGCATTATATGCTTGTTTAAGTAACTAAACTAAAATACTTCATTTATTTGATGACAAGTTTTCCAATTTATACAAGTGACTTAAAGTTCTTTGTAAAGTAATGAGATTATAAAAATGTATGGTTTTTTGAAGGTCTTGATTTATAATCTAATTGGTTTTTATATTGTTTTAGATTATTTCTGAGTTTTTAATTAGTTCAAATTTGGGATTGTATGATACTGACTTAAATTTAAAAAGTTCTGCGTTTTAATTTTATGTATCATATAATAGCATATACTGATAATATCTGAATGATTGAGTTTAGAATTCATATAGTTAGTTTAATATTTATAAAAGCCATCTGCTATATACAAATTGAGTAATTCTCTTAAATTGATTTGCTCTTTGACTTCAGTAAATTTATTATATGAGAAGTACTTCAATTCAATATTGAAATTGGATGTATTGGCATAGCTAATGGCATCAAATGGGAAGAAAATACAAGTACGTTTTAAGAATTTAATCTACTCCTCATTCAATTTTGCTTCACTTATAATACCAGGGAATTTGTTATTATGTAAATTTAATTGGTTAATTTTCCCTTTAAGAAGAGCAATACCCTTTAGTTGATCAGCCTTTTATGAATACTTCATGTAAAACTCAATGTGCGATTCGCCAACTCTTTCAATTCTAATGTAACGTTAAAATAGGAGTTCCTAGAGATTGATCTCCTTCTGATCAAATAAGAGGGACAAAAAGCAATTTTATTACTTGGGATGTTATTCTAATGAAAAATTGTTGTTGATTATGTTAACCCAAATTAATTTTTCCTTAACAATATACTACTCCTTATTTCCATTATCTAAATGATATTCTGTAAAATCAGTAACCAATTTAGTAAGGCATAAGAACTCATTGAGATAGTATGAAGTGGTCGGGGATTACCCAATTTGATTTTATACCTAGATACTCGAGACAGCTGGAGAATGGAACTATGATATTTTATATTAGCTCCATCGATGGTTTTGCTTTTAGAGATTAACACTTTATCTAGGTGTGATATCTGAAAATGAATCTAAATCTTTAAAACTCATGATGGTTTGCTTTTTGTAAATGATGAGACTATCCATCAAATCCTTGCCATCATTCTCTTTGAAGTCTTCTGATCTCAACAGACCTAACATTTATCTAGTTGTCTTTGGAATATAAATCTTGACAATCCAAATGTCCAGTAATAAGTGTCTGAAGATTTAGATTATAACATAATCTGTAATTTATTATTAATCATTCAATAATTAAGTAACCTTATTGTTTGATATTTTAATTAATTGACCAGTTGATATTGAATGTATCAAGTAGGACTTCTTGATGTGAGTAATAATTAATCTACTGTTTTTGATATAATGTTCTAAGAAGCCTTTGCAGAGATCAGATTTCTTGAAAGTTGTATTTTCAGGGAAATTGCCGATCCTTCTAATTTATTGAACTGTAAGTTTGGTTGAATGATCCTCATATGAATTATGTGTTATTTAACTTTCATTCTATTTTTGATCATCTTGATTAGCTGCAAAGAATGGAACCTAACTTAATGTAAATGTTCCTAAGTGACATTTCTGAAATATGTTCATGGCAGTTTAAACAATATTTGCATCTGTCATACTCTATGGTATCTCTATTTTCAACATCTCAGTGATATCATATTTATTAAAGATCATTTTCATCATTCCCGTCTTTAATATGATGTTTTAGAAGTCTATTCTCATTAAAAAGTAATCATTCTCAGCCAATATATCTGGTTTTTGACATCTAAAGAACACCTTAATAGTTATCTAGTATTTTCCATAATTTTTAATCTTCTGAACTATCACAAATTATTTAAGAGTAAAATATTTTAATAGTACCACATAGTTGTTTAAGATGTAGTAATGTAACACATTATACGAAGGAATCTCGGCCAATTAGCTTTTCGATTTCTTATATTTCAATAATTCAAACCCATCAGATAATTAGGAGCTAATGAAAGATTACTTTAAGGCTCTTTGACTTACTTTCTTATACAGCATTTAAAGGATCCAACAAGTAGGGCCATTCTGTATAAGTTACACTATGTTAGACAATATATTGTCTTCTTCATCAGTAGGGTTGATTTGTAATCTTTACAATCGTTAATTGCAATGATAAATCAATATTATTTATTTGTGAACGATGGATATTTGAATGGAAAGATGCTTTAATTTTATTCTATATTTTTAAATTTAGCTGAGTTTTAAGTTTTTCTTACTAAAAAATTAAGATTCCAACTTTTCCAAATCATCAATATGCACATCAGTAAATGGATTCTCTTAATATATTACAATGGGACCAACCTTCTTTGTGTCTATTTCCTGTTTTGCCTCAGTGTTAATATTTGATTAGTATCGTTTGACCAAGTCAATTAAAGTAGTTTGATGGAAATGTTGTTATTCATTATTCGTAATATCCTCTCCAAATATCTATGCGAAATGCTTATCGAACAGATGTTCTCTATTGTGGATAGTCTATGATTTGGACTGATAATCTAATTTCTTTTAGGTGTCATCATAGATGTATCGTTCGATTTCAGTAATAGCAAATGGTTTTACCTTAGTCTGTAAATCAATGAGGAAACCTAATTTCATTCCGCAAGCCTCCATTTTTTAAGCATCATGCAACGAAAAGATGTTCATTCTAACCTATAACTACTTTTATTCATTAATCATCAATTTTTGATCTATAAATTCATAGAACATAGTCAAGCATTTCCTTTAAGAGAACAGTATTTAATTTATTATCTATTTTAGATTATTGTGATATCTCTTCTCTAAGATCTTTTCGATAGCATCGAATTACAATCTGAGTGGTTTGATCTTTAATGGACTATTGATTGCCTCAAATAGTACATCCACTTAATACTTTGTATGGTAATCATTTTTTTTATAATACAGGATACTAATTCATTATAATATAGTAATACTTCTCTTTCTAAAATATAATACTGACTCTGATTATGAAAAATATGTTATCTTCATCATTAGTTATGCTTAAATTTCTAAGACTTACCAATTGCTTGTGTATCATATACTATTATTCCTTTTATTTGTTGATCTTAAAGTTGAGTATCCTATTCAAAAGAATGATATTGTTTTTTATACACTCTATTAATTATACCAAATAATATAATACCTCCGTAGCTACAAACTAATAAGTGGAAATTCTCCTTCTCGTCGCTAAGAGTTGACTGTATTATCATTCTTCTGTAAAGATTTACTACATTAATTAATTCTCTATATGCATTCAGAGTTTTGTCTTTCTCTACTGTGTACAATTTTAATCTAATGCCTGTGATATTGATTTATTCATATAAATAAGTGGTATACATCCATCTAAATAAATCCTTCAAGATTCCCATTTGTTCTATTTCATTTTTAGCAAGTTCAAATTGATAGTTTGGAAACTTGATAAAGTTGTAATTATCGCTTTTCCTGTCACTCATTATTGAGTTAAAGTGTAAATAAGGCAAACACTGAGACGTTTATAATTGATATTCGTTCACAAAGGCTTCAATGATTTAAGCCCAATTCTTAGTATTTTCAATTTTTATATTTTACAGCTTTGCCCTGTACACAATTTTATTATTTGTTGTATCTTAAAATCCAATAAGAATGTTCTCAGAGGATGTTATTTATAAACCACATTGCCATAAAATCGTTCTGTTGTGATAGCACAATGAGAATTGGAATTTTGGAATGTAAGCGTTGGATTACTCCATGAAAAAAGTAGTTGCAGTTCTTAATGTTAATAGATTCCTTCTCTAAGGCCTTTTTACATTGATTGATGGATTTTGCTATTGCGATGATTATGCCTACTATTAAACTGATTATGGTATTGCAATTATTATCTATGATTTCGCAGTGACACTCTCAATAAGACTAGATTTTTGAATGGCTTAACTAATTTGGGATGCTGCATCAGGTGAACTAACTACCATACCACTTCTTCTTCTTTCTGTAGTTTATGCATCCTGCTCTTTACAGGATTGTATTTATTGGATTTCGGGAATGGAGAGTTGTTACTGCGGTTATTATTGAAATTCCTTGTGTTCTTTCTTTATTGAAATAGTTTTTTATCTTCTTATGGATTTACCTAGATCAGCATTCCTGGGAGTCGAAGATGCACTAAGTTAGGCTATATCCAGGATTTATTGAAATCTAGAACCGATCAAATTCTTTAATTTATAGGGGTTGCTAAGATTATTCAGTTTATCAATTTTTCCTTGAGACGATTAAGAATGGGTGATGCTATGTTCTCTCCCTGATATCTTTTGTTCTGATTCAGTGGCTGGTTTGACTGGGGATGGTAATTCTAGTATTGAGTCTTGGTGATCCCGCTCAAAATCTTAGAATGTAAGCAAAGGCAAATCTTCTTAAGCGGTAGGCTAGGTTTTGTATCTTTCTATGATATTAAGAAAAGTATACAAGTGCAAGTAGACAAGGTTACTGGTTTTTAAATTTTAAAGCACCCTTTTCTCACTATCTTATTGATGTGATAATTTTCAATTTGAATTTAGAAGATTGGATCTTCTTCAATATGTTTATACTGAGAATTAAGAAGCTTAGAGGCAGAAGTCTTAATAATTCGTTTACTTGTGACTGTTGCTTGAGTTTGTTCTGTTTTAACTATTTTACCTAAATCCAAATATCTGTTAGTAGTTTTGGAAGATTCCTTTTGGAATTCTTCAGGCATCAAATTATTAATTTATAAGATTGGTTTTTTCCCCTTGCTTTTGGGCTTTGTGTCTTCATTTACTCTGGAAATCGAAGCAATGGAATATTTCGCTTTCTGCAACATTTATAATTCTTTAACGATATCACTCTAAAAGTTGTAATCATTGAAGTAGAATTAAGCCTATTATAACAATTACTCTAAGATGAGAGCATTGGTATCGTTCTTACTGACTTTGATAATTTTGTTCCAATAGGAGGAGAACAGTTGAACATCTGTTTTGAATAACAAATGATGGTAATTTGCTCCGTTTTTAAGCGATATCTCAATTAACTTAGCTATTTATTCGAAGACTCTTTCGACATTACCTATTTGCTTACTTATTTTAGCATAGGCAATGTAACCGATAATAATTCGAATTACAAAATGCAATTGATTGGTCTTCCAAATGAGTGTGTTGATTAATTTGCGAAATTCAATTTTGAGATCCTAATCGTCTCTTAGCAATTTGTGTTTGAGTATGAGATATTGATTTAACATGGAACAAGTTTGAAATTCAATTAAACCTTCATAGAAAATATGGTATTTGATTAGTAAGTCTTCATGTGCTTATTGGATGTATTTGTGAATCGGTTTGCCATAAGTCAATTGGGATGCCACAAAGTAGGGTACCAGTTTCTGTTTTAATTTGTCCCAATCTTTGCAGCCTTCGATTCTTTTGATTTTCTGAACCTCATTAGCACTATCGCAATTCACCAACTACAAATGTAATCATTTGGGCAATACTTAATCAATTAGAGTCTAATTTATGGACCTGATTCCTAGATATTCTTAAACTACGCTGTTATTAATTTGAAATAGAGATTATAGTTTTTAAATGTCTTTAATGGACATTGAATTAACTTTCAATAAAATTTTATTTTGTTTTAAATGAGTTATCTCTATTCACCATACAGATCCTATGCCAGACCATATTAGTATTCACCCACCCGTTCATATGTCTCCTCCCCATATTACACATCCACACCACCAAGAGGTAAACTCCTTTGTTAAACAAATCAGGCAACTCCTGGGTAGAAAGAATCCCTGTCGAATAGAGATACACAGAGTATGTTCCAGAACAAAGAATTGAATACAAGCCAGTCGAGAGAAGATACACAGACTATGTGGAAAGTAGGAAATCATTGGAATTATTAAGTCGAACATTACAGAGATTATGTCCCAGTCCCAAGACTTGAACGAAGAGTTGAATATGTGCCAATTGAGAGATACGACGAAGCAGTTGACTATGTTCCAGTCGAGAGATCCAGTGTGGTTCGCTAGCCATTGTCAAATTCATTAGCCTACAGCAGATATTCCAGATATCCATCCAGATATTATTATTGATTATTATAATCAAATTAATTACACATTCATTGTGAAGTAAAGAAGACTTGGATTGCAATTGTGCAATTTTTACTAGTTGTAATGGAAAATTAATAATTCAAATAGAAGAACCAATCCAATTACAATAACACTTCTGCTCAAATGCTGAATGCACATAGAGATCAAATAGAATGGCAATGGTTCATCTGCTCTAATGTTTTTATCAAGTTTAAATGAGTAAAAATTTTACATAATAATATAATATGTAGTTAACTATTAAATGTATGGAATTGCAACTTATTCTTCAATCTACTTGTGTAATGAGACTTGGTCTCTTTCAAATTTGCATAAAAACTTTATGATAACCTTTAATTTAATAATTAAATGAAAAAAAACAATTAATCTACGATTACAGATATTCATTTTGAGAAACTCTAACGACCAGATTTGTTGTATACGAGAAATCAACAAACCAGCCAACAATGCATACAATTATTATTGAAGGATCCAACCATACGGCTAGAATAAGAGAATGAGAAGTTAGGTTAATTGTTGAGAGGACACGAATTCTTTAGAACCTCTGACAATGAATTTCTTATAGAGTGTTGTCAAGTAAGTCTTTTCATCATGCGATAGTTGATGAGATTCGAATAGTTCCAAAAAAATTAAGTGATATTCTCAAAAAATTAATTGGATTAAAATAAACTGATAATCATTTTGTCAGGGGATGTAGTTTTTAACAAGGGAAACCAAGAGATGATTCATCTGAAACACTTTGGATCGAATCTCCTTATTTTTGGAAGTGAATGCTATTCTGACATGTATACATTCATGATTTTAGATCAGATTGGAATGTTACATCTAAAACTGCCTGTAAAGTCGCAGCAATTTCAAAGCATGACTTCAGAGTCAATCTAATGACTTTTGAAGTTAGTCGCATAACTAAGGAGATCTCCCAATTGTATGCCTTCCCAATCTTCAAGAATGTCCCTTACGCCTAAGTGCGCAAGTTCTATGCCAATTCCATGTCGCAGATATTCCAATGCCTAGATATCGTTTATTTATAGGAGCAGATGATCAAATAAATTTATTTGGTTATAAAAGGGATTTTCGAATTAAGGGAACTAGAAAAAGGAGTTGCAAAAGCAGTTCACATCTTCACATAAGGACAATTGATTGGAGAAAATGAATTGAACAATAAAACGTCATTGTGTAATGGAACTGCCTTTTGCATTAGTGAGGAAGGTCAATTACTAATCTTTGATTATGATTATTTCAAGGACAAGGTATTGCCTTCTATTGAGGACAATCTCCCAAATAAACTCAAAACTCAAGGATCAAAGAATGAGAAATTCTTCAACAACAAGATATCCTTGACTGGGGAGATCATGATCAAAAAACCTCTTTCAAGACATTATAATTTTAGGAAAAGTCATGAAGATCTTGATCTATAACAGAGACAACCGATTGTGTAAAAGAACAAAATACGATCGACTCATTCAATCAATTCAATCCATCAATCCCAATCGAACAATTCAGAAGAACTAAACGAATCACTAATTAATAATTTTAATTGTTTTGCCAACCCTGCTTAGGTTACTCAGTCTATTAAATAAAATAGATTGAGAAGAAATACTCAGAAATCGATCCATTTTTCTAATGAATAGATTAGATCATAGATCATTAACAGTCCTGTTCGTTCTACTGTGAATAAATCGAGTTCTTAGTAATTCAGTCTTTAGAGATTGAAGGAAGATTTTTCTATTAAGAGATCGTAGCAATAAATGAATTTGAGGATGCCTCTGAAGAATGAGTTGCTCAATAAATTTTTGAATAGAAAGGAGGAATATGGAGACTTAGTAACTAAAAATAGAATGAGAAGAACTCTCTCGTAAACTTCAAATGTGAAAAAAACTGTATAAATAAACAAATGAGATATAAATTAATTTTAAATTAAAAAAATGGTCTCGGAGGGGATCGAACCCTCGACCGTCAGCTTATTAGACTGACGCTCTAACCAACTGAGCTACGAGACCTGTGATGACAATGTTATATATTATTTTAATAAATATATGTAGGTAAAAATAAATTCTTTATTTATAGATGGAATTGGAAGGCAACACAAAATACAATGAGTATGAAGAGAAAATTAGGAATCATCAAACCAACGGTCACAACTACGAATAAGATAAATTGCATTAGAAGAAGGAATCAGACGCTTAATTCTTGATTGCTTAAAACCCGCTCATTATGAGGAATCTCTTAATCATCATAGACACAACCAAATCATCCAAAGTGAGTGATTTTAAACCAAGTCGTTTGGCAGTGGCCTTGCAGTTTTTGCCTGTAAAAAAACACACAATAATTCATAATTAGTCATTTATAGAGTAATTTCTTGAGGGCAACCCTTTATCTCAAATAGGCATAGCAGTTGCTGAAGAATATAAATGCAAGACCATTCTGGATTTTACTTCATCTTGTGTAAACATAAAATAATATTTGTCAACAATCCATTCAATAAATGAAGCCGGATTTTCAATGGCAGCCTGTTTATAAGTATCATCAAAAAGAAAATACTTTAGACTGCTTTACATGTTTTCTCATCTACATAATTGCATGCCTAATCTAGTATTTTGTTCGTGACTACATCGACATATTCAGATGATAAGCTTGATTTAAACGAATGGAGTGAGAAGTGCCAATCAGCAGCCATTCAAATCAATATGATATCATTTGCAGGAGCCATACATCAATTAATTAAGATAACCTAAGCAACAGATGGATAATATTTGTGTCCCATTAATGAATTTCAATTCAGCTAAGAAATATAGGTAACAAATTGGTTCATCTATAAGAAATTCATTTCACCATAAGAATCGAAGAACCATAAAATGATTACACAATTGGTAAAGATTGGATTCCCATAGAAATTTATAGTAAGCCAGCCTACTTTGTGTTAATGTCATTTAGAAATAATGTAAGTTTTAGGGATTATAATGATAGATACAATTTTTATAAATGTCCAGTGTGTTATAGCAAGGTTTGTTCTCCTCCTCTTTTATGTCCAATCTGTTCGACTTGGATAGTTCTGCCTCATTAGATTCTCAGAAGTGATGGTTACAATACTTTAGGAGTGTTTGAAATCATAAATGATGGTTTGGATCACATATGTCAGGGATGTTTAGAACCAACTAGTGTAATTCATTCGACTTGCGAGAGATGCAAAAACTTTTTCTGTTTGTAAATTTTAAGTCTGATTTTAGAGATTGTGATGTGTTAATCCATTCTAAATTTAAGGTATGTCCAGGCTGTGCTTGATTGTGTTGAAGCAAATAAATTTAAATAATTAAATAATCTTAAATATTACGAGTGTATTTTAATGAATTGTTGATACATACAATTAAATTTTAATAAAATGTTAACCAACTACACCTATTTTAGAATGCCAACCTAAGAAAATAGGTAGCCTTACATTCTAACCACGAAAAACAACAATAATAGGTCTGTACCATTGCCTCCAACTCCTCGGAGAGAATATTCGTAAATCTCTAGCAGGTTTCAAAAAATCAAATTTTTGGGCAAAGGCAAATACAGTGATGTTTATATGGCAGTGTAATAATTATTAAGGATTTTTATAGTGATAGGGTAACCAATTGTATTTTTGCGATCAAAATAATAAAGAAGTCAATCATTAATTAATTTAATCTCTCGAAATTGTTAACTTAGGAGATCAAAATATTATCATAATTGAGTCACCCGAACATAATGAAATTTTATGGAGTGATTAGTGATGATAAGGAAGTGGCCATTATTTTGGAATGTTGTGAGTCTTCATTATACAAACTTTATGATAAATTAGATTAAATAAACGAAGAGTAGAAATTATAAATAATTTTTGAAATACTTTAAGCATTTTCGTATTTGCACGATAAAAGTATTCTTCATAGAGATGTGAAACCTGAAAACATCATGATGATCTAGAATCACATAAAAGTGGGAGACTTCGGTTTGGCAATTAAGTTGAAAACGAAAGAGAAGATGAAAGCCATTTGTGGAACTCCTCAATACATGGCACCAGAAGTGTTTAAAGGACTAGAATACGATATCAAAGCGGATTGTTATAGTTTAGGTGTGATAATAGAGGAATTGAAGTGTAAAAGTAGTGAGATCAGAAACATGGTTCACATTTTTAAATAAAATGATTACAATCTAAGGGGAAATGTCAAGGATTTTTTGTAATTAAAAATATTTTCGAAAGTGAAATAACTTCTTTCATAAACTATATTTAAATGATATAATTTAGTTGTTTTAATTATTAATGTTTGCTACAGTCGATCCACTAACTGGAGGGTTGAATTGGGAAGTATAAGGTGAGAAGGAGAAAGAATAAAAGGAGAAGAACTGAAAGATATCGAAATAAAGGATGTGAACATATAATTTAATCCTAGACCTAGTAGGTTGCGTGAGTATTAGTCTTAGATTATCAATGGAGGACAAGATCAAATTATTAGAGCCCATCGGAGAAGTATTGATCAACAAAGATGATATAATAAATTTATTAAATACAAAAACATTTCCAATCTTCTATGATGGATTTGAACCAAGTGGAAGGATGCACATTGCACAAGGATTACTTAGAGTATTAAATGTGAATAGATTTGGTAGATGCAGGATGGTATATTCATCTTTTGGATTGCTGATTGGTTCGGCTTGCTTAATAACAAGATGGGAGGAGATCTGAATAAATTAAAGAATATTGATCACTACTTCATTGAAGTTAGGAAGGCTGCAAGGATGAAAATGCATAACGTGTATACAAGAGTAATAATAATAGAGAAAGTTCCTTATGGCTTCAGATGAAATCAACAAGAGACCAAACGATTATTCGTTAAGAGTGTTGGATTTAGCTCGTAAATTTAATGTTGTTGATTAATTATTTTATGCATGTATGCAATGCAACGACATCTTCTTCTTGGAGGCTATTGGGTATGGATTAAAGGTAATTATTCTATTAAATTCATTTTAGAAAAGTCAATATGTTAGCAAGAGAATATGCTGATAAATCAACAGATGCTTATAAGTCAATTATTATGTTCCATTATATGATGATGGGATTGTTTGAGGGTCTACCCAAGATGGCGAAACTCGACTTAAATTTAAATATCTTTATGGAAGATTCAGCAGAAGATGTTAAGAAAATAATAAAGTATGCTTATTGGCCAACTTAAGTTATTAAGGATAATCCTGTGTTGGATAACACTAAGGAAATCATTTTTTGATGGAGAAATAAACTCTAAATTTAAGAAAGCCTGAAAATGGTGGAGACAAGGAATATACATCCTATGCTGAAATTGGAGGCTGATTTGTCTCAGGAGCACTTCACCCAGGGGATTTGAAACCAGCAGTCACCCAAGTTCTTAATGAGTTAATCTAGCCAGTTAGAGATCACTTCGCCAAGGTCCCTGAAGCAAGAGCTTTTTTATAAGAGATTAGATCATATCAAGTCACAAGATGAATGTTAAGTATTAAACATATAGGGAAATGTGCAATGATCATTTTTTAGACATCATCATCACACTCTTATATGTACTCTAACTACTACATCCTTTTGTTTTAAATTATCCATCAAATGCTAAGATGTCCATCTATTCTCTCTACTCTAAATCCTTCTTCAAGTTTTGATACTTCTATAATAACCTTCATTGTAATTCTATCAAATACCTCTCCAAATCAATGCTTCTATTCTTCCTTAACTCATCCTGTCCTGCCTTTATTCTTTGCTGCAATGCATTCAACTCATTCATATGTCTCTACTCCAAGTATTGCAATTAAGTTTTTATCTTCAAACTTCTCTATGCAGAATATGATTTAAGCTCTTCCTCTTCCAACTAAGCACGTTTATTCTGTATAGCATGTGCCTCTACATAACTATAAATTATGTGCAATATTTACTTCTTCTGTTTAGCCAAATGCTCCTCAATTTTCTTTAGATTTAACACTTCAGATGATTCCTTCGGTTTGTAAGGAGTGGATCGCTCTAGTTCCTCTTGTGATTGCTTGTATTCGTTCTACTAACGGTTCTGTAGTTCCAATTCTACCTACTTGGCCTCCTCATTAAAATTTAACATCTTGTTATCCCAAAACTAATTGAATTAATTGTATTCTTCCATATGGGCTCTCTCAGCCTAATCCTTTTGATTTTACCAATTTATTATTAATTCTTTCTTTTTTTTTGTTATAAGTTACTTCCTCAACTCAATAATTCTTTTCCTGGCATCCTCTGCCTCCATGTACTTCCCTTGCTTTTCGCAAGCATTTTAATGTTAAGTTAAAGTATTTATATAATCATCGACATCTTGAGCTGTTTGAAGATTCGGCTCATTCTTCATTGGATCCAAAAAAGCAACGTTAGCCATTTATAATATAATTTTTATTTAATTCTCAATACTAGATTATATGTAATTTAAACATAATTCCTAATTTCATAATCGCATTTGTAAACTCTTATCAACACTTATACCATTTCTATGAGACACGAGATCAACAGGATTATATTTATTATTTTATAAATTAATCTAACTTTTAATTGAGATTGTAACGATAATATTGTTATGAATTCCTTAATTTAATAGCATCGATCCTCATCGAGCAGACACCGCACCTTTTTGAATATCACCACTTCTCAACAACTGAGAGTGCAATCTCCACTCGCTTAAATGGAAAATAGTTAAATCAATTAAAAAGATCTCATCCACAAATTAGTTTAAACTCTGAGATTGTAACCAACCCAAAGGAACAAGGAAAATAAGAATAGACAATAAAAAGCAAGGTCCTAATTGAATTCTGGTTAAAAATAAAGAGTCCTTGAAGATCGACTCTATAAATTAGAAACTGCCAATTCCCCTACTTTAGGTTCCTAAAACCGAAGATTATTTAACTAAACATTACCACTTGCAGCCTAACCAAGATATAAGAACTTCAAGATTTTGTAATTTTTGGGCAAAGGGCGTTATAGTAATGTCCACTTAGCAATTGATGAGAACACTAATTATCATGTGGCCTTAAAAATTATGAAGAAGACTTAGATTCAATCAATGTCCCAATCAATTGCATAGGAAATTAAAATTTAGTATTTACTCAACCATCCAAATATCGTTAAACTATATACATTTTTTCAAAATGGTATTAGATTAATAATAATATTCAGCTGATGAAATCGTGTTAGTCTTGGAATATTGTCCCAATGGCTAAATACATAAAATACTCAAGGGTTTGCCTGAATGTTGCTTTCCAGAAAAGTTGGCCTCATCCTATATTCGATAAATCCTGAGTGCTTTGATTTATCTTCACAGAAATGGCATCATCCACAGAGACCTAAAACCAGAGAATATTTTCTTATGTTATGTATACTTCCTATCCTAAATTTAGAATTAAATCAAGATTGCCGATTTCACATATTCTGTATATTCACCTGAAGATCAAAGGTAAACGCAATGTGGATCTTTAGCCTACTTGTCTCCTGAGATTATTCGGGGCGAGAACTACGATAAGAGTACTGATATGTGGTCTCTTGGAGTATTAGCTTACGAGTTATGCTGTGGGGAAACACCCTGGGAAGACTTAAGGTAGGATGAGATGCAACAAATGATATAGGATGGCATAATCAATATGCCTGATTCATTTTCTTGTGAATTAAAGGACTTTATTACCAAACTAGTTACATCTGATTCGAAAAGCAGAATGACAGCCAAACAAGCCATGACTCACCCTTGGATTTAACAATAGGAGGAATAGTTAACATAATACGAATTCAAAATTTGAATCGATATATATACATGTTTCAATAAACTAAATTATTTCACTTATTTCATTTATTTATAAGAATTAATTAATTATTATACAAGGATGGAATTAAATAATATAATAGAGATAATAGCTGATTCAGGAAACAGAGGGAAGGAGTTAATGATAGACTCATTTGTGGTTGGAGTTGCCTGGGGCAGAAAGTAATTAAATACATTTATTTAGATTAATTAATACAATACAAGAAATTCAATAGGCTACAAATTACTTATACCAATTAAACCAAGAAGTTGAACTCTCTTAAAAATCTATATTCTACAAACTTGACTTATTCCAAAAGTTTCTGCATGAGGAAGTAATTAGTTCATTTAAAAATTAGAATTGCCGATTATTTCCATAAGTTGAGGCAAAATTATAATAATAATTGCCTCAAGACTAGATCATCTAAGAACCTGAAATAAATCAAAAAAATCAGATCGCTATTGATAAATAAGGGTTGAATGAGTCATTGTGTGGAATTTGTAATTTCCAAATCAATGATCTACCTGATGAAAAATTCAAAATCCCTTAATGTGGACATGAATTCCACAATTTATGTCTTTACTAAGAAATTGATTAGAGGGATTAAGTAAAATGCAGCACTTGTTCAATTTAATTGGATCCAAAAATTAAAACAGATTTATTAGAAAAAATTTCTCCTTCATTTAGGTCTTGCTGTCCTTTTATAGGTTGTAAGGAGGAATTCATATATTATGGACAAGCTAAATTTACTTGCTAAGAGAGCAAGATAACGTTTTGTTTGAAATGTAAATAGATGGAACATAATTATTAATGTAATTTAGGAATAGACCATATTGAAATGAGATAAGGATAGAGATTCAAATTTTGTTATGACTGCGAATAAATGATAATTTTAAATTTTTAAGATTTAAATACTCATTAATGCAAGGTACAACAAGAAAGCCAAAACACTAAACCATAGGGATTTCTCTCTAGATTCAAAAAGCTCTTCAGAAAAGATTAGAAATAATGATTATATACATATGTTTTGTTGTTTCAAAATCTAATTATAAATATTTTGAAGGAAATAAATTATTAATATTGACTGTTTATGTAGTCTGATTGGTTCTATTGTAAAAGATAATTTGGTGTGTTTAGATATTAATGCAATCTTTTTAAATTAAACCTAAGTATTTTTTTTATTTTGAATAGTTTGAGTTGTTAATTTACTATCTCTTAATTATTATTATTCTGAAATATGATATCTATTTAATTCTTCATAATCTACTTATAAGTTCAATTAATCATTATAAACAATTTAAATAATCAGATTTTTTTTATGTTACTTTCAATAATTTAATTACCCTTTTTCTTCTTAGGTTATTTAAAATCAAAATAATTTCAATTGAATTATGCCCTTATGTCTAATTCAAATTTTTATTCTTGAAATCATTAGAAATGTTATCATAATTTTACAGTTATTCTAGTGTTCAACTTCATTCGTGAAGAATTGCCTTCATCAGTAAAACAAGAAGGAATTTAGAATTAATTAGGTTTTACAATGTCAAAATCTATGAAATCTAATATTTGTTTAATATCTTATATATTTTTCCTTACCATAATTACTTAGCTAATAAAATTTTGAACAACTTTCTTTTGTTATTTATTATTCATATGTTCTAATGAAGATGAAATAGCATGTATATATATTATCTTATTTGGACAGGTATAAAATTGCAATTGAAATAATAATAATCAAATAAAACAGTCAATTTGATTACAAATAGAATTTGAAAGATAGTTGTGTGTGTTGAATGATTAATAGTTTTGAATTTGATAATAAGGGAGTGATAATTGGGTTTTTTATATGAAATTAAATATTTAATTTATAATAAAGTATTTTTATGAATAATTTAAAGAATTACGACGATAATTCGCTACTGTAAACAGTGAGTAATTTTGTAAAGAACTTTATTTTTGGATTCTTGTACATTTTATAAAAGGAATCGAAAATCAATGCATTATTTTTGGCGATTTTAAATTTGATTTAATACATATAATTGCATAGTTATATGTTTAGAGAGGAAATAGGTTATGTTTGGTAGAATGATGGGATTTCAAATGCAATTAACATCTTCATAGAGCGTCTGCTTTTCAAAGTTTACTTTACGAGCCTGCAGAGTTATGTAATATTTTTATTCATTCAAACAGGATTGTTCATTTCATTAATAACTATAATAATTTACTTTGGATATCAATATCACACAAGTTCATACATCAATCGAACAGCATCATCAATTTTGAGGGTTGTCCTATTATTATTAATAACAGTCTTGTTTATGCCAATAATAAATTACAATACATCTGCATGGAAATGTGTGGACGATGCAAATGGAGTAAGCAAATTTTACGATTTGCAATGCTTCACAGCAACACACATAGGATATTGCATAGCAGCATTCCTAAACCTGATGTTGTATATCATATTGTCGATGACAATTATCTTCACCTATTTTGAATGTCGATTTCGAGCAAATGATTAAACAGCCAAAATAAATGGCAGAGCAGATGCTATAATGTAGAGTTATGTAATAGTGTAGGAGATAGCATTCTCAATAATGCATAACCGGAACTTCGCATACATTTTATTAGTGATTACCTTGGGAGGTAGTTTAATCATATTCCTTGCATTCTCCCTTGGCACCCAATATCATAGTTTTCTATTTACAAGGTTTCACTCTACACTTTCATCTTTGCTAATGTGGAGTGCCTTTATGTTGGCAGTGGCGACAGCAATGGAAGGCAATTTGATAGGCGGTTCTATTGTTGCTTGGTTGGTTGGAATACCATTTGTTATAAGTATTGTCTTGACTCAAAGAGACAGACAGTTAGAGAGTTTAGTGGCAAATGTGAATAAACTGAATAGTCCGGAAGAGATCATATCCTAGGTCAGATATATATTGACACTGCTCAGATTGCAGAATGAAACTAAATACGCAGTTATCTTAGATGGATATATAGAAGTGCATAGGTAAACATGTGAAAAAACAGATTGTCCTCTAAAGAAATACAAACCAGGGTGGAATAAGAGATTGATTCAATAAATTAAATAGAATAATTCTGAAGTCAAAAATGACAAACAAGCCCTTTTGATCCTAACTCTCTATAGAATTCTGGATCAAGGATTGGAGAAGTTTGAGAAGAATGTCGACTTAAGAATTTAGTATGCTTTCTTCTTATTGGAAGTCATGTCGTATAAGCATAAAGCATTATAAGAGTTATAGAAGGCTGAGGAATGTGAACCCAGTTTGGATACTCAGTTCGTTTTGTACAAATACAAAAGAATCGTTGAAAGTGAAATATAAGATGATTAAAATGAAAAGACGATTTCGAATCATGAAATCTTGCCAATTTCAGCAGCTCCACCTATTATTAGTGGTCTAGCCATGCAAATTGAGAAATGTGCATATTTGCATATGGAATACTGGTCAGAATTAAATGAAGAAACTCCAGATGTTGCTAAATTGGAAGTGAGTGGCAAGAAAGTTACGGATAGTATTAGAATGGTATAAGAGTTGTGGCAAAAGTTGAAAAGAGTATGTCCAAATCATTAGCCAAGTATCATGTTGTACTCAGTATTTTTGATTGAAATATTGAATGATAAAGAATACGGAGTCAGTTTGAATGACACTTTGCGTAAGATGATACAAGGATATAATAATAGTAAAATTGATGATATTGACAATCACGATTTCAGTAATGATCCAACTCCTACTATTGTGTTATCAAGTGACAATGAGAAATTTGGATTAATTCAATAAATAAATTCTAGTGGAGCAGCATTGTTTCATTATACAAAAAGTGAATTAATGAATTAAAATATACAAATTCTGATGCCAGACATGATTGGAAAATCACATGATCGATTTGTTGAGGATTTCATTAACAATTCCGATTACAAGTATGTAAGCAAAGATAGATAAGTTATATGTAAGAATAAATCTGGGTATCTCTTCTAAATGAATCTGAACATCAAACCAATCAATTCAGTCAAAAATGGAATCTCCTTTCTTGGAACCTTTACCTAAGATAAATTCAATAGATAAAATGCCTTCATCTTAGTCAACCCAAAAAATCAAATTGAAGGAATTAGCACTGGCTGTTTAAGTTTATTGAAACTAGACATAAGATACATAAAAGCAAAGAGAAACTTCTTTGATCTCTTCCCATCAATTACTGATAAGGATCAATTTTTGAATAAGTTAGGAAGTGCAGTTTCTTATACAATTCCTAAAGACATCTTAAAAACCATTGAGGGAGTAAGAAAAAAAGAAGATAAAGATTTTATTTATAGTGGAATTGATGATAAACCAATTTAATTACAATGCTATTGCTAGGAAATCTCATTTACTTATGCCAATTTCCCAGCTGGATATTGCTTTAAATTTGAAAGAGTCTCTGATTTAGCTGCGTCCCAACTTAATAGTTCGATTATTTCAAAGAAATCAGCCAATCTATTAATGGATAAGAAATTAAAAATGAATTAAAATAAATTTATTTTCTAAAGCAAATATGATGAGGACAAAACAATGTACATTGAGGGATGTTATTAGGAGTTGCCTAGCTATTCTGATTTAGGATCTAGGATAGAACAATCAAGAAATGATGATAGTTTCGTAACTCCATAGAAATAGAACGCAACTATCTCCAACAAATAAGAGAAGACAGATTCTCAAGAGGGATCACCAAAGTTTAATGAAATATAACCTGCAAGCAATAAAATTAGATATGATGAAGGTATAAGAACAGTGAGATTATTCTAAAATAAAGTTGGTGAAATTGTGAATGATGATGATTAAGTAATGGAGGAGGAAGAACAAGAGTATGAAGGCAATTAATATTAAGGAGTAAACTAAAATTTATTATATGATGATTCTGAAGAATAGTAATCCGAACAGGACGCTTTTCAAAGCAGAACCAAATTGGAATAAGCCATCAATCAAAATCAAACTCCATTTCCCATTAAGTTTATTAGAATTGCTGAAACCTTCCTAACTTTGTCTATGCTTGTACTGGCCTTTGTTGATTACTTTTTAGATGTAATTATTTTATATATATTATATAGATAAACCAATTATAAGACATATAACTAACACTAGAAGTTTACAATACTCAAACAAATCTTGTTGCTGAATGGAATTACCTTCTTGAAAATATTCGAGATTTATAATTACTCAACCAAAAATTGTATGGTAATGGTTCAGTCTAAATAACATAAAATGAAACCATTTTAAAAAGTGAAATGAAATCAAGCATAGATTATATCTAAGAAGGATTAAATTACATCATTTTAAGTGGCTATTAATTCCCATCTGAACTAAAGACTTTGTATAATGAACCCAATATAAATATGAAATTTAATGCAACCAACAGTCAACCATATGATTTTTAAGAAGCATCAAATTAATTACTTAGTTATGCCTTAACTATCATGAATTACCCTTTGGACTCGATATCATTAAAATCTGATGATGTGGCTCTCTACTTTACAATATAGAATGGTTTCAATTCATATTTGGATGCCCAATTGAGTGTTTTATCCTATACTATAGATGATTTCATTTCTAAAACAGCAGATAAATCAACCAATTTTGTAATAATTGTTGTGGTCGCTGGTGTTATTTTAGCTCTTTCCTTGGCGATTGTAGTTATAATATTGTTGTCTACTAGATTGGCTAAAGAATAAGTCATCATTATGTTCTTAGAGTTACCATCTAAAGTCGTCAAAGCTTTGTTCAATAAGTGCGAAGCTTTTGTAAAATATGTGAACTCTATTGATGGGGAAGGCAGTGAAAAAGATGAAGATTTTGAACATTAGATTGAGCAGGATGATATGGCAGCCATTGATTCTAAAAAGAAGAAAAAGAAGAAATTTAAAAATACAACTAAAGCTCCTATTAGATTTTATATTTAAGTAATTCTTATAGCAGGACTAATGGAAGCATATTTCATTATGCAACTTGTCCTTCAGAAATAAAATTTAAGTGATGTCAGATAATTGATTTATGAGGCAAATTCTACGATCATGGCTGAAGGCTTTTATGCGTTCTGTAACAATGTTTAGTAGGCTGTCTTAATTGATTCCACTTTGGAAGTATAAAGTTAACCTGCTGTACAAACACAATACGACAATTTATATCGCTTATATTAATTAGACTCAACAATTCACAAGGAACATTCATCGAATATTGATAAACATGAATCAGTCTACATAGAAGCTTACAATACAATTATGTTTTCCAATCCTTGCCAAAGATTAAATGAAATAGCGAATATAAGCATCACTGATTGTGAAGCATTTGCTGAAACTAGTGTTAAAAGTGGATTCACTGTGGCTTTAACAAGATTTTTTGAAAATTTAAGGTATTTATCAAGTATATACACTCTAACCATTTAAACTCCTACGCCTCCTTTATCTAATTTTATTGATTCAGAAGAAATAATAATTTTTGCGAATGAAGCAGACAATTTGAGAATCAATTTGATGAAACTGTCTAAGATGCAGGAAGTCAAACAAATGTAAAGAATCTATTTTAAGTATAATATTCTTATTATTAAGAACTGCAATTCGATATTTAGGTGACAGCTTTATTAAGGGTTCTTAAGTAAAGCAGAATTCCTATTTATCCTAAAAATTAGGCTTGTTTATTTCTTTTATGATTATCATACTCTTGATATATCTATTGTATTGGATACCATTCCATCGACATTTAAATAGAGATATTTGGAAGACTAGAATGACACTCTTGATGATACCTGTTGACAATATTAGGAGATTAAGAAATGCAAAAGCTTACTTAAAAGTATTGATAAATCAATAAAAATGATTCATTAAGTTTATTAATTTTTATAATTACCATATTCAAAATTGTTAAAAGCAACAATTAATTGCCATTTACTATAGTTATTTCTACATCTATTTACTATTCAAGGTTTCATTCTATATTCCTTAATGAAAAAGAAATGATATTTTAACTCTATAAGCAATAAGAAAAAATAATACTTTTCAATAAAAAGATTTGATATATTTTTGTAAATTATCAAAATCATTTTCTCGTTTTTTCAATATAAATATCTTATAATATCCTTGATTAATTTTTATAAATTTCGTTAATAATTCTTTCTGGCAAATTTTATTTTAGTTGCTTTTGAGAAATTTTTTTATTGCATATACAAAAAATAATACCTTTCCCTGCATTTATTTATTGATTGATTATCTCGTTATAGCATTCTTGGTGGTAAAAATGTTAACAATTGAGTCCAATCGATATGCTGTGTATGAGCATTCTGCAATTTAAACAATTCATTTCTTTTGTTTTAAATATTGTCTACGTCTATATAAAAGTTTGCTATAGCTATTAATTCTAATTAAAGCTATTATATTTAGGCTGTGGAGTTGTTTATTGAATTTAAGTAGAAGAACGCTCAAATAATGATTAGTCTACTTGGGTAGTAAACTATTCTGATTGTGCTTTTGGAATAGTATATTATCTTTTGAATAAATCCAAGTCTATTACAGTTGGGGAGGTATTTATATTTGGCTGATAATTATTTATATTTGCATTTTCTATTTAATTAAAAAATATACTATTACTATTATCTATTTCTATTAATGATGGATTGTTATTTTTACTACTTGAGATAATTTTTATCTTGCTGTTATTTTAATTAGGATATGGGGTTGATTATGGAATTGGCTCAGAATTGTGATTATATTATTATTAATTTACTAAAGCTCCAAAACCATGATTATGCAATGAAACTGAATTTTTAGGTCTTTGTAATTCTTGGTTTGGTTGCTAAATATTTTGTTAAAAATAATCAGAACTCTAGTTTTGTACCATATTATTTGGCTAAAACTATTATGAATTATATTATTTGATGGGGATTTAAGGAGAGAATTAGTTCAACTAGTTTGTATTGTAAAGTACCTAAATAAAATTTTTAAATACTTTAAATTTATCCTGAGCCTAATAATCAATATTGTTTGAATTTTAATATAATGGTGCGGATCCATTTTCTCTAAATTAATTAAAAGATAAATTCGATGATTGTCTTTTACCATTTTATTAATCTGATTCTCTAATAAAAAGGGGGTTTACAGCTGCTGATAATATTAACTTTTTTTACGTATAGATTAATTGTTGTTGATATTTTAGATTTTGTTTTAGACCCCATTTTGTTAATTGTTTGCCTTTTATAACATAAATATTATTTAAAGAATTTTATAAAAATAATAATAAATAAATAAATATTTCACTTTTTTTTCAATAAGCCATCTATCTAAAGTATCTCATCATTATACTATTAAATTGTTATTGAAAGTTTCTAATTATTCAACAATCTTATATTGTTGATATTCCTATTTGATCCAAGCCCCTAAAAATTTGCATTTAATTAACTAAATTCTAAAGACTTCATTAACTTTTACACAATAGTATTTTCAATATAATTATGAAATTTATACAACAACCAATCTATTATTTTCTTTTTTTTTGAATATTTAGCATTTTCTTCATCATCTACAAATTCGAATTATCCAAATTTGAATTTCGGAAACCATTTATCCACAAACACCATATATGCACCATCGAACTTATATCTAATCTTGATTTATAGATTCTTAACTTTAAAATGAAAATTTAGTTATTTTGATGAATTAGTGAAAATGTTCCATAATTCAAGATGAACCATTAAATCAAATTATTAGATAGGTACCATTATTAGGATTGTATTGTTCTATTGTTCGAATTCAATATCTATTTGATTTTCATCATATTGAAAATCTTTTAAATTTATATGAGTCAGATTGGCTTTCAAAAACTATTCATCAATAAATTGCTAGACTTAGTTTAGATAGTACATAATTAATATTTATATCTTACTTCTCTAATTAGGAAAGATGATATGAAATATGAGATCCAAAAATTTCTTTAAATTTCTCCTTATTTATTTCGTAGTCTTTATCGACTAGGTATCTTTGATTATGTTAATCGCCATTATCCATGGTAATTTTAATAAGAATACCAAAAATCGCAAAAACACAAGCAATAGTAAGAGGTTCCATTTTTATAAATAAAAAATATATAATTTTCACTAACATTTTTTGATAGCTCATCAAGCAAAAAAAATGATAATACTTTAATATAAATTTAGAATTTCTATAAGGTTTTTCTATTAAAGTCATAAGTTAATTGATCTAATTTTTATTAATATTTTTTAATAGAAATAGATGCAATTACAAGTCCATTATGATGGGAAAGACTTTCCAATTCAATGTCCAAATTCTTAAGTCTATGGTCAATAGATCTATGAATAAATCTCAACTAAGTTAAATTTACATTTAGATTCTTTTGATCTTTTAATTTGCTCAGAATTAGGCAATAAAATTTTAGTCCCTCATTAAACACTTGCATAGCAAAATATTACCAATTAATAACTTCCTTCATTGTTTGTTTAACTTAAGGAATAATAGAGATATACATAAGAAAATAATATTGTTACTTCTAATATATAAATTTTAGGGATCCAACCACCTGTGAATAATTTAGGACTCTATCCAGGACCTATGTAATTTAATGGTAAATAATTAATTATGATTCAAGATTAAATGCTTGGAAATGTTCAAAAATAAAATTAATTTCCTTTTTAAAACTAAGATCAATTAAATAGTTCAGGCTAATTAAATAGTCCAGCCTAATTTATACAACCCCCATCTTTAGGTGGCTTAGGGTAAAACCCTTCTTTTTTACCCTAACCTTAATAACTAGGTCAACAATTCCCCCCCCCCAGTCAAAATTAATATCTACAAGGGCAAATGAATAACCCTCTATAATTTACATCATCAGCACCTCAACCCCACATCAATACATTTATGTAATCAGGGGGTATAGGCATCCCTGATCAATTTTCTACATCTACATATCAAATTCCAAATCATAATGCATATCAAGGATCTGCATTTCCCCCAAACAGCCAATTTCAAGCTCCTATTCCTTAAATAAGCCCAAATTAATTTCAATTTCAAAAACCAATTATACCTACCCAAACCGTAAAACAACCAGATAAATAAATAGAAAAATTAAAAGAATAATATGAAGAAGAAATAGACCATTTAAAAGAAATAATTAAAAAATTGGAAATTTAAATTCATTAACTAAAAAAAGAAATTTTAAAATAGAAAAATGAATTTGAGGAAGAGTCTTTTTAACAAAGATAAGGACATATTGATGAATTAAATAAGTAATAAGATATTACAAACAATACGAATTAGTAAAATTAAACGAAAATCAGATATCTAAATGCTGAAATAGTTGACTTAAAGTATAATAATATTGTATAAATTTTAGAGAACAATTGTAGCAGAGGGAAACTGAATTTAACAGGTATAGACAATAAATCCTTCGATCGACTGGAAATAATAATAATAATTAAGATTTAATCGCATAGTATTTGAGTACAATAGATGATTTAAGATCAAAAAATTCCTCACTATCTAGGCAATTGAGAGAAAGGGATTCAAAAATATAAAATTAGGAATACGAAATAGAATAACTGAAAAAACAATTAGAAAGAAGAAATGATAACAAATAATAAATAGATTAATCAAATTAAAATGAAGAACATGCTAGACTTATTAAAGAGTTATCATCAAAGCTTTAAATGCTCGAATCTAAAGTTTAAGAATTAGATCATAAGGCTTTTGTTGAATAAAAGAAAAGAGAGGACAGAGAAAAAGAAATTGGAAAGTTAAAAGAAACAGTTTCTACTCAAGAACACTAAATTCAATTATAATAAATTGAAATTGATAATGATAAAAAAATCATAAAATATATTTAAGAAGAAACAAGTAAAAATTAGGGTGGAAACAATAGTGCATCATTTATTCCTCATTTCAATTAAGAATTACAAAGACTTCAAGAAAATACATAGCGAGAAATTCGTGAAAGGAATAGGTTGGAGGAAGAGAAAAAATAAAATGAATTGATGAGATAAAAAGAATAGAATGAAGTACAAAGGAAGGTCAAAGAAGAGAGGGATTAATAAGCAAAGATTGAAAAGTAGAAAAAGGCTTGCAAATTAAGAGAAGCCATTATGAATTCTTAAGGAATACTCTAAGTTGGACTACTGGTTGATGTAACAGGATCTATGGACGAATATAAAGATGCAACAATGAATATGATCCAAAAAACTATGGGTTGCATTAAAAGTTAAACAAATCGAGATTGTGAATGGGGAGCTGTTTGTTATTAAGATTTTGCAGAGTTAAAACAAAGAGGAGAATATATGTAACATCATTTTACCAAGGACTCAAATAAAATGATAAGTTTCTTAAAGAAGATTGTTTGTGATGGTGGAGATGATGGTGCTGAAGACTTAAGAAATGGAGTTAAATAAATGTTAAATAATTTGAAATGGGAGAAATATTTTAAAATCGCTTTATTAATCTGTGATGCTCCATGCCATGGTAAAAAATGGGCAGGTAAGGTTTTGGATGATTATCCAGATGAAGATTTAGAGGATGCTTTATAACTATTAATTAATAAAAATATAGTCTTGATTGGAATTGAATTCTCATAAAATACAGATGTTATGTTTGCTTAAATGAAAAACTTCTATGCAAAATAAAACAAATAATAAATGTTAATTATAGTAGATTTAAAAAACCGTAAACCTGATTAAATTTAAGATTAGCTAATAAATATTATTTCTGAGGCATCTATCTCCATAACAGAAGTGAATTAATAAGGAACTAAAACTAAAAAAGAAAACCCAAAAAGAGACGGGGCATTTGAGGCCTTATTTAAGCTGTTACCTGATCCAACAAAGTTCAATTTAGATCCTAAAATAACAACTATCGAAACTAAATTTAAGGTGTTTCGTGTAGAAATTAATTAGAAAGCTTTTGAAAGAAATATTACAACAATCTATAAAATTAAAATCCCAGAAGATTATAATGTAACACTTGAAAGTGAATGGAGTTGTGTAAGAACATTAAAGCCATTTGCTTTTGGGCAGCTTAAAGAAGTCTACCTGATGAAAAAATTGAATAGTTAGGACGAAGTTTATGTTATTAAGATGCCAATTGGGTATTTATTTTATTTATTTCTAGAGGTTAAACTTATAAAACCAGAAATGAGGCAATCTTGGAATGCAGATCCCATTTGATTTCAAAAAGCTTAATGCAAAAGTTTATGTCTGATTTAAGTGACAAAGGATTCCATGATATTTAAATTAGGTATTCGGATTTCTTAATCCTTTAAGAGCACGATTGTATAAATTATTTCATTATTTTTAGCAAGCTTCTGGATTGCAGAACGATTTTTCAAGGGAGATTTTGTCAAATTCAATAATAACTATGGATATATTAACCCAAATAACAACATCTTAAACAATATAGCTTAGGTGTTCTCTTATTACACATATCACATTAGTGAATTTTAGTATTTAATTTGCGACGTGTAAGGAGTTGGTAGCAACTTTACAGATCCAGCAATCAATACAAGTGAAGGAAATTTAGATGAAACGGACTTGGGTTAAGAAGGAATTGGATAATATATTATTTCATTTGAAAAGGATAAATAAACTCGTTATCAAAAGTACTTAGATTTGTTAGATTTAAAAGATTGATTCCTATAAAAATTTATTTTAGAAGATTAATTAAAATGTACATTAATATATACAGTCAATATAGCTTGTCAATGACTCACCTTCTCAAAAATTATGTTTTATTATAATTACAACTATCTTACATATTAATCCTATTTTTATTTAAAAAATTAATTCAAGAAATAATATATAATCAAAGCTTATTTGTAATCTGTTCTAAAAATGAAAAAAATTATCCAAATCAAATATTTAGCTTAATAAGTCAATAATAAATTATATCATGAAAAATCATAACCCTTTAGTTTTTTATAAGTCTAAAGATCAATTGGAATAGAACAAGCACCGTTAATATTACTTTTACATAATTCACAATTCCTAAGTCTTTCCTAAGTCATTTCTTCTTTTCCTTTTTCAATAGCATAATGGGGGCATCCTTTTCGATGAAAATGATTTCCATGTGATACAATCGGTCTTCTGTCCACTGAACAGACAGAACAAAGATCCATTTTACATTAATAACAGGTCACATGATCGCATTTCTCATCTTTGGTTTGTATTAAATCACAAAACTCACAAACTATAAGTGGTTAACCTTAAAATACTCTAAAAAGTTCTTGTCTTATATTTTTACACTTATAATAATAAATACAATATTACATCTGATGATATTCCATGAAATTTTTTCCTGCATCTAGAACAAATTTCAATTTGACACTGTTAGCAAATAATTGCAAAAATCTTTTCTTATTATTTAGGCAATACAGGGAATTTAGCATTGCATTAAAAGCATGTATCAACGCATTTCTCAATAATTTACTTTTTAACTTATTCTTGAAATTTACTTAAACCAAGTATTTCTTTGAAAAAACTCATTGCAAATTGTTTTGAGCAAAAGTAACATTTTTTATTATCAAAAAGGTCCACAGATTAAGTTAGATCTTTTTAAACACACTCTCTATGAACAATTTTTTGGCAACATGGTAAAATTATTTAATTTTCACAAGTCTTCTAATAAATTTCAGAACAGATCTCACACTATGTTGAAGTAATTTTAATAGAGTAGGAATTAGGCATATTAATTTTTTAAACCGGTTTTTCCTTCTCTTTGTGATATTCTGATATCTAACTTGTGGTTAGAACAGAATCCTCCTCCTCTTATTAATTTTTGTCTTTGCAATCGGGAAAACCAGCAGGGGAACTTTAATTAGATAAAATTTGGAAAGATGGTTTGTTTTAAACATTATTCTGAGGTGTGTAGACTCTTTACTCCTGAAATAATAATGGGTTTGGATGATTAGGAGTAAAGAGTTTATGGAAGTTCGTAGTTACAATCGGCGCAATTTATTATTATTATTTAAATAATCCAAACCCAACAATAAAAGAGAAATTTGGAGGACTACTATTCATTTAGATGACTGTTTTTAAAATTTGTTTGTTGATCACACCAAATTCCCACTACTTATTTAATGAAGTTATGATGAAGATCAATTTAATTTATAACAATTTTGCAACATCTTCTAATTAAGTTGACTTTGTATTTAGGAGCATTTCTATATTGAAAATTTAATTGGCATTAATTCCCATTTCATAAAGTTTTATTGTCTATGAAAGCTGCTATCTTTTCGAGATTTCATTAAGGATCTTTTGAAAATTTATTATGAATGCTTGTATGGTTTAATTTTCCAAATTTTGACTAGTCAACCATAATTTATCTTTTTAAAAATACAATCTAAATTATGATTCTAAAAATCGATTCTCCTACAACAATTGGGAAGGTTAGACTTAAAGATTGAATATAATCTACTTCTATTAATTAGGCAGATTAATCTCCTATTTCTATTAATTAAGCATAATATTTTGCATATATATATTAAATAATTAATGAATTTAATTAGTTAAATAAAGGAAACAAAAATTAAGTACACAATAAGGTAGATTAAAGTTTTTAATAATTGAATTTAGAGATAAAGAAAAAATTAATACAGTCTGTAGATTGATTTACACATTCTATTCAAAGCTTAATCCATCAAAACTAGTTTTTAAAAATATGATGGGATAAGTTGTGCTGATTCTTTTTTTTTAATTGATTCAAAAAGAATATATATTGATATATAAGATTTTACTTCGTTTTAATTGATACTATTTGTTCTTGCTTTAAAATTTATAACATCCTATTATCATTAATGTCTTTGAATAAAAACAATTTATTAAGTTAAATATATCATAATCATTATTATCATAAATGTAATTTTAATAATTATCCAAGTCTTCACCTTCTAAGAATTCTACACAAAAAAAAACTATATTTCATTAAGAAAAGCAAAGTTAGGATGGGCAAGAGAAAGAAGAGAAGAACGAAAAAGCAGAAATAGATACTCATACAACTAGATTTGCAAAGTAAATGAGATTAATGATTCATTAATAACAAAATGCGTAAGATGTTTGATAATTTAGGAATTTGAGAGAAAGTATTGCTAATTTGAAAAAGAGAAAAACTTTGGAAGGTTTTTCAGGCGAGACACCAGTTTCAATTCAGTAATGTTTCTCTTTTCTAAATTCCGCAATTTAAAATGCTAGAAGCTTAAGGTTACTTTAATTTCTAATCCAATAGATCGCTTGACCTATCAGGTATGGAAATTGATCCCCTGTTGGCTATAGAGTTAGGATAAGGACTCCAAAAAAATTCTTCTTTAAATGAAATCAACCTTTCAGGATGCAAGCTTAATAGCTTTAGTTTATAATATATATTTTCATCGATTGCAAATCACTAAACTTTATAATCAATCAATTTGTTTAATAACCAAGGCTTTAATATTGACCTTATGAATGATATTAATCAATTTGTTTTTAAAGGAAAGAATAACCTTAAGAAATTAAAATTAACTCATTGTAATATATCTAGCACTGCTATGAGTTACTTATTGAGGAATCTTAAGTAAATATCAATTCTATTTTAGATATTCTCGATCAATAAATGCAATAGATATTTCAATGATGTAGTTCACTACTGATGTGTTAACCACTTTAGGCATGGCTCTTTAGCATTATAAAGGTAAAAAGGTCTTAGAGTATTTGAACATTGGAGATACTAATATAAGAAATCAAGGTGTTGAAGTTTTGGCACAAGTAGTCGGTTGGAATATTAGGAAAATTAATTTGAAGGAACTGAACATAAGAAGAAACTTTATCAATTAAAAGGGCGTTTAACATCTTGAGCTATTTTTAAGGAAAATAAATAACTTATAAAAATTGGATTTATCGTAAAATTAATTAGAGGAATTTAGTTGTTAAAATTTGTTATCAAGAAAGATGTATGAAGTAAATTTAAGTTCTAATCTAATTTCTTGTTTTCCTCAACAGTTCTTTTTGAACACTTTAGTTATTAATTTAACAAATAACAATATAACAAATCAAGGTGCCTTTCAATTGTCAAGTATACTAAGGTAGAATCCGCTTTGGATAGAACTCAATCTTTCAAACAATCAAATAAAAAGTGAAGGATTCAATTCCCTGATATTTGGTCTTAGGGATAACAAAATGCTTAAGAAATTTATTGTAGCCAATAATAATTTAGACGGGGAGGCTATTATTACTTATATGATCAACCACGAATAGGTTTACTTTGAACATTTGGATGTATCTTATAATTTTATAAGATATGCCTTAATCTTTTTTTTATTAAAATTCATAAAAAGTGGATGTCTAAGATGTCTTCGATGTTCCTTTTAATAAAAATAATAAAATGAAGCATGGGACATTAACGTTAATCCGACTTTATTTCATGAAGAGGAGAAGATTACTAAATCTGCTTAAAACTAATTTTAATTAATATCTTTTAATTTAAGAGAGTTAGATTTTTCAAAAAATGAGAATATATTTACACCTGTTATTAGTTCGTTAGCAACATATTTTAATAAAATAGAAATTCTGGATTTGTCTTCTTGTAAACCTATAACAGAGTATGATCTTGATTTGCTGTGTACATTTTTGAAAAAATCCACTGTTGTTCATGATTTAAATTTAAGGGATTTAAATATTGGAAGTTTAAATCTAGAAAGTGTGAAGAAATTGAGGAACTCTATTCTGAATAGCAGTCTTAAGAAACTAAATATGAGCAAAAACTATTTGTTCAAATTAGCAAAGGCTTTTTAAGTAGAAGAAATCATAACAAACTATAAACTAGAAAGTTTAGATATGAGTTAGAATGGGATTGAATCCAGACATACTAATTATATTGAAATTGTTTTATCATCCTATAGAAATTTGTAGTACCTAAATCTATCCCACAACAATATTGGTTTTACAGGTTTGATATCTATCTCTAGAGTATTGCAGGAGAATAAGTGCATAAAAAGTTTAAAGTATTAATTTATTTAATCTTTTTAGCGTTTCTAATCAAAAAATGAGTGCGGATGATTTGTTAATCTTGAGTTCCATAATTTCTAATGAAAACCTATAGTTTTTAAATATCTCAGATAATCCTGGAATTAAGAGACTTAAAACATTTTTCAATTTGTGTTAGACTGAAAAGATGGAACTTTTATAATTATCTTAGATGCATTTTGATAAACCGAACTTTAGAAATCTTATAAATATAACTAAAAAACAAACAAGAAATATTTTAGGGATCTCTCTCAATCGTTGCAGTTTCAGATTAAATGATTATGAAAAATTTGGAAATTAATTGCTAAAATGTAAAAAATTATAAATGCTAAGTATGACATACAACCCATTAGTTTATGTGGATCTTAATAAAACTGTAGCAATATTAAATGCATTGCCAAGCTTGAAAATATTAAAGCTTAATTAAGTTACATTTTCAGGAGAAACCTTCTGTAATTTCAAAGATTGGATTTTGAGCCCAAATAATTGCAGTGTAACCAATTTCATTATACTAGTTGATCACACTAGATATTAGTGAAAATGTATTACGATAAGAATGGCTCGATGAATTATGTATTGGAATTGGAGGCAATAGAACTATTTAACATTTATTTCTGAATAAATGCAATTTAGGAAAATATAATTTAGATCCATTAGGCTTAGCTATTTCTAAGAACTCTACAATAAGAAGAATATCAATAGCTAATAATAATATAGTAGATAATTTATGTAGCAGCAAATTCGCAGCTGTCTCACAATATAACACTATATCATTTGAAGAACTCAACTTATCTGATAATCCCTTAGGAGAGAAAGAATTAATTCGATTTTTTACTCCTCAAATATTTAAAAATAGATCAAAGTTAGTTGCAATCATAAAACAACTAAACTTATCAAATTGTAAGTTACAAATAAGTTTTTTTTAAAATCTAGTAAAAGTTCATTAAATTCATAAGGAATAGTTCTTATTTTCTCATATCATAAGTCTATCCTTGAGTAGTAATCAATTAGATGATTCCGTTGGAGAATTATTACAATAAACTATAATTTAATCAACTTAACTATAAGAGCTATATCTTTAATAAAATTTACTTACAAGTAAAGGAATGATTTAAATCCTTGAGGGAATATTTGCTACATAAACAATTAAAACAATAAATATTAGCAGTAATAATATAGGAGATGAGTTTGCAATGAAATTAGATTCATTAAAGAATCAAAAATGTTCGATTGAGTTCTTGTTGTTAAGAGATAATAACTTTTAGAAATAAGGTTTAAAAATATTAGCATAAATTCTATCATTTTAAAAGAACTTATTTATTGATAATATTTGGTCTAACTTAGATGATGAGGATGCAGATAATATTTTAGAATAATATACTAGAATTTGCTAAAAGTATCGTTTAGATTAATCATCGTTGCCTTCCTTTTTAAAAGAAATTTAATTATCAAAATCAAATCTAACAGATAAATTTTGCGAATCCTTTGGTAAATATTATCCACTTTTGGGGTTCATAGAGTTTATTGATGTTTCAGATAATCCATGCATTACTATGTATGGAAAGGTATATTTATTTTTCCATTTATTTGATTACAGCTATGAAAAGCATTAATTAAGAGCATTACACATTAGCGATACTTAAGAAACTAGAAAATTATTTGATGATGGGTTACTGCGTTATTTAACATTGCGAGTGAGGAATTATCTTTTGCGTTAGACGAAATAAAATTTGAAAAAATAGCATCCTTTGTAATAACAAAACAATTCCGAAAAACAAACATAAAAACTATTTGGAGGTATGTTAGGATCATGGCTAATTCATATGGTTAATAAACTGATGAAGTACTTAGACTTGATTGAACCTTAGATTTTTATAGTAAGCACTCTGTTTATTGGTAAATTTAGAAGGAATAACATCAATATTAAGATATTAGTTTTTCTATTTTGGTTTGGATTTGTTGTGGTAAATATTTCATAATTTTTCAAATTATTTATATAAGTTAAAGATAAGAACCAAAGCTCAATCTTCAAAGGAGAGTAGAATAGACAAATTACAAGTGCTATTTACACAGATTTAACTTACACCTTTATAATAGTGGGGACAATAGTGATTATTGAAATATTACAATTAATCTTAACTGTGGCTTTGAGAAGAAAAATCTAACCTGCATTGCAAATTATACATCCAAAAATGTTGGAACATTTAAGAGCTAGATTTCCACATAAGAGGGAAATCTTTTTAATGATTTACTCCATTTTTAGTAAATCAAGCACTTTGGCTGAAAGAATGTTTTTGGCTTCTTTAATGAGTCTGAGCGATGATATTATAGATGAAAAGATTTCTAAATATCAGATTCTATTTAGCATTGTAATATTTGCAAGATTTGCTGACTCATTTATTATAACCTTAATAAATTTAATCAAATTTATATCTGCCACACCAAGTGACGATTAAGCCAAATATTTATCCTTACTGTAAAGAAATCTCTATTATTAAAATTATTTCGTTTCAAGTGATGTTTTAGTCACTTTATGCCCAGTTTAAGGGTATCAATTAACAAAAACAATCAAAGTTAATTATGAAATTATTATCGAAACATATAGGGTATTTTTAATGGAGTTAATATTATTCATATTTATTTGGAGTTTCTCCAGAAGTAATCATATAGTTGATTTGACAACTTTTATCGATCCAAAATGGCCAACATTGCGAATATGGATGGCCTTTCTCTTTATAAAATGCATAATCTCGATAATTGTATCCCTTTTTAAGATTCTAACTGTCAGACCTGCTGTAGTAAAATAAAATGGGTTTAATTAAGCATTGGCGATAAAGAGGTTCTACTAAAATAAACATTAATTTGTCAAACCGCAAAACATTTAAATAGAATAGAACCTGTAGAACATTGAATTCGAATTAAGAACAAAATAGTAATAACAAAGCTAGTTCTCAAAAGAATTAGAATAACGCAGAGAAATTAAAATCTAAAATAAAATTCAAGAAATAGATTAGATCGAGGAGGAAGAATAAGAAATTTTATTAAGCAAATAAAATTCAAATATAGATTAATTAAGTATTAAATCATCTAATATTTAGATATTTCTTCTTACTCTGATCTACCTTACTAGGACGCACCTCAGTCACCTTTAAGTAATTATCTTCCTAAATTTAAATTTAATATATGATTAATAATAATAACTTAAAAGATTAAATTTAACTTATGTTCTTAATATATTTACTAATTTTATATGAAATTGTTGTTGATAAGTAATTCTATTTAAATTCAATTACACTATACGTAATTATAAATCTGAGAATTGAGGTTTTCAAGGCTTATTTCAGTCATAGAATTAATTACAGTTACAAATTAGATGCCCAATAAATAGGAATTTATTAAGCTCTATCGATAACAATATATCGTATTTAAATTTAATTTAACAAGCGATATTTTTAAATCTAAATGGATCTATATATTAATCTTATCCCTATTATCAACTTTAAATGATATTAAGCAAATTGTACTTATATATCAACTTTAATGAGTAGAAAAAAATAAAAAAATTTTATTAAAGATTAAATTTTAAATAATGCCCAAAAATAAGGGAAGAGGTGGTAAGAACTATAGAAGAGGAAAAAATGAAAATTTAACCAAGAGATAATTGGAGACAAAAGAAGATGGACAGGATTATGCTTAAGTTATAAAACTGTTGGGTAATGGAAGATTGATCTGTGTATGTTTGGGTGACAGTAAATAAAGACTTGGACACATCAGAGGAAAAATGAGACGTAAGGTTTGGATTTAAAATGGTGATATTGTGCTTGTTGCATTGAGAGAATTTTAAGATGAAAAGTGTGATGTTGTGTATAAATATTTCCCTGAAGAAATCAAATAACTGAAAAATCTTAAAGAAATCCCAGAAGTATTATAGTTTTTAATATAATTAAGAACTTAGAAGAGGGAGGAGGTGATAATATTGGAGATAATGTTGTTTTTGTTAATAAGGAAGAATCTTCAAGTTCTGATTCTGACATAAGTGATAGCGATTCTGACGATAGCTCTGACTCTGAACCAAAATAACCATAAAAATAATAGCCACAAAAGCCACAACCATAAAAAGCATAAGCACCTGCCAAAGATAACAAAGAAAAAATAACCAAGAAAGATATCGACGATATTTGAACGATTTAAAATATATTTTGGCTTATAAAACGAATTGAAATTATTTCTGTTACTGTATTCTGTTTAAACATAAAAAATTGTCAAAAGTGCTAGAAACTTTTACTACTTATATTTTAAAATAATGGAGAATAATCAATTTATTCTTTGTGATAGTTCTGAAAATTTAACAAACTACCTTCAATATCATTAGAATGATTCTTAATTCTTGCACTTTTCAGGAAAACTTTTGATTATAAATATGAGTTAGTGACAATTAGTCTAACCATATTATAAGTACTTTTTTATATGAATTTTATTATGGATATGATAATCATGGAAGGAGATTGAGAAGAAAAAGAAATATCTGATATAATATAAAATAATTAAAAAACAATTGGAAAATGTGTTTCAAAGATAATTAAAATAAAAGTAATTTTTCAAATGAATGTTGATTGATGGTTTGAAATGTCATTCAGGCAATGGAAAGTTTGGAATTGACTATAGAATGTGGTATAGTGCAATAAGAGAATAGGTTCGAATGTATTGAATATTAAGATTTTAAAATCATTCAATTTCAAATTCAGAGGATTCAAATGAAACTGTTATAGGAAAAAGAATTTCTAAAGCTATTTAATTGAAGTTTAATAACAAAAAAAGTGCGTTGGATTTTATTTTAATTTAATATCCAGTTTGCAGAGTTTTAATAATAGGGAGAAATAGAAGTTAAGATAATATTTATAATATAAAAAATAAGATAATGATTTTTTGTATTCAGTATCCTGTTTAATGACTAGGGGATAGGTGATTCCATTAAGTTGAAGGCAGTATTGTAAATCTCAGCACTCATTTAGATAAAAGACGGAAGGGGTTTGCTTAGAAGGGTGGATAGATCAGGAATATAATATTAATGATAATTTTTATTTCTTAATATGATAATTAATTATAAACCCCGTTTGCCTGATTAAAAGCATAACTTCCTAATGAATTAAGGATATTATTTATTTTTCAAATAATTTTACTATATTTGAATGGGTGACTAAGAGCCTCTAAAAAGCAAGGAAGATTATTTTATATATCGTCTTGCTTGCTCATTCAACATAAGAAACTCTCTTTAATAAGACAAATTCAAGAAATCTTTTGAAACTGAAGATAATAAGTAATACATGTGTTTTAATAAATTAGAATGGTGTTTGACAGACTAATGAAGGATGAAAGTAACATGATGGCTGTATTTGCCATTCAATCTGGTGCGGAGTCTGTTACATTATTTTCGGATGTTCCTCATCCAGATAAGTTCAGAAAGAAGGGACTGATCGCACTCAAAATATCAGAGAGCCCACTGTCAGTATAGAATATCACTCAAAATATCGTGTTTTTGGAATTGACAAGAAATGTAACAATCTTAAGTTATTTTAGATTTTGGAGCATTTGTATTCAACCTTCTATGAAATAATGAGTCCAATTCTCTAGAATCCAAGCAATCAATAGGGATGGACAGACTTGGTAGCAAAGGACTTGATGGAGAAGTTCAACGCATATGTTGCCCAAGTTTACGTAATGATAGGACAGATCGAAGGAAGAACCAAATTGGTACTTTTTTTAAATATTTTTAAAAGCCAATCCCATCACACAAGTTAACTTAATCAGATACAACTCCAGCCAAAGACAAAGCTCATGTGTATGAAAGTTCAATAATAACATGGACAAAGTAAATAAAGAATGTCTTGAAGTTGGAGCCAGAATAAGCTTTGAAAAACGGCCACAATCCAGGACCTTTGGTGGAATTGAAGTTTTGGGAGAACAAAGCAGCCAATCTCAATAGCATAAAGGAGCAATTGGAAGGATCTGAAGTCATTAAGATTTTAAGATTTTTGGAAGTGAACAAGTCGACCTACACAAATCCATTTTCAAAATTACAAAGGGAAGTAACAAAGGCGAGAGAGGAAGCTAATGACAATAATAAATTCTTAGATTTATTGAAGGATCCCTTCTAAAGACTACAAGATACAGGTGGAGACTTCTAGTCCTTACATGAGTTGTTCATTCCAATAATGCACAGAATTCTCTTGATTTGGAAGAATTCTAAGTTCTACAATACACCTCCCAGATTAGTGGTTTTGATTAGAGAGATATGCAATGCCATCATCACCAAAGCTCAAGATTTCGTAAATGGACCTATGATTTTCTAAATGATTAGTTCTGAAGAAACATTCGAGGCATGTGAAAAGTTGCAAATCACAATTGATGTATGCACAAAGTTCAAGGATGCTTACTTTGAATACAAGGCCAAGGCAGACGGAAATTGGAAGTTGACAACAAATGCATTGTTTGTTAGATTGGATTCCTTTTTGGAGAGATGTCATGATATCTTACATTTGACTAATACAATAGTTCAGTTCAACAAATTAGCCAAGATCGATCTTGGTGGTACAAAGGGAAAGACATTGACAGAATCAGTTTAACAAATTTTTGTTGAGTTTTAAAAGGCTGTAGAGCAATTCTAATAAGTTAAATATGATATTATGGATATTACACAAAAAGAATTTGATGATAGTTTTTATGAATTCAGATCAAAGATAAAGGAATTAGAAAGAAGATTGGCTTCAGTAATCACATAAGGATTTGATGATTACGATACATTGCATGGAAGATTCAAATTACTAGATAGTTTTGAAGGTCTGTTATCAAGACCAATAATCTAGGATGAATTGGAGAAAAAACACATAGTATTATTAGATATGTACAAATAAGACTTGAAATAAGTCCAACAAATATTTTTGGAAGGTTATGAATTGGTTGATAAATTGCATGAAAGAGCTCCAATTTATAACAACATGCCTCCCATTGCAGGAGCATTGATGTGGTGCAAGGGACTCAGAGACAGAATCACTGAACCTCTGGATAAGTTGGCACAATTAGGACAAGGTATTACAGAGAGGGAAGAATATAAGGATGTGTTGAAGTTATACCAATCAATTACAAAACAAATCAAAGATTATGAACAGACAAAGATTTTGAGTTGGGAATAAGAGGTAGGAAAGGTGTCTGAAGAGAAGTAGAAGCAACCCTTATTGTCAAAGGATGAGAATGGATTGTTGAGAGTTAATTTCGATCCAGCTTTAGTTAGATTGCTAAGGGAAGTGAAGTATTTCACATTGCTCGAGTAACCAGTTCCTGAGTCTGCCTCGGAATTGTACTCAAAGAATGACACTTTCAGAGAGTACATTGTGTAATTGGAGATGATCGTTGAGAATCACAACTTCATTGTAACTTAGTTGCATCCAATGGAAGAGCCCTTGATCAAGAATAGAATTGAGAAGATGGATGAAGTATTGAAACCAGGTATCGAGCATTACAAGTGGAAGAGTAATGACATCAATAAATTCATTGAAACAGCTAAGGCAACTGTGGATGAATTGCATTAGATAGTGTAAAAGATGAAGGAGACTCTCAAGAAGATAGAGTAAGCATTGGAGAAGTTCAACACAAAGATTATTGAGAGAAAGAACAAGCCAATGTCTCCAGATGATTATGATCAATTCTTGAAGGCCGTTGTTTAGAACAAGTTGTCCATAGTCAAGGATAACGGTACATCAATTAACAAGCTTGTGAAGGAAGTCCTTGATCAAGTCAAGGTTGATAAGAAGCAATAGGCTTGGATAAATTACCAATATTATTTGAATTCAATAGTCATCAATGGTTTGGCCAGAGCCATCATAACTGCCTTGAATCACATGAATGAGTAGATCAATCCACAATACATTAAGAAGCATGAGATTGCACCTTTGTTTGATATCAAATTGGAATTGTTTAGAAATGTGGGAATTCAATATGAGCCTGAAATTGAGGAGACCACACAAGGACAAAGTGTTCGTAACACAATCAGAGGATGGGCCAATGACATGTTCTACATTGCAGGTCAATTCTAAAGATTGGATTCAGCCAATCCTTTTGGTGATTACTTGCCAGAAATTAGAGAATACTTTGAAATCAAAGAAGTAGTTCAAGCAATCAACCTTAATTTGGATCAGATCGAAGAGGAAACTCGATCCTTTAAATAATCTTATATGACTTACAGTTACCTTTGGTTGGAAGATCCTAAGTAAGCATTCGAAGACTTCATGTAGAAGAATGAGCCCAAAGACGCTCCTGAAGATGAGGATCAATCCCAAAATCCCTTGTTACAAGGTTGCAGAATAAAGATCCCCAAGTTGGACTTGTTTGATGATAAGATCACAACCTTGAAGAACATTCAATAAGAAATCAATAGAATTTTGACACCATATGAAATTTCATGGTTGAGAATCAATCTACAACCATTGAAGAGTGCTCTTGAAAACAAGGTCAGTCAATAAATAAAAGTGTACACTGAGTTTTTGGTTGTGTAATTCAAGACCACTTTGAAGAACCTCAAGGGATTCATCCAAAGAACTAATGAGGGAATCAAAGAGAACCCAGCAAGTGAGGAGAATGCTGGAAATAGAGACTTGTTGATGAAGGTCATGAGAGTGATCTCAGATGTCAAGGATGTAGAACACAAATGCGAAGGAATTGTGGTTAGGATGAAGGAGATGGTCAATAAGTTGAAGAAGCATGGAGTTCAAATTATGGAGAAAGGAGAGGAGGATCCAGTTTAGAGCATCGACAATGCATTTACTCAATTTAATGAGACCACTTAGAAAGTGTTCAAGATCAAGGCTGAAATCTTGCCATTGTAAACTCAGGAAACCATCAATATCAAGAAGAAATTGGATGAATTCTAAAAGAAGGTTTCAGACTTCAGAAATGATACTCTCAATAATCTACCCTATAGTTATCATGATGACATGAAGATGGATCAAATATTGTATTCCTATGTCACCATTGACGAGTACTACAAGAAGTTGTTGTAGATGGAGAAGGAAGCTGCTGATTATAATCAATTGGAGAAATTGTTTGAATTGGAGAAGAGTGGTTACAAGCAATTGAGAGAAACCAATGTTGACTTGAAGTCATTGAAGATAATGTGGGATGCCATTTCAATGGTGAATTATCAATACAACGATTGGAAATCCAAGCCATTCAGATAGATCAAGGCTGATGTGTTGTTGGAATCCAATAAAGTCTTGGGAAATCAATTGAAGAACTTACCAAAGGAAGTCAAGAACTTCAAGGGATACAATGCAATTGTTGATAAGGTCAAGAATATGTCAGTTGTGTTGCCATTGGTCTCAGCCTTGCATAGTGAATTTATGGAGGATAGACATTGGAGTTAGGTTAAGGATATGACTAAGAGCAAATTTGAACACAAGGCAATGACATTCTTGTTTGATGACATTCTTGCTTTGCAATTGTATAAATTTGATGCTCAAATCAATGAGGTTGTGGAAGTGGCCTCGAAGGAAGCAAAGATTGAAAAGAAGTTGAAGATGATTGAGACAGCTTGGTTGAAATAGATCTTCGAATTTGAAGATTACAAGGAGACTAAGGTCTTTTTGCCCTTGGACAACATGATGGAAATGTTGGATTAACACTCTCTTGATTTGATGGGTATGAAAGGATAGGGTAAATATGTTGAGTTCTTTTACAACACAGTGGAAGATTGGAGAGAGAAGTTGGGCAGAGTTGACTCCGTGGTTGGTGAATGGTTGAAGGTTTAGAAGAATTGGAAGACTTTGGTGAATATCTTCATTGGATCTGAGGATATTAGAATGCAATTGCCAGAAGACACTAAAGTGTTTGAAGCTGTTGACAAAGAATTCAGAGAACTCATGACTGAAGTGGCAGCCAATCCCTTGGTGATTGAGGCATGCATTAATGAAAGAAAGGATCAATTGGTTGCAATGAGTTTAAACATTAAGAAGTGTGAAAAGGCTTTGAATGATTATTTGGAATAGAAGAAGAAGGCATTCCCAAGATTCTATTTCTTGTCCAATCAATCCTTATTAACCATCTTGTCAAATGGTTAGAATCCTCCCAAGGTTTGCGAATTCTTGGGTGATTGTTTCGATGGTATGAAGACTCTCAGTTTTGAACCATCCAAGAATCCAAATGATGTTCCAAGAAGTACTCACAGTATGATTTCTAAGGACGATGAGAAGGTGCCATTTTCATCGAATTTCGAATGTGTAGGAGCAGTTGAACATTGGTTGTCAGCTTTGGAATACAAGATGAGAGAGACATTGGAGGAAATATTGGAGAAGGCAAAGGAGACATCAGAGAATTGGGAAAGTGGTGACAATCCAAGAGAGGATTGGGTTAAGAACTATTGTGCTTAGATTGCATTGTTGACAACATAAATTGTATGGACTGAAGATGTGACTAGAGCCTTTGAAGATTTGGCTGGTGGTGCTGAGACAGCAATGAAAGAATGTTTGAAATTGATTGAAGTTCGTATTGATAATTTGATCAAGAAGGTCAGAGGTAATTTGGAAATCTTGGAGCGTATGAAGATCATCAACATTATTACAATTGATGTGCATTCAAGAGATGTGGTTGAGAAGTTCTGCATTTAGAAAACTTAAGAGTTGGAGTCCTTTGCTTGGTTGTCACAATTGAAATTCTATTGGGACAACAAGGACAATGATATGCATTTAAGATAGGCATTGAGATTCAAATGGGAGAAGGAGAGAGATAAATCAAAGTGTATTATTAGAATTGTCGATTGGTTCAGATTCTATTCATATGAATACGTTGGTAATGCCTTGAGATTGGTCATTACTCCCTTGACAGATAGATGTTACATCACATTGACATAAGCATTGAATCTTACAATGGGTGGTGCACCAGCAGGTCCAGCTGGTACTGGTAAAACTGAAACAACAAAGGATTTAGGTAGAGCAGTAGGATTACCAGTCATGGTGTTTAATTGTTCAGATCAGATGGGTAAGGACTCAATGGCTTAGATCTTTATGGGTTTGTCTCAATCAGGAGCTTGGGGATGTTTCGATGAGTTCAATAGAATAGCCATAGAAGTGTTGTCTGTCATCAGTACTCAAGTGAAGACAATTTTGGATGCATTGAAGGAAAAGAAGCCCAAGTTGATCTTTATGGAAGAAGGAGAAATCTCAATTTAGGACACAGTCGGATTCTTCATTACTATGAATCCAGGATATGCAGGTAGAACTGAATTGCCTGAGAATTTGAAAGCGTTGTTCAGATCATGTGCTATGGTTGTGCCAGATTTGGTATTGATTTGTGAGAATATGCTTATGTCTGAGGGTTTCCAATAAGCAAGAGCTTTGAGTAGAAAGTTCGTGTCATTGTACATGTTATCAAGAGAATTGTTATCAAAGGCTAGACATTACGATTGGGGTCTGAGAGCAGTAAAGTCAGTGTTGAGACAGGCTGGTAAATTGAAGAGAGCTGATCCATAGATTGCAGAGGATCCATTGTTGATGAGAGCTCTGAGAGATTTCAATATGCCAAAGATTGTCACAGATGACAAGCCAATCTTTTTGGGTTTGATAGGAGATTTGTTCCCAAGAATTGAATGTGAGAGTAAGACAAATCCTGAATTGAAGAGAATTGTAGTTGAGACAACCAAGTAAGATATGGGATTGGTGGCTGAAGAGATGTTTGTGTTGAAGGTAGTATAATTGGCTGAAATATTGGAAGTGAGACATTGTGTGTTTGTGATAGGTCCACCAGGTTGTGGTAAGACAAGTGTATGGAAGACATTGGCAAAGACTCATTACAATAGAGGAGAGGATTTCGAATTGGATACATTGAATCCCAAGGCTGTCACATCAGATGAATTGTTTGGATGTTACACAAAGACAAAGGAATGGAAGAATGGTGTGTTGAGTATGATCATGAAGAACCAAAACAAATGTGAGGAGAAATACAAGTAGAGTCACTTGCACAAATGGTCAATTTTGGATGGTGATATTGATCCTGAATGGATTGAATCCTTGAACACAGTCATGGACGACAACAAAGTGCTAACCCTTGTGTCCAATGATCGTATTCCTTTGACTCCTTCAATGAGATTGTTGTTCGAAATTTCCAACCTTAAGAATGCAACACCTGCCACAGTGTCAAGAGGAGGTGTGTTGTTTATCAATGAGACAGATATTGGTTGGATGCCATACATGAACAGTTGGTTGGAAAGGTCATTCGAGAAGTGTGTAGTGAAAAGAGAAGGATTGATGGGACAAGTGCCTTAATCACCTCCCATCGACGACATTGCCAAGTCAGTGTTCTACAGATGTTTCCAATAGTACTTCGAAACCAATCCAGACATTAGAGACAAGAGCAAGGTCAGACTCATTGTTCCACAAGTCGACATCGCTTAAGTGATGACCATCTGTATGATCTTGGATGCTCTGCTCTTGGAGACAGATTACACAAAGATCTCAGCAATGAAAGAAGACGATCAAAAAATGATCTATGAAGCCTATTTCATTTATGCAGGAATGTGGGCTATTGGTGGTTGTTTCGGAGGAGGACAAGATGATGAAAAGGACATGAAAGATTTCAACTCAGTGTGGAAAGCTGCAGCCAAAGTCAGAATGCCAGAATAAGGAATGTGTTTCGATTACTACTTCGATTTTGCTGAATAGAAATGGACTCATTGGTAGGCTAGAGTGGTGCCTTATATTGCCACTGACGAAGCCATCTTCTCTAAAATCTACGTGGCTACACTCCATACAACCAGATTGAGAATTCTGTTGGACTACCATCTCAAGAGAAAGAAGTGTGTCTTATTTGTAGGATCTGCAGGTACTGGTAAATCTGCTGTCATCAAGGATTATTTGAGTCAAACCAAAACAGATCAAGTGTCTTACAAGACCATCAACTTCTCCTCATTTACTGATTCCTTAGCCTTGTAGAAGAACATCGAATCCATGGTTGAAAAGAAGTCTGGTAGAACTTTCGGTAGTGCTACAGGAAAGGCTTTGATTTGCTTCATCGATGATATGAATATGCCATATGTCGATAAGTATGGTACCTAACAGCCAATCCAATTGCTGAGACAAGTTGTTGATTATGGAAGTGTTTTCAACAGAGAACAATTGGAAGAGAGGAAATTCCTCTAAGACTTGCTCTTCTTCAGTGCCTTGAATCAAAAGTCAGGATCCTTCATCATCGATTTGAGATTGCAAAGAAACTTCTCAGTCTTCACCATGTATACTCCAAATGCTGAAATCATTAAGACTATCTTCGGTGCCATCTTGAACAGTCATTTGGCTACCTTCGATGATAAAATTCACAAGTTGTCAGACAAACTGATCGAAGCCACTATCCACTTATTCAATAAGGTTCTCAAAGACACAAGATATTCTCCCTCAGCCAGAAAATTCCATTATCAATTCAATTTCAGAGAACTTGCCAAGGTCGTAGAGGGTATAATGAGATCTACTCCCAATCAATACAGGGGACAACCAAACAGAATGTTGAGATTGTGGGCACATGAAGCCAAGAGAGTGTTTGAGGATAGATTCATCAATGAAGAGGACATCAAGGTCTTCAGAGATTACGTTAAGGATGCATTGGTCAAGAACATTGGAGAACCAGATGATAAGGACAATCCCTTGGAAGAACCAAATGTGTTCACATCCTTTGTTGCTGCACATATCGGTCAGGAACAACAATATACTAATTGCGATGCCATTACATTGAGGAAAGTGTTGGATGATAAGTTGAGAGAGTACAATGAAGTGAAGGCCATGATGAATTTGGTGTTGTTCTAGTAGGCTATGGAACACGTTTGTAGAATTGCTCGTATTTTGGAGTTGCCAGGTGGTAATGCATTGTTGGTTGGTGTCGGTGGTTCAGGTAAATAATCACTCACAAGATTGGCAACCTTCATTTTGGGATACGATGCTGATCAGATGGTGGTCACATCCAATTTCACAATCAATGATCTCAGAAATTACTTATAGGAAATATACAAGAAAGTGGCTAAACCCAGTTCTGGAAGCAGATGTTACATTTTGACTGACTCCCAAATCAAGGAGGAAATCTTTTTGATTCCCATCAATGATATGTTGAATTCTGGATGGATCTTCGATCTCTTCCCCAAAGAGGATTATGACAATATGATTCAAGGATTGAGAAATGAAGCCAAGGGATAAGGAGTGTTGGACAATCTGGATGCAATCACTTAATATTTCTTGGACAAGATGAGAAAGAATCTCCATGTCGTATTGTGTTTCTCTCCAGTTGGTGACACTATGCGTATTAGATCTCGTAAGTTCCCAGGTATCATCAATTCAACCAGTGTCGATTGGTTCCACCCTTGGCCAAAAGATGCACTCATCGATGTGTCATACAGATTCATCCAGGAAGTTGAATTGGACACTGATGACTTGAGAAAGATCATCTCACTTCATATGGCTGAAGTCCATCTTTCAATTGATTATGCCAATCAGAAATATTTGCAATTGGAAAGAAGATACAATTACACCACTCCCAAATCATTCTTGGAGTTGATTGATTATTATAAGAAGTTGTTGGGTGAGAAGAGAGAATAGATCTCCAAACAAATCAAGAGATACGAGTAGGGTTTGTAGATTTTGGCTGATACACAAGGCAAGGTCTAATTGTTGCAGGCTGAATTGAAGATCAAGATGGTTGAAGTCGACAAGAAGAAGAATGAAACTGACATCCTCATTGAGAAGGTCGGAAAGGAATCAGCTGTTGCTGAGGTTGAATAAAAGATTGCCAACGAGGAAGAAGAGAAGACCAACGCAGCATCCAAAGCAGCAGAAGAATTGGCTGAGACTGCAAGAATTGAGTTGGAAAAGGCATTGCCAGCATTGGAGAAGGCCAAAGCTGCCGTCGATTGTATCAAGAAACCACAAATCACAGAAATGAAATCTTTGGGTTCACCTCCCACTGGTGTGTTAACTACTGCCAGAGCTGTGTTGATATTGTTAGGAGAGAAGATCACATTGTAAGATCCTGAAGATAAATTGTGGAAGAAATCATAATAAGTCATGAACAATCCATAGCAATTCTTGGATAGAATCATCAATTTCAATGGTAAATAAATTGATCCACAAATATTGGCATCTGTCAATAAAATCATTGAAGATCCTGCTCAGAAATTCAATGAAGAATCAATGAAAGGACAGAACTTTGCTGCATCCAAATTATGTGCTTGGGCTGTCAATATTGTTACTTTCAATACTATTTTCAAGTTGGTAGATCCACTTGAAAAATCAAGAGATGCTGCCATGGCTGATCTAGAGTAAAAGAAGAAGGAATTGGGTGTTGTTAAGGAGAAGGTCAGAGCATTGAATGAGAAGGTCAACAAATTAAAACGAGACTTGGAAGAGGCTGAAAGAGTCAAACAATTGGTCGAGGCTGATGCAAATGCTTGTTAAGAGAAGTTGTCAGCTGCTGAGAAACTAGTTAATGGTTTGGCTGGTGAAAACAAACGTTGGGGAGAAAATGTCAAGGAATTGTCCAGCAATATCAAATCGGTTGTCGGAAATGCATTGTTAGCTGCTGCCTTTGTTTCATACATCGGAGCATTCTCAGCTAAATTGAGATTGGAATTGTGGTCCAAGATTTGGTTGACTGATTTATAAGCCAAATAGATTCCCTTGACTCAAGGTATCGATCCACTCAAGATCTTAACAACTGAAGCCAAGATCGCCAGTTGGAAGAATGAAGGTCTGTAATCAGATCAAATGTCTTTGGAGAATGCTTCAATTATTAGTGCTTGTTCAAGATGGCCACTCATCATTGATCCACAATTGTAAGGTTCAGTTTGGATTAGAGGATCATAAGGTGATAATTTGATTACCATCAATATCAGTCAAAACAAGTGGTTGTAACAATTGAATTAAGCCATTCCTCTAGGAAAGGCAGTGTTATTGGAAGGTATCCAATAAGAAATCGATGCCACTCTCGATCCTTTGTTGAGTAGAGCCATCGTTAAGAAAGGAAAGTCCATTTACTTGGAATTGGGAGGAGAGCAAATTGATTATGATCCTAAGTTCAAACTCTTCTTGATGACTAAATTGTACAACCCACATTTCAGACCAGAAATAGCTGCACAATGTACCATCATTAACTTCATTGTCACTGAATCAGGATTGGAAGAATAATTACTTGCTGCTGTCGTGAACATTGAAAGAAATGAATTAGAAATGAAGAGACAAGAATTGGTCAAATAACAAAATGAATTCTCAGTGCAATTAGATAAGTTGGAGGAGAATCTTTTGATTCAATTGTCAGAAGCTGATCCTTCCACCATTTTGGAAAACAAGAGTTTGATTGCTAACTTGGATAATACCAAATAAACATCCAATACCATCACTGAATAGAGCAAGATTGCCAAAGTGACTGAAGTTGAGATCAATCAACAAAGAGAAATTTATAGAATTGTGGCTGCTGAAGGTGCTATGCTTTATTTCTTGGTAATTCAATTGAGTGTTATGGAACACATGTATCAATACTCTTTGGAATCCTTCAACAAGTTCTTCTTCAAGGCCATTGAGAGAACCACCATCAGAGATGAAACAAGAACTGAGGAATTGAGAAAGAACATCAGATACACAATCTATCAATGGATCAGTAGAGGATTGTTTGAAAAGCACAAGTTAATCTTTTTGACTTTGATCACCTTCAGATTGATGTAAAAGAAAGTTATAGAAGTGGTCTATGAACCAGCTGAAATGGATTTCCTCATCAAATGTGTCCCAAGAGCAGGTGTTGAAAACAACTTAGATTGGCTATCACAAACAGCTTGGGATTCCGTACAAGGATTGATCCAATTGGAGGAATTCAAATTGTTCGCTCAAAATATGGAGAAGGATGCTCCCATCAGATTCAAAGATTGGTACAATGAATTGCAACCAGAAGATGTGAAATTGCCATTTGATTGGAAGAGATTGGATCAAATGCCATTCAAAAAACTATTAGTCTTGAGATGTCTCAGACCAGATCGTATCACATCTGCCTTGACCAACTTCATCAGACAAGCCTTGCCTTAAGGAGAATCATTTGTTGAAATGGATTCTAAACTCAACTTCTCAGAAGTTCTTTCTGGATCAGTCGATGACTCAGATGCAACCATTCCCATTTTCTTCATTTTATCTCCAGGAGCAGATCCCGTTAAGGAAGTCGAAAAGTTGGCCAGAATAAATAAGATTGAACCAGGAAAGTCATTCTGGAATATCTCCTTGGGATAAGGTTAGGATGAAATAGCCAGACGTAGAATCGAAGAAGGTAACAAAGAAGGACATTGGGTCATGTTACAAAACATTCACTTGATGCCCAAATGGTTATTGGAATTGGAGAAGATTTTGGATTCATTCACAGGAGAACAAGGTGGTGGTAATCCAAGATTTAGATTGTTCTTATCAGCTGAACCCTCAAGTGGAATCCCCATTGGATTGTTGGATAGATCAATCAAATTGACCAATGAACCTCCTGCTGGTTTGAGAGCCAACATGAAGAGAGCTTGGGCTTATTTCAGCAAAGACGAAATTGAAGACAAAGATCCTAAGATCAAATCAATTCTCTTTGGATTGTGCTTCTTCCATTCCACTGTCATTGAGAGAAGACGTTTCGGACCCAAGGGATGGAATATGTCTTATCCATTCAACATGGGAGACTTGAGAGATTCCTATTTGGTCATGAACAGATACATGGAACAAGGAGCTGGTGGTAAAGTGCCATTTGATGATTTGAGATACATCTTCGGAGAAATCATGTATGGTGGTCACATTGTCGATGATTGGGATAGAAGATTATGCATGGGTTATTTGGACAATATCATGCATGAGGGAATATTCGATGAATTGGAACTTTTCCCATTCATTCGAAGGCAAGAACTTGTCCTTCAAAGTTCCTCCACCCAATAATTATGAGAAGTACATTGAACACATTGAGTAAGTACTCACTTAAGAAACTCCTCTTGCCTATGGATTACATTCAAATGCTGAAATTGGTTTCAGAACCCAATAATGTTTGACTCTCTTCTCAACTCTTCTAGAATTGCAACCCAAAGACAGTGCCAATGAGGAGAGCAGCAGTGGTATGAGAACCAAGAATGAAATCGTGTAAGAACTCATCAAACAATTGGCTGAAGACATTAACTTGAAATCCATGATATTCAACATTGACGAAATCAAAAACAAGATTGATGCTGAAAACAAAGGACCCTATCAAAATGTGTTCTTGCAAGAACTTGAATACATGAACTTCCTACTCATTGAAATTGTTAGATCCATGGAAGAAATCGACCAAGGTTTCAGAGGTATCCTCACCATCTCTGAATAAATGGAACAAATCATTGATGCCATCGCTTTGAATAGAGTACCTGTTGTTTGGGTAGCCTTGGCCTATCCTTCAAAGAGAGGTTTGGCATCCTGGTTAACCAATCTTCTCAAGAGAATTGAATAACTCAATCTCTTCAGAGATGATCCCTATGCAATCCCCAAAGTCACCATGATTGGCAGATTCTTCAATCCCCAATCATTCTTGACTGCCATCAAATAAGTCATCGGTAGACAAAGAGCACAAGAATTGAATAGATTATACATTGCCACTGAAGTCACCAAAAAGAGCATCGAAGAAATTGACTAGACTGCCAAAGATGGTGCCTACGTATTTGGATTCGTCTTAGAAGGAGGTATATATTGTATTTTAATTCTCTCTAGCTCGTTGGGATGTAGTCACTGGACAACTTGAAGAATCAAAACCCAAAGAAATGTTTAGTGTCCTGCCTGTTGTCTACTGCAAAGCACTCATGGTTCCTGCTGAAGGCAAAGAAGACAAAGCTCTTTATCAATGTCCATGCTACAGAACTGAAGATAGAGGAAACACCTACATCTTTACTGGACAACTCAAAACCAGACTCAATCCAAGAAAATGGATTCTGGCTGGAGTAGCACTTCTTCTAGATGTTGAAGGTGTCTCTGATGAAGCTGCTGCTGCTAAAAAAGAAAAGAAGGCTTGAAACTCATTAGATTTTATTATATATTAATTTAATCAATTATTTTATTACAACCAATTAATATTTATAGGAAAATTGTATTTTTAATATTTTCCAATTGTCATTCTCATCTTGACAGGAAAAAATGGAATAAAATTCATAAAATTGTTCTTTTATTTATTATTAAATATGTTTGTTTATAAGGTATTGAATTTAATTACATTGAATTTAATTATAAGAATACACAAGTGATAAATATACTTCATAATAATACAATTTTAAAATTTTGTAAATGCTTATCCTGAACAAAGGAAATAAGATTTAACCAAGAGATATACCCTTGAATATTTATCGAAATAATATCATATGATAGTTAATTCAGAATTAAGAATCCAAATTGGTTTAGGATGTTTTATGATTTTGTTACATGAATACATAATTAGAAATACAAAAATAATGCTTTCTTAACTCTTATCTATTCCTGTGCAAAGGTCTTCACCTACTTTATTGCTGCCACTCGTAAGATATCTTACCTTCTGATGAATACTGAGCTCATCTTTATTTATTAGTTTTCAACCCATTTTTTTATTGAAAAATATAATGAGAAAATAATTATAGGTCCTGAAGGAACTTTAAGGAGGTATTATATAAACGATCTCTAGATTTAAGCCTTATTGAAACACCAAATTATAAAAAGCTTATATCATGCATCGACAAAATACTAGAGAGCAACACAACCGATGGAGAGCTATACTATTAGAAAGGTAATTGCTTTAGTACGATTATTAAAGGAGTGATATTCTTTTAAAAAGACGATTATCAATAGGCGATAGAGTATTTTAGAAAGGCATTAAATTGCGATGCTAAAAATAATACTATAATTTAAAATTTGGGTACTTCACTTGATAAGCATTATAGGAATCTCATATAAAGCTGTTGGCAATTTTTAGGCTGCATTAGAATAGTTTAACAAGAGTTTAGAGATTCAGCCCAAAAACACTTAGGTAGCCATCCTAAAGGGTAAGAAGTATAGGGTAATCTAGGTGATACTCTCAGGCTGATGAAACGATTTACTGAGGCTGAAACTATTTTTCAGGATCTCCATAAAAAGGACAGAGATAATGTTAATGTTATTTAAGGATTAATAGAGTTAAAGTTAGACTAAGATTTAAAAAGCGAGGCTATATAGTATATAGAATAAATAGAATCATTAAAAGTGATAGAAGTGGATCCTCTTTTATTAATAGGTAAAAGATAATGATATCCTAGCGTAACGACTTGTATAGTCAAAGTTGGATAAATAAGCTTTGAAAATCTTGAGCAAGATTCTCGCATATGACAATAAGAACACAGATGGTTGGTATAGTTAAGGAATCATTTTATATAACGGAGATCAATTTACAGAGGCTTTGAAATCTTTTGAAAAGGTTATAGAATTGGATCCTTAAAATACTTCTGCAATGCTCTACTTGGCTTTGTCTTTTGGGTAGCTGAATAGATATCAGGATGCAATCTAAATATTTGGTAAATTGTTGTAGATAAATCCAAAAGATGCAGCAATTTGGAATAATAAGGGTATTGCATGTAGAGAATTGAAATAGTATCAACAAGCTTTGGTATGTTTTGATAAGGCTTTGGAGATAAATCCGACTAACCCGCTCTATAAAATAAATAAAGCGTTGATAATGATTGAAATTAATAAACCTGAAGGTTTGAAATTGCTTTAGAAAGCCAAGGAATCTTTTAATTCCGACATATAATTATTAAATAACTAAGTGTTTACTTCTGTAAATATCTAGTATATGTAATTATAATTCTAATTGTTGGAATAAAATGGAGATGAACATGATTTGTTAAATTAAATTGAAAATCTTGAAAATATCGAAAATATTGAGACAAAAGATCTAGAGGGAAAGAGACTGATTATTAATACAAATGATTTGAATCATAAAGATTTTGGGAAACTGAAAAACAGTGAGAGAAAGAATACTGAAAGATCAGTACAAAAACAACTAGTTAGAATTCCTACTGAAGAAGTGCAAAGTGAGATTTTAAATTAATAAGAATAAAAGAAGGACCTCAATGTCAGTTTTATTCAGTAGAGTTGTTTGATTCAAGGAAGCAATAGTGATTTAATGTAAATAGAAAATACTCTAATTGGAGGGTAATAGGGAAGTATAAAAAAAAGGAATACTAAGTTTAAAATTGACTAGCTAGAAAACATGTATCAGTAATTGAGATAAAAAATAAATACTATTGAATAATAGATATAGTTAGTTGGATTAGATAAAAGAGCTGCAATTTACAAGTAATTACAAGAATTTTAAAAAAGTGCAGAAGGGTTGAATTAATTAGCTTATTATAAAGCATTTTTCTGGACTCTGTTTAATTATATTCAATCTTATGCAAATTAAAGTACTGGACTCTTTCAACATAACACTAATCAAACAATCGAGACTCCAGCAGAGAAGGTAGCAGACAATTTAGAAACAGGTTTAGCCATTGGAGTCAAGATATCAGCCTCAATTCCATTAATAAATACTGTTTTGTCTACAGTTCATTCTGCCGTTCATACTCTTTTTCAAATCCATAAAGACAATAAACATTAAGATAGAATAGAGGCGATTAATGAGATCATCTCAAAAAAAGTGATTGGCTTAAGTGATTTAGAATTATAAATATCTAGCGCAGCACTCGATCTTTCTATAAAAAAATTAGATATAATCAAGGATTTAGAAACAGTAGAAAGGAAAAAATCGAAAACTCTAACTTAAGAAATGGAGAAGATTATAAGGAGAATGATGGAGTCCAAATCGTCTCTTTATTAAGGTGGAGCTAGTCAAATAGGTTTAGAAGATGCTTTAAATTGTCTTGGCTACTATTATTAAAATGGATTAATTGATGAAGATCAGGAACTCTCGTAATAGATTGTATTGATAATTATAGAAAAGCGATACTTTTAAAAAACTCCCATAGTAGAGTCAAGGGAGTGCTTTTCTTGTAGTTGTTAAATACAATGAATAACTTATATAACTATATCAATAACTTTTTATTTGTAATTTAATTAAATAATTCTAATATATATATTCGTTAGAGTATGCCTCAAAAAAAAGATTAATTAAGAAGTATGATAATTGAAATAATTTATATTTTAATAAATAAATATTTATTTTTATATGGGAGGATCGAAATCTAAAGCTATCAAAAAACATGCCAAGGTGGCATTTTCAGATTCTGAACTCGAAATTCTAGAGGTCTATTTCGAACTATTGAAATGCCATGATTCGATGTACAAATTCGATGAAATATGATTTAAATAGAAACGGATATCTGACTCAGAAATCTATGGTCCCAGAGTTTACTGAAAACCCTGATTTCTCAATCAAACTCTTTAACTGGATGAGAGAACGCTGCAAGAATTAGTAGATAGATTACATCAATTTTGTGATCACATGTAAGCAAACAATCTTAAAGTATAGTGGAACTCCTCTTAAAAGAATAATAAGAATATTACTTAAGTGATTACAAATTTAGAGTGCTTGAGAAATTCGAGTTATTCGCATTGATTAGTTTGGGTTGTTTGGAGAATGAGAAAGAAGCAATAAATAGGTACTCAAATTTATTGTATTCAGATTTCAAGTAAGTTACTCATAAGGAAGTACAGTGATTAAGGAACTATTGAATATGTATTATTTCAACAAGGAAGTTTCAAATAGCTAAAGAAATGACTTGGCTGCCAGAAGTGTGGCAAATTCTATTTTTGATTAAAAAGCATCATTGCCATTTAACTAATTTATTGGTTAAGCAAAATAACAATTAATTTATGCTAACAAAATGTGCAAATAGTATTTTACAAAAAAATTCATCGACCCTCAACTTAAATATGGAATTCCAGCTTTGACATCTTCAAGTTTTATATTGAATGATCAAATTCTTGCACTGTTATAAATGAGTTCACCAGACTTTAATAGGATTAAATAGCTGGATCTTAAGTTCTCATCCTCAGTAGGTTATGATGATTTAGAGCATATTACAGAGATTATAATAGAGTCTCAATAACCTTTGCTTTTTATTTTTAGAAATCGAGAAGATGAAACATAGAATGATACTTTTTAATAATCGATCTTTGGTGCATATATTAGTATTGATTAAACTATAGAAACTCATTTCATAAGAAAGTAGTAGAAAGATCCTATGGGTAATTATTTTCTAGAATTTAGGAATACTCTACAATCCAAACGATTAGGTTTCTCTGTATTTTGGAGATGAGAAAAGTTTCCTCTTTTCTTTATTGCCTAAATATCAATTATTCATGAGTACTTTTGATATTAAATCTAAATAATGTTTCGGATATATAAATAGCAGAGCCTTCAATTTGAAAGTGCCTCAACCATATGGTCTAGGTTTTGGAGGGGATGGCAAAGGAAATTTTAGAATTTGGATTGATGAAAACCTTAAAGGAAGTGCAACAAATCGTATCAACAATTAATGCGATTAAACTTACGAAATGGGTTATTTGTTGGAGCCACACATAGAATTTTTAAATGTAAATATTTATGTTGAGCTAGTTAACCTCTATTGAGATTTGGGGAGCTGTCTTTGAAGAAAAGGAAACAAGACCTTCTAATCAAAATAAATTCAGAAGTTGATTTAAAAATTGATCTAAAAATTATAAAAGTTATATAATGTATCTATGGAAATTATATAAAAAATTTCATGAATAATTAACATGCATCTATTTTTAAATTTATAAATATAAAATGTCAAAATTGAGAAAAATTGGTAGCAACTTTCATCTTAATTTCAAAATATTCTAAAAGGGTAGAATTCGTATTTTCTATCATAAAAATATGTTACAATATTTATTTATAATTAATGAATTCATTTACAATAATGATAAAAATATTCATTTTTTTTAGGATAAATTAATTGGAAATTATAGACTATTTCTAGCTTAGTTTGTTTTTCCAAATAAATCCTATAATGTTCAACAACTCAATCAAAATACGCATAAATTAATACTCAAGACTTTTATTCCAAATATAATCAAAAAAATTTTTGTCATCTCATTTACTAATTTAAACAATAATACACTTCAATTAATGAAAGAAAATTCTAACAACTTATTAATGTTATCAATATTAATCTGAAGACCTATTCTGACAACTTTTTAATTAAATCAAAATAATTATTTCAAATGTGATTCTTTAAAGCATTTAGCAGAATAATTTATAATAAAAGTACTTGTTGCAATTCTGAAAGAAAATCTGTTATAATACTATTTATTGAATTCTAAACTATTAATATTCAATTTTACTTTAATTAATATTATCTCTAATAGTTTCCAAAATTAATGAATGTTAATTTTGAATTGAATCCTAATAATTGTGTTACTTTTTATGAGAGATAATAATAAAAAAATTTAACAGACTTTTGTATATCAGAGGATCAAACAAATATCTTTGCTATTTATTATCCTAGGCTTATCGTTGGATGGAGAACTAAAGATCTTGTTAAATTTTACAATAAGATATCAGTTTTGAATGAACTATCGATTATTAGTACAAAAAATAATTATATTTGCGTGGCTAGTTATAAGTCATCTACTGTGGTTGTCATGAATACGTAACAAGAGAAAGAAGTGATTAATTTAAGACATAAAAACTCCAAAATGAAATACATAGCCTTTAGTCAAGATTCTAAATATTTATATACCATAAATTCAGAGAAGACTTTAGCAATTTGGGATTTCAAAAGCGAAGAGCTATTAACATCAATAAATTTAGAATAAAATTTCAGATATTTTTTTATCAATCAGCTTTCTTTAGAAACTACTATTAGATTGTTTACTAAAGGCTAGAGAATTAGTAAAAGGGTGGATTAAGATTAGAAAAATGATTAATAAAAACAAAATTCCTAGATTTGTATATGTGATCATTTATTTTTGGAAATTGAAAAAAATGCTTCAATTAATTTAATTTCTTAACATACATCGAAACTAATTAGGAAAAAGAGAGATCTGACGGGACTTTCTAATATAAATTTTATAAACAATAATAAATATTTCTATATCATATTTGAAAATGGTAATATACTTGTATTTCAAACATCCACTATGAGGATAATGGGTATGGTGACAAATATTTATAATTACTCTGATATCATAGTGACTGGTTTTAAAAATAAAATAGCAATTTTGGGAAATAGTTTATTTGGATTAAAACTCTGGATAATAAAATGAGAAATACATTATATATCTGATTAATGATTTTCATGAGTATATTAAATGCTGAATATATTTTAAATGAATTTTCTTGAAAATATAGATATAGATGTGAGATTGAGAAAGAGGGGATGGTTACTTTAACTGTTAGAAACCACGATTTGATAATCTAGCAAAAGTCTCATGTCAACAAATACAATAATACACATATTTTATTTTTAATATTTTCATTTAATGAATAGAACTCAAAGTTGCCGAATGATGCAAACTAACAAATTATTAGAACTATTGAAAAAAAAGAAGAAAGCTGAGTCACAAAATCCAAGTCTGAGTCCGAGATAATAATTGTCTCCACCAAGATTGGTAAAACTTAAATCTCCAAAATAATTGGATGTTTAGAAATGTAAATAACCACCGTCTTATCGTAATTTAGTTGTAACAGCGGCTGTGAAACTAAAAGGAGTGTCTCATATGAGAACCTTAAATAGTGATAGAGACAATTATGAACTCATAATTACACTGATAACATAAGAAAAATAGTAGATATTGATGTAATATAGGTATATCGTTCCTATTGGGTTAGACCAAACTACAACAGACCTATATTAGAAATTGATAACGAAGATGAGTGCATACGATCCTTAAAATTATTAAAATATAGCCTATTTTGAAAGCTACACCTAAAATTATAATGTGGATTACTATTTGTCCTTGGATGATAAACCGTTGTCGGTGTTTAGCAATGGGAGGACTCTGAAATTGGTTCCAATCTATTACAACGAAACCCAGAAAAATTCATTTGATGATTATATTTTGATTAAATGTATTGGTGTGGGGTAAAGAGTTAAAATTTTTTAGAGGCTTTTCGAGAGTGTATTTGGCAAAGAAGAAAAGGAACGGACAGTTCTTTGCGATGAAAATTATAGACAAATAATTCATTACAAAGAATAACAAGGAGAGCATGATAAACAATGAGAAATTGATAATGAGTAGTCTAGATAGTCAATTCCTGACAAGATTGCATTGTTCATTCGAAACTAAATACTATTTGGTATTTGTGATGGAGTATATCAATAAATTTAATATTTTAGCTATTGTTATGGAGGTGAACTATTTTTTCATCTTCGAAAAATGGGAACTTTGAATGAAGAAGTTGCAAAGTAATACTTCGGATAGTTGTGTCTGGCAATTCATTATCTCCACGAATAGCATGTCATTTATAGAGATTTGAAGCCTGAAAATATTTTATTAGACATTGATGGTTATATTAAATTGTCTGACTTTGGTCTCTCAAAGCCCAATATGTCCAGAGACAAAGCAACCTATTCCTTTTGTGGATCTCCTGAATATATGTCTCCTGAGATGGTTACCAAAAAAGGGCACAATCATATGTTGGACTGTTATAGTTTGGGGGCAGTTTTGTATGAATTCATTTATGGGTACCCCCCATATTATGATTAGCAATTGCAAAACATTTTAAACTCAATTCAATATGATAAATTGGAGTTTCCTGAACATATAAAAATCAGTGATCAACTCAAGAGTCTATTGATTAATTTATTGGCCAAAGACTAGAATGAAAGATTAGGAAGGAAAAATGGAGTGGAGGATATTTTGAATCATCCGTGGCTCAGCAACTTTAATTACACAGCCCTGTACAAAAAGTAATTGCACATTCATTATAAACCTTAACCTCTTTAAACGAACTATAATGTGGCTGAATTCAGTAAGGGGGACAGAGAATTTCAGCAAAGGCTGCAAGATAATTTGCATAGGGAGAGACAAACGAAGTTTGAAACAATTTTTCCGAATTTCGACTATATTTCAGAGTAACCAAAAAGCAAAAGGGAATTGTTTGTAGAGAAGATTAAATATGCTAGTTTAAGATCTTCTCTACAAACGAATATTATAAAAAATAAGATTAAAACTCTTTCTTTGAATGGTATAAATTTGATTGATTGTAAAATTTAGCACCGCAACTAAGTGCAATATGTCCCAGATATTAGTCAGTAAAGAATTCATAGGTAGCATAATCTTCTTCCACTTAATCTTTCCGCAATTCTTCATCCAGTAAGAGATTCAACACTGAATATGATCTTCAGAAATTACTTAAATTTAAATAATGAAAATAAATTATTTGTTTATATATTATACGGTATCTAATCAATAGGATTACATATTTTCTGAAAACGATGATTCTGAATAATATAAATAATTATAAATGTAGTAAGTAGAAGAGAAGTGGTTGATATGCGCCGATCCTGATAGTTGCTAGATTTATACTTTGAACATAAACACGAATGAAGTGAGGGTGGAGCAGGATGTAGATTAAGATTATCGGCAGAAAGCACTATAAGCAATCCAACAAATCGAATCGATGCTCAAATTAAAGACTGGTATAATTTCTAAATTCTAGTTTTTCCAGGTACTTGGTTGATGGCCTCGAAGTAGATAGACTAATATAGAAGAAGAAAGATACCGTCTTACTTGTTGCATAAGTAATCCTCATCTATTCCAACATATTTATGTTAATCAACCCTCAGTCAGGCATTTGTTAAGGTTAACTCAATAAAACTCTAAGTCAAATTGAATCAATACAGAGAATTATTCTAAAATATGCCAGCCGAAGTCCAATTGATGGAGAAACCTAATATTGTCGAAATAGAAGCAGGATTGGTCACTGGAGCTGACGAAGTAATTAAGAGTGTTCTGAGAGAAGTCTATTAGAGATTCAGTGTTAAGTTGAGACCAAAGGATGATAAAAACCAGTTTATATTACAGATCTCAGGTTTTAAAGAGTTTTTAACAGGAAATCATCCAATGTTATCCTATGATCGTGTGAGAGTCTAATTAAGAGGAATGAAACATTTGGAAGTGATCTTGACCGAAATTCCAAAGTAATCAAATCAAACATTTTTGTTCCCTCCCATCATTCATAGAATTAAAGGAGGAGAACCCTTTCCCTAGATTGACTGGAGTAAATTTCGAGATGTTCCTGCCTTGTTATGGTATTCACCCCAACCATTGGCTAAATATGAATCAGAAATTGCTGTTACACGATTGTCTGTGGGACCTTCACCATAAATTAAATTTGATAAGATCAAAGTGTCAAACAGTCAAGATCTGTTCACCAATCACGATGACAGAATTAAGAGGATATCAATTGATGAAAATCCCATTCGTCCTCCATCATAGGAAAATTATGGGTAAAAGCAGAAAACTAGTGGTTAAATTTACGATTTGATTTCAATGAGAAATGAATTGCAGAAATTAAACATGTTGAAAATCGAATAGAATGTCCTTTATTCTGGAGAGTGCGATTGGCCTTTCAGTGTTAAGATTTGTTCTATTGAAAACCTGTTGTAAACATTGGAATAGGATAACAAATTCGAAAAGCAACATCAAAGAGCTACTTACAATGGATTAATACCTCCACTGTATATAACGAAGAAGAATGCTGGAACCAAAGTTGAAGAAGAATAGCATAAACAAAGTAAAAAACCAAATGACGAAACTGATATTAATACGAAAAGACAATAAGTACATCTCAAATTACATAAAAGAACTGGACGGGTATTGGACCCTAAAATTATTGATATCAAAAGATATATTCCTTTTGGAGGTTAAGATAATCTTGATGAATTAGCCACCTTATAAGAGAGATACGATTTAGATTTTTTACCTTATCTCATCTCAGTATAAGTAAGTTTATTTCATGGATGCAAATTGCTCACTCCATGGTGTTAAGCTGAAACCAAGAAATAACCATTCAGTTAATGTCCCAAATTTTATTAAACTATTACATTTTAAGGCATCAAAATATCTTAATTACCTTAAGAAGCTAGATTGTGCTTCAATATTATTGCTCATAGTGCTACTGGATAATAGTAAATTATTGGATGCACTACTATGTACATTTTCTATGAAGAGAGAAAGTTCAGATCATCCATCAATCAATTAAACATCTGGCCATTCTATAAAATTGATCCTAGATTACTCTGCATGGGTCAATATTGGGGATGGGTTAAATAACAGAATCAATAATTGATTGGCCCTTTGCATAATAATAGGAATCAACATTATATTTCTTCTCAACTTATCAATAAATCTTATGGCAGACTGTTAATCCAATTGGATTAATTCAATCAGACTATGAAGTGGAGTCTTAGAGATGAAAAGCAGATGGAGGAATTAGGTTTTTCCAAATCTGCTAGATCCTAAAGATATTATGAGATGAGAAACAAGTTTATTCCTAACTCCGACTATTCCAATTATCAACAATCTCAGTCATCAGCCTTGACTCAGGATCAGTTTAATTCTGCATACTAAAATACAAATAAAAATTCAGCATATTAACAAATTAATTCTAATTCCTAATCAAATAGCTTTAGTAATTCCTAATTATTCTTAAAAAAACAAAGAACTGGAATGGCATCTTTTTATAATGTACATTAAAGATAACACACTAATCCGTATGAATAATATATGTAAGTCGGATACTCATCTTAGGATTAAGGCACAATTCTTCGTTTTGGAGAAATGTAAGATAGATAGACACATTTTGCTTAGTCAATGATGCACATGAATCAGGGGAGCAGTTTTAATGTTCATGATTAATCTAGCACTTAATTGAGCACCTTTAAATTGAGTCATTAATTCTCATAATAAAGTATATAGCAGAATCAAAGTTACCAAGAGAATTACAATTAAGTATTCCCTTACAAAAATTGGTCAACAACTCCAAGGACTGAAGATCTTGCCATCCTGTAGGCCTTATTGAAATACAACCCCTTAAATAGACCTTATTATACCGATTAGCATAAATACATTTTGATGATATGTAGGAATCATTACAAGACTCTGCCTTATGCACTATAAATCTTCTTAATGGCCATTGAATGGGATGATCCTGAATAAGTCAGGGAAGCCCATAACATGATTAAATTATGGACACCCTTGCCTCCTGAAGATGCTTTGCCCTTATTGGATGCACAATTTGCAGATGAAACCGTAAGACTTTATGCGGTTGAGAGAGTGAGTATTTTATCTGATGATGAATTACAATTGTACATGTTAGAATTGACCTAATGCTTGATGTTCGAAAAACACCTATTCAATCCTTTGGCTGAAATGCTGTTAGAGAGGAGTCTGCAAAATCCATGGGTTGTAGGACACGAATTATTCTGGTTGCTTAAAGCTTAATTGCATGTACGACCCTCTTATGAAAGGTATTCTTTATTGTTGGAATAACTATTAATGCTCTGTGGAGAATTCAGGTAGCAATTAATGAATGAAGTACTCGTGGATAATGAGTTGTTTAATATTGCATAAAAGATCAAGGAAGAGAATGTACCAAAGGATTTACGTTAGCATTTCTTGTAGACCGAACTATTGCAACTTTATCCTAAATTGCCCAAACCATTCTCTTTTGCTTTAGACTCAAGAATGGAGGCGTAATCAATCCAATATGATAAGTGCAAGGTCATGGATTCAAAGAAAATGCCTTTGTGGCTAGCAGTTATACCAAAATGTCTTGAAAATGATGATGAGTTATAACTATAACAACCAATCAATATTAAATAGCAAGAAGAGAACCTTAATGGAAATATCTCAGTCATCATTCCACAAGATGAAAATCTACATAATAATACTAAATAGTAATAGGATTAAAAGGAATAAAAAGAATAAATTGAAGAGGAAGAGTAAAATAAATAGCATCTATTGAAAATCATTTTCAAGACTGGTGATGATATCAGATAAGATATGTTAACACTTTAATTAATTAAGATTATGGATAAGATCTGGTTAGATGATGGTTTAGATTTTAGAATGAAACCTTATAAGACTATATCTACTTAAGACAATGTGGGAATGATTGAAGTTGTTACCAATTCCCTGACTATTGAAAAAATTCATGGTTAAGGAGGTCTCATGGGAGCATTTTAACAAAAAACAATTTGGAATCATTTGAAAAAGAAGAACAGCGAACCTTAATCATTTGAAACTGCTACTGATAATTTTCTAAGATCTTGTGCAGGGTATTGTGTTGCAACCTACGTTCTTGGAATTGGAGATAGGCATTCAGGAAATATTATGATTACTGATACTGGTCATCTTTTTCATATTGATTTTGGTCATTTCTTGGGAAATTTCAAATAGAAGTTCGGTATTAAAAGAGAAAGAACTAAGTTTGTGTTAACTGAAGAGGTATTATTATTTATGCATAATTTTAGATGGCATTTGTTATGGGAGGCAGAGATGGCGATCTCTTTAAAAAGTTTTAGTAGGATTGTACTAATGCTTATAATTTGGTCAGAAAACATGGCCATTTTCTTATTAATATATTTCTAATGAATTTATCTGCTGGCATGCCTGAATTGTAATAGGCTTCCAATGTAAAATATATAGAAGATCAATTGGCTTTGAATATATCTGATTAAGAAGCAACAGCAAAATTTAAATAAGAGATTATTATATCTCTTAACGACACTTGGAGATAAATCGATAATTGGTTCCATTATATGAGAAGAAAATGATGGTTTGATAGAATAATATACTCATTATAATTTGGTAATGATGTGTTAGATATTTTAATCTTCTGATTAGAATGTCTAAATCTATTCTTGGAGTTCATTCAATTCTAATGTTTTGTAGGACAATAAGATTTATCTAAAAATCGCCACTCTTTTGTAATTCTATTTGGTATGATTCTCCAGAGTATGTTAAGCTAAATTCACAATTGCTTGTTTTACTTTATCTTTGGTGATTACCTTTTTCTTTATCTATTCATTTTGAATGAGTGTGAATAATAGATGACTAAACTAAATGATATGAGTGTGTGATATACATTATATTTGCTTCTTTCATAGTTATCATTAATTTCACTCAACTAACATAATTTCAGTATGACTGGTACGAGTGCAAATTAATAATTGAATATGAGTTTTCTAATGTTTTGCATTTAAATGTTGCTGTTCTTCCTCATCAACACTAAGCCTTTGACTATTGAGTCTGCAACTGCCTTCTTGTCATATTAGGAAATCTATTTAAGAATGAGATCAAGCAATTCAAAGAATCTCTTATTAATAGATTTGTCTTAGCATTTATGCAAGTAGGTGATCAATGTTTCACAGCATTATTTCATATTATCAATATGTTCTCCCAAGTCTCCTTTTTGTATGATTTAGTGGATCAATTTACAAACTCTATTGATATACTAAATTTTTTAAGGATTCTTGAAATCACTTATCATTTTAATGAATGGATAAATTCTCTCAATAAAAATGGATGGGTTCTTGGTGTTTGAAACAAAAATCTCAACCAATTCAAGAACTCTGGATTTGAATTCCACGACCTTCTTCTCTTTTTCTTTCTAAATGTAAAACTAATAATTTATACAATTGTGGCAATAGAATTAGTGTTTGCTTTGGATAGAGTCTTAATTAAATCATCATCGAGATCCTCTTATAATAATTCGATTTCTTATTCTTGGAAATCTGGTTGAGGAGGAATGACAGTGATTTTGGATTTTTTTTATTATTTAACCATAATTAATATATTATTTTGTATCAAACTTAGAAGGTTTTTAGATCGTCTGCAACTGTTAATTCGAATCCTGTATTGGCTCTAACCCATTCAAGAGTAGTATCACTTGAGATTTCTGTCAAAACCAATTTAACCATCTCTCTTAACAAATACAGCCTTGTCTATGATATTAAGTATATTAAATACCTGTAATAACTTGACTAACTTTGTTCATTCCTGTTGCTGGATATTACAATTGATTAACGAATTTCACCTCTCCTTTGGCAGTGTGTTCCATGACTACCAACACTTTAGATCCAGAAGCAACTAAATCCATAGCTCCTCCCATTCCTTTCACCATCTTTCCTGGAATGACCCAATTAGCAATATCTCCTTGTTTTGTGATTTACATAGCTCCCAATACGGTCATATCTAAATGTCCTCCTCTGATGATGCCAAAGGACTCACTACTTTCAAAAGTAGTGGCACCAGGATTCAATGTGCATGATTCTTTTCCTGCATTTTAAAGATCACCTAATTCTTGGCCTAATTTAGGATATGGACCAACTCCAATTGCACCAATTTCTGTATGGAAATGAATTGTCATGCTTTTATCAAGGAATGCTGGTATGAGAGTTGGGATTCCGATACCCAAATTCACATACATGCCGTCGTTGGAACTCTTAGGCAGCTCTCTTTGCAATTCTATTTCTTATTGCATTCTATTTTCCTTATGGCTTGATATCTACAAATAATATGACTCTTATACCTTTATTCTTATCATATACGCTTTAATCGTAAACTAGTCTCTCGACAGTCTTCAGATAGTTATTGCCTTAATAGAGATAGTCAACGTATATCCCATTGACATGTGCTTAGTCAAAACCAAAGCTTCCAACTGGCACAATGGAATCGACTTCTGCAATAACAACTTTAGCTGCTTTGACCATGTCTTGGTTGAAATTTCTGGCTGTTCCCACAAATCTAAGATTACCATTGGTATCAGCAACATTGGCCTTGATCAAGGCATAGTCTCCCCAAATAGAATCTTCTCTAATGTACTTCTTGCCATTGAAATATTCAACCTAAAAGAGTCAAATAACAAGATATTACAGGCTTTGGTTTAGATTCAATTTCAACTGAGTTTCCACCCTTGCTATATTTGATGGGAATTCCACCTTTCTCTACAACTGTATCCGTTCCAGTGTGTGTGTAAAATGCAGGAATACCAGCACCAGCAGCTCTCAATTTTTCAGCCAAGGTGCCTTAAGGGACTAATTCTAACTCCAAAGTTCCATCAAAGTACTATCTAGAGATGATTGTATTATTGTGTTACTTGGCCAAATTGTGATTTTCTCCTGCATATGAGGCTATCACTCTCTTCAATTACCCATTATTTAGCAGTAATCCTAATCCTAGATCTGTAGTGCCACAATTATTGCTGACTACAGTGATATTCTTTGTGCCTGCCTCCTTTAAGGCATTGATGCTGCACTCTGGAATACCGCATAATCCAAAGCCACCAACAAGCACTGTTGATCCAGCTGGGATTTATTTGACAACTGACAAGTCCTTTATGATGCGGACATAATATCTGCCGATATGAGTTAGAGAGGGCAATGGTTTTACGTACATGAAATTTGAATCTTATTTATATAAATTAATATCAAGATATTTATCTGAGGATATGAACTTTGAGTTTAATACGTAATATAATTCAGCCTCAATATCTTATTTATAATTTATATTATAATAATTATTATAAAATTTATAATAATTAATTTAACTGTTTATATTCATCAATTCATCTATTATTTCCTCATTTGTTTTCTTCCTCTTCATCACTACCCTTTGATGATTCAGCATCCACCTCCTCAATATCATCAAAGGCATCATTAATTTTGACTCCCAAATAATACTCCAATGAATAAGGAATGATCTCATCTATAATCATACGAGCAATATCATAATCGATATCCATACGTTCTGCATATTTATCCAATTTATTTTCTTACACCCATTTCTCTATTTGCTCTTTGTCTTCTAAATTGATTGGTTTAAAGAAGATGAAAAAGCTTTCAGCATCCACTTCCTGGGAGATCGTCTTTACTATACCACTCTTCTTCTCCAATTGTTTTTTTCTTTATCAACTTTCGAGTTACGTTCTTACCATCATTCCATTCGATAATCGTACCTTCACTTTTCACAGGGTTTTCGCCATCTTCAAACATTAATCAATAATTTACACCTTTCAATATAAACTTTTTCTTCAGAACTGAGTTTTTGAAGTAATCATTTGGAGCAAAATAGAAATTCAATGAAAAATTGTCGCTTTTCTCTTGAGGTTCATATTCGATCTTTGTAAGCGATTTTAAAATAGGATCATCTCTGTCCTTAATTTCTTACGCTATGATATCTGAATTCTTCAATGCTTTAAACCAATAACCATTGATTGGCTCAGCTGTCAAGGCCTGATTCTTCTGTGTGGCTTCCTCTCCTTCCAGATAAAAATCAACATCCTTCAATTCCTCTTCTGTAAGCAAACGCGTCCCTTCAATAATTTCATTTGACTATCTGTTATTTCATCATATCTACTGCTTTATATATTTTTGCTGCCTTCTCATCAAATTGAATTTGAAGTTTTTTCATTTCCTTCTCCAATTCAATATCCAACTTCTTTTTCTATTACAAGTAATAATTCAAAGCCACTGCTTTCAACTTCTCCTTCAATGGCAAGGCTTTGATCTTCTTTTTGATTTCCTCAGGATTCTCAGCCACTTCGATGATGGCAGGATTTTGTGCCATTATTTATTTTATAATATCAATTATACATCACATTTTCTAGAAATCTCTTCACTCCACTAGATTGCTCCACTACAAATTATCAAAGACTTCTACTTAATTAATGCATTTTCATAAAAGCCAGATTGATATCCCCAGGTCTATACTTTTACATAAGATGCAATTTTATTGGATCGCCGCCATTCCATTAATGCTAAGATCCTTTTTTTTAGTCTGTATGATTTTTCTTATCAGTATATCCTAGATTTTCAATCATGATCTACGGGTGTTTCTTCTGTTCATATGAATATTGCTGTTAATCCTATTTTTGCATCAAAATCTCTAAACTCAAATCATCCTCTTCCTGAATTTAAAATTCTTCATTCTAATATCCAGAATTGTCATCATTTTTGGATTCCTAAATATGTTTTTAATTCATCTATTCATATTAAGCACTGATCAAACTATTCTCTATTGCTTCCTCATAATCTTGTTTCTATTTCAACGCATTTTTATTCACATTCTTTTTTAGTCTTCCTGCCGGATCTCTATTAGATGATAGAGCGTCTGTGAAATTCTTGAATGTACCAGTATCATTATCAAGTTAAGAAAGGTTTTAGGATGAAATTATCCAAAGTACTTTGTTTCGTTTTGGTGCTTTCTTCGCCATATAATTGGATATTATAAAAGGACACATCATCCTGTTCTATCTTAATTTGAAGACCAGTGTAGAACTACATATTCAGATCATTGTTACCTAATTCGTGTTAATCGAGCTATTATAAATGACTTTTTTATTCTCGTTAGTAAAGTAGTGAAATTATACAGCCTAACTAATTGGTTTTGGATGATTAGTTCTAGAGATTAGTTAAAGTAGCTACAATATTTCTAGGTTTCTGATTTAATTCTAATCAAAAATGTAATTATGAATGTTACTAATAACAACTTGACAGATTTTTGCAGAATTAAATTTGATGAGTAACGACTTCCTTTAGAAAGGAGTGTCGTTATTTTCCCTCAGAAGAGGTTTCAATTAAGGATCTAAAACTTAACACTAAATGAGGTTAGCTTAATTCATTAAAATTAAATTAATCATAAGTCTAAAGTCACATGGAACAACTAACTCTGAAAAAATCATATCAAAAAGTGATACACCCTCTGTGAACATTATTGATACTTAAGTAATCGCATAATTGTTTTGAAAAAGAGAATATACTCCTTAAGCAGAGCAAATTTTGATTTACAAACTACTTCCTACCTAAAATGAGTGTCTAAAGAAAATAATGAATGTAATTATAATATGATAATTTTTTGGTTATAAAATATTTAAAACTTGTTATTATTAATTGGCGCTTTCAATATAATTTCGCGGATAATAATTAAATTATGTAAGAAACACGCGAACAATAGGTTCAAAATCGGTTTCTCCACTTTTTGCAAGAATTCAGAACAATTAACCCCTCTACAGGATAAAGCTTCTATTACTACCACGAGGAAGCTCGAATAATGAGGGACAACGATCGTACTACATTAAATTTGGACTTTACTTCATGTTACTCAGACTGAAGGATATTAGGATCTATCAATTATTATGCAAACAGATTTTTATCAATTTGAGCCCAGTTTCAGAAGAGCCATCCAAGAATTTATGTTCATATAGCATTAAGATGTTGAAGATTAATGTAAGTGTTGATAACAATAAATTAGAAAAGCTTTACTTCTTGGCGGTTTTTAACTTGGCAGCTACAGAAAAAATAAGAGACTTAAGGGCTAATAAAATTGGCAAATTATCTTCATTTATTGGAACTGTGACTCGTACATACGAAGTAAGGCCTGAATTGCTGTCCGGACAATTTACATGTTAGATGTGTGATAGAATTATTGATAATGTCGAATAACAATTTAAATTTACAGAACCAAAGAAGGTAATTATTAATTAGATTTTAGTGTCCAAATACAAAATGTGATAATAAATCAAAATGGACTATAAATCTTAATAAGTCATAGTTTACAGACTTTCAAAAAGTTAGAGTGTAGGAAGATTCAAAAGATATTCCAGCTGGATCTATGCCAAGATCAATAGATGTGATATTACACAATGAAAAATGTGATGCTGCTAAACCAGGAGACAAGTGCACATTTAATGGATATTTGACTGTTATCCCTGATGTGTTTAGTTTAGGTAAACCAGGTTTGAAGAGTTCTATGACAACTTAGAATCAAGGAAATAATTAGAGAGGCTAAACACAAGATGGAATTACAGGATTAAAATAATTGGGTGTGAAGGACCTATGTTATAAGTTTGTGTTTATAGCTTGCGGTGTGGAAACTAACAACAATAGATTCAATCTTTAAAAACAGCAAATAGATGATAAAGAATATACAGAGAGTTTGAGTGATTAGGATGCCAAAAGAGGATAACAATTTGATGATTATGAAAAATAAGAAATTTTAGAAATGAAAAAACAACCAGATCTCTTTAAGAATTTAGCCAATTCAATTGCTCCAGCTGTTTAAGGTTATGAGGACATCAAAAAAGGAATTCTCCTAATGTTGATGGGAGGTGTTTATAAGACAACAAAAGAAGGAGTTCATATTAGAGGAGATATTAATGTATGTATAGTTGGTGATCCTTCAACAGCTAAGTCTCAATTTCTGAAATTTACTTGTAATCTCTTGCCCAGGTCAGTTTATACTTCTGGAAAAGCCTCAAGTGCTGCAGGTTTAACTGCCTCAGTGCATAGGGATATTGAGAATGGAGAATTTTGTATTGAAGCAGGAGCATTGATGTTGGCAGATAATGGAATTTGTTGTATCGATGAATTTGATAAAATGGATTCAAAGGATTAAGTGGCAATTCATGAAGCTATGGAATAATAAACAATCTCAATAGCAAAAGCAGGTATTTAAGCAACTTTGAATGCCAGAACATCTATTTTAGCTGCAGCTAACCCAATATTTGGAAGATATGACAGATCCAAGACTCTAAAATTCAATGTCAATATGACATAGCCAATCATGTCTAGATTTGACTTATTCTTTATTATCACTGATGCTTGCAGACCATTTGTGGATGAACAAATTGCTACACACATCGTTAGATTACATAGTCAATAGGAAGGTGCTATAGAACCAAGATTTAGTTAGGATTAACTTAGGAAATATATAAGATATGCTAGAACATTTAAGCCAATTTTGACTTATGAAAGTGCATAGTATTTGAAGGAAGCTTATATCAGATTGAGAGAGAATGATCAAACAAGTCAGAGAACAAGTTATCGTATTACAGTAAGATAGTTGGAATCTTTGATTCGGTTATCAGAAGCCTTGGCAAGAGTACAATGCGACGATTTCATCAAAGTTTCCTATGTTCAAGAAGCAGAGAAATTGTTGGGGTTAATCCATTCTTTAAGTGGATGAAACACCCAAATTTATTGATGATTTAGAAGAACAATAACCTATTTAGACTAGAGCTATGGGTATTATAGAGGAGGAATTGCAATAGAAAGAAAGAGAGAGGAGAAGGTAAGGATAGAAAATCCAATTGGCTCAGGATGAGTATTTAGATATTGTGAGAGCGTTAACCGCATTCATGATTCAGAAGGAGAGAGAAATGTAAGAGGAGATTACTGAAGCTAAAGGTGTGAAATGGGAGGATTTAGCTGAATGGTACATTACTAATAAATTGGATCAAATTGAACACGAAGAAGAAGTCCATTAATATGAGAGATTGGTTGGTGCTGTTATCAGATAAATGATTAATAAGGAGAAGATCTTAGTGGTTGTTCAAGATCATGAGGATTGTAATCTTCGTGAATTGGCACTACATCCAAATGTACCTAGATGATTTTGATTATTAACTTTGTAAAATATTTAAAAATTATTTATATCTTGAAATGGCTGAAAGTACCACTCCAAATGTCAATTGGGCAGAAATCTCAGATGATGAAGAAATTACTCAACCACAAGCTTAAGAAACATAAGTTTAAGAAAATTAGGCTCAAGAAGTCTAATAAGAATAACCATAAGAATAAAATAATGAACAAAAGAAATAGTCAAAAAAACCATATCAAAAGCATCATAAGCCAGAATGGGTTAGACTCAAGGAGTTGTAAAAGAAATAGGCTGAACAAATTTAAAAAGAGTAATAAGCTGCATTAGAGGCTCGAAGAATCAAACCAAGTGTAATCAAATTTATATCTCTATAGAAAAACAATTTCCAAGGACTTTTGAATGACAGTGACGAAGAGGAATAAAAACCTGAAGAATAAGTCGAATCTGAATAATAGACTAAAGAATAAGAATAACCTAAGGAAGAGTAGGTCGATTAATACCAAAGTATGTATATTTTAATACTACATTAGTTTTGAAACAAAAATAAACTCAAGAAGAAAAATAATAATAATAGAAGAAGAAAGATTAAAAGAAAAAAGAAAACGAGGATTTAGATGCTATTTTGAATGAATTAGGGTTTACTCAAAAAGAAACTGAATAAGCTGGAGATTAGGAAAAAAAAAAGAAGAAAAAAAATAAAAATAAGGATGCTGATAAATAACCAGCCTAAGCTGCTACAGAAAAATAACCTGAATAATAATAATAATAATAATAATAGTAATAATAACAATAATAACAATAACCTGAAAAAGTTGATATCAAAAAGGTTTTAGCAGAAAAAGCCAAAAAATAATAAGCTGGCACACATCAAGTTGATAAAGTAATTTTATAAATTATTCTAGGACTTAGAAAGAGTGAAATAAGAAATTGAAAGGAGAAACTAAAAGTCTAAGAAAAATAAGAAATAAGACTTAGATCTTTGATTAAGTAAATTGATAAATAAATACATTAAATAATAGTATATATAATTTTATATTGATAATTAACGAATATCTATGAACTTAGAAAAACATGCAAAAGCACTTCTTGAGTATCCATAAAGTTCTGATGATGATGATTATCCCAATTATAAAATGAAAGCTTTAAAATATAGAAAAGATTTTCATGAATCAAACGACTAAATTTAAAAACTTAAGCTTGAAAACTATGACAATGTAATGATTATTTATAAAAAATAAGAAATAAATGATATCTGAGTTATTAGGGGACTTAGAAAATCACAGAAAAAAAATAATGATATTAGAATAAGAATTATTGAATTAAAAATAATTAACGTAGGATTCATGTGAGTAATTAAGAAGAGTCAAATAGTAGAAATAGGAAGATAGGTTGTTAATGGAATAAAAATAATTTTAGGAAAAACTAACTGTGCAAACCAATAATGCAATTGAAAAATTAAGATAGCATTTTGATTAAACCCTATCATAATTTACCCCCAAACTTGATAATAGATGAGGATATTCATAAATTATTATTATCTTATGATATCATGATAATGCAAAATGATGTTTTCTTAGATTGTTGGCTTGCTACTAATTTAATGTATTAGGTTTTCCTATTAATGGTCTATGTATGTCATGTGTTTATGAAATTAAATCTCCTTTTGTCTAACCAAGGTTGAAATGATGAGACCTTAAATTGGCACTAGCATGTGGATCTAACTTATTTGGTTGTCCTGATTGTTGATTCAAAGCTTCCATTTATTTTGTAGTCATGAAGGTATTTTTACTAACATTATCATTCAAACCAAAATGAGATGATCGTAAATCTTTTAACAATTTTTCTGATAACTAAGCCGGTTATCCTGATGGATTCTTAAAACTTAAATTTTGAATTAAATAATCTTACTGGGATTGCATTTCTGATTTATATGAAATGTTATCTGTTCCAACTTTAAAATTAGACCCTCTATCCATTTGTTAGTCTCTTGCCTATGAATTTTACTATTATTCAGGTGGCTTCATGGTTGAATTATAGAAAGTTTAAGTCTTATGATTCATAAATCTTGGATCCCCAATAGTAAAATGACTTCCTTGTAGAGCAGGAGTGTTGTTGATATAATTAATTTTATTTTCTGAATGTGGTCTGAAATGTGACATTTATTCAGATTGATATGGTTAATTATCTTTACCAAGTGTAAAATGAGTTGCTAAAAACAATTTTAAGTATTATAACCTCTTAGATTTTATCTATTCTCTTCAGCAAATTGGTTTTTAGTGATTTCCTGTTCATGAAAGAATTCTTGATTCATGGTTTTGAAATCAGCATTTGCATTACCAAAGTTAAAATGAGTTGATTAAAATCCTGGTTTGAAGGAGGCCTAAGCTCCTCCCTCCTTCTTATTGTAGTCTTCTTGTTAGGCTGTAATCATGGGGACTTACTAATAAGATATTTTGTGGTTTAAGTTACCTCCTTGCCTAGAAATATATTGGAGACCCTTAATTGTCTTGCTCTCTCTGCTAAATCCTGTTTTGGTTCTAATTGTTGAGGTTGATATTATTAGTTATAATTAGTTTGCATCATTTTATGAGAACTTTCTGCGAAATTGTGATGATGTGATCTCATTTTATTTTTTTGTACTCATATTTAGGATATATGCATTTTACTTTCTTGTTCATTTTATAATCCTGGTTGGAGCGGTTTTTCATTATATGTTGCCCTTGTAATTGATACTTGCTAAGCCTATTGATGACCGAGGACAAAATGATTTGTTCTTAAGTCATTTTTTTTTTCTTCATTCAAGGTCGCAGGTTCACCTATTTGTTTGCCTTAAAAATCAGTCTTGAAAATTGTGTTGTAGGAAGCTAAAATAGGAATTCAAAGTGTACGTTTCGACTCTCCCAAATGAAAATGAACTCCCCTTAAATTCAATTTGTCTCCAACTCCAGTGGCTTAATCATTTACTTTATCTCCTTTGAAATTCATTTTCATGGTTGAAGTGAACTGATTTTCTAAGAGTATAATGCATTAACATAATACTTTGATCGGTTTGACCTAATTAGAAATGGCTGCTCCTCAACTGTTGCATAAAAAAAATATAATTATATTAATCATCATCTTAATTGTTCAAGTTCGATTTCATTAATCAGGGGAAGAGTTTAGTTTGCCATAACTTCATCAGTCAAGTTGTCATACATGTCCTTTTTATATGTCTCATGCAAAAACCTAGAATAGACTTGTTAAAATTAATACACACCATGTCAATCCAAGAGCAATCAATGCCAATATACCAACAATCGTAATTGCATTTGCCTATTGATAGATCTCCTACATGTAAGACACATACAAGGGAGCAAATGTGCTTCCGAGTTACCCAAAAGTCATGCAAAACCCATAGCCATATGATCTGACAGTCGTTACATAAGCCTCTCCAGTATATGTGTTAAGCATTGAATTATAGATAGTGATGCTAGCTTTAATCAATATAGCACTGAGCAAATGGAGAATCTATTGCCAACACAAAGAACCTTAACACTCTAAAGGCACATCGATATAAGCCAATGTGGCACTAAATATCATTGTAAGCAGACAAAACTATAATGAAATGATTCTAGGATATTTCAACTTAAAATATACTAATTTATAGATAATAATATTACAGCTTGACATTCCAGTCATTAATTCAACTAAAGCCAATATTCTTAATGTAGTAGTCATTGATATTCCGAATGTGGATACTGAGAATTGTAGACCATAATATGTGAAATATCTCAAAAACCACATCTGAACTAGAATCGAAGTTTGTATTAATAATTTTGATCTTTTCATCAATTCCCAATATCCAGCATTCTAATTAGATTGCTGTGTTAAATTAATTTAGGTTTCCACTCTCTTGACAGATGCTATTCTTACACATCGATTATTGAATTTATCTAATTCTTCCATGAAATTGAATTCAAATGGTCTTCTTTTATTAAAGATACTCATAAATCTAAATACTCTTCTGCATTCATCATATTATTATTTAGAAATAAGCCATCTTGGCGATTCGACAAAGTAAAAGTAATCCAATACTACTGTTACTAATAGAGGAACTCCGATACTCCACATCATTAACAATCTCCATGATTGCAAAATATCAACTATAAATGGATATATAAGCATTGAGGAACTCCAAACAACAATTAATAAGGAACTAGCAATTGATCGAAATCTTAATGCACTGATTTCAGTAATATAAACATAAACCACTGTCTCATATCCACTCAACCCAAAACCTGCAATAAAGAATAAAGTATAAAGAGATAATAAACTATCACAAAGTGCAGCCACAGATATTGATACTGCACCTAAAGTCATTCCAAATAATAAAATTTTTCTTCTTCCAAAAATATTTGCCAATATTGGAAATGTAAATCCTCCAAACATTTAACCAACAAAAAATAATGCCGCTATAAAGGCTTTTCTACCATTACAAAATAATCCAAATTCTTTCGCAATACTATCAAATCCAATTAAACTATCTATTCTATTGTTGCAATTAGGATATTCAATACAAATTCCATCGGTGCAGTATTTGGAGGGATTTTATAATAAATAGGGCATACCCATTACAAAAAAAGAGTAAAACAAAAACTAAATGCATAATAATAATGTGATCCTCTATTAATATTTGGAATTGTCTCCAACATACTCAAATGCTTGATCCAAAGTAACGAAGGCTCTCTTCATGTTATAAGCCTCAAAAGCAGGCTTTTTGTACTTCTTATCCTGCAGTAATTCCAACTATTGTTTAAATTAGTTCTTAATTGAGTTTATCATTGTATAACAATTTTTATTAATTGTAGTAATTTCATTAATTGAAAAGTTTCTAATAAGAGTTCTCACACTTTATGTTTATTCCATTTTCTTTCAATTCACTTAACATATAACTAATAAAATTTGACTCTCTTTTGCCACAATTTATTACTGAATTTGATTCCAATAATTTTAACATTTATATATTAGCTACCCTTATTATAAGAGATTATATATTGATAAAATATTGCTGTTTTTTATTTAATTTTTATATTTCACCATTTTCAGCAATAATAGTGAAAATCTCATATTTTAAGGAAGTTATTGGTATATATTAATTAAGAATAGAAATATTTCTTTAAAAATTCTATCATTCAATACTGAATGACTGATATTTTTTAATTATTTTAGTTCATGAACTCATGATTCTAGAGCTGAAAATAAAGTTGGTCCCTATTTTTAACGAAGTTTAAGATGTTCAAATTTATTTAGATTTCAATACGAAGTTGATATTTATAAATTTAATTCGAAAACATGTAAATAAATAAATATTTCTATTAGTAATAAGAATAAAATCATAAAAGATATTTGTTTATAATTTAAATAGAAATCATTATTATGAAGTAATTTATTTCCTAATATTCCTACGAGCATAGTTATTAGGAGATTGATGATATTTAGATTTGTTATTTTCTTATCTTTCTGATTCATTGACGTTTCTGTATAAATAAGGAAGATTGCTCATTTATTTCTTTAAAACAGGTTTTGGCAGAGGGTGTTATTCAGATAATTATTTTTATAACTATTTTCTTGAGACAATAGCCTCAGCTCTTTTTTCTAGGTTTATTTCCTCTTCTTTATATTAACTACTTGGTCTTCTTCTTGTAACAACCTTTGGTTATCGATATTCAGATGGCAAGGTTGGTAATATTTCTTCATGAACAGAGGCAATTCTGTAGAATCTTTTCTCATATTCAATGCAAGAATTATTGACTGATTTTCTATTTAAGGGTATAAGTTTTGAAGATTAAACACTATATCTAACAGATTCATTATCATTTTCTTTGTTTTCATTGTAGTACTTCTTTGTTGGTAGAATATCATTGAGTGTATTAAGATTTTTGGGAAGTTAGATTGTTTTCATCATTCTTTTATTAATAGCTATAGAGGGTGTTTTGATGTACAATCTACTAAAATCAGAATTCATTAAATTACTATTTAAAATCTAATCACAACTAGGTCTAGCTGATGCATTAAGCCTCAACATTTAACCAATCAATGAAACTAATTAATTACTATACCCATTTATGGCAGGGTAGATTCCTTTCTGGATCTTTTTATACAGGCCTTCCATATCCAAAGCTTGAAATGGAGGATGCAGATTGCACATCTCATACAAAACACACCCTAAGGACCAGATGTCTGATTTATTGTCGTATGGTTCATCTCTCCAGATTTCGGGTGATGCATAGTCTCAATTTACTTTAACTAAAATTACATGGAGTGCCTGTCTAAGTGTACAATAGACCTCTTTGGGCTATTTTCGAAACGTTTAGATCTCCTAACTTATAGACCCCATTTTAGATAAAAATGTTGGCTGATTTAACATCTCTGTGAAATATCAGTTTTTCATGTAATTCCTTCAAACCCTGAGTGATCTAGATCAGGGCTTGCCAGATATCCTGTTCTTGAAACTTTTGGGTTTTGTTCTTTTTGTTTGTAATTTATTTTGCAACATCTCCTCCATCGGCGTATTCCATTATAATCCCCAAAGTTTAGGTTTCTTTCATATTCAGAAGAACAATACCATCAATATAAAAAGCCTCCTTGTATCCTATAATGAACTCCTGATTCAAAGAAGCTAATAGTCTAATTTCATTTAGAGCGTTCTATTTCTCTTTCTCATTAAGAGTACCCATTTTTATTTTCTTCATTGCATAAACTTGATGGTCAACCCTCCTCATTACCTATTTACATAATGCTAAATACCTTCCAAACCTCGCTGAACGACCCTGAACCCAGCTTTTCCAACTCCTAAAATTGATGAAGCATCCGTTAAAATAATTTATAGAAATTAAGAAAAGTGGAATTTCTCATAGGTTTCTCCCATTCTCCAAAATAATCAAACCATACATAATAACCCCAAAATATAATGATTATAATTCGAACTACTGCCTTCTAAATGCAAAAATGAGATATAGATTATTCAACTTAAAAAGATAACTGAATTTATTAGTCACAAGAATCAGCATTCTTTAAACAACACTTCAGGTAGATTACTATACCATAAATAGAAAATCATTGAATCACCGTAAGTAGATTTGAAATTCAATTCATAATAGGTATTGATAGAAATTTATATGATTATTAATCAATAATTATATTTTGGTTGAGTATCAAAATATTTTCCACAAATTTATTTTATTATTCTTTATTAAAATGCTCATTTTTACGTATAAATGGTTGCACCTGAAAATACTTCTAAATATTCTAACTTAACTCATACAATGTAAACAAAACATGATAACCTAAGGTGCAACTTTGACAAGATTATTTAAGTTTAAACATCGATCTAACATGTATATTTTGGTTGAAGTTTAATTATATATTTATATACTTTTATATCTATGTTAAAAAAAAAGGATTGTTTCATTTTTCCACTTTTTTTTTTTCAGATGGTTCTTAGAATTGTATGATTTTTATCAAAATTCTTATTTTCCAGAATTTTTAGTACTCTTTTCATAGAAATTAGTTCTTCATTTTTTAGCTGACGTAACATTCATTAAAATAACTTATGGAAATTAAACCAAAATGGATTTTCTGTTTGCTGCTTAGCACTAATATTATAATTAATCTGGACTAAGGAATCATCCCTGCAGGTATCGTCTATTTTTTATTAAGCAATATAATAGATAGAGGATTCTCTTGAATTAACTTCAGAATAATTAGGTTATTTAGGATCATAAGTTTATGCAGGTGTCACTTTAGTTTGCTTATTTGGAGGGAAATTGTTTCTGCATTTCAATTCAAAAATGATAGTCATGATTAGTTATATTGGAATGATAACTTCATTGACCTTATTTCCATTAAATTATGGATCAAGTTGGCCATTTTACATTTTCAGATTCCTAACAGGATGTTCAAAAGTACTTAATTTGTATTAAAATAGGCACCTATGATGATTTATTTTCCTGTTTGGGTAGATAATTTTGGAGGAGAATCAAAAACAATTTGGATTACAATTCTACAAGGAGTAATTCCACTTGGCATATTTGTGGGATATTCTTTATCAAGTGTGATTTCTAGCTTGTGGTAATGGTAAGCCGCTTTCTACATTTAAGTAATCATGTTAACTGTTTGTGCAACATTTTTCATAATATTTGTTAGGAATACAGACTTTGATATAAAAAAATGTACTAAAAGCAAATTAGAAAGGAAATCAATCAATGAAGAGCAATAATCAGCCTCGCTTCTTGCTTAAAATACAAAGAGATCTTATTGCTCAACGATGATAGAACTATATTCCATAAAGTTATGGCTGTGTTGTACAATTGTAATCAGCATACTGTATTTTATTGTAACTGGTATTTAATTTTGGATGACAGACTACATGATCCATGAGATGCATTAAGACAAATAAACAGTGAACATCGTATTTGCCATAGTATCAATAACTGCTCCTGTGTTTGGATGTATTACAGGAGGATTAATAGCGTAGAAATTGGGAGGATATTAGAGAGCTAAATCCTTATACGTATGTGTTTTATATTGTTCCCTTTGTTGCATAAGTGCAGCACCAGTTCCTTTTACAGAGACATTCTGGTTTGGAGCACTATGTCTATGGTTGTTGTTATTCTTTGGTGGAGCAATAGTGCCACCATTGATGGGAATCATGCTTTCTTCAGTTCCTAAACATCTGAAGGCTTTTGCAAATTCAAGCACAACGATGTTTTAGAATTTATTCGGTTTCTTACCTGCACCATCAATTTATGGGTTTCTGATGGAAAGATATAATTCTTAAGTTGCAGTATTTGCATTGATGTATTATTCCTTTGTTGGATTACTTGTTATGTTGTTGGCTGTTTATTTTAGGAGATAGTAGAATAACAAGAAGGTTGCATTCGAAGAGGTATTTGCTCAATAAGATGACTCAAAATCATCTGTTTTACATGATCAAGAAAACTTTAATCTTACAGTTAGAGTACTCCAATATGGAGATGCTCCATTAGTCACCTCCCTTACTCCTCACATTGACGATTAAATTCTAGATTATAATGATCAAGAATTGGTAAATTAAAAAGAAATTTGATGTTATTTTATCTCAAAGATTTATTGTAATTTCTTAATTAATTGTAATAACAAAATCTATTTATACTGAAATGGCTCTTATAAAATCAAATGGCTGGATTACGATGTAAGTAAGGTAAAGTATTGGGATCTCTGGGCATCTTCTCGTTTTTTATTACTGAAATAACAGGTCCAGGTAATCCAGTCTCCAGGAGAGTCTTTTTGGCTTCTCTTTCTAATATTTTCCTGATTGATGAGTTGGAATGTATATTTGACAGATTCTAATACGTGCCATTCTATCTATACTTTGTATTGATTCAGAATTTCATCAGCAACATGCTTTGCAATTCTGTCTTCCAATGATGCCTTTTAATCTCCATTCGAAGTTGTCTTATCCCAATCCTACTTACCTTATTCCAGTTATTCTTACCTCTTTCTTAATTGATTAATTGAATCTAAATATCACAAATTCAAATACTTTAAGTCTTCTCTGAATGCACGGATCGTGCTTCATCATTTTTCCCTAAGGATTAACTAATTTTATCATAAATATCTGGTTCTCGTTGCTCTTACTTTTATTCAGGCAGATTGTCTGGTTTTTCTTATTGATTATCTTACTTTTTAATTTCAGTAATTCTCTATTAGAGTGCTTTGAGCATGACATTAACCTAATTTACATGAATTAAGTACCTCTAAGTCATTGATATATGAATCATAATCTAAATTTTCAACGAAATTCAGAAGTTCATCTTCTTCACTCTTTATATGCTGTTCCTCCTCCTATTATTTATATTATAAACTGTTAATTACTTCTTTAGTCATTGCCCAAATTGGCTTAGTCTTATACCTTTTCTTTTTATCACCTGCCTTACTCTCAACTTTGGAATCCTTGTCTTCTAGTTTCTTTAGATTTTCTGCTGTTAATGCCACACTTAACAAATATTATAAGTGTATTACGTTTTACTTTTTGGTACTTCTTCTGATAATTCCTTTTTAATCATCTCATTCATCTATTTGTAATCTTCCTTCATTTTTTTAGTCACTTCCCTGTCTTTCTTTGCTTATTCTCTCACTCTTAAGAACTTCTCATCTTCTCTCGCTTCTAATTCTTCCTTGGCATGCTTTTTAATCTAATTCTGGAGTTTGAATGCTTCCAACCATTTCTTATGTCTCTCTAATACAGGATTAGTTTGAGGTACAACCACTTTTGGTTCTTCATACTTTTTTGTCAATCCCCATTAGTCATAAGGTTGAACTCTCGAGCAGAATGGCCTGAATGATCACTCATTATTATCATACTTTTCCTTCACTATCATTACATTCTCATTGGGTCTATTGCAAAGCATGACACCTTTGAAATTATTGATGGGAACATCCATTTTGATAAATGTGATTAATATTATAAAATAGCCATATTAACAATATGAAACAAATCAATAACCCTAAGTTAGACTGATATTTTCTAATTAATATTATTTTACGCATTAAATTAAGTAGTGATGCTCCTTTCATTTTTTGAGTGGCTTGGAGGACTGATTGGTCTGCCAGAAGACCAAGCAAGAATGGTGTTTGGATTCATAATCACAATACCATTGGGCTTTCTATTTAAAACATTAAAGAGTATTTAAATTGAATTATGTATGATTAGGTGCTAAAGTAAGAAAGTATTTTGGTTTGACTATTGGTTTGTTATTATCGTACATGCTCTACCAGGAGAAACTGATTAGTGTGATAATACAGAACATCATAGTGTATGAAATGACAAAGCGTATTACATTGAATAAAATTGGCATTAAGGCAAAATGGGTATTTTATGAAACCCTCATTTATGTTGCAGTGCATCACATCTACAGACAATATACAGATTATGGTGGATGGTAAATATCTGAATAATGATTAGGAAACTAGATATAACAACTATATTAATGATGAACACAGTTAAATGGACATCATTTGCATACAATTACGAGGATGGATTACGAAAAGATGAAGAGTTGAATGCAGATCAACAGGAAAGAAAACTCTAACAAATACCGTCATACACAGATTATTTTGGATACATGTTCTTCTTTTGTGGATGCTTAGCTGGAGTAAGTTACAATTTTGATTTTAGCCCTCCTTTGACTATTATGACTACGATATCTTTGTTAAAAGGACTAATGTATATGAGAAAATCCCAAGCACATTCTGGGAAACTTCCCGTTTGTTTAGAAATGCACTGATATACAGTTTCTTCATTGTTGTAGTTTATCCAAGATGGTCTTTAGAATCTTTAATGTCCACAGAATATGAAGAGGCCTGTTTACTCTACAAGATATTATGGTTAAATCTAACCATCACCTTGCATCGAACCAAATATGTGTCAGGATGGTTATTCTCTGAAAGTGGATTGGCTGCTGCTGGTTTTACATATAACGGCAAGTAGGATGGAAAGGATAAATGGTTGAGAATAAGATCAATTGACCCTACAATAGACTTGACTACTAATCCAAAGGATAAGATTGAATTGTGGAACATTTCTGTGTAAGTTTGGCTGAAGAAGTATGTGTATCTGAGAGTGTATCCTGAATCAGTCTTAAAATCAAGTCCAGCCAAATCCCAAAAGGCTCAATTGATTACATTTGCAGTTTCAGCATTTTGGCATGGGTTTTATCCTGGCTATTACATTTCTTTCTTCCATTGGAATTTAATTGGAATGATCAACAAATATATCCATAAGCTTGGATAGAATACAAATGTGTTGAAAATTTGGGATTCAAATTTATTATTTAGAGGCATTAGATTTTACCTTGTAAATTCACTATTCAATAGTTTTGGTATAGGATTTTAGTTGATGAATATCAAAGACAATTTAAGATTCTATGGATCAGTATAGTAATTATTAGTACTATTCTAGTTACATCTTTAATTTAACCACATATATTGTGTTTGCATTTTTCACAGTAACCTAATTTGGCCAAAAACCAAGAAAGAAGCAATGATGAAATTATAACATAAAGATATTAATTAAAATGTTGATAACCTCTAAATGATGTACGTTATAAATCAGTTTTCCTTCTTGTTGTCTAATTTATTCTCTCTGTTATCATATACATTTTTATATTTACCAGCTGAAAAGATTCCAATGCCTACTTTAATCATAAAAATTGTCCAATAAATGTGCATTCCAAATAACACTATCATCAAACCAACTTGGTTGTATAAAGCATGCTTTGTATTTTCCCTACGATAATAGTGTTGAATGATACCAATAAAGTGAAAATCCTGGATGATTTACAATGATGTCATATATCTTGATAGGGAATACATAGACTCTGGTGTACAACCAGGAGATTTGTATGGCTGAGAAACTCACATAGACTAGGATCTTATTCTTGCCAATGTCAGCATAGGTTCTACCGTAAGCCAGAAAGATGTCGCTGATGTCATGGAGCACCAAAACCACAACACCAATACTTTCGCAATTATAAATTGTTGAAAAGTAAAGCAGACTTACAGCTAGAAAATGATGTAGTAAATATTCCCAATACTTTAATTCAATCTTTGTACCGTGGAACATCAATAACAATAAAGCGTGGATATGACTTGCGGTTTAAATCATGTAATAGAATGGAACCCAAGGGTTCTAATTAGAATGACTAAAATTGTACATCGGGCATATTGGGGAAATCATACATAGTTTCTGTGAATTGGGTGCCTCCTAATTGTGTAGGAAACCACTTCTCATCTTTGAAAACTATGTATGCAAATATTGTAGCTACTGAATAGTAAAAAGTATCATAAATCCATTTAACTATTTTTTACACTCGAAGTTGTCTGTCCAAACCAACATATTTTTTGTCCAAGGAATTCGCAACATAATCAAACACCAAATATCCATTGATTTCCTTAGTGATCTTAATTATTTTAAAATTAATTTTACATGAATTAGGATTAACCCTACAATCAACCATTTCAGATCAGTCCAATCAAATCTTCTTAGGTTTTTCTCCTTTTAGGAATTGCTGATATTAAATGACATCCAAGCTATACAAGGAAATGACAACTATGTCCAATATATGTTTAACTTACATAGAACAACAAAGAAAGAATATTTGAAAATGGTTTCATAGTGAGAAAATTTGACCCAAATTTGCCCCAAAGAGAAATGTTTTATTGATCCATCTTGGATGAAGCGGCTGTTTTCTTACTTTGAAAATTATTGGAAATCATGTTAAATAAATACTTTCTATTTATAATATAAATTATTTCCTTCCAATTAATTTATATAATTGAAAAATGAAAATTGTCATATTATTTAGTTTTATTATTTAAGCATTAAATGCATACATGCTTAGAAACAGGAAAGATTAAATAAAACAGCAAGTGATCCTTGTACTATTCTCTTTTCGATATTTTAGCAATTTAGAGAAACTGTAAAAAATCCATTTTCACCATTTTATCACTCATCATATGATCGATTGGCGTATTACGTGGATACATTTGGTCCAAGAATGTGGGGTTCAGAAAGCATGGCTGATTCAGTAGATGCTCTGGTTGAAGAGATGCAAAAGTATGGATTTGATAGGGTATGGAAGGAGAATTTAGGAGAAATCACATCTTGGAAAAGAGGAGAGGAGAGTGTGACATTATATGATCCAAGAGAGTACCCATAGAAATTAAACATGATTGGTTTAGGATGGACACCAGCAGGATCTGTGAAAGCAGAAGTTGAAGTGGTTCACACTTTTGAAGAATTAAAGCATGTAGATGTAAAGGGGAAGATAGTTTGTTTTAATTTTGAGTGGAAAGGATATTCATCCAGTGTCTAATATCGAATGAACGGACCAAGGTTGGCAGAGTAGGCAGGTGCAATAGGAACTATAATAAGGAGTGTTGCAAGTATTTCGATCTCATCACCACATACAGTATGAATATCAGTTTAACATGCAGGGAATGACAGATTATCAAAGTATCAAATATCCAGCCGTTGCAATCACAGTTGAAGATGCAGACATGATAGATAGAATGAGATAAAGAGGTTAAAAAGTAGTTATCGAAATTAAAACGGGTGGATAACAATATAAAACTACAAGTGATAATGTATTGGCAGAAATCAGAGGATCGAAATATCCAGATGAAATCCTATTAATGGGTGGTCATTGGGATTCATGGGATGTGGGATCTCAGACAGGTGCTAATGATGATGGAGCTGGAGTAATTGAATGTCTAGAAGCTTTGAAACTTTTTAAATATTTAGGAATTAGACCTAAGAGAACCATCAGGTTCATTGCATGGAGTGGAGAAGAAATGGGTATGGAAGATGATGGTGCTTAACAATATGCTAAAACTCATTCTTAAGAAAATCATGTTGTTGCATTTGAATCAGATCTTGGATCTACTAAACCATATGGATTTGGTGTCACTGCTGGAGAAAAATTCACGTATTCTACTACTTTAATCTAGACAACTTGTTACATATTTGGCCTATGAGTATTTGACTGAAATTGGGGTTGAGAAGATATATCCTAATGCTGGAGGTGCAGCTGATAGTGGAGCCTTGAGAACTGTGACAGGAACTCCAGTTATGAACAATTAAATAGTAGATAACAATACTCATGATTACTATTTCACTTATCATCATACGGCTGGAGATTCTATGTTGATGATGAATGCTGATGATATGGATGATAATGTCATTGCTTTTGCTAGTATTATGTATCTGATTGCTGATCACGATGATTCAATACCCAAAAATTGATCAAATTATGTAATTATTAATTCTAATTTATTATTATTTTTTTTAATATTTCATGAAAGCCATATTATTTGTCGCTCTAATCCTTTGTTTTGCCAATTGCAGTCTTGAAACTATCGGACTCAGACACAAACTGTCCCAAATTATTGAAGAACATCAATCAAGCTTGTAAGAAAAATAAATGTCTGGTGGATGGATCAAAGTAATACATTGTTTTATTCCCTAGTAACCATTGGAAGAATTTGAACAACAAAACAATAACATTATCGTATCCTCTTTAAAAGCTGTTGAAGACAAATATGCTTTATCTGAAGATGGATACGAATATGAAAAGTTACTTCAAGTCACTACTCAAGTTGTCTCAGGAATCAACTATAAAGTTCTGGTCTAATATGCAAAGGAGGATGCCAAAAGAGTTTTCGAAGTCTAACAATATGTTGTGTAATTCATTCCTTTTAAATTAGTCCCTGGAACCCATCAGCCAATTCAATTACCAAAGTAGAAGAAATCATTTCATCAAACTAATGAATAAGAATTATAATACACAATAATATTAATCTATTATTTTGATCTTAGCAATACAGCCCAAATCATAGATATATCTGCTATTCGTTTTATAATTATATTTTATATATAGAATATTTGAGCACATTGCTATTAATGGTTTGATTCTATAAAATTAATTATTAATTCTAAATTAACACTACTTTACTAAGATCAATTATTCACTTTACACTTATAATAGCTATTATTCTATTTCATATTTATAAACAGAAATAATTGAAAAACTGGAATTTCATTTTTTTTTGACGCTTTATTGATTTCAAAGAAAAATAAAGAGATAAGAATTGCCTTAAATAATTAAGAGATTTGTTTCTTATAAGCTATTATAAATATTAAATATGGTTATATTCTTAGTGAATTTATAAGTTTGTCTTCAAAATTAAATTAAGTACAAACAAAAATTCACTCTAATCCTACTTAAGGATGAAATTTGTAAGACCTCACCTTTACAGTATTACTATTCAAAAGACTCAACTCTTGTAAGTATGTTTGTTTATGCAGTTATTTGATAATATTTCTTAAATTTAAAAAATACTTTCATAGTTGTTAATTCTTGTAAATATCTTATTCCCAAGTTTTGACTCCTCATTTAAGAGGGAAATTTTCCACTTTGTTGTTTGAATCGATTGTTTAGGTCCTTGTTAATAGAATCTTTTCATATTGTATGAAATTAATTACGGCCTAAAGTTGATATGGGATTGTGATGGAGCAATCCAGCGCTTATTGTCAATTTTAATTGAACTGTAATTATTATTTCATAAAATTATTTATAAAAATGGGAAATTCATGCTGTGAAGCACAGTAAAGTGAAAAAGAAATTCTATAAGGAATAAAGAGTAATTATATTCGATCGCAAACCAGCATTGCTTCTAAAGTTTTGTTTTCTAAACCTTAATAAGAAGTTAAGTATGAGAATCACATACTACTTAACATTGATGAAGAACCTGTTGAGGAATTAAAAGAGGATTTTCATGAAAGGAAGTTATATCCTGTTGCAAAAAATCTAAATAAAAAATTTCTACATATGTTGGAATGACAAAATATAATTCATTTTTGTTATAATTATTTTCATATTGTAATTGATTCATAATCTATCTGCATGATTAGAAATTCATAAGTTGAGCATATCTTTGTGTTTGAATACAAGTTTTGAAGCATTTTTCAATTTAAAATCATTTCCAATTTATAAAATCTGTATCCGTTTAAACTTTCAGTTTGAGCATAAGGAAGAGGAAGCTAAAATAAGTATCAGAGATTTCCTAAAAAGGAAACTGCTAATTACATAAATGCAAAAGAAATAATTTATGTTATTAAAAGAAAATTAATCACAGTAAATTTCTAAATTTATATCAATAAGAAATTTTTGTTAATAATATTAAATATTAGAGAGAAATACTTATCAAATGTGTTAACTTGTGAATATATAAGCCAAGCAACCAATTAATTTATTGAGATATTCAATATTTAAATTTTCATTTGGACCATGTGCATTCGAATCTGGTGCTAAAACTCCCAAAATCAAAAATTCAGATTCAGGATATAATTGATGTAGAGAATTTAAAAATGGAATTGATGCCCCTTCGTGAAACATTCTCATCTCATTTCCAAAATTGTTAATTGAAGCCTCATTCAACACATTTTTAAGCTCCCTACTAAATGGCTTCACAGCTAAACCTGTTTTTGCCTGTATGATTTCAATTTAACTCCACTAAGTTGTTAATAGTTCTGATAGTTATCCAGAAGCCTCTTAAGCATCCTTATTTGGAGGCAATCTCATAGAAATTCTAATTGTTAATTCATCACTATCTTGATTCAAATCCTCTAAACCTCCTATATAGGAGACCGAGGGTTTCCAAGCTCTATTGATATATTATTAAACGTGATCAGGTTCCATTTTAAGGCAAGTCATAGGGAATTCTAGAGGAACTAGCTAGGCTGTCGTTTAACATTCCTCAAAACTGGTTTAAGGGATAATTGTTTAAAATTGTTAATTGACTTCACCTGTGACTGAGTTTTCTAGTTTATTTAGCAAACTTCTCAGATATTGGAATGGGTTATGGCTTTAGAATATTTTAATATCAAATGTAATTGCTCCTCTCATTGAATTAGTAATCCATAATCGATCATAATCTACAATTCCAGAATCAATAGCAATCATAAGATCTATTTTTGATATCTTTAACATTTAAATGTATTAAATTAAGGAATGACTTCCACTTTCCTCCTCTCCTTCTACAATTAAATAGCAATCATGATAATTTTATTTGAATTATTTTAATGCTTTAATAGCTGCAATAATAGCGTAAGGTACACAACCATCATCTGCAGACCCTCTTCCATAGAGTCTATTGTTCTCTATGATTGGTGTGGTGGGGCCGTATTTCCAACCAACAAAATGAGGTTACTTATCATAATGTCCATAACATAGAATTGTCTTATTTTGTTCTTAATTTCCAAATATTTTTATGGCAATGCATCTAGGAGAATTAGGAATTTGTAAAATTTTGATTTCTTTCTGTATATCAACCATTTCATTTTCAATCCATTTAACAATATGATTGCAGGCTTCTTCTAGTAATTAGTTTTATTGCCATTAATTATCGAATTAAGGACTCAAATTAGGTATTCTTATAAAATTTGATAATGAGGGAACAATAGATAATTCTGTAAATTATTTGATGAAATTTCTCATTAATTATTTGGTTTTTTAAATTATATATTAGTAATTATTTGTTTTCTATATAGAATCATTTCCTCCCAATAAATAAATTTAGATTAATTCATGAAATTTTTATTAATCCTTGTGGGTTGCCAATTAGCAGTTGGATTAAAAATTCATTATTTAGCTACCAAATGTCCTTGTTCTGAGTTTTCAAAATAAAATTGTGATGCTTCAAAGATTTGTTCTTGGAATGGTGAAGATTGCTAGGATTTGGATTGTCAATAACTTAGTTAAAGTTATTGTTTTGGTGATTTAACTAATTATAAATGCAGATGGGACAAGAAATTTGAAGTATGCAAAGAATTTGATTATGATGAATGTGATCAAATGATTGATGCTTAAGATTGTATAGAATCAATTTATTATAATAAAATCAGTTGCTCATGGACAAATTAAATGAAATGCGAATAATTTGACTGTTCTATTGATACTTATTGTCCTTCTTGGAAATGTTCTAAAATAAATGGTATTTGCTCAAATCCAACAATTGAATTAAATTGTTCAGCTTTAGCTATAGATCAATGTGGATCCAGTTATAATGGTTTTGGCATTAAATGCTATTAAAATGATTTTGTGTAATGTAAGTCATTGGATTAAACATAATTTTCATGTTCCTAATTAAATGATTCGAAGACTGAGTGCTAAAACAATTTATGCATATATGAAAATAACAAATGTAGAGATAAGGAATGTACAGACTTAAGTAAATAATAAGAATGCGAATAATTTTATTCTATTCAATCTAAGTATCTAACATCCTGTTTTTGGACAGGCTATTAGTGTGAAGAAGTGCAAGAGGAGGATCTTGAAGAATTTAACAAAGATGATTGTTAAAAAAAAACATTTTTAACTTATAGTTGGTCAGAAGATGATTAATGTTAAAAATGCGTATTATTTGAAGAAAATGAAAGTGATCAAGTTTTGCCTATTGTTCTTGGAATAACTATTCCTATATCTATTTTGTTGATCTTAACTTGCATTATGATTTGGTGGTGTAAGAAAAAATAAAAATTTTGCTTTAAGCCAGACCAAAAAAAAAGTTACGAAGATGAAATTCAAAAAGATGAGAAAAAGTCATCAGATAATAATTTCACCCAAAGGCTAAAACATGACTAAACACCAGCCCTTTGAAATAGAGTTAATAACATTGATATATATCAAAATTAAAAACAAAAATAATTTTTATTTTCTCTATAACTAAAAAAAGATAGAAAATGAGTAAACTATTTGAATCGCAAATTGATGAAAAAACATTAGGAAATTCAGGATAATAAGACTATTAAGGTAGACTCTTATCTAATTGTTATAGTAGAGGTTAAAATTTATGATAAGAATAATTAATAAATATGTATTTTACTAATTTATATTTTTAATTTAAAAGGAATTTATTAAATATATTATAAAGTTACTTTGAAACATAAGCTCGTTGTTAATCTCATTAGGATTTCAACATTCAAATATTTTACTAATTCCATGACATCGTAGTAATAAATTGACATAAATAACCATTTATTCATCGAATATCTCAAAATTTGAATTTATATAAAAATACAATAAAATAAAGTATTTAAATTCTCAATATTGTCCGCCTTCAGACCCACTCGATAAATCACCTATGAAAATAGATGAAATTAAGCTCAAAGTTGATTTATTATGTGAATTAAATGCTATTAAAAATGTAAATTAAATTATTAAACTTAATTAATTGGACTTTCTTTAGGATAATTTGATTATAGCTCTCTCCTCTAAATTATTAGATTGGCAATAATTTAAGATTAGTACAAACTGGAACACTGGCACTCGATTACAAGCTTCATATTAATTTGATATATAGAATTCATATTCAATTTAATTTTACTTTTTTCTTTTCTTCTGCAGGTTCAAATTTTAATATATCTTCAAAATCTATATCCTGTTTATTTCTTTGATCTCTTTAGGGAGAAGACTATTAAGGCTTAGACATAATTCTCTCATCTCGCACAATCTTTTAGAGTTTCTAGGTAGTGTTTGAAGATGGTCTCATTTATTGTTTTTCAAGTCTTTGTTACTGTAATCTCATTTCGTTCTTTAAAAGTGTTTCATGGAATTCCTTTTCAAATTAGGGCATTTCATTAGGTTAACAAGGTTTTGGTTCCTGTTTGAAAAAGTCATGATTCAAAGCCTGCACTGCATTCAACCTTTTATTTGGATCCAAGATGAGGAGATGATCTATTAGATCCAAAGTCACTTAATCAATTTATTTACTCAAAGCTTGGCAAACATCCTTAATGTGTTTGACTAATAACCTTTCGTAATTCCTTCTGGGTTTAAATTCCTCCCATTATCTCAAGTTGACACAATTCGGCCAATTTTATTCAGTTGCACTCCCACATAATTCATAGATCCTTTCCATTTATCTGAACTCAATATCTCCTTTGAAAAGCACTTCTCCTGTAATCAATTCGGCAAAGATGCAACCAAGACTCCACATATCAATCTAGGTGTTGTAATTGGTTTATCCCAGGAGCAACTCAGGGGCTCTATACCATAATGTCACTACTTTATAAGTGTATTTTGGATAATTCACATTTGATAGTGTTCTGGCTAAACCGAAATCAGCCAGAGTCACTTATCCCTTATTATTCATGAGGATGTTGGCACATTTCAAATCCCGATGTATGATCTTGCTTTCATGAAGATATTTAACTCCCTCTAAAAGCTATTTAAAAATGCATTTAATTTGTGGTAGTGTAAAGATATTTCTTTATCTATGAAGACCAGCAAAATCATGGTCGTAGTAGTCAAAAACTAAAAAGGTGGATCCTCTAAAATTATTTCTAAATGAGGCCTTGCTTATAATTATCTCTCTTAATCTTAAGATATTTTTGTGATTCATAATTTTCAATAATTTGATCTCTCTTATGGCAGTGATTGGAAATCCTTATAATATGCTCTATAATAATACCTTCAGCCATTATTTTTTAATCCTTTGTATCAATTTTCTTTAGAGCCACAAAATCATTGGTCTTGAGGCATTTTGCCTTATAAACTTTGCCATAAGTACCAGATCCAACTTCGCCTATTACTTTATAGTACTTATTCACATTTTTGGTTCGACAAGAAACTTGCATTTTTGTATAAAAATTAATTATCATTTTATGTAGTAATCTTTTAATGTTAAACTTTATTAATAAATAATAAATCATTTCTTATCGATAATTTGTGTGTATTTATATATTAGTGATCATTATAACAATCTTGATTGATTCACTGAAACAACTTATAAGAAATTAATAAGAATGGAATCTTGAAATCAGATTAATGTAATGTGTTTTACACTTTTATATGGATAAGTACATTTAATATTGAAATTCAATTAGTTTAATCAAATTTTTGTTAAAAAAATAAATGTAATTTTTAAATAAAAAATTATGTTGACAGCGAGATTTGAACTCGCGCCCTTGCGGATTGGAGCCTAAATCCAACGCCTTAGACCAACTCGGCCACATCAACTTTGTTATTAATAATCCAAAACTTTTGAAAATGAAGAAGATTAGCAGCCCTTTATAATAAAAATACTATGACTTGATATTTTGATGAAAAGAAATCCTAATCACAATTTAAGAACATTGATGCAACACAAATTATAATACAAAACGTATCATATTGATTTAAATATATATTGTCCTTATGAAATGAATGAATGATAAAAAAGTAGAGTTACTCATAGTTTAAAAACCCTTGATGTATAGATATTTAATTAGATTTAGAAATTTTATATAATTTAATCAGTTTATGAATAAAATAATAAAATTTAAGAAATATTTGGTTACTCAATAAAAACTAATGGATGTCTCCTCTAATGAAAATGTAATATAAAATTTAATATCATGCTATAATCATTAGTAGAAATGTTGCGTGTAATTTCTAACATAGTCATCTGAATCTGATTCTTCAAAATCATCAACCACAAAGTGTACTTTTCTTCCCTTCCTTATTTTTTTCTAATGTAAATTTTAAAAGAGTTTCGTCATCAAGCCAGGCATTCTTGTTATATCTTATTCTAAATTTGGATTTAACTTATGGATCTTATCAAAGTCATCTATAAACATTGAGTTTGTTTTTTCCAATAAAAGTTGAGATACTAAATTTGAGTGTTACTCCACAAATAGCAATATTTATAATATATTGCTACTACCCAATTTTGAAATAATATCTTCTTCACATTTTTATTTTAAGTCAGTAATCAAATACTCATCAGCTAGTAACATTAAATCACAGGTGTCTTCAATCTCTTCTGGGAACTAAAGTATTAACAACATTAAAGTACTTCTTTCCAATACCCGCAATAAATCCATTATAACATTATCCTAAACAGTTCTGGTTTGTTGTGTTCAACCTTAACTAAAATTTGGTTGCTTTCAATCATATTTGAGGAGAACATCCCATTAAACTTTGGGGATCTACATGCCAAAATGCATTTGTGCAATGGTATTGGCTTAATATTAATAAATGAAATACACTTTCTTTATTAATTTGGAGCAGAATATCACTATGACTGCCTTGTGTAAACAACCCTTAGAATGAAGTTTTTAAGGGGTTTTATGCCATTTATGAGAACTCAGTTGTATGAATTACTTTGACTAGACATGAAGTCATGATGTTGGTTTCAGGCTTGTAATAAAATTTTAAAATATACTCTGATGTCTCTGCCTAGGGATTGGAATCTGAGCATCTTGTAACTGAGACCTGTGATTCCACAGAATTCAAAACTATATGATAAGAAGGTTCTGGGTTTGATGATTGGAAGTTTGATAGAATTGTTCTTTATCATGATTACTTGATTCTTGGAGAAGTTCAAGAGATCTTCGCCAGCTTCAAATATGATGTCTAGTTGCTCGGAGCCTTTCTTTTTCAACATCAAATTATTTCTTTTATAATATTAATGATAGGCATAATTTATAAAAATAAGGGATTGATTAAGGATTGATTTGTGATTTATTGTCAGATATAATTATTATTCGTAAATAATAATGGAGGTGAATATGGATAAAATACAATATTGAGGAAAAAAAAAGAAAGTATTTAAAAACCCATGTTTAATACACACATCATTCCTGCCTATTTTGGTTTGTTGTATTATTAAAAAAATGAATGTTATCCAACAAATAAAGTTTTCAATATATCATGGGTATCTGTGATGATTCTAAGAATAAGATAGAATTTACTTGAAAATGTTAAAAGGAATTTTGGTGAAATTCATCGTTATTGTAATCTTGTATATCAATATGTAAATTTACTTGTTTTAAAGCCCTTTTATACATCTTGGTGTATTTTCGAGATGAATTCTGCCATTCTTTAGTTCTCCATAAGTAGTTTCTCCAACAATTCTTCCCTATTCTAAAAAGTTTGTTTTAAATCAATAATGATTGCAACTTTCTATTTCGTAGTCAGATTCCCATAAAACTCATCCAAGGGTAAACTCAAATTATAAGTACTTGATGTTTTATAATTCACTTTCTCTATAGCATAAGGTACTGTAATAAAAAAACATAGAACAAAAGAAATCATACATATTTTTAAGGAAGTTAGACTGCCATGTAATTTGACTTTTAGTTCTCTCCCTTAGAATTTGTATCCATTTAAAGTCTCAACAGCTATGCTTGCTGTAAATTCATCATAATATTCAGCCGTGCATGAAAACTTTACTTCTCCTTCGCGTCTCAATATAAGTATTATGTTTTACTTAGGAGTCCATTCCATTAGAGGACCAATGGTTTGAAGAAGTTGCTCGACCTCCTAATTTTTCGCTTGACTCTAAATGTTGCTGACATGAATTTGATTTAATTTGGGTGGCATAATTTATATTATATTATTATGCAAGAATAAGGTATGTGTTGTGATGGAACTAGGTTTTTTGTAGGTAATACACTAAAAGCGCCATAAATGATATTTCGCAAGACAGTCTCAATAGATGTTTGTATGATATATGTTCTAATAAGCAGAGAGCCCAGATTAGAAAGAACAATACTTCAAAGAATCTAAATTAACAGTGTCATTCTCTTCGCCTCCCAACTCAGGATGCGAGAATTGTATCCCTGATGAGGAAGTAATATCATATTACATTCCAGAAGATAATTAGTCTTACACTAGCTACAAACAGGTTCGTTTCTCTGAACCAACAGATAAGTATAAAAGTAAGGTTAACAAGTAGAACTGCAAATGTTCCACAATAAAAATACAGAAGACAACGTTCCATCCCAATACCTGAAAAAGTATAAGAGGATTTAATTGGAGAGAGTTCGTAACTTTCTCCTAATTTGAATGGTCATATCAACCTCTAAGATAGGTAATTATCAACTAACCAGAACACAAATACAATTCAAGAAACGGAAAACCAATTTAACTTCAATGCATTATCTCTTTAAAATAGTTTTTGTTGCAAGACTATTTCCTCTTATGAATAATTAGATTAAGCGAACCAGATGGCAGATGAATTAGTAAACATAGTTAAAAATTATTTAAATGACATACCATTTAATGAAAAACACTTTACTTTTGATGAACAAGAAGATGAGTTTAGAAATAAATTTAATTTATAACAAAAAGTCTTAAAAGTAATGTGTTATGATAAATGTAGAAAGTATTAGAGCATTTAAATTTCAAAATGAATCTTACTTTATGTTCTCCTATCTCAAGGATATCAGCTACTTCTCCTCACTTTGAAGATCTGCATGTTAATGTAAAAGACTTATAAAATAAAATTGAAGAAATAACTGATTAGAATGATCTTCTGAAAGATAAACTTGAGATATAGGAATCTAAATTATTAGAGTAATATGATTAAATCAAAAAATTGCATATAAAAATACTAGAATTAGAATTAGAAAATAGAAGTATAAAAGATGAATTTGAAAAACAACAAAAGAATGCTAAGAGTCTGAATGAATAAATAAACTAACAACGATAACAATTAGAGGAATATGTCAAAACATTACAATGTCAACAATTGAAAATATAATAATTGGAATAACTACTAGAAAAATATCAAAAGAATAACAAATCAACCAATTAATCTTTGAATATTAATTTGAATTAATTTTCTAAACCAGTTAGAAGACATACAAATTCTTTTCATGAAGTATGCTCCTCACCAAATGGTAATAAGCTAGTGATTGTTAACAGCAGTACTAATAGTTCGTAACAATCTCCCAGAAATTTATAATTATCAAATAATCATAAAGTCTAGCTCTTAGATGACACAACATATTTTGGATCCATATTAAATGATAAGAAACAAGGTTATGGTAATCTGAGAAAGGGAGATAAGAAATTATACATGGGTATGAAGTAAATTTTTTAATCTAGGCTTTTGGAAAGATGACAATTTCAATGGGTTTGGTCATTTGAATAATGAAACTGTCGAACACGGAGTGATAGACCTGACTAATCTTGATAATATTGGGAATAAGTGGATTAGCTATTAGGGAGAATTTTAGGACGGATTATTTCATGGATATGGAATTTGGACATTTAGTGATAATTCAAGATTTCATGGTTTATTCCAATTAGGAAAAGCAAATGGAAGAGGGTATATTTATATAATCTAATTAGTACTTATTATACAAATCTTAATACTATGACAGGAATTTGGAAATAAAATATTAAAATTTGATTTATAATTTATAATGTCATATCTTTATAAATGTATGATAATTTTTGTGACTTGTAGCGACATAACATTTCCAATCATCTTTCTTAAGGGCAAAGCATTCTTCACAAAAATAAAATCCAAAACAATTTTCACATTTGTAAACACATCCTGCTTTTTCTAATTCACATCCTTAACATTTATATGTTTTCTTAGAGAAGTTCTAAGTTTCATAGATTGGTTCAAATCGATGATCTGCTTTATGTCTTGTCCCATTTAATTCAGATTAAGTTCTTGTAAAAAAACAATTTTAACCTACATAATTTTAAATATTACATAAACTAAAGTTTGTACACTATTTACAAACAAATTAAACACCTAAGATAGGTTTCTAAAAGCATCCATTACATTTTGCATCATGACATGGTATGCCTTCAGCAAATGTTGGTAATTCAATGACTTTGAAATCATGATCCTTATGAGATAAATCTCCTGATTAGAGTAGATTATCAAAACATGCTTCACAACAATCATAGTTGTCACAAGTGATACATTCAAATCTTGGACCCCAAATAGGATTCTAATCACATCTATTACATTGATGATATTAATGTAGCACTTCTTCTTCAGCCTTATTAGCCAAAAAGAATATTTCATTTTCATTAAATTCTTTTTCGCTTATCTTTTTATTATAGCATTCTTAACAAATATCAAAATTGGCTATCTTTTTTGATTTGTATCTACATATTCCTGGTTGCAATGCAATGCCACAGACATTACAACTTATCTACACCAGCCATTTTTAATAGGTTTCTCCCAATTAATTACCTATTGAAAACCATCCATGTCTTAGATTATTGTTTCTAGCAAAGATTTCAACTTTTTTAGCTCCAGGCATCATTAATTCAATGATTTCATACATTTCAATAGGCTTCTATGACTTATTTCTTACTGGACTGAAAATGATATTGTTAGATATTTTAGAATGATATTCCACATGTTCCCCTGGTGGACATTTATATCTATTAATATTGAATAATGTAATACCCAACTAAACATATTTCGAAAGAGTGCATAAAATAGTACCCTGTAGAAAGATACACATTATTTCCTTAAGGATTTAGTTTAACCCAAATAATTTGATCAACAATCTCATATCCCCATTTACTAGCCATCTCATATGCTATGTTTAGTTATGTATTGAGAATCCAAAGAAACAAAAATCCTTTCTTACTCAATTTCTCAATTTTGATGTCCATAATCTCTTAATTACTCATGGTATTGTAATCAAGTGAGAATTTGCTATTAGTAAACATAAAAGATGAATCATTTTATTATCCTCCTTTGATTCTCCAAGGTGGATCCATTAAAACAACTTAAGAGAATATTATTATTGAATACCATCAAAGCCTCCAACTTTTTCCACCAAAAAGTCTAAATTAAAATATCGAATATCACAATTGATATAAGACTTAACTTCCCCCAGTTTAGATAGAATTTCCTAATTTTCAATTCCCAACAATTTCAAATTTCTTTTGGTTTCAAAATCTGTTCCATCTTCCGTTAAAATACGAATTTACTCTTCTTCTGGTTTCATTTCTTCTTCTTACTATTTGCCATCACTGACTTACCCAGTTGAGTATTCTGGATTTGATATTTATTTAAGTTCTGCTACCGATATGGGAATGTCTATTAGATAGGTGCATATAGTACCTTAGAAGATCTTCACATAAACATTTTTGAATAGTTCTTTGACAAGATTTTCTTATTCACTTCCTGAAGCTAAGATCTATTTTTTATTCATAGGATTTCTTGAATATTTTATTTACTCGTTTCAAAATAAGTCTTCGTTTATACTACTCTTCATCTGATGAATCTTCAATATCCAAACGTTTATGCGTTCTTCTAAACTTTTTGGACTTCTTGGCTTTTATTTTTGGATCAAAATCTGATGAATTATCAGATTCAAAGACTAATTATTGGCATGATATTGGTTATTATTTGATCAAAGTTGGTTCTTGAACTTGCTGAACTTCTTCACGAGGAGGAGTCTACAGTTCATTCTTCTTTTTATAACTTTGCTTATTCTAAATGACTTTTTTCTATTAAATTTGTGGGATAGCTTGAAGTACTAAGACTATAAAAAGAACTGAAACCTGGACCGCCAGTTTGCTTACGTTCCCGCTTGTTGTACACCAGATTATCAAGATTGATCTATTTTAATCCGGTCTTCTGTTTTTAGACATTTTTTAAACCATCCTATATTAGTCTAACATCACTGCTCTTTTCTTGGTCAGTCATTAATTTTTAATTTTATATTTCAATCCTCACTCACAACATTACAAATATTTATAAATAAAATAATTGGAATCACACATATTTACTTCCCTTAGGTTATTTTTAATCTCATTCTCAAATTTATCTAAACATGCAAATCCCAACAGAAAATCATCCTATTTAGGCACCAAATTAAATCATAAATTTAAACTCAAACACACATAACAGAATAACAACATCACAATAATTCAATCTCATATCGATTTCAGGATTGCCTGTAACTCATGCATACATCAAACAATTCCTCCTCTTTATTAGATTCAAAATCAGAGTATCTTAATTAATACTATAATTTGAATTAATACAATATTTAACATGTCTAACAATCACTCTTTCTATATGATCGATCTTATATCATATCTATTTCGAATACACACATATGACTAAATATTAGCCTTCAAATAACTGAAAGAGAGCATGGCCTTTATATCAATGAAATAATTGGCCATATGCAAAACACAGAAGAATGACATGTATTTTAGAAACAAGTATTTTATAATTCATTCATTCGAAATTAAGATCAATTGGATTATTTTGAATTTAAGTATTATATTTATATAAATATTTAATTAATCAACTATTTTATAAATAAATATTCTATATTATCCATTATTATTAATAAAGAGAATCATAAAGTTTAAGAAATAATAAATAATTAGTTTTTATGTATTTTAATAATTAATAAATAGATCTTTCCATCTTATATGATATGAGAAGCTCTTTGTATATAAAATATCATATAAATTCAATTTTCTTAAAGTTTTTATTGTTTTATTTCTTAATCATCCTAAAAATTTGTTTATGTTTGTTTTTCTTATTCTAATAAAGGCTTGAAAAAGGGATGTTTCAATCCATCTTCAACTTTGATTCTCTGTTTTGGATTCAAACTAAGCAATCTTGAGAGCAAATCTTCAGCATCGCTATCAAATCCATCAATGTGTATTATTGATTTCCATTACACCGGCTTGGTTGCAACAACTGAAGGCAATTTGAGATCATATTCTAATTGATATATAATGATCAAATAATACCAAATTGTTCACATATCTATTTAACTTATTCTGAACCAAACAAGCTAGCCAGTTCTAGTATAAAATTGACATAAAAAAAGTTTTTAGTCACAACTGGCTTGTTGATCATTCGAACATTACTGAATAAATTGTACTTTTTAGTCAAAAATTGTAGGAATATTACTCCTACAGCCCACATATCCACTTCATATGACTGGTCCTTCAATGGTTATTTATCTATAAATACATGGTAATGCAATATGCTCTCTAAAGGCATAAAACTCTCTGTGCCAATTTTATTATTTCCAATTTAATCTATAGTTTTTTAGATTTCGTTATACAAATTAATTTTTCTTCTGATTTCCTAAACTTCGTCAGATTGAGGATGCTTAAAGTAGATAGAACATCCATACCTTCTTTGACAATTCTTTCTCCTTTTCTATCAATTTAGCTACGAAGGATCTATCAATTTCGCTTAGGCCATAATCGATAAGGATTCCTTTGCCTGTCTTTGGATTGTAGAGAAAGTTTCCTGGTTTAACATCACGATGGTAAATTCCATTCTATTTCAACACATTTAACGCTTTAAGTAATTCATATAAGTATCGTCTAATTTCCATCATATCAAAAGTAGCAAAGAAGGTCTAAAATATAGTAGGAGTGATACAATGAATGGTTTGTATGTAAAGTACTCAATAACGATATATATTTTTTGATCAATAAGAAACAGATTAACCAATTGGGGCATATTTTCTTTGCCATAAATTAATTTCAAAAATCCGATTTCAGCAAATATTAGCTCTGGAGACACAGTAGAAAAATTTACCTTGATGGCATATTTTTTGTTTTTATCGATTTGGCCTTGATTCAATCCGACCCTACATAGTTAGAATTATTTAATTACGCTTTATAAACAACTCCGTAACCTCCTCTACCCAATTCTCTGACGACTTTATAGTTGTTTTTAATGTAGACTTCTTCATCAATAGATTAATCCATATAATAACGATCATTTGAACAAGGATTTACTTTGACTTTCGGATCCGATTTTTTCTTATTATTTTTTTTCATTAATTATAGATTATATAATTCATAATTACTTATCAAAGGCATTTATATTTTCTGAATTGAGATTGTCATATCGCACTCCTGAATTTTGCTTATTTAAAAGTGAAGACAATCCAACATTAGTACTGGCCATCTATGATAATTTTGTAATCTCTTGATCTCGGTTTTTTATTGCATTTTGTAACTGATCAACAGTCTTCAATAAATACTTTATTTTTTCGCTTTCATTGATCTTAAATCCAGGAGAAATGCCTTAAAAGCCTTAACTAATATTTCATACCTGATGGTGATATTTAACTTACAAGTAAAGATTAAGGCAACTAACTTATATTTGGTGATTGTTATGATATCTTTTATTAAATCAATTCGTTGTTATCCTTCAACAATTGATTTTCCCTTTTCAGTTATTCATTCTCTTTAAGTAGTTCCTCTTTGTCTTATTGTAATTGCTAACATAGATCTAATTTATATTCAATCTATCTCCTCACTTCGTCATCAAATCTAATTATGTTACCGTTCTCCATTTATTATTTCAATTCATTCAACTCTCTATTGGCTGCCCTAAGAGAATCCTATAAGACGTAATTTTAAGCCTTTAATTCACTCACCTAATTTGATTTCTCAAACATGCTCAATTAAGCTTGGTTCATCAAGTTTTACTTATGAGTGCTAACCAAAATTTCAGCATTCTGCAATTGAATTGAAAGAGTGCCCACTTAATTCTTCATTTGATCTAATGCAGATTCATAAGTCATCCTTTCGAATTTGTATTATTCGTCATAAAGCTATTTGAATGATTGTATTTCTTATTTAATTTAATCCTATCATTATAATTAGATTGATTATACAGCATATTTTAGTTAGGCATCTTCAATAGTATATGTATGCATGTCTCTTAACACATCAATTTGAGCTTCCAACTCCTTTTTTTCCTCTAATTTTTAATTTAGTAAAGTTGTGTAATTGACTCTGAGGATATTCAAGTCTACTTTTAATGTTTCATATGCTATTCTATACTCATTTAGTTCTTTTATTTATTATTATTATTCCTCAGCTAACTTTTACAACTATTAATATTCATAAATGTATTTTAATTTTTCTTCCTTTACTATCTTCAAGGCCTAATCCAAATGGTAAGTTTATTATAAACTTTACTGTAGTTCCTCTGTTTTTGCAATAAATTGTTATTTTCCAGATTAAATTTCTTGATCTTTAATGTCGATTACTTGATTTATTTATTCCAATTCATTCAGTACCTTGTTCAAATTTTGAGTTAGTTCCTTAAATGAAATGTAAAAATATACTTGTTTTTGTAAAGCTAACTTTTGAACCTAGAAGGCATACTCTTCTGCTTCTATGCTTTTTTATTTTAATCTTTCACAAACATTATCAAACTCTTAATTAATCTATTAATGAATATGATATCAAAAAATACAATTTAATTTGAATGTTCCATCTCGGATATTTAATTTTACAATTCGTGATTCTGTTCTTTGAGAACATCCATTTCCTAAGAAGCAGTTCCCAAAACATCTGTTAGCTTCTCAACTTCACTTGTAAGAATGTTGACTCTGCTATAACACATGCTATGTATATCTGTTGAAAACGAATCATCCATTCTAGACACTTTTGTTTAAGCAGTTTGGCTTAATTTCATTAGAATGTAATTATAAAAATAATTGTATTTCTTTTAATTAATTAACTTCTTTCATACTCCCAACCTAACGAATCTATTGGTGTTTGTAACTCTTTAAATTTAAACTCTGCATGTTTAAATTCTTATTTATTGTATATTAATAAAGTTATGATATTAGAATAATAAAATTGGATATCGCATTTATATAAATTTTATTGTGTTTAATTTTTATACATTTCTTAAGATAATATTATTTTTAATGTTTCAACGCAGATCAGAGGTTGGAGAGGAATAAGGAGAAACTGTCATAGCACTCTATTCCTAGTAAACCAATATGAGTTACATTCCTCCTGTTTATTTAAAAAATGGTCCAAACTAAAATAGATCATGTACTAATGTATGTTGCTGCTTATTGTTTTTACTGTCCATTGGAGCTTTGGGATACTTTTATTTCTTGACATACAGTAGTCAACATATCGAGAGACTTTACACCCCTGTAGATTCTGAAGGAAGGGAATGTGGTTAAGGAAATTTGAATAAGTTTCCTTTCATTTATTTCGTAACTCCAGATGAGGTGAGGTTCTTCATATATGGCTTTAGAAATATCTTTATAGAACAGTTTGTGTGGAAAAGTGTCCTAAATAAGAAGATTAACAATTGTTATGTGCTCCAAATAACGTAGTCAAGGACTGCCACAATAATGCAAGTCCATCAGATCCTGAGAAACGAGTCTTGATTTATGATTCTGATAAGTATTCAGGTAACATCTGTTTGCCAAGAGATGAAAATTTCAAAAAAACAGTGTAACCAGCAATTTTAGTAGGGGAAATTTAGTAAGCTTTAGTGAATACCTAAGCCAATTTGCCTATTATTGCTATTAGTGGAGGGGCTGCCTTTTTGTTGGCATTCTTTTTCACAATTATGATTGGTTTGTGTACTACACTCATAGTTTATTTATTCATATTAGTCTATATCTCTTTAACTGGTTTCCTTAGTGCATATTTTCTATTATATTTCATGAGATCCCCTTTAGAGTATGTATTCTTTTAATTTTAATTAGTTTATTTCCTTATTTCGACAAATCAACATATGCATGGAGTCCATATATGTTGGCAGCATCAATCACATTTGCAGTACTATGTGTATATGCAATATTTACATTATGTTGGAATCTAAAGAAGATGAAGTTCATGATATCTCTTGTTAAATTGGCAACAACATTCTTGTATTAAAACAAAACAATCATCATTGTGCCTATAGTGTTCTTTTTCTTAGTGATGTCTACTCTATTGATATGGATAGCAAGTGCTTTGGCAGTACTTTCTGAACAATAAATGGATTACTCTTTAGATTCATAAATTTATCCATTTGAAAAAATTCAACTCAAATTTGATACTTTAATTAAATTGATGATTACTGTACTAGCCTTAATTTGGTTAATGCAATATATCCTATCCTTGGCCAGATTCCTAAATGCTTCAACAGCCACACTTTGGTACTTTCATGCATCTTCCAACAACGGGTTTTTATGGGATAGTTTCAAATTAGCTGTGCAATACCATAATGGCAGTATCACTGCTGAAGCAATTTACAGTTTCTTTTTTAGTGGGATATCAAAAGCATTCAATCTAATCTATGTAAGAGTTTAATTTACATGATAGGATTCACTTAATCGATGCAGATTGAAGAGACATAATATTATTTTGAATTGTTTTGCATCTATTTCTTTGTGTTTGTGCTGTGTTTGTGAGAATTTCATAATGTACATTAACAACTATGCTTTTGTGTACATTGTGATGACCTCAGCAGATTACTTTGAATCAAGCAAAGCCGTTCATTTCGTAATTAAAAGAAACCATTAAGATTTTGAAACTCTTTCAGGATTGGGGGAACAATTCACTCACTTTAGCAAAATGTTTATATTTCTAATAACAACTATCGGAACATTCATTTATGTTAAGGAGTAGACTGACTTTACACTTCAATTGTATACTTTTGCAATTATTGCATTTATTACATTGTCAATAGCCACTCTATTTATGGATATGTTTGGACAAAGTGCAGATGCCTTACTGCTTACCTACTTTACTGATTGTGAAGTGTAGAAGTATCATTTCGGACTTGATGACTGTGGTTCATGTCCACCATAAATAAGAGATTAAGTTCAACACATAAGGGAAAAATAAAAGATTTACTTTGGCTGAAGTAGATATGATAGATCTAATTTAATTAATATTTTATAAAACATTCAAATGAGATTTTGCAAACTCAATTTCCTTTCATCATATAAATTCAGATATCTATGACTTTAAATCGTAATCTAATAATAATAACTTATTTACAAATGCTATTCTTTTCTAAAATATCAATAATATTTATTTAGTTCCTCTTGACCTTTCATTTAACCTTCTAGGTTTGTATTAGAATCTTGTTGTTACTTGATAATTTAGATCTAAGAATATTTTAGAATAAAAAATAAGTAATATAAGATTACCATAATTAATATATATCATTTAATAATTTATCATATAATTATAATTGAATATTCATTCTATAACAATTGAGTTAGGATTAAGTGGTTTATTGCTTTGTTATTCAGATTCATTTATTTCATTCTCATTCTCACTTTAATTTTCTTAATTGCTTAAGTTTTCTAATTGCAAGATTCGATTTCTACTAGTTTTAGCATGTTCTGGTAAAATATTAAAATCTAGATATTTTTGAACGAGATCATCCAATAAGTTACCCATATGATCGAATGATATTTCTGTGTACTTCTCTTATAAATTATATTGTCTAATAGTCTACAAGATTGTATATTATAGAGCATCAATTTATAATTTGAACAACTTAGCTTTACAGATGGGACATCTCCATTTCCTTGGATTTGACAATTCAAGCATCATTAAATAATTTTCTAGAGAGAAACATTAGATATGATTGCAATAGATTCCCCTGACAGGTGTGACCATCAAAGTGGAACATAAGCAACACAACAAAGAAATAGTTTATTTAATTTACTTGATACCAGTAGATGATATATAGTTCATCTATAGTATAATAAAATCCTATGCTTGTTCTACACTCATCCAATTTTCACTTGAAGTAATAATCTTTTCTATAAGTTATTTTGCAGAATACTGTTTAGTTTTGTAGGCAGCAATATAATGCAACTATTCTCCTTGGATTCTATATTTTCTCTTCTACTCCATCCCAGGGATTATTTCTTTCAACATTAGAGTGCACTCTTCGTTTTATGGAATTGTGAATATCAACTTCTCATCTTTACGTTTATGTTGACAACTCTACTAAGCCAATGGAATAAATTCAGCCACTTTCTTATTGTTAATATGTAATTCTCCTAGATCTGGCCATGTGAGTTCTTCTGCTGATAGGGGACAATCCATTCTAATGCATCTGATATCAATTTTATTAGTATCTGATTTAAATTTAACAGATTTAGTGCTGGTTAACCCTGTTTTCTTAAATGAAAATGGTTCTATGATAACTGAGATCACTTCGCAAAATTAATCCATATGATACAAGGTACATCTTGGACATGTGAAATGTTTAACATATCTTTCATCGTAACTTGTACCTACACAATTAATATGATAATATTTTTCACACAATTGACATTTTACTATTTACTTATAATGTAATTGATTTCCACAGAAACACTAATCACAATTTGGTGATTGTGTTTATCTCCAATATTTCCTTTTGATTGTATTGCATACTTTCTTCCCATGTTTTATTTTTCGACTTCCATTCCTTTTTACTATTCCACTTCTATGGCAAGTATTTTAATATTTGTGTACTCTCCTAACTCACTTACAATTCTTCCAATTCTCTCATCATTTTGAGTTCTTTTTCTAACAATACCATTTCTTATAATTTCACTGCTTGCTATTCAAAGTATAGATGTATCATTTCATTAATATTCTGAATAGGTTCTTCTAATTGCGGCTATTGTCTTGCTATATGGGGATCCAATCTAAGAAGACTGAGATAATATAATTCTTAGACTGAATTTGGCTTTGTGTCCTTAAACAATTTCTCAAAATACAGCAATTATCCTATATCCTTAGTCACTCTATTAATTATGGTCGGAAGTGTTAATTTGAGCTATTTTTGAAATGCTTCCAAGTCTTTTTGCAATTACTATGATTTCATTAATTTCATTAAAATAATTGGTCAAACAAATTAAATAAATTTTATTAACCCAAAAGTATGGAAATATTTGACACCCAATTTAAATATGTACACATATTTTTGCATAATTAGATATCACCTAATTAAACTCATTGATTTTATTATGACATCTCAATATTCACTTCCTATACATATAATTCTTCTTTGTATTGTTAAATCTAGAGTAACGAATTCCTATAAGATCCTCCATTGAGATGGCAATCAAAAATGTATAATTCTATTATTAGCAAACAATTTTCTAATTCACTTCATAACTGATTGTATAATTTTAATGATGTGTCTCAGTAATATCTACTATACATGATGTTCATTCTCTCTACAGTTATTAAACTAACATAATTAATGCTGTATGTAATGATGCCTGTGGTATCACTCATTTTGATATTAATTTAATTAAAATTCTAACGATATATTATGTCTGAGGAGCTTGTGAGATTACAAACAATCGAGTTCAAGTAGGAAATAGAGAAGCGATTTGCAAAGAGTCGTCATAACCATAATTATGTATTTGAACGAGAAGGGAATGATTTTTCAGATGATGATTCATTAGATTCTTTGAAAAACATTGGATTATACAATTTATGCAAACCCATCCGTAATAAATCTATGGAAACTGAACGTACTATGCCCAAGACCAGCAAAACATTACTAATACGATTGCTCAAACCCAAAAAACAACCATCAGTCAATGAAAATCGTTCAAACAACACTTCATTATATAAATCCAGATCGCAAAGCAAAAATGGCACCACTCGACTTCGCACTGAGTATTATGTTTTATTTTTAATCAGAGGTTCAGTCCTTCGAGAATCAAAAAATGTAACCTTAATTTCTCCCAAGATCCCCAAAAGTCCTTTGTACATTCAAGTAGACAATTTGATCAAATCAGCAAAAAATTAACATCTTTACAAACTAAATAATTACTCTATGGCTGTGTGATTTATAATTTAATAATTAATGTCATCAAGAATTCAATAACCTATGCTTCCTTCACAGTTATTCCAAAAGTATTATACAATTCACAAGAATAATATAAATGATTGAATTCTTAAACTCAATAACCGGTTGAAGTTTAAATTCATTCTGAATACACAAAGTGTATGAAAGTCTACCTACATGAATAGAGGGATACTCTTGAAATCTTCTCTTGAGTAAGTGTAATTAAGAAAAATTGCTGTTCTACTGTTTGACTGATGAAAAAGAAACTTAAATTTGAAACTTAAAGCCAGCGTAATTACGAATAGAAATATATGAAATCAAAAATATATTATAATCTAAAAGAATAAATCCATCCAAAGCACAAAAATATGAGGCCACTTAAGAGGCTAAATCTTGTTGATAAAATCTTTAAAAAGACAAGAAATAAGGGATGAATTATTTAAAATAAAATTTTTCTTTCTAAAAATGTCTTTATTGACATTTGAATGTTTTTGTTTAATTTATGCCATAACAAAATCCAAAATATTCTTCGGATTGTTGATAGGTTCTAAAAATTATAACAGCAGTAGAACTTAATAAAGTATGTTGAACTAATTTCAACCATTATTTAATTTATTATTTTAATTTGAATAGTAAAAATTTGTATTATTTTCATTTTATCAAACTCTTTCATGCATGATTTTATTTCTAATTCAATGATTTCAATTATTTACATAATCTACTTTGCTCTCTTTTAAATTTATGAGATTAAATAAAAATATCAATTTACATGACATTTAATCTTTTTTTTAATACATTTATATAATCATGTAACTAGTTAACAAATTAATAATCATTTTAATTGTGTAGGTGTGTTCTAATCTATTTATCTTGCTGAGGGTCGAGGAGTTGACTATTAAATTTGGATAGCATAAATAGATTAGGGAGCTTGTAATTTATATTAATTATTTGATTGGCATAATTACAATACTTTGTATTGGAGTTTCCCAACCGTAACTTATTCATCAGATATTGTCTTCTTTATGTCTCCCTCTATTTCATCGCTAACCTTAATCATAATATTATCCTTCAGGGGAGTTGTTGTAATATGAGAATAACTTTCGATGTAAATAACTTCCCCTACTTAAAACTAATTATTGAATAAGAAATCTATTACTTCTTCATTTTGTTTAATCTTTTCAATCACAACATATATGGATGTGAATTCCTAACAATTAAATCCTATAATAGATTCTAGAAATTCATTATATTCAACAGGTTTGCTTCTATATAACAATTTTTGATCTGAAAAAAAAGAACATTGATAAGTGGGTGGATTTTTGCCAAGAAAGGAAGATGTATGTTTAACACCAAACAACTCCAATTTTTGTATGACAAATATAACAAATTTCTATTGTTTATTGATTTATTATAGAAAATTGAGATTGCAATATCGGCTTTTGTTAAATTTGTTGTTTGTCAATTTATTGAGAATGGAAAAGGTCTTTTGATTTTAATACTCAATCAATCGTGTAGAATGATATTTCTACATCAAAATTGCTTCACTAATATGTTTTCGATAATCACCTTCTTTCTTTTAGTTATCGTTGACTTTTGGTAAGCAGTTAATTTAGTTATCTTAATAAGTATTTATTCTTTCATACTTTTTGTAATAACATTAATTCTGGGCTATTCCTTTTTAGATAATAGAGGCTATAATGGTGTTTTAGTTGTTTAAATGAATTTTAGTAAAAGATTCTGGTTTGTCTTTTTATTGTATATAATGGCTTGTTAATTAGAAAGTGTAGAAACAGGTTTAATTGCAGTCTATTTTTCTTTAAGTTAGTAGTTTTGGTTCTATTGTTTGGGATTCTAGGGTTATTAAACATTTAAGATTACTTAGAAATGAACCTATTAAAAGTCATATAGAGGTTGTTTGATTTTCTCTGCGTGCCCATCCTTTACTGTATAATTATTCTGTTTCATAATTAATTTTAAAGTTTATTATTATTATTATTATTATATAACATACACAAACTAACTACTCATTTCATGAAATCTATGATTACTTTAGAAGTAACAAAATTTACACATGAATCTTTTAGAAGTAGAACTCTTTCCAGAAATTATTAAATTTAGATTTCTTGACATGATAATTCTAAAATATAGAGAGATATTACTCAGTTACTGATGAATATTATCTGAGAATATCTTTTAATAGAACACAATTTTAAGTACGGGCTGATACTCATTTTATAATTGAATAATTTTCTAAATCTCATTGTATACTTGATAAATTAAATAATTGTTCTAAAATTAGAATGAAATGTAAAGTTTTGTATTCACTTTCACTTCTAATAATATACTTAAAGTGTACTAAACTTCAAAGTCGCAAGCTGAAAGCTGTCTTACCAACTAACTTTCCTATCTATAAATTTCACTCAAAAAGGTAGAAATAAAGCATACTAATTGACTCTAATTATATGAATAAAAAAAGCCTATTCAGTAGAGTTTCATAAAACAGATATTATTAATAAATATAATTTAATGTAATTGCCAACTCGTATCATTGATGGTCTTTACCTTGGAGATTAGGGTGCAGCCCATGTAAATGTGATCTAAAACATGAGGATCTAGAGTTCTTGGTGACTAACAAGATAACCAAGATAATTAATTGTGCTGCCAAACATATTCCTAATCATTGGGAATCCATCGGCATTGAATACTTGTCCTATTAGTGGTTAGAAAGTGAAACCCAATTTGCATTCGACTATTCCCGTTGTTTCGCCTTTATTAATGATGCCCTTGAAGCAGGAGAAGCTGTTTTAGTTCATTCTATTAGAGCATTCAATCGTTCAGTTTTTGTGGTGGTTGTATTTTTAATGCGCAAGTATTCGCTCCAAAACTTACCTCTAGATTTAAATGGACATTATAAAAGACTTTGCAATATATACAAAATCTAAAAAACGATTTTGAAATTAAATCTAATGTTGTTCGATAACTACTCAATTATGAAAAGTGGCTTTAAGTGTCCAAGCTTAGTTAAAACTGGGATGATGCCTAAAATGATGATGAAATATTAGCAAGAAACACCTATCTAAATAGCCAGCGAACATATTCAAACGAGCCTAAGAGGAAAAAGGAAATTGGTGTTAAAAAAGTCTAATGGAAATAAGACCTAGTGTCTCAATTCATACCACCTTATTAATAAATGTATATATTTTTGACCTATTAAATTGCAGTGAATTCAAAAAGTTCAGCACACCCCAGCCTAAAATGAAATATTCAAACATGCCTATCAAACTTTTTGTTCAACCTTCTGATAACAATTGGATGAACAAAAAATACACTTTGAACTAAATTGTGGATGAATAATTATAAAAAAAATTGAATCTATTTAGCATAAAATCAGATCGATAATCGATAAAACCACTTGCCAGACCAGGTACAGCGCCTTCTAATAGATTACTAAAAGGCAAAGTTCTAACATCATCTCATCGACTATTAATTAGATAATATTGATTTATGTACATATATATATATATAATTAATTAATTCTTTTGTTTCAAATTAATCTTTTACAAATTATAAGGTTTTAACAATATTTATAAAGAAGGATATACATTATATAGATAATGATTGATATTTTAATACTCATCACACTCATAAAGATGGGAAATCTTTGTCATCCAATTGAATTCCTTATTCCTAAAATAATAAATAAGTGTCAATACTTATTATCTTTATTGAGGTCTCTTATCTTATCTATTATCATCTCCCTTTCTGTGGTTATCTCCTCTTCTTTAATCTCTTGTGTTGTTATCTCTATTTTATCTATCATGTTATGGTCTATCTTATCTATCTCCTTTGTATCCCTTATTTTATCTAGGTCCTCTGTCTTATCTGTCTCCTCTGTCTTATCTGTCTCCTCTGTCTTATCTGTCTCCTCTTTCTTATCTATCTCCTCTTTCCTTTCTTTCTCCTTTTTCTTCTTAAGCTTAAGTTCCACTTTATTATTATTATTCTTAAACTGGTTCTTATTTATCTTATTATCTTCTTTCTCCTCTTCTTTCATTCTTTCTTTCAGGCTCTTATGTTTGATTTGTGAATCCCAAGTATTCAGCAGCTTCTTTGTTTAATTCACTTCTATATGGTTATTGTTGTCTTGTTTTTTTCTACTTTTGTTCTTATTGTTTTTTTTCGTCTTCTCTTGTTTTCATGACAAAGAGCTTATCCTTTTTCAATGCCTCTTAGTCAATTTCCTTGGTCACTTATGGTTTGGTCTCAGTCTTCTTGAGGATGTCTTCAACATTCTAAATATATAGTAAATATGATTACAGCTCCTCTTTATTAGTAATAATCGGCAAGAGTCTTTTCAGGGGCAGGAGGTTAAACTGGTTGTGTTGTTTATTCGTTTTATCCTTCTGTTGGTGCATCCTAAGTCTTTTTCTCTTTTGCAATATATTTTTCTTCTTTGAGGTCATCTTTGTAATTTCCCCAATTGTTTCTTCCACCACCTTCTTTTCTTTATTCCTTGCCTCTTCCAGTGCCGGACTATCTATCTTTAGGGTGTGGCTCAGCAGGAACGCCTTTTTGTTTAGGAGCGGGATTATCATGTTTAGTATTTTCCTTTTGTACTTACTCAACTGGTATCACCTATTCCTTGTTGTTATTATTTTTCTTAGACTTTTTCTATTATTATTCTGGGGCTTCTTCTGTGTCAGAGAAGTTGAGAACGTTGAATAAATTATTGCTCATAAAGATTTGAAAAAATATTTAATGTTATCACCTTAATTACCAAGAATTAAATTAATTCGCTATATAATATATTTTATTATTAAAATTTTTGAAATGTAAATTTATATTAATAAATGAACAACAACCAGAAATCCTACTTTCAGGAGTAACTAAAATATCAACACATTCCATAAGTTCGGAACTCCTTAGGTCCAGTATCATGCTGCTCAAATGATTAACAAACAGAATTATTCTAAGAATTCAATCAAGAATAAAAGGCATAACATTTTAGATATTTGGAGGAATCTAATTGACTTATTAAACTTAATTATAATTAAAGCCATTTGAAACTAATATATTTTGATTCTCCTATTAAATAAATAAAATAATGGGTTGTTGTTAACAAATGCCTGTCAAAGAAAAGCTATAGCAATTTGAAGCTGGACAGATCTTGTTTTAAGAAGAAATTTCTCCAAAAACACTGCAAATGCAACCATTATCTCTAAATTTAATTAAAGGGGATATAGATAGTATAGATAATGTAGAAAAGGTCGAAAGACTTGGCAGTACATGTGTTGACAATATATTGAATGAGAAATAACCCAGCAGAATGGAGAAAGAGGAGAATGTTGAACTTAAGGAAGATGTATTTATTAATTTGAGATAAACTTAAAATCTACTCTAATTGGCTCAAGATAGCAGTAGCAGAAATCTTAACAAAAAATTTCTAGGAATGCTTTGAATTTTCAAATATCGATTACAATATATTTTATGAATTAATTATAGATACATTAAAAAATTAAAAACATTTATAAATGAAAGTGTTACTAATTTATTAAAATGCCACTCAAATTTCAAATATTATATTACAATATTATAATCTTCAGCTCAATTTTAACTGATGATGTTTTTAATATACTGTTAACTCATCAATCTTAATCAAAATTTTTGTCTGAAGAAATTCTTGGTAGAGAAGACGATGGATGGAACTGGTCATCCAGAATGATAAGTAAACTAATTTAATAGAACAATAACATTATTTTACTATATCTAGCTATTTATTATTATATTATAAAATATTACAGAGAATAGTAAGAATAAATATATGATCAAATAATTATTGAATAAGGATCACTATATATATATTTTATAATACTTTATTATAATCTGGATGGATTGCAGTCTTTAGAATTACATTTCTGCATTTTTTTTGAGATTTAAAATGAAAAAAACAATTAATATGTTAAGTTTAATAATCTTTCTATATTATCAAAATATTCTCAGCATTAAATGAAATTGTAGACATTACTTGTTTAAGATAATGAATTTTCAAACTGATGCATATTTTACATAAAATTTAGATTTTCTTAATCAATTAAATGCGATCATCAATAAATTTAATATTGGTTTCTTAATCCTTCATCATAGATTAAATATCTGAGACTGAATTGAAAAATCAACAGGAAGCGAAGAATCTTATTTCTGATAATCTTGAATGCTATGATGATATGATGCTATGATTATACTAATAATATAAAAATATACTCAAATTAAATTAACAGAAACATATGAGTATTAACCAAACAAATATCAGTGATCATTAACGTCATGGAAGCAAAGATTCCTATTCAAAAATACATACGCCAATCAAGCGAAAATTATCGGAATATGTAATTTAGAAATAAAGCTCTTATGCATAAATACACAAACCTGAAAGACAAAAACAAAAATCAACCCCCGATATTTTATAGTTACTCAAGAAATATTAGAAATGTCATACCAATCAATCCTAGCATCAACCTCCATAGTAAAAAGATGGTGTGAGCAATCAAGAAATAAAAAAACATAAAACAGTCCACAATAATGATGCGTCACCTATTCGAGTTAGTTAAGAAGCTTTGCCCCTAAAGAATATAGTGATTAACAGAAAGAGACAAAGCGTCAGTGATAGAGATACCACTCTGCTTAAGTTGTAGGAATTAAAAAAGAAAATTCAAGAAAAAGTTCCTAATCCTCTGGAAATCTTAGGACCTGAAACTAACCCTATTTCCAACAGAATTACATTCTAAGCTTCTCTTTAAACTGAAGAATCTAAACTTATTTAAAAAACAGTGGATACCCCTGGAACTGCCTAATTCATGCAATCTAATAGAGATGATAATATGCAAGAACCAAGGAATCCATTTGAAAGGAATAACTCTTTTTAAGATGTACAAATATTGGATAATTAAATTTCACTTTAGAAAAATCTTGACTTTTACTTTGAAAAAAGAAAACCTTCCTGTTGTGAGGATAGTTTTAAACCAGTCCAAAAAACATAATAAATGACAAAACCATACTTCGAATCAAATAAAGGGGAAGACTTACAAAATAATAACTTTACTAATAGACTCGAATGCAGAAAAATCATGATCATACTCGACTAAGACAAAGAAAAAATATTAGATTAAATAGCTCTGAATCCTATCGAAATTCACAACTCTCCAACTAGTAGTGTTTGGGATAAGGCATTAAAAATTGATAGGTTAGATGAATAATTAGGAAAATAAAAAACTGAAGAATCTTTAAGCATCAAATGTCAATAGATTCGATCAAAAAGAGGAAGTTTAAAAAATGAGAATGTTCCTTATTGGAAATTGAGAGACTTAGAATTAAAGAAGAAAAATAAATGATTTTAATACTTAAATTCTGTTCATATAATATTAATTTCGTTATTCTTGAAGCTCATTGGATACAAACAACTATTGGATATGATCTAAATTTAAATAACATGATATTTAATTAATTTTAGTAATTTATGATTAATCAAATATATGTGGAATAAATAGTCCTTTATTTCAATTTTATATATTTTCTTTAATTTCATCTTAATTTAACTTAAATAGTAAAATGCAGCTAAAATTTATGTTTTCCGAAATATTGAATATAGATTAGTCCTATTTACTTGATTCGATATTCTTTTGAAATATTAAACTCAATCTATAAGATATTAAAATCCTAGTTAGTCGTTTAAAAACAAACAGAAAAATTATTAATAAGTATGTATGGTTTAAATTATAATTAATTTTAGAATTTAATTAAGGTATTAAAGTAATTCATAAATAATATGAAGTTAGTAATAAATTAAGCAAAAGAAAATGATTTAAAGTGATAATTACTATGTAAGATGATTTAATTATTGTAATTCAATTATTTAAGAATGATTAAAACAAATTAACATTAATTAAATTCCCTTTAGAGAGTCAGAAAATATTTGTTCATTTAAAATATTCTTTCTTTTAAATTTTATATATTAATGATTGAAAGAGTTATAAAATTCTGTCTATGAAAATACTTTCAAAAATTGTTATTTATAAGGTTATCAATTGTAAATTGTTACATAATTAAAATAATATTAACGATATAATCAAAGAATGTAATTAGCCTTAAGACTAATAAGTATATTCAATTCCTTTATATGTTATAATTAATAAAATGATAAATTGATCTAAAATATATATATGGCTATTTAATAAATGAATCAAATACCGTTTAAAATATATTCAGAATTAGCTGGTAATTTAAAGACACCTTTATACAAATCTATATCAATGATGATCCTTAAAAAGTATGATTATTTTAAGAGAATGAAACATTTAAATACAATTATTGAAAATTAATTATGTAAAACCAATTATATTTTCCAGTATTCTTTCTCTCAGTATTGAATTTTAAAAAAGTTATGGTAAAATATACCAGAATTAGTTAGAGGTTTAGTATCATTGGATAATTATTATAAAAAGTGGAGTATTTAAGTGATTATTAATGTTGAGTGATACCTAAAATAAATTTTTAATTATGATAAGATTCACATCCAGATTCAGGTTCGGAGCTAGAGCTAACCCATACATTAAGGCTTAGAAAACACTCAAGGTTGACGGAAAAGAGTATAAGTTCTTCAGTTTACCAGCTTTGGGGGATTCTAAATTAAGTAAGTTCTTAGTTGTATATTGTATAGATCATTTACCATATTCGATCAGAGTGTTGTTGGAATCAGCAGTGCGTAATTGTGATGAGTTTGCAGTGACATCAAAGGATGTTTAGAATATCTTGAATTGGGAGACAAATGCTCCAAAATAGATAGAGATTCCATTCAAGCCAGCACGTGTCATCTTGCAAGATTTTACAGGAGTACCAGCCGTAGTAGATTTGGCTGCAATGAGAGATGCAATGAAGAGACTAGGTGGAGACCCTTAAAAGATTAATCCATTATGCCCAGTTGACTTGGTGATTGATCACTCAGTTCAAGCAGATGTATCAAGAGTACCAAGAGCATATGAAGAGAATGAGAAAATTGAATTCAGTCGTAACTATGAGCGTTTTGAATTCTTGAAATGGGGATCAACAGCCTTCAAGAACTTCTTGATTGTTCCACCTGGATCAGGAATTGTTCATTAAGTTAACTTGGAATATTTGGCAAGAGTTGTCATGGAAGAATAAGGATATTTATTCCCAGACTCAGTCGTAGGAACAGATTCACACACCACAATGATTAACGGTTTAGGAGTGACAGGATGGGGAGTTGGTGGAATTGAAGCTGAAGCTGTTATGCTTGGATAAACAATATCAATGGTCTTACCCGAAGTCGTTGGTTTCAGATTACATGGAAAATTACCAGCAAATGTCACAGCCACAGATCTAGTCCTTACATGCACATAAATGTTAAGAAAGAGAGGTGTCGTTGGTAAATTCGTAGAATTCTTTGGACCAGGAGTTGAAACCTTGTCTCTTGCTGATAGAGCTACCATCGCCAACATGGCTCCAGAATATGGTGCCACCATGGGATACTTCCCAATTGATCACAAGACTATTGATTATTTGAACTTAACAGGTAGACCAGAAAGCAAAGTTAGACAAATTGAAACTTATCTCAGAGAATAAGGTTTGTTCCGTGATTACAAGAGTGGAAATGATCCCCACTTCTCTGGTGATGTTTTAGATTTGGATCTTGCCTCAGTCTAACCATCACTCTCAGGACCAAAAAGACCTCATGATAGAGTACCATTGGCTGAAAATGAAGAAAGATTGGGCTTCTTGTCTCAACAATAAGGTTGGATTCAAAGGATTTGGAATTCCTTAAGAAAAATAAACAGATGTTGCAGAATTCACATATCAAGGATAGAAATATTCTCTGTAACATGGAAGTGTTGTTATTGCTGCTATTACATCATGCACAAATACAAGTAATCCAGAAAGTATGATTGGTGCTGGTCTCTTGGCTAAGAATGCTGTTGAAAAGGGATTGAAAGTTAAGCCATACATCAAAACCACTCTCTCTCCAGGATCCAATGTTGTTACTAAATATTTCGAGGAATCTGGTGTCAGCAAATATCTTGATTAATTGGGTTTCACAACTGCTGGTTATGGATGTATGACTTGCATTGGTAACACTGGAGAATTAGATAACGAAGTTGCAGAAGCCATTAAAAACAAGGATTTAGTTGCTGCAGCTGTCCTCTCAGGAAATCGTAACTTTGAAGCTAGAATCCACTAATAAGTCAGAGCCAATTATCTTGCATCTCCACCATTGGTTGTTGCTTATGCATTAGCTGGTACTGTCAACATTGATTTTGATACAACACCAATTGGAACTGATAAAAATGGAAAACCAGTATTTTTGAAAGATATCTGGCCAAGCAGAGAATAATGTGGTAAGGCTGTTGAATAAGCACTCAAACCATAAATGTTCAGAGATATCTACTCAAGAATCGCATAAGGAACTGAAAGATGGAATCAATTGAAAGTCAACAAGACAGATCTTTATTAATGGAAACCAGAATCCACTTATATTCACAATCCACCATTCTTCTAAACCACAGAATTGAATCCAAAATAAGTCTAACCAATTAAGAATGCTTATTGTCTTTTGAATTTGGGTGATTTCATCACAACTGATCACATCTCACCAGCTGGTTCTATTTCTGAAAACTCCCCTGCTGGACGTTATCTTAAAAGCAAAGGTGTTGCCAAAAAGGATTTCAACACTTATGGTGCCAGAAGAGGAAATGATGAAATTATGGCCAGAGGTACCTTTGCTAACACTCGTATCATCAACAAGTTGGTCAGTAAGGTTGGACCTTAAACTGTCTATGTCCCAACAGGAGATGTAATGGATGTCTTCGATGCAGCTGATAAACACATGAAAGAAGGAAATCAAACTATTGTTTTGGCTGGTCAAGAGTATGGTTCAGGAAGTAGCAGAGATTGGGCAGCAAAGTAATTATTTATATCATATTTCTTAGAGGACCATATTTGTAAGGTGTTAAATGTGTCATTGCATAATCATTTGAGAGAATCCACAGATCCAATTTAGTTGGAATGGGTATCTTACCACTTGAATTCTTAAAGGGAGAAAGTGCTGACACTCTTGGATTAACTGGAAAAGAATAATTCACTATCAATGTCAATGAAAGCAATTTAACTCTTGGTTAAACATACACTGTTGAAACATGTATCAATTATTTATATTATCTTTAGCAACTGGCAAGAAATTCTAGGCTAAATCCAGATTAGACACTGAGGTAGAAATTGAATATTACAAACATGGAGGAATCTTGTAATATGTTTTAAGAAAACTTGTTAAAGCATGATATATATAGCATTCAAATAATATAAAATACATTCTCAAAATGTTTTCAAATTCAATAGATTTGAAACTCCATTTCCAGTTGGGATCCAACTAATATTTGGACTTTTGGCTAATGTTTCAGCAATATGTTTGGCAGTCTCTAATTTCTTGATTTCAATCTAGGCTATTATATTTAATAATGAGTTAGTACCTGTTCCATAAGATTTAACTGCATCATTAATCAATCTTGCTGCTTCTGATTCTCCTTCAGATAATATGATTTTTGCGTTCTTTTCTTCTTCATCTCTCAACACAATGAACTTTTATCTTTCAGCCAATTACTAGGCCACCTATTTAGCTTCAATAGCTTGAGCATATTCTTTCATGAACCCCAAATGAGTAATTGATACATCTTCCAAGACAATTTTGAATTCCTTTGCTCTTTCAATCAAACCTTCCTTGATTTCCTAGGATATCTTCTCTCTCATTTTGATCAATTGATCTGCATCATATTAAGCCACGACTGCCTTCAAGACTTCATTAGCAATGGATGGAAGAATCTTCTCTTCGTAATTTAAACCAATAGTTCTAAGATGAATAATATTTGCAAATTCTACTTATAAATTTCAGGTAAATATTATTCAATTGGCTTATGAAGCATTCTGATAGCAATATCCACAGTTTGTAAATCTTTAGTACCTGTGTGAGATGCCACTGTTTTTGGTTAAAGACGCACTTCAGCCACAATGGGTGACTAGAGAAATCTTGATGCAATTCAATACTTAAATGACTGGGATGAAAAAGTGCATTCCTTCTCCATAGACAGATTCTTTGACTCCTTAAAATCGATCGAAAATTAATCCTCTCTATCCTCCATCCACGGTATAGAAGAAGGACTTGAATAGCACTCCACCTCCGACAAGTAGGATCCTGCTGTTAAGATGAGATTTGCAGCTCTTTCCATCCTCAATTATCAATTATGGAGAAAAATTAACTTAAATATTTAACAAACCAATTCAATATTCAATAAGGGTAGAGATCCTGTAAATCACTCTTAACCAAGTGTTTTCATTTAAAATCTCTGTCCCTCTATATCAAATTCAAAGGAATAACATAAATATAATCATCCAAATCGCAATTTAATAATTTAATATATGGATTAAACTAAAGTCAAGAAATCTGGAGGATTCGAATCCATGGGATTAATCCCAGAGCTTTATAGAGCTATCAAGAGTCAGGGATTCAATGTTCCCACACCAATCTAAAGAAAAGTAGAATTTCCATTTATCTAATCTAGGCAATACCATAAATATTGGCAGGACGTGACATTGTGGCTTGCTCAAAAACAGGATCTGGTAAAACAGCCGCCTTTCTGATTCCCCTTATTAATAAGTTACAGAACCACAGCACAGTAGTTGGTATTAGGGGATTAATTCTCCTCCCAACAAGAGAATTGGCATTGCAAATTGCATCAGTGTTAAAAGCCTTATTAAAGTTCTCAGATATCCAATACTCCATAATGGTTGGAGGTCATGGTTTTGAAGGTTAATTTGAGAGTTTGGCTTCAAATCCTGACATTTTAATTTGTACTCCTGGAAGAGTGTTGCAACATCTATTGGAAGATAGATTGAAGTTATCAAGAGTCTAAATGGTAGTTTATGACGAGGCTGATTTTCTATTTGAAATGGGTTTGGCAGATCAACTAAAATAAATCTTAACCCATCTTCCTTCTTAAAAACAATCATTGATGTTTTCTGCCACCATTCCAGAGTAACTCAGTATGTTCGCATCTGTTGGACTAAAGGATTACATATTTTGTAAATTAGACAAAGAGTTTCAATTGCCAGATTCAATGCAATTGCATTTTTTATTTGCAGCTAATGACCAATAAGTTGAGTGCTCTCATCTATTTGATTAGATAACTCTAGGATGACTTGTTTGGTGTTTGCTTCCACTCGATTTTTGGTTGATATGCTCTCTTATGCCTTGAATAAATTCCATATTTCAAATGTTCCATGTTTATGGCAAAATGGATTAGTTGGACAGAAAAGAACAATTAGATAACTTCAAGAGGAATCAAGTGAAAGTGTTGATTGTTACTGATTTAGCAAGTAGAGGTATAGATCTACCATTCGTGGCCAATGTTATACATTATGATTATCCATCCAATCCTAAAATATTTATACACAGATCTGGTCGTACAGCAAGAGCAGGTAAGGCAGGTTATGTATATGCATTGATATCATCAGAGGAGATTCTTTACATTAAAGAAACAATGGTATATGTTGGTAGAAAATTGGTCAATGACGGTGATTTTAGTGACCCTTCTTAGGCATTTTATGGTAGTATGCCAATTGAATTGTTGATGTAAAATCAAGAGAAATTGAATGACTTGAATGATGACATTGAGTTTTAGAACTTTAAAGAAATAGCTACCAGAGCCAATGAAAAGTTTCGTAAGACTAGAGGATCAGCCAAGAAAGTGAAGACAAATATAGATACCAGTTTAGTGCATCCGTTGTTTAAGGATAAGATCTAAGTTGAGGAGGACACAAAGGATATGCTTAATTAAATTAAGAATTTCAAATCTGCTTAGAGTGTTATAGAAATCAAGAAGTTTGAATCAAATTAGAAATCAGATCCTTTTATGAAGGCTGTGTCTCATTTGAAGGATGTACAAAAGCGTAAGCCTCTTCCAAAGATCGAATTGAAGGAATAGCCGAAATCACTAAATATAGAAAATTTTATGGATCAAAAGTTCTTTATTCCAACTTAGAGAGACCCAACAAAAAAGTCAGAATTCGAAGACTTACATAAGATTACGTTGGAGGATATAAATCCATTTGTAATTTCAGATGGAACTGATGCACTTCGTAAGAGGAAATAGATGGTTTGGGATAAGGATAAAAAGAAGTATGTAAACCCAAAGGCAGCATAATAGTAAGATAAGGAGGATCGTGGGATGAAGGTTGAAAAAGGAAAGCAGAATTTTAAAAAGTGGCAGAAATAAACAAGCATTCAATTGTAGAATGTGGGAGAGGAGGAGGTAAAGATATCTTTGAATTGTAGGATCAATAAATAGTTTCTCGAGCGAAAGAACTTTTTAAGAGGAGAAATATGAGAGCCAAAGGATATTACTTTAATTAGGAAGAGGGACAATAGAGAGGAGGGAAGTAGGAGATAAAGAGACCAGAACAACTGTTGAAAGTAATGTGTTAATTATAATTATAGTCTAAAAAAATAAAGAAGAACTTGAAATTGAAGAATATGGAGAAGGGTAAACGTAGACAGATCGAGAAGAAGCAAAGAAAGAATAAATTGTGATTAATAAATATATATATTTTATTATTATGGACGGAAAGAAGGTTTTGGTGGCAGATGACGAACCCTTTGCTCAGAATCTGATAAAAATGCTTTACGGAGCTCTTAAAGTAGAATGTGTAGTAGTATCTAATGGAAAGGAAGCACTGGAAACTTATTAAAAATCACCTAATTTCGCTCATGTTTTAATGGATATTCATATGCCAGTTATGGATGGATATGATGTAAGGGAGTGAACATTTTATTAGTCGACCAAACAAATAAGAGCTCATGAGAAAGCGAAAGGGTTGCCTAAATGCAAGATATTAGGATTGAGTGGGGGTAAGAATAGATATTAATTAATTATTTATCAGATGGAGATCCAAAGACAAAGACAGCATGCTTAAATGCAGGCATGGATGACCTCTTAGTAAAGCCAATAAAGAAGGAATAATTGTCATAGTATTTGTGATTTACACACCTCATATTTTATCGATTTCTGCAACATTTAATATTTAAATTGAAATGGTTTTAATAAAATTAAAAAATAAAACAATATATATAATTGCTAATATTGGAATGGATTATCATAATAATCACCAAAATGGACACCACCCCAAGTAAGCTTACGCAATGTTTTTCATGATTAGTTGCTTATAGTATAAGTTGATTGACTTGACTTTCTGTCGACAACACTTCATGCTCTTTGAAATCTCTTCCTTGTAATTTTTTCTTGATTCTCTCAATAACCTCTAAACCTTTCTAATTTTATAAATCATCTGGGATTTCCCTCTCTTCATCAGCAAATTCAAAATAGATTTCCTTCTCCCTTCCACTCTCCTTTCTCTTCAGAGTTTACTACTGCTTTCCGTCATCAATTATGCTGCCCCTCCTTTTAGCTTCTGGAATGACCTGAATCAAACTCTTCCCCTAGTTAATTTCCTTATCATTAAGTTAATTGATCATTTATTGTGGAATTTACTTGTGTAAATCTACATTCCTAGCCTCTTTTTTAGGTTTATGATCCTATGCATTCAAAAGTCTCCAAGTAAGTAAAGGATCATACACAAACGAATCCAACACAGCCAATAAAGATCTAATCATAAAATTAATCATACTCTTTATTTTCCCTTAGTACTCTCATTACCACATTGCAAGTATGTCTATAAACTCCCTCTATTCCACAAGCCTCCATTGCTTTTACCAACATCCTAGTAAGTCTAAATGGAACTCTCTCTGGATATTTCTCTCTCTTCATTGCCACTTCTATTAATGTATAATTATGTATCATTACCAAAACAATCTCCAAAATCTATATGTACAATTTTACCAGTTAATCTTTACAACATAAAATTCGATGGATGTCTGTCACCTAATCCCAAAATGTAACCTACCATTGACATTGTAGCCAAAGATCTTGTGTAATTGATTCTTCTTTCAAGCCAAACTTCAGAATTGGGTGATTTTATCCACAGAACCTTTTACAAATCCTCTCCTCTTGTATTTTCTAGAATGTGTCTGTAAATCTCAACTTTGTTAGGCAACGGTAGATTTTGATACTAGGAACAAAACTATTCCATTAAAGTGCTTTCTGCATTGGGTCTGATTGCATATTTATCCCTATATTCTCTGACCAATTGTTGCAAAGTATCACAATTCTACACCCATCCTAATAATCCAGTATTATGAGATAAAGGTATTACAGAGTATCTTGTAATTGTAAGATCTTTCCTCTCTGTTTCAGTATCATTTGTAAGTAAACGATTTACTAATGAAAATAATTACATCACTCTTTCATCTTACCTTAAATCCTCATGTCCTTTTAATAAGAAATGGTACTCCTTTGAATCATTTCCAAACATCTTAACTTATCTTGGATGCTACTTACTTGACAAGACATCTAATCTAGGAGCAAATCCATTGATTGTGATTAGTTATTTATTTGGTTTATACAATCCAGGAATACTAATTTCACAATTTTAAGTAGCCAACAATTTTGGAGATACATTCTCAAGATGAACTTTTTTCATTTTTTCTAAACTCTTCTGAACTTTATGATAGATTCTAGTATAGATATCAAAAGCAACGCACAAACATACTTAATCTTCAGTTCTCAAATACCTCTATAACCAAGCTTCAGCCTCAAATATCTCCTATCCATAGGTTTGATGAAATGAGATCTCACTCAAACTTTCAAGTTTAACTCTCATATTATCATGTAATCCTCTTAAAATTCTTTCGACATGTGTTTTATTCTTATCTTATGAAAATGATGTCCAAGCTTCTTGGATTCCTTCTCTCCATGCTTCTTTCAATAATATGGCAGTACGATTGAGTTCTTCACTAATGATTAAGGCTTCATTAACAAGAATTGGAGAATGCTTTTTCATATCATCCAATATCTTGAGTACTTAAAGTCTTTTAATTTGATTCTTGGATTTACAAGCAACAGTCAATGGATAGATAAGAGCCTATGGATGAATACGACTGATGTGAATTAATAAATCTTGTAATAGCTATTGAATTATTGGATTTTGAATTTGGATTCTGGCTAGTATTTATGGAATGACATCAATCCAAGCTATAACATCTATTTATTTATAGTTCTATCTAAATTCGTCAGATATAGCAGCTTCCATTCCATATTTAAATATCAAGGATAACAGACGTAAAGTATCTTATAGAATATATCTACCTTTCTTGATATCCCTACTTCCTAAAGATATAGATTTCAAGAATCCTTTGACTGCTGCAAATACATGTGCATTCATAGATTATCTGTTTTCTTGTTATTCAATAACTTCGAAATTGCATAAGCCATAATAATGCCAGGCCTTAGCATAAGTTGAATTATACTGCAAAGATTCATCAAATTATTTAGTAATCTATTCTAAATCACTTGTTGATTCTGCTCTTTCATAAGCCCATTTTCCGAGAGTAAAAAAGGTCTTAGCTTTTAATTTAGAATCAATAGAACTGATTTATTCCTAATTGGTGAAGTACTCTCTAACCTAATCTAGAATTTAGATTTCATGTTTGGCATGAACATATTCAAATTGCATATTGAAAATGTGAAGAGTGACAGGTAGAGGAGCCTATCCTTAATTTTAAAATTATTCTTTGAGTATTTCAATGGTAGATTTGCATAATACCATTTTTTATCTCTTCAAACATAACTTAGCAAATTTAATCCAAATGTCAAGATCATGTACTTTTGGTAAATATAATTGTCTAGTGGAGAGCAAACGATACCAGACATCAATATCCTTTGGGGCTCCACTTAATCTATCATGCCATATATCTTTTAACTTCTTCTTACGAATTTCTAATTCATCCAATAATTTAATATATGAGTATTCACCTACATTCTCTTGGGCTGCCTTCTATACTTTATTTTCAAATTGTTTGATTTCTATAATTTCCTCCATTTCAACCAACTATTGCAATTTCAATACTCCATCCTAAGCTCTATCATATGATTCCTATAATAATCCTGTGACTAAACCATCCAATCTCTCTCTACTCTTCCTTACTTATACTTTTGCTTCATCCAATTGTTCTTTTGATATACAAACAGCAGCTTTCCAAAATGGTTTGTCCAACTCCTCAGCATTCACTTGTTCATTATAAGTAGCCAATTTTCTCCCATTTATCCTAAATGCATAGCAGCATTTGCAGCTAAGTGAGCAATTTCCTTTTTTTTAGCATCTTCATTGCTTTTAAAAATCTCCTCTGCTTGACTAATCAGAGTTTACCATTACATCAATGCATTCAAACATCTCATCTTAGGAACCACCAATTTAATAGCTAAATCCATTCTTTGATCATTTTCGTACTTCAATTGTTATTGTCTATATTCTTACAAGGCTTCATCCCATTTCTTTAATCTCTCATAATCTGTATTTTACACCTAAATCTTTAGCGATTATTTAGCATAGGTCAATAAACCATTGGCAGATTCCTGCAATCCCAAATTTGTATATAGAGATATTAAAGACTATATGGCTTTTAAGTTGGCAGTTTCGAATTCATGTTCTCTATAATAAAGAGCCTTTGCATAAGCCATACATTTTTCAGCTAATTCACCTAATGAACTAATATCAATCTGTAAACCTTCTTTGTCATGTTACATGAATTCAGCTAAATTTAGAATAGTTTATGAAATTTAGAGTGGAATGTTTTCTGCCTTAATAACTCTGACCAAATATTACACCATCAATTCTTTGTGCTTATCATTCAAGAAATACCAAGCTGAATCGAACGCAATATTGAATAATTCATATGCTAATGTTTAATACATCTCAGCAATAGAAGAGCAGGGACTTAATACCAGAAATGGAGATAACTTCAATAATTCCACACTTGTATTACGCATCCACTCCTACCATTCTTCCTTCAACTTTCTTTGTTCCGTATCAAATTTAGCCACCAATTCTTCAGGTTCGATCTTCTTGTACATAGGTGCGTTTGGTTCAATTGAATAATAAGAAGTAATCTAAGATGGAAATAATTGCTCTATAGCTTTACAATCCTCATCCAATAGATTATTCAAATCTTCCAAATTACCATACATCAAAAAGATTTCAACTAGTTTTTAATATTATTGATGGTGAATCTTATATTTCTGCACTTGCAAATGGATCATTGGTAAATACACAAGCATAAGATTCTTATGTTATAGGATTAGGTTGACTATGCAGTTTAATACTGTCTGATGCATTTCTAATTGCTGTTGTGTTTTTGCACTCAATTCCACTAGATTTAACAATGAGTTCACAATCAATGATAAATATTGAACTGTGGTTGGGCATTTCCTTGATAAGGACACAAATAAATTTATTATATCCTTTCTAACCTCCAATAAAACACTCGATACTTCCTTACTCAACAACTTACACATAAATGGAATGAACATATGCAACTAAGAGTCTAGTAAATTCTCTAACAATATGTATATCTTTATTCCTTTACGAACCAGATCTTTCTCCTCTTCAAATTGACTGATTTCCTAATTGATTAGTCTAACCAATGGTTCCACTTTATGTCTCAAGTGCTACTTAACTACTTTTAATTAACGTCTCCATAATCTCTAAACCTATCAAAACCAACTTTGAAGACTCTTATCCCTAACAAAATAGCATCACACAAGCAATCACTTAATCAATATATTGAGGATTGAATTATATTCCACATAAATGGATTACTTTTTACAAAGATGTCAATACTTTCTCTTTCATTTCTTCATTCCTTTACAACAAACGAGCGAAAACTGGTATTAGATAGTTCAAATAACTTGCTGTCTTTGCTTTAAGTGTACCTATGATCCACATAATTGTTTCAAGTGCTAATTCATGATTATTCGATAAAGATGGATCCAAAAGAATTTATAAAAGTGTCTTTAAAGTAACCTTTGAATAGTAATCAATATCATTAAGTTATATAACAGGGACTTATTAAAATAGTTCTTCAATATCTTATGAATTTATAGCTTAATGATAATGAGATTGGGCATCCAAAGTTGCTGATTTCGTTATTAATGCACCACTATTTTGATAAAGTAATGTTATCTTAATCAGCTTGCATTTTCAATTTTCCAAGATGTAAAAACATTTTAGTGCTAAAATTACCTATAAGTATCAAATCCTCACTATATCCTCTGACTTCATTCATTAATTCACTTGATGAAACAGAATTGAGAGCATTTTGATAGTTTTTTAGAAACTTGAATTTTTGTTTAGTTGGCACTCCCTAAACACTTTTGTAAATAAATGAATCTACGGCTCCTAGATTGCCTAGTAATTTCAAACATTCCTGTCTCATTTCTGGGATAGTTTCAGTTCTAATTAACTAGAATATGACATCCATTAAATTAGGAAAACGATAATAAGGGAGTACAACAAATCCTGTATTTTTTATAATTAAATTTAGAGATTTGACAGCAGCTTCTCTTTTAAGAGTAGAACTCTTATCTTACATTGCTGTTATAATGATATCAAAAACTTCCTTTAAATTTACCAAGATTTCTTAATTTGCTGTTTCTGTTAATTAAGCAAAGGCCTGTAACAAATATGAAGTTACAATAGCACTAGTGTTGGGATTCTTTAGATGTTGTTGAATAACCTTAGCTATATTGCTAGTGTAGGGTTGGACAATAGTACGGCCATGTTTGATTAGCGATGTTAGCAAGTATAATTTGTTAATGGTCTGTTTTTCAGGTTGATTGCTATCAAAAGTCAAAGTTTATAGATATTCAAATAGAGTTTTCTTCAGAAAAGGGGTTATTTCTGAGGGATTCAAGATGGATAAACGACACAGAATAGTTAAAGCAATTTCTTGAACTTCTGGAATTGGATCATTCATGCATAAAAACAATTTCCTCAAATTGTTAGGTGAATTTAAATATGGGTCAAAATTCTCATTTAAAGATGCAAGCATTGTTTATCTAATATCTTATTCAGTATCTGAAATGGCAACATTCATAAATTTATCTAGGATTTCATACATAACATTCTTAGAGATCATCTACTACCCTGTTGATCTCCCTTTCTTTATATACAACAGACATCCTGCTTTTGCAGTAGCCTTCCTTATAATTGGATTAGAATTAGCAAGATTGGGTAGAACGGCATCCTTAACAAAGATTGCTAGACTGTCCTATAAATCAAATGAAAAAGTGCTGAGTGTTTGAATAGCATTAGCAATAGCTTCAGGAGATCTGAATTCTGTAGTAGTGATGGCTTTTTGTAAATACCCTTAAAAGTCGTTCAAGACACTGCTCTCAAAGTTCTATTGCTTAGGATTTACGAAATTGATAATCTTTCTGAGAAGAATAGCTGCAATTGTTTATAAGAGCTTCTATTGAATATAATTAGATTGTCCTTATTGTTATCTGCATAATTAATTCAGAAATTAGACTGACTGAGGATGTAAACCATTTAAGAGTATTTACTTAAATGAATATGAAATATTGATACATCTACGAGGACATCAACTGATGTGAAATCTGAGAACTTCCTTGTGTAATTCTAGAATATCACTTATAAACAGTGAATCATTTCAACACAAAAGTTCTTTTGTAGTAATTCTTACCTAATATGCAAGATCACTTTTTTAATGAGATCTTGCAACATGTTCTCATTCAAAAATGAGATGAGCATAGCCAAAGTCATGTAAGGCAGACTTTTATCTTTCACAGGTCTAGGTTGTGTAGTCTAGGATAATAGAAATGAAATGCTTTATTCCATAAACTCCTAGACTGCATTATGTTTAGCATGTTTGGCTAGGATTGGCAATGTTTCTATCACTGCCTTATTGATAATAGCTGATCTATGATCTTTTTTAGATAGCACGTATTCTCCTTGATCATAAATTTGATTTTGTGAAAAGACCTTTTCATAATATTGATAGAAATTACATCTTATTTGGCATATGTGAGTAGAATTTTAATCATCATAATATTGCCATGAATGTATTCTTCCTCCTTTGATTTTTTTCTTGATTCAATTTCATCTGTATATATTTTGACTAGGTAATCTTGGTAAGATTCTATAAACTTTTAAGAATTTGATACATTCTCTTTATGCAATTTATTTTACAATTTCACTAAATAAATCGAGGGCTGCCTCTCGTAATGCTTATTATTTTGATCTGATGGCCCCGTGAATTAATGTAAAGTTGCGATCTGTTTGCATAGTTTGAAATAACTTATTGAAGGTGATTGAAGCAGCCTCATTTAAAATTTCCTTTAAACTAAGCACCCCAGCTAGCTTATATTTTTCGCTTCTCAATTATTTTTGTGCCTCCACAAAATGTGAATCTACTACTTGAGCTATCTTTGTTCCACCTAATCTGAGCAATTTTCCAAAGACTTCTGCACTCTTCCTTAAGAATTTTTCATCATTGTAGATAAATTAACCTGACACATTTGGAATAAACTTATTTACAAAGGTTAACACTTGAGCCTCTTACACAGTGGTTGTCAATTAATCCAATGCCAAAATTCCTCCTATTAATTTATAATTCAACACCATTACCAAACTTCTCATGAATCTCAGAACTATTTATGAGTTTTTGAATCTTGTTGAACAATTCATCACTCTATTGAATGTATTTGTAGTAGACACTCTGCAATTCCATGGCTGCTTTCTCCTTTTATTCATTTGGTACTCTTGCAGCAAGGTCCTTAAAAATTCTCTGCAATTCCGGTTTCTACATAATTATTTTATTAGATACATATATACACACATGGAAAATTAAGAGTCCCAATAGAATTCCTTAGTATGCTTTCCAATTTATTCTCAAGGCTGACACTCAATAATAAGTTTGCTAAACCTATCAAGCTACCACTGAATTCTTTGATCAACTCCCCAATTGCATTACAAGTAATATCCAAACCTACTACCCAAGCACTCAAGAAGCAATACCTCCTAGATAAAGCAAGTGTGAACACAAGATTTGTATTATTGTGTCTGACTACCTTGACTACAGCAGGATTGACAGCAAGAAGTAATATATTGAATTATGCAGTCACTCCATCATTTATCAAAGTAACAAGAAATACCATATTCAGTTACTTAGGTGCAGGTCTCTTCATTGTACCCGAAGTGTTTAACCCGTACTTAATATACAGATAATGATTATTATAGCGCATAAAATATAATTAATGAACATCAAATTTTCACTGTCCATTATTCCCCTACTTTTCATCGGCATCTGTTACAACCTAGACACAATATGGTTTATTGTCAGTCTCCTAATTACCCTCGTTTACTTTTGTCTCAGATTCATTTGTAAATTCATGATATTCCCAGGATCATGCTCATTATTTTTCAAATACTATTAATTACTTGACTATAATAAAAACACTGTCTATAAAACAATTAACATACTTAAAGTGTTGAGATAATAAGATGAAACTAGCGAATAAAAACAGATATAATAAGCTAAAGATTACTTTACACTCTAACACCTAATATTCTAAAAAATGAAAGGATAATTGAATTAATAATAAACAATCTATTCAAATTTATTAACCAACTTGATAGAGCTTTTACGATTTTAATAGAATTAGCAATTAATTAAGAATTAATTAAATACTATCCAAAGATTTTTAGATTCCTATGTGGATAAAACTATTCAAATCAGCAATATTATGAAACCCTTTAAATATGATATGTTGTTTGGAACCTTAGAGCAATTTAGACAAGAAATACTAATCACAAATCCAAATACTTCTAGACACATTATTAAATTTAAAAATATTTCAATTGATTGCATTCACCTAAAAAATAATAGATTAACCAGTCCTACAGTATTGTTTTGCAATCCAAATGCATTTTATTATGAAACTTTGTATCATAATGTAAAGCCATTTATAATATTTAGTCTCTTTGGATAAAAGTTTATTAAGACCTGAAAATTAACTTAATTCTATGGAATTATTCTGAATATGGTTCCAGTACTGGAACTGTCAGTCCAACTAAATTAATTGAATCTGGTATGTTTATCGCTGAATACTTCCAGAAAAAGTTTAATATAACAACATTAGGTGTTCATGGACAATCTATGGGAGGAATGGTTGCATCAGAAATAGCTTATAGGCTTAATCTGCCCTTTTTGATTGCAGATAGAACCTTCTCTTCTTTAGGCTAGGTGGTTACAACTAAAATGTAAATTAAATTATTAAGACGTAGTTTTGATCTTTCAATTGCAAGATTTCTATTTAATTGTGTAGTAAATTGGGATTTTCCAAATTATTAATCCTTTTATAAATTCAGAGGGCCAAAACTGTTAATTCAAGATAAAAATGATGAAATTATAATTTACAAAGCATAATTGTAAACAGGTGTGGTTAGATAATTCTTTACAAATTAAACGTACTCACCATTACACTCCTACTTCAATCTTGAATATAAATGTAATTACTTATAATTAATTAAATAGAATTTATGGATTTTTTTTTTGAGCAAATACTACCTAAAACTTAAACACTAAAATTGAGTAAATCCCTAGATATGTTAATCCATAATTAATTATAAAACCATTAACAATTTTATAAGAAATTAAAGCTAATACTTTCATAAATAGACTATTGTGATAATCAATTCTTGGAAGTTATGGATAAAAATGCTACACCAGAAAAAATTGCCTTATTTTTTGGTAGTTTCTTTATGTTCAATAAAGATCCATCTAACTCCATAAGAAAAATTAAAATAGAAATTTAAAGACTTTAGAAGGAACATTATTCATAATTTAATGAGAGTCGAGAACATATAGAAATAATTGTAAAATGCATTAATCAAATTACAAAAAATTATTAAAAAACTTAATAAATTAAAAATTTGAGATAAAGAAGAAATTAGTAATCTTTTGATTACTTGATAGCAATTAGTTGCGGACATAATGGCGACGTAAATAAGCAAGAAGAGGAAAAGTTTAAGAAATATTTTATGTCTAAATTAATTGTGGGAACTTAAATTTGATATTATATTTAGATAATATTTCAACATATAACTATTGGTAGATTCTTCTCCTTGTTTTGATCTAATATAGAAATATATATTTATATCAATGGCTTTAAACTCTAAGAGTGAAAGGAGATAGTTTTAGATTTGCTTTAGAGGCATAGAGTTAATATTAAAAATAAGTCAACTTATTATTTGGATAATCCAGTGTTAGTAGAATCAATGGTTGAGTTATAAATTACTAATAGTTTATGTAGTTGTTTAGATAATTTATTCGATTTATATCAAATAAACTAAATTGAAATCATTATTGTATTATTATTTTATATAACAAATGTCAATTTAATATACTTAAGATGAATTGCTCACCTTCCAATATTTCTTTACTATGTGCGATTAGACTGTAAATATTTGTTATGATAAATCTTAAAGGGCCAAGGAATACTAGGTTAAGATATGGTGATCAATTTCTTTAAGGCAAGTGGTTTGAATTAGTAGATTTTAGGAGTAATTACTTTACTAATATTATAGGCTATTTGGTAAATTACATCCTCCAATGGACAGACATTCACTAAAGATGAATTTTTTGCTGCACTTAAATTGATAGCATTAGCCTAAAATGGTTATCCGCCAGATGAGAAATTGCTATCTAAAAACGTTTCCTGTCCCTTACCTTTACTTCAAGGCTTCCAACCACCTATATACGATATCCAAAGTGAATAGTTGCAAAAATATGAAAATTATTTTCTAACCATAGATTAGGAGGGCACTCAAATAATCCAGGGCATGCAAGCAAGAGCTTTGTTTTCTAAATCTGGCTTGAGTTTAGATCAACTAAAAGAATTATGGAATCTTTGTGATATTGGAGAAAAGGGTCATCTAAACAAAGGAGAATTCATAGTGGCTTTGCACCTTGTTTAATTGTGTTCTAAATTTAAATATCCTTTACCCATCACCTTACCAGATTCTTTATTATAGATTGCTAGAAGATTCTCCAGTAACCCTAATGGAGGTAGATTAGGTTCAAATTCAAATTTGGTTCCTCAATAAAGATTTGGTTCCAATTCAAATCTACTCAATCAACCCAGACCTAGATTAGGATCAAATGCCAATATTGGAATTTAACCGATTTAAAGTGTTCAATAGGTACAATCAACTATTTAGCCTTTAAATGTTCCAACTAATGTAAATATGATTCCTGGATATGATCAAAATGGAATTAATTCAGTGAGGCAATAAGTCAATGATTCTACTTAACAAGTTTATCAGATGTAGAATTAATTAAATTCACTTTTCTAAAGTGTTTTACTTGAAAAACAAGAAGATGTAAAATAGATGTAAGTCTTGAATGAGAAGTAATATATTGATCGATTTGTAGTTTGAAACTTATCTTGTCAAATCTTTAAGAGCAATATAGAGCCATTAATGAGGAACTAAGTAGAATAAGAATGTAGAAATAGGGGTTAACTTAATAAAACCATTAATTGCAGTAATAGATAGGAATGTAGATGCAATAAAATAAAGATTAGTTTGCTTAATTGTAATAAGAGCAATAATTGCAATAAGAATAATAATCATATTTATCATCACCACCTCAATTTTAAGCCATGACATAAAATTAATAATTGTAAACATTAAGTTAACCACTTCCTTAATAAAATTTTGGATTTTAAAATACCCTTGTATTCACTTATATTTTAATGTTAGAATTATGGCAATAGTAGTCCTTTACCTTAAACTAATTAGATCAAGATCCAACCTTAATAACCAATTGTTCAATTTAGTGTAGATGAAGTTCAGAAGTAACCTGGTATATTAAAAAATCAAGCAGGTATTTGTTTATATGTAGATTTAGAGACATAAAAAAAGCAAGTAACATTTGCATAATAAGAAGAGTAATTTCCTTGGTGATTGGCAAAAAATTAACAATATATAAATTTAATCATTTTAATCTTCTTGGTTTGTCAGAAACTTCGGAAATATTAAGTTCATTCTGCATTTTTTGGAGTTTATCTTCCATTCTTCCAATAACATTTTAGAATTTATATAAAAATGATTCCTAAAATTCTAAACCTGATTTTTATTAATAATCATCGCCATCATCTAAATGAAAGCTATTTTTTGGAAGATGATATTCTTTTTGATTTTTGGTCTCCTTTATTTATTATTATTGTAATTAATGGTTTATTTTATTATTAGTAAAAAATGTTTTTGGTTATCTATGAGAAACAGGTTGAGTATAAATTATATTTGTATTCAGAGGTTTAGTGTACATAGGTTAGGAATATGAAGGTTATGTATGTAAAGGTTAGGTTTGGACAGATAATGATGGTTAAATATATTTTTCATACTGTAATGGGGAAGAATACATTTATTATTATTATTATTATAAAAGTTATTGTTACTATTATTATTATTATTTATATTATTGTTACTATTACTATTATTAATATTATTGTTACTATTATTATTACTATTATTAATATTATTATTATTATTAGTAGTATTATTATTATTATTATTGATATTATTATTATAGTTATTGTTATTATTATTATTATTATTGATGCTAAAATTACTATTATTGTTATTATTATTATTGCTATTATTATTGTTAAATTTAATATGGTATTAATTAAGATTGAATATATGATGTGTTTTAAGGATACGACTAAGATGGAACTTCCTTTTTCTCTCTTTCCATTATTTTCTCATATTGTGATAGTAGTTCTTTCTAATCTTTAATTACAACTTATAATTTCAGAACTTCCTCTTTGTGTTATTCATATAACTAATCATATTTCTACTTTTCTTCTGTAACTGTATTTGTTAAAATTAAGTTTCTATTTTTCAATTCAATCATTTAATCCTCAACCACCATTTTTTGTTAATAGAATGAATTTTAAGTGTCTAACTTCTCAATTTCATTTAATTTTTCATATGATTATATTAATTCGCTTTAATTGTCTATAATGCCTTATAACTTTTTAATTTCTTCAAAATGCATCGATTACTACTATTCTAATTTTTTATTAAACTCATCTCTCAATTATTTAATGGTGACTTCCTTTTACAAATTTTATTGTCTACTCTAATCTAATTGGGCTTGAAGTTTTTCATTTTGATCTTTAAGATTTGTTATTTATTCAATTTATTATTCAATCAGATATGAAAATTCTTAACAATCTCTAGTTAACTACTCATTTTCTTATTGTAAATCTAGTGTAAATTTCATTTGTACTTTGATTGTCATAAGACAATTAGTAAATAGTTTCTTAAACTCTCTAGACTTCTTATGCCCATTCTTCTTTGAGGTATTATTTTTCTTAAACTTCTTCAGAGGCTTCCTTGAGTTATTATTTTAGCTAATTATTTTGTTACAACACAAGTGCCAGGCTTCCTTTGATTTCTTAATATTTGATCTAGTAATCGGACATTTTAGTTGAAAGCCAATTAAATTTGAAAATAAAATAGTTATATATAATAATATCATTTTGTGTGCTTTCCATTAGCCCTGATTGGTTTAGGCTTTTAGCTTGGACTCTTGACTTTTTAAGCTTTTGTTTGAATCTTAACTTTAGTAGAGGCGCTTTGGATTTGCTACTTTTATTAGATAGAAGATCTTGAATTATAAGTATTTTCTAAATTATAAATTTGTTTTGATTTTCTGAATTATGCTGATTATTGTGTATCAGTCATAAATTACTACTTCTCGATTTTCTATGGGGATTCATTATGAAAATTAAGATTCTTATTAACATGAGATTCACTTAAGACTTTCTTAACATCTTCATAACAAGGATTGAATATTTAACTGGTTAGAACCTCTTCATTTTTTATGTGTGAAACTTAAAGTGGAATTTCAACCTATCTTAATAAATTGGTGATCAACTTAAAAGTAGGTCTTTGATTGGGTTTAACATTAACACAATCTTATATTAATTGTTTAATATGACCTAGAATAGGAATATTTCAATAATGTTACTTGGTATTTGTAATTATTCAATCGATTGGACATAGGATGATAAATTATCATTGAGTGTCAAATTCTTATAATCATAAATGTCAGCATCTTTAGGATGGACTCCAGTTAATAAATAAATCATCATTATTCCAAAATTAAAAATAACAGCTAGTTCACTATTGAATGAAGGAGGGCAATTGACTTTCAGAGAGTGCATAACTTCAGGTGCAATCATCCAGTCATCTTTAGAAACTTCATTAAAGTAAAGTTATTCGTAATCTGAAGTTTCTGTAAATAATTATGTGTTAACAACTTTAACTCGATCTCCAAATTGAAGGATTTTAGCAGGGCAAAATTGACAATTATTAACTCCTTTTTAATCCATTACTGAGAGTGCTTGAATTATATCTAACATAAATAATTTAACATCTTTAAGTTCTTGAACTGGTTGATCTGAATAATCGGCTGTTAAATATATTTTGACATAATTCGAGCAGAACTCTTCTTGTTTTTAGGTTTCTAAACGATTCACACAAACTAATGAAGAGCAGTTTGGTTGGTTTTATGATAAGACATCTTTGACAATTATTTTTTTGAGGGAGTCCATTTGATCTTTATATTAGGACTCTTCCACAATGACAGTCTTTAAGCACTGTAATTAATCAGAGGGTCCTTTGTAAACCTTGATATGTCCAAATAAAGGATGTGATTTGATTTCTCTAATAAATGTCCATTCAGATGAATGAGCAATACTTGGTTTAATTTATTCGTTACCCATTAATTTTAATTAAATTTAATATACATATCAAAAAACCTATAAGTTTTTTGATAACTATTTTATTTAAAGTATACTTAATACATTTCTAAAGGAAATGCAAATTATTTATCTTCAGAACAGATATATTTATTTGATTATCACATATGTATTGAAAATACTCTTATGTGTTCTTCATCTATATAAATTGTTTGTGTTTAATTTTTATAATAATCCATGGATTGCGAATGTTAAATATTATTTACAGAATTACTACTCGATTTCCTTAATTGTTGATTGAAACATATACAAAAAAGGAACCCACTTCATTTTAAGAATTACAATGATTATTAATCAAAATATTTCTAAATTTGTCAATCTTTATTTATGAGTGTAAGATAAAATTTGAGTTGATGGAATGTGTTTATAAACTAAACTAGAATTATTATTTTAAAGCGAAGATATAAGGTTAAATATATAGATTTTGTGAATATTCAATATAGACCTTTATAGGTAACAATAAATATCTAAGATTCAACAATTATAAGAAAATTTATTAATAGGATTTAATTCTAATGTTATTCTAAGAGAAATAGAATTGATTGAATTAAATTAAGAAGAGTGGCTCAGTGATGGATTTGATATTTATATTTCTAAAAATCAATAATAAATAACTGCTACTTACTAAAGGAAGAATAATAGATAGAAATCCTTATTTAAGTTCCAGTTGGTTTTCCTTTGAAACCTTTAAAAGTGAAAATTAAGAAAGGAGTTAAATTAGTGAAGAAAATTAAAAAAGCGGAGTCTTATGATTATAAGGATCTTATAACATGAGAATGATATATCATTTATCTTCCATTTTCAACCTTGTCAAAGCAGAGAGCAAACCGATTAGACACTGCCTTCTGTAGAGATTATCTGAGTTATTAAATAATTAAAAAATAACCAAATAGCAACTCTAATTTATAATGATTATCAAATTAATTATATCTGATATAAAAATTAATAAAATCACTATTTTACACATCTTGAATAAGCAATATCAAAAATTGCCTAAGCATTCTAATCACCAGTATTCTTAACTAATCTAGAAAACTCTGTATTTTTATCTACAAAAATTGAATTAATTGAATTAGCTAATAGATTAAACGGAGTGTCAAATTCAATCACTTGTCCTTCATTTACAACCATCACTTTATCATAGTCAGCAATTGTGTTTAATCGATGTGCAATGGTAATTAAAGTGCAATCTGCAAACTTCTTTTTTAAGGTTTCCTAAATAAAATCATCCGTTTTCATATCAACATTTGCAGTTGCCTCATCCAAAACGATTATTTTCTTCTACAAAAGAACAATTCTGGCCAAGCAAATTAATTATTTTTAGCCAACAGAAAAAACTGAATTAACATCACTCATATCAGTTTAGAGACCATTTTAAAATTCCTATACATGGTTAATAAGGTCAGTTTGTTCTAAAGCCTTCCATAATTATTCATCAGTGAAATTATCAAAAGGATCCAAATTTCTTCTAATAGTTCCTGTAAATAAGAAAGGTGATTAAGGAATGATTCCAATGCTACTTCTTAATTTATGCAATCCTAATTTTCTAACATCTAAACCTGAAATTAATAATTGTGATCCTTTATTATTTTCAATTTCTGACATTCTAAAGATTGCCTACAAAATTGAAGACTTTCCCGCTCCTGTTCTTCCAACACAGCCTATCTTTTCACCAGTTTAAATTTCAAATGATAATCCTTTCAACACCAAATCACAATTTTCTCTGTATTTCATAAAAACGTTTTCAAATTTAACTCTACCATCTTTAGGAAAATCTGGATATTTTGAATCTTCTTCCACAACATGAGGAGCCTCTGGTTGTATATCGATGATCTAAAACATTCTGTTATAAGAATTCATTTAGGTTTCAAATGTAATTAATTGCCTTAATCCCCATTATAAAGAGGCATTATAGGTAATTAAGAGCAATAATCCTTGAGATAAAATAGCCACATTATCATAATTCAATTTAACAAATATGAATATACCAACTGTCTAAGCCATAAATCCTACAATATCCAAATTAAATCCAAGAGATCTTGAAGAATAGTAATATGTTAGAGAGTAAAGGTTACATTTATTTGAAATCTCTAAAAACTATTGTCTAAACCATGCCTACTATTCATAAACTCTAACTTATATGACCCCTCCTAAAGTTTTCTTAAGGAAATCAAATAAAGGACTTCTTTGCATCAATTCAACTTCTTTAAGTTAACTGATAATCTTCTTTGCATAGCTAAACTAATAAAGATCGATAAGGATAATAAAAACAATCATAATCAAAAAGTATGGTTATAAGATAGCTAGAGTAATTAAAGCAAACAAAAAACCACCAATAATTTCCAAAACATCCAAACTAACAGAGTTTGTTTAATTATCACACAAAGATAAATCATTTGAAAATCTATTGATAATTCTTCCAGAAGGATTCACATCAAAATATGAAATTGGGGCTAATGTCAAATATTTAAGCATTTAGTTATGCATTTGTTAAGTAGAAGTTTAAACGGAGTATGTGTTTAAAGCATATTTCACTAAATTAGTAAGAAGAAGTCCTAAAGTGAGTATTCCTAGAAGATAAAATGCATTGTCTATATCATTATCTTTTTAGTACTCTTCGAAAAGAGATATAATTCTCTAATAGAAATTAATAAGCACTTCTGAACCAACTTCTAAACTTAAAATACATACAATTACTATCAAATTCCAAAATTTATAGTATCTAGCATATGTTTTTAAAGTAATTAATGATTATTAATCAGCCTCTTTACTTATAAGATTATTAGAATCAAAATTAATTATTTTTGCTCTCTTTTAGAATTGTGGCCTGATAAAGTCTTATTTTACTGATTCTTTTGTTTTGTCTAACTATTAAGCTAATTCTTCGTTAATCATATATAAATTTGACTTAATATCCTCATAGGAGCCTTAGGCGATTAATTCTCCATCATTTAAAATTCCAATTTTATCACATTCAACTGCATATTATACTTAGTGTGTGACCAAAATAACTATTGGTTTTTTCTTGGTTGGGTTTCTTTATATCTGATATTCAAAAATGAATTCCTTGATAGCCATATGAAATATATTTTTAGCTACACTTGCATCTACAGCAGATAAAGGATCATCGAATAAATATAAGTCTGCCTATTAGTATAAAGCTCTGGCCAAAGATAAACGAGCTTTTTATCCACCAGAGAGAGTAGTACCTCTTTCTCCAATTTCAGTAAGATCTTAAAATTTCATCTAAGATAAATCCGATTCCAATTAAGAAGCATGCAAAACTTTTTAATACAAAGCCTTATCAAATGGTCTACCAAATAAGATATTTCTTTTAATTGTATCTGGAAAGATAAACGGCTCTTATTCAACATATGCTATACTTAATGCACCTTTATTTGCCTCTTAACCATCAATTTTGAAGGAACCTTTATATGCAGGAATTTCATAAAGGAATGCACTAAGGAGAGTTGATTTTCCACAACCAACCTTTCCAATGAAAGCCCAAATCTCTCCTGCTTCGATATCTAATGTTAAATTTTTCAGTACTGGTTTTGTGGTATTAGTGACTTTACTTGACCAGAATGAAGTAAAATTTTTAAGTTGAATTCTTGGACCAATGTAATCCTAGATTTAATTATTATTATCTGATTTCAATTGAATTTTATCCAAATTTGTCATTTCTGAATTTTCAATATTTAAAATAGTTACAATTCTCTAAAATGACACTTTTATTTGGATTATTGATTAAATTCCATAAGAAACCATATAAACACAACTGATTTTAAAGAATGTAAGCAATTGAATTGTTGAGATCATTTCAGCCACACTCATAGTCTTTCTGAAACCTCCATAATACAAAATAACAAAGAAAATAAAACTTGACCAAACTTAAGAAATCAAACTAAATAATCTATCAATTGCTGATCTAAAACTAATTTTTAATAAGCAAATGTATTCCTATTTTCTCATTATCGATATCATTTTATTGAAGGCTTATTCCCAAGCATACATTTTAATTAGTCTGATTCCTTCAATAAGTTCATTTGTCAGTTTTAATCTTCGATCTTGATATTGCTTAGAGGTTTTAAGTGTCTCAGAATTAAAGGTTTAGAGCAGTATTTAAATGGGATAGGCAACAAATATTATAGCAAGCGCAATTATTCCAATAGGTCCATTAAATCTATCCCAAAGTATGTAGCATCCAAAGATCATTGATATGAAGCATACACTGCTCTAGAATACCATAATAAACACATATTCAAGATAATTGATATCACCAGAAATCAAATTTAAAATTTTTCCTATATTTGCCTCTTTTATGGAATATGCACTCAATTCAGTTAATTTATGGTAGACTAAGTTTATAAGTGTCAATCTGGCTTTTGAGGAGAAAATCATCGATAAATTATAACTATGGTGCCTTGCAAAAACTCCAACTAGATTCAGAAACACCAATAATACAGCGAATCCATAGGCATTATCCCTTTCATCATTAGCAGCACTGGTAATCACCTTACTCATGACCATTGAAATTCCATTTCTTACAACAGCTTCTACCACATTTGCAAAAAAACATCCTAAACTTATCGACTTTAATTCACCAAAAAAAATAATTTTTACTAAGTCAACACGCGTTACTTTATATTTTTAATTGAGTTTATTTTATGAATCTTGAACCGTTTCACTTAAGTCTTCCTAAGGTGACAATTTAGGCATGTGCTTCTCTGTAATCTTATTTCCTTTATCTAGAACGTGTTTCTTTAACAATAATGAGTATAAAGTAAGATGTATAAATAAAAACTTTGTTATCATCCAACTCTTCTCTCCAAGATAGTAAGGATAAAATTTAACATCATCCTCCTTATGAATCGTCAACATAGAAGGCTGACTGGGCTCGTCCTACTATAATGGCTGACATTCTGGATATGACTAAGTCTATTATTAATTTAATGTAGTAGGTGTCTAATTATTCGATCGAATATCTTATTATAAAGAAGTACTCTGTATTTCTTGTTGTTTTTTAACAGGATATGTGTCACTCATGAGAATAAACAAAAATAATCTAAATTAATATCTAAGGGAAAACAATTGTCTAAAATTTATACAATTATTCTTATAGAATATTTTCTAAGAAACCATCCATAAATCATATTGAGACTATTTTTCTCACAAAAACAATCATGTTGTAGACTAATTAAACTAGAAGAATTTTTCAATTTTCTTTTTTTTTAAAAACAACTTATCATCTCATTTCTTATCTTTCTGGGAAGGTATGGTTGTTTTTTTCAAAACGAAACCTACTAATACAAAGGCCTAACTACTTTAATAAATTTATAAAAATTATTTTAATTTTAAAAAACGCGTCGTAAAATTCAATTAGACTGATTCTCATTTTTTCATCATAATTGGAAAATTCTGGAATATTACCTTAAAGATTCTTAATTTCATGGGTGAGAAATGCTATTTTAGAAAATATAAATCATTTGATAAAAAAATAAATCAACTTTGGAATAGGCTGGATAACATAAAAAAAATCGCTTTAATGCACGATTTTAGATCTTTATTAGATGTCAGAATACTTCCAACAATATATTTATAAATGAAATTATTTCATTCTTTAAATTTTGTTGAATTAATACTAACCCAATTTGTAGGTTTCTTACTCCTTAAATATACTTACGCTGAGTTACCAGCATAATCGAAAAGTAAGAAATAAATTTTCATTGATTCTTGTACGAAATAATATAATAATTTATATAAATTAAATTAAATAAATTTATATGAGAATGCATATAAATTGTTGATTTAAACTAAACTTATCTTAATTATCAACCAAAGGCAAGAAAATTTTCAATATCAATTTCTTTGACTAATTTATGATAAGGAAATAAAGTTTTTCTATTCTATTTTTGAGAGTGACAGAAATATGAAGAGCATTCTGAACTTGGAACTTTATTTATAATTAAAGAAATTCATTTTTTTGAAATACCATCAATTATCATATTATAATTATGTAATTTATAAAATCTCATATGAACATCTTTCTTCTAGACCATAGGAACTTTGTTGGTTCCTAATCAGAATACGAAATTTTATTTCAAGAATATCTAATTATGAAATAATACAAGCCTTATATATCCGCTATTAGAATAATGTTTTTTATTGAAACACTAATTACCAGACATAGTATTACAAAATTTGCTTAGTTATTCTAAACAAAACGAGTTCTATATCTAACATTTGTAATTTTATTATACTAATTAGTTTTATTTGAAAGTATTTCTATATTGTTATCCTTTTCTGTAGTATCAATTTACGATTTGAAGTATATTTTTATTATAAATTTTTATACAATTTATTTGAAATATATATATCATTAAAACTATCGATTAGTCAAAATCTTTAAGAACTTACAATAATATTCTTTATCTATAGTTCCATTTTGATTTATAAATAAAAATATAATGTATAGTGGTAATTTTATTTTTGACACTCAAAATACTGTCAATCATTATAATTTATAATTCATTTGTGGATGCTATTTTGAATATCCTATAAAGTCAATATAAAATAATTATAGTTTCTATTCACTCAGTTTATCTATTTGATTTCTAATGGAACTAGTACTTGAATATTTAATTTAGATAAAAACCTTTTGATTTAGAGTTCTTACTACTTCTCAATCCATAAATATAAAGTCACCTGAAATATAATTCTTTGTCATACTTTTGCCATGTATTTTAAATATTGTTACCTAATTCAATAGTTCCCTTTTAAAGAGTATCAACTTATGGTGTGACTAATTGAATTTGGAAGTAGAAACTCTGATTTCTAAGATGGTGTCATAGTTGTAATTTAGTCTTATATTATTTTTATTATAAAAGAAAATTTCAAATGGCAAAGGATAAATAGGGGGAGATCGATGTAGATAACATAATTGAGAGATTACTCAGTGTCAGAGGGAGCAAGCCAGGAAAAAATGTAAATTTGACAGAACCTGAGGTTAGAGGTCTTTGTATAAAAGCAAGAGACATTTTCATCAGCTAGCCTATATTATTGGAATTAGAGGCACCTCTGAAGATTTGTGGTGATGTGTTGATTTAAATGATTTTATAGGCGATGTACACGGTCAATATTTCGATCTTTTGAGATTATTTGAGTATGGTGGTTATCCTCCTGAGAGCAATTATCTTTTTTTGGGGGATTACGTAGATAGAGGTAAATAATCCTTGGAGACTATTTGTTTACTGTTGGCATACAAAATTAAATACCCAGAGAACTTTTTCCTTTTGAGAGGTAATCATGAATGTGCATCCATCAATAGAATCTACGGTTTTTACGATGAATGTAAAAAACATCAATATATTAAGGTAAACGTCGATATACAATTAAATTATGGAAAACATTCACAGATTGCTTTAATTGTTTACCTGTGGCAGCTCTGATAGACGAGAAAATTCTATGCATGCATGGAGGTTTGTCTCCCGAATTGTCTAATTTGGAGCAAATAAGAAGAATAATGAGGCCTACTGATGTTCCAGATACAGGCCTCCTATGCGATTTGCTTTGGTCAGATCCAGATAAGGATGTATAAGGATGGGCAGATAACGAGAGAGGAGTTTCGTATGTGTTTAGTTAAGAAATTGTGCAGGTGTTCCTTAAAAAGCATGAATTAGATCTTATTTGTAGAGCCCATTAGGTAAGAACAACTATTATTATAGGTAGTTGAAGATGGCTATGAATTCTTTAGTAAAAGATAATTGGTGACTCTGTTTTCAGCTCCAAATTATTGTGGTGAGTTTGATAATGCAGGTATTTGTATGGAGTCTCATTTGCAGGTTCTATGATGACTGTTGATGAATCCCTTATGTGTTCGTTCCAAATACTAAAGCCTGCTGAACAAGGTGCTCAAGGTGCATCACAACAAAACAAACCTCCTAGTGCCAAGTTTGTAAACCTGATTTAAATCAGAGAATTTATATATAATTTAAAACAACTTAAATAGACTAATTAATCATTTATTATGTTTTCAGACTTGATCGATCAGTTCAGATAAACTTATCAGAATAAATACCTAACACTTCTTGAGTTTTCAAACATATTAGATCAGTATGCCAGATTGGATATAAGATGTGATTTGGATGATAATGTTAAAGAATAGCTGTATAAGTTTATCAAGGAGAAATAACAAAATGTGACTTATTGTGCACGTAACATTCACTCCATATTACTTAGTTGAAACTGTCATTCTTGAATTCTTATTACAATAGGAAGTGATTCAACCCTAAGCTTAAATTAATGTTGACACTCTGGGTAAATGTGCTCGTCGATTGCCTTTGGATATGTTACAGAACATCAATAATGATTTTCTTCTGCAATTCAAAAATTTCTATAAGTTGATCTCCAATAAGTATGGCAGTCATGTTGATTATCGTGAGTTAGAAAGGTTGGGTAAGGAATTGTAGAGAACTATCAAAATAAATTCTGTTGAAATAATGAGATACATCCAACCATTTGTGGATACTCAATAGAAAGTTAAAATAGACGAGATTCTTGAACTTTCCAATGACCTTGAGAGATTGATTAATGATCAAAATAGAATACAATCCAAAGGGGTTGAAGGCAGAAAGTCAAACACAATCGAGTAATTGGCAGAAGATTATCATTATTCAAGTGAGGAAGACAATTAAAAATAAATTAATGTGATTTCCACTGCATCAAATGATAGGAGAAACTTTACAAATATCATATATCAATAGACCGATTTAATTAAATAGAAGTTTATTAATAAAGCAGGTCTTTCCTGTCTAACTGAGATAAACAAAGCCACTTAAAGCATCGAAGGATTGATTACCAATTTGATTAATGATATTGACATCAAGAATAAAAAGATAGATGAACTGATTATTGAAAAGGAATTGACCTCGGGATAATTATAATAGTTTGAGCTAGAAATTCAAAATAAGGATTAATAGATTCAAATGTGTTTACAAGATAATGATATGTTTTAAACTCAAATTAATGTAAATTTTAGGTTATTTCTAGTAATGTCAAGATCAGAATAAAGATCTAAAAATACAACTCAACTTTTACAATGAAGAATTGAAAAGTATAACGAGATTGGAGACAGAATTGAAGGAAATGTAATTAGATACCAGAAATCTAAAAGAACAGTTAAATAAGTTGAATAAGGAAAATACTAGATTGCAATTGAATAACAAATCATTAATGGAAATTATAGAAGAATTAGAGACCAAATCTCAATAGAATAAAGATATAGATACTATTAAGCAATCCTTATAACAACATAAAGAATAAATATGTTAATTAGAACTCAAATTAGATGAGTAATTTATTATCAATATAAATAGTTTATAGAAACAGAACCAATAATTAGAGGAGTTGAATTTGAGTTATGAGAAAATTAAGGAAGGACTTGAATAATAGATAATAGAATTGAAAAGAGAAGTATCTCATTATAAAAAGATGTTTGAAAATACAAATATTGAAAACTAATAGTTGAGAAGTAGTATTATTCCAAGAACAAGTATGTTCAACTCATAATAGATGAATGGGGGTGGTCTTGGGAGATTGAGCAAAATGTCAATAGGAGGTGGTATGACATCTTCTAAGATTTATATAATCGGCCGAAATTCATCGCAACGAATGTCTTCGATCAGACCTAATCAATATGGGAGCACCTTTAATCCCTTGGAAGAAATACAAAGCGGGCCTCTGAAGATTGAGGAAGTTTAGGATTTGGACAATTAGAGTCCAGATTAATAAAAAGTTCATAGTAACAAACCAGCTATGATAAATAGTAGGATGGATGCAAGAATCAATCCAAAATACGAGAATAGTATTGTGGAAGTGATAAATGAGGAGAATGAAGAGAAGGAACAGGTTGGGACAGTTGTAGAGAAGCCAAAAGAGAATCAACTATTACAATAATTTGATAAGTTTTGGGGGGGATTGGGAACCAAGAATTTAGAGGAATTGGCTCCGGATACGCAGTAGATAAAGATCGATGAAAACATTTTATATTATAGAGACTTTTTGGGGATTAGAGATGATCCCAAGATTATGGAATACTTGAAATTGGAGAAGAATATATACAAATCAATAATATAGAGGTGTTTTTCTGATGGAGTTTATAGAATCGATGCTAAAGGGAAAAAGGCTAGAAGAATCCTATTTTTGACAGAACATACATTCTATATATTTGAGGGAGAAAAGAAACCATCTAAATTGTCAAGATCATTTCCATTAAAAAACATACATACTTTGGTTTTTTCAGAGGTGAGGATTTCAAAATATATCTAAGGCTTCACCTGTCATTTGTTGTATCAAAGTAGCAGGTTCAGATGATTATTTAATTGAAACATTTAAAAGAAGCGAATTAAATTCATTTTTAACTGAAATATTTGCATCCTAAAAGATTACCTTATTTAAAGTGGAATTCTTGGCTTAGTTTAAAATAAAAATGAAAGGACTCAAAGATGAAATCCCCATTTCTTAAGTCATTAAAAAGTAGACAAGTCAAGATCAAGGAAAGACTCCAACATTCAGAGTGAGTTCCAAATAAGGATTATACTCGTAGAATATGGGGTGGTTGTAGTTATTCAAAAAGAAAATGTTCCAAGGTGATTGGTAAGAAGTCTTTGTGATTTTAACAAATGTCGGATTGGTCTTATTTAAGAAACCAGGTGATGCAGAACCTATACTCTTCGTATCCTTTGTAGAGGCTGTTGTAATTAAGAATCCCCTTTTTGATACTAGTAAATAACATACAATTAAAGTAACCATTTTAATTCCACTTAGATCCGTTATGAAAATTGTGATTCCGAATTCGTGTTCAATGCAACCTCAAGTCTTCTTTTAGATCAATGGCATGATGCCATCTAAAATGCAATCATGGAATAAGTGCGATAATAGAATTAGTATTTGGTACATCAGCAACAACAAGTGGTGGAACATCGAAATTAAACTAAATTGGATCAATGAAACAATACTATTAAATTGAGTTGATATAGTAAATAATATAATTAATTCATTTTTCAATAAGTACTTAATTCATAGTAGTATTCTACAATATTTATTAATATCTCGTTGGTTATATATACTTTCTTTGTATTTAACTAACATCTAAACATCATTTTGTTAAATGAAAATCTAATATATATTTTGATATAAAGTTTACTAGAAATTATATAATATTCATTTTTGTAATTAAATGGATCAATACTAAAATGCATTTTAGATGTTAGGGCAAAATATGTTTTCGAAAGCTCCACCTAGTGGTTATGCTCCTGGATATCACCCGATGATTTAAGCCAATTCAAATAAACAGAAGTTTGATTAACTAATATAGTTAATGCAATTTTAGGAGTAGACAGTATTAAAAAATGCTTAAAAAGGTTAGTGATTATAATACGAGAATGAAAGGGAAGGAAGATTATATTTATGAATTAGAATAACAATCTATGCAATTGCAAAGGGATCTGGTTTAAAAGGATAAATACAGGAATGAACATAATCAAATCCATTACAAAAATTATTAACCAACTTTTAATGTTTAAAACACCCTCCCTATGGAGTCATTGTAGACTGATCTTTAATCAGTGTAGAATCAAAATCCGAATACGTAAATATTACCTGGAGATAATCCAGAAGTATAACCTTAATAAGTGCAAAGGAGAACTTCAGTTCAATTAAATTAGACAAGACCACAATCATTTGCAATTCAAGGAAACTAGAAATTGATAAATATGTAGAAGCAAATGGAGGAATAGAATCAATATATTTAGTAATTGTCTGCTTTGGTGGCAAAGAAGAAACCAGCTATTGATTCAGAAAAGGATGATAGTTTGACATAATTATTGAATGAGAGGGATGACTTGTAAAAATAACATATTTTGAATGAAATTAAGTAATTGAAATAGAGAGTAGATGAATTTGATCTCCCCAGATAATAAATGATACCATAATAATTTTAGCAGCATGGATTTATGCCTTAATAGTAACAAATGCAGTAATAAGGGATGATGCAATTTCAGAATCCTTATGGGATGTATCCATAGATGTACCCTCCAAATATCTAATAACAATAATAGTAAAGTGATGAACTTGATGATAATGATTTGAACAATGAAATTTTGATGAAGTTGCTTGATCAATAGAATAGATAAAAAAAGAGAGGATCGAGAAATGGCTAGAAGAGTCATGATTATAACCATAGAAATTCGAGTAGGGATAGGAGACATACACAAAAGAGAAAATAATAAGATGATGATCAAGATCAAGATGGAGATAGTAATTGAAATTAAACAATTTTATTTTATTATTATGCAATTATTGATTATGCGTAATCATATTGTGGTATCCTTAATTTTGGTACCTGGGAGATGATACAAATCTCTGACTGCTTTACTTGCAAATCTAAGAATATTCATTATATGATAACCCTTTACAATAGTTGGCTGGGTTCAATTTGTTGAATAAACAGCTTTGAAATTTTGATAGATTTTCCTATGCTTCAGCTGGGCTATCTGAGACTGACTATCCATATTATCCCTAATTATTGATGAAATATTTGTACTTATGAAATGCAGTAATAATAGCTATCTACAAGTGGTTTGCATGGCAGGAAACCATTGGGAGTGGCTTTTTCATCTTCTACGTGCTTTCTGAAGATTTTTTCTCTGCAAACATCTATACCTGTTAGATAATATTGACCTAATGTATTATAATGAGAAGAGGACAATACAATTTCTTAATCTTATAGCCACAATTCTAACTTCATCTTCTGAGGGTACTTTGAGAGTGTACTCATCGTCGAATTCGCTGTTTTCTAAAGGAGTAGCTTGTCCTGTGAAAAAGAATCTATTCATTAATTTATTTAAAATGGATGAATAAATTATAAATGTGATATTTGACCCCAACTTCACTTCTTTTGATCAGGATCTATCTAATATGAACCTAGATAAGATGATGCAAGTGACATTTTCAGAAGAGATTTTACAGAAGAATTTTTCTGTGATTATTACCATACTCAAACAGTTACATAAGGGCATGATTCTCATAAACGGCTAGGTGAAGGACAATAGCGATTGGGTGCAGGTAAACTTACTATTAAATGATAGAAATTAAGAGAAGAATCCTAATAGACTGATACTAAAGATAAAGTTGATGTGATTGATTCTCAAGTAAAGGAAATACATTAGAATTTTGCTACTAAAGCAGAGGTGTAAGCATTAAAATAACGATATGGTATCACATACTTGTCAATTATTTCATAGATAATATTTTGAGAGATTAAGATATCCAAATAAAGGAGATTGCTAAGGCTCAAGAATAAGAGCAACAATAAATAAATAAAAATGCTGAAGATATCATTTAGAAATAGGAATAGATTGATAAAATTAATGAGGAATTGGATAAACTTCGTAAACTCATCAACGATTAAAATAAAATAATATCTGATTTATAAACACAGTAGCCAGACTCCAATGTTTACCAGATCTAATCTAAGCCCTTGTCTGATGACTCTCTAAAGGATGTTCAGAATCGCTTAGCATAACTTGGTAAATGTTATTTGTGTTATCTTAGAATCCTAATACAAGGAATTACTAAAATAATTGAATAATCAATCGAAAACCTTAATATAACCAATCTAAGTGAAAGACTAAGGCTACGATGCTTAATAAAATTCTGATGTGGATTTAACAGACATAAACAAAAAGTTGGATAATCATGAAGAGGAAATTTAAAAACTATTTGAGTTGCTTGATGAATTGAGAAAGAAAAATAGGGAAGCAGCCACAGGAGGAGGTTCTAATATTGATTCTGAAGATTTATTGATTATCAAAAACGACATCAAAAAACTCTACACTTTATTAGAACAATTGCAAACCTAACTCAATTTGGCTTCATTTGGTAATTCAGGCGAGGGAGGTAATAATGTGGGAGAAAATTAAATGGTTATCATTTTGGCAGAAATCAATAAAATTAGAGCTCAATTAGAAAATTATGCTACTCAATAAGATCTAACAAATCTTGGCTAAAAAGTTGCATTATAATAAAAATAAACATATGATCATATTGATGAAGAAATTGAAAAAGTCAGAAGAGAGTTCAAATTAAATCTTAACAAAAAAGGTGATTTGTCTGAATAAGAAAAGATCAAGAATGAACTTGCTTAATTAAAAGATATTCTAAACAAAAATAAGCGTGGATCCCAACAACAAATAGATAATAGTCCAAACAAAGGACCTCAATTAAGTCCAGACTTTTTAAATACTTTTAAAGAACTGCAAGATTAAGTGGCTCAAAATGAATAGTAATTATTATATTTATCTTATCATTAGAGAACTAATCAATCACAAATCTCAATTTTAATAAAATACATAGTAAATTTAATTAAAGATTGCTGAGATTGAAAATAAGATGAAATAAACTAAAACTGATTCAATCATTTCTGGTTTATAGGAACTAAGAGAAATCCAAGATTAAATGAAAAAGGATTAAGATGCAAATAAGGCTAAAATAGCTTAGTTTGGAAAGAAGATTGATGGAGTGGTTACAAGAGAAGATCTCTTAGCACTCTTTGAACCTAAATTAAAATAGGTCAGAGATGAATTAACCAAATAAATTGAAGAATTAAGAATTAAATTGGATAAGAAGGCTGAACTTGAAGATTTGGAAAAACTTTAAAATGATCTTGTCTCCAGATTAGAGGAAGTTGTTTAAGCTCTCATCAAATAATTAGCGAATAAGTCTGAAACTAAGAAGGCTTTGATCTATCTGGAATAGAGAGTATGATTTTGTATTACTAATTCAATAGATCAATCAAATATTCATGATGTTAGAAGGAGAAGGAGGATCTAAGGATTAAGAAGGCTTGTTTGCTAAAAAGTAACTCTGGTCTTGTGCCTCATGTGATAAAGAATTAGATAAATTTAAGGGATAATTGGGAGATTATAGAGGATGGGCTCATTTCCCTCCTAAAGAGACTTCTCCAGAAAGAATGGGAAGAGTATACATTCCACATTATATTTTAGTTTGGTGTTGGGTACAAGTAAATGCAAGAGAAATCAAAAAACAATAAAGATAAAATTGATAAGGAAAGATATCAGAATGACAAGGACAGACCCAATAGTCAAGCCAATCAATAATTCTATTAAACAGGTTCATAAATGAGTCAAAGCCAAAGCAATCTACCAAAGATTAATAAATGAAATTATATATATTTAATGAATAATTAGCAATAAATTATAGCTGTCTTAACCAAAATCAAAGAATCCCAACAAAAAATCAAAGTTAAGACATCTAAATATCTAAAACAACTAGATATATTCAAGATGCAATTAAATACTTAAGAGATCAGATTATATTTAATTGGCAATGAGCAAATACCATATGGATTATTGTATTGTATAGGAAATAAATCCAAAGTTGATGGTAGTCTTAGGAAATCTGCCTATTACAGTGCTGAATTATTTCTGAATATTTTAGAGAAGCATCCACAAAGAATTGAATTCATTAAGGTATTTGCAGATCTTGAAGATGATGAATATAAATTGCTTTCATTATCTACTCATGTTTTAGCTGATAAAAAGTTATAAGATAAAGGTCTTATTGCATTTAAAATAATAAAGTATTTAAAAGATGAAAGACCCCACTTTAATCTTGAATACATTCTTGAAATTAAGAAACTCAAAGATTAATTTGATAATTGGTACAAAAGTGTGAGAATTCAATAAATTTAAGAGCAAAAACAACAGACTTCATGGAAGGAATCTGATTAACCTCCTCCTGAGAATCTGAACTTGTAGAGAGAGTAAAATAAAAGATAAAAGAAGTTAGAGCATATTAATTTATAATGGGATGGAAATCCAGAATATTTGATTAAGACTTTCTATAACCCTTTCATTCCTCAATAGAGAACTACTAAATCGAATAAGAATAGAAGTGCAGCATTGAAAAAGAAGTAAATAGCTGAAAGTTTGAATGCAGCTATTGATATAGAATCAGTTGAATAAATTAAGAAATAGATTAAGAATTTAGATCAAGTTATTGTTAAAATTCATCTTGACTCTCCATAATTTGATGCTCAAACATTCTTAAGATTAGTATAACCATAAATTACACAGTAATCCATGAATTTGTTATAGTAATAAAATATAGAAATGAATAAGAATATTGTTTACTATTTTATTGATGATTTCTTTTGTATCAATTAAGGCATTTTGTAAATTCATAATGAATTCATTTCCAAAGAATTCAAAGATTAAATTAAAAGAAAAAAATAATTAACATCTAATGAAAAGTCAAGTCAACCCATGCAAGTTGATGAAATCTTAATTTTAGGATCTTTGTCTAAGAGAACATTCCAATTATTGTCTAAATTAAGTTCTATTTCTTAATCGATGAATAAATTAAGTATGAGTTAAAAAAATTTGAAATCCGTTATTGATTTCATTAGAAAATGTGAACAGTATGTGTAATTGCCAAACTAATTGAAAGAGGCTTATCTATAGAGAAACAATGCTCAAGTGATGAAACTCATTTCCCTCTAAAAGGAAAACATGAATTAATATAAAAATATATCACTATTCAAATAGTTGAATGAATAGATAGATCAAGTATTGAAGTAGATATACAATGACATGCTCTAATAGATTAAACAAGATAATTTGTAGTACAATTAGATTTTAGAGATAGCTGAATACATAAATGAATTAAATCTAACTTAAAATAGCACTTAGGACATTGTGAATAATCTTTAGCAATCAATAAAGTCCAATTTCAATGCTTATTTTAATAAGACTCTGCAATAGAGAGACAATGAGGCTTACTAAGTTGAGATGATTAGAGGCGATTTTATTATTGAGTTTCTTTAATAATGCTCTTTACCATAAAAAGAGTTGCAACTTTAGAATTGCAAGGCTTTAGAGAATTTCGTAAGTGGCAAATTTAGTAAATAAGTTAAACAGTTGTAAAATATTTGTAGAGATCTTAATTTAAATCCAAACCTGTAAAAATTAAAAGAAGAAATTGAGAATAAGATGCTATAGTTCTTAGAATCAGTTTAAAAATCATGGTTTAATTAACAATATAGTTCCATATTATGTTAAAGAATAAATCAGGATATCGAATCAACTAAGAATATGGCCTAGATAATAGAAAATCTATTTGGAGATGGTTTGAAGATTGATAATTTTATTAATGACATAGAAGTTAAGTCTCTATCCTTGCAATTTTCAAATTACACATTAAAATAGATAAAAGTTAATTTTGTTATCCCTCAAAGAGACTTTTTTGGAGTGAATTTTTCTGAATTCATGTTGCAAATATTTAATGAGATACTCAAGTAAGGATTTATATTATAGCAATAGAATATCCAAGAACAAAAATGTAGATGGGATTCTCTTCTTGTAATTATTGCAGGATAGTCTTAATTATTTATTATAGTGTTGCAAAGAGGCTTAAGATTATTTGATACTTTTGCATAATATAAAGTTGATTGCCACTCAGATCAAAGACTTGGCTTAGAGTGTGTATTCAAATTCTAAGAAGCAAAAGAGTTTTAAAGAATTTGCTGAACCCATTCAATAATAGATTAATGGAATTCTGTCTTAATATTATTAACCATGTCTTCAGAGTTATGTGAAGTTATTAAACCTTGATTAGCCATAAAGTATGGATATGATACCAAGACCATATGTTATCTAATGGTTAACAGTACTTAATGAATAGGCTGTAATTTTGGCCTAAATTAATTTAGATTAATCGGTGACTGATTCAATTATGTCATTCATTGTTAGTTAATGTTTTAAGAATATTGAAGCAGTATCCACACATTCGAAAAGAGCAAAGTTCCTAGATTAATTAAATCATGAGATAAATTTAATTAAGATAATGACTTTGACATTTTAGGGATCTGTATCGCAAGAAGGGTTTTAAAGATTGTAAAGAAAAATGGAAGAATTAAGTCAAAATACATTGTCAGAGTCCAGTGAGTGGACAAGAACTTAAAAATTTAAAATGTCATTTAATTTTAAAGCATTATATGGTTATTATTAATAATAATAATGATCAATTTTTATGGTTTTCTTAATGATTTTACCTATAAAAGAGTTTATGTACATCTCATTCTCAAAACTGTGAAATTGATGTGTCAATAGGCACTTCTTAATCCATTTCACATTTTTTAAAGAATCTTTACAAGTATTTTTAAGGTCATATAATAAATATATGAAAAGCTATAATCGAATAACCAATGTATTAACCGAATTTATTTATTTTTATAAATTCAATTTATATGAATTAATCTGATTGGTTTTCTATAGAAGATGATCAACTTTTCTAGAATTCCGAAACGGCTTAACAAAATAAGGCTTAGACTGAAATGGAAAAAATTGTGTCTAAGTATGAAAAAATAGTCTTGCAATAAAACCTAATTAAATATATTGTAGTTGTATCGAAAAGTGAGGATCCTTAAAAATAAATAAATGAGAAATCTAGAATTAAAATAAGATGTGAAGAAAAAGACGAAAAGGCTAATATACTCAACCCAACTCAAAATCTAAATATTTTGAAGATATGCTTATCTTCAAGCATCCCTTTGATCAAAGGATTTCGTATGGCTCTTCTATCTATGAAAGAAGGAGAGAAGGCTTGGTTTAAGATATCAGGAGACTTGTTAGAAAAACCAGATAATATTGAAAATTTCGTAAAAGATCAAGTAAAATACTACTTGATTACAGTCGAAGAAGTAATATAACCATAATAATAATTGGATGTTACTAATGTTGAAAAGTATCTTTATTATCATATATAGTCGTGTGATTTAGTTAGAAAAATTCAAACAAGAAGGAAATAAATTATATCAAACTGGAGATTATGTAGGAGCTGCATCTCGATATTTAAGAGGAATAAACTTTATTGAAAAGTGGCCTAAATATTTGAATAAGGAGAAAAACTCTGAAGTTATTAAAGAAGACTTTTATCTAGTATTGATTAGTAATAGAGCTTAAGCATTGATCAAATTGAAAGATTATGAAGAAAGCTTAAAAATTCTTGAACCTATTGTTCATCGCTTAGAATAGAAGGTAATGAAGTAATTATTCTCAAATAGGAATTTAAAGTAAAGTCTTATTATAGACTCGTATTTTGTTTAATTTAATTGGAACAATACTAAAAAGCTTTAGATTATATTAATATAATTAAAAGAGATGAGAGATATCTTCAGTTCGAATCGTTATTTAAAGAACTTGAGGATACTTGTAATGAGAGCTAATAAGGATGAAATTGAAAGACATATTTAAGGTCTTAAAGTTATAGACTCTATTTATTCTACACATAATCATATAAATGTTTGAATTGCAATATTTACTATCATTTTATTATTGATCGCAAAGGGATATCTTAAAATATTTCTTCCTTATCCATTAAAAGGTCAAAGACGGCAGATTGAGTTCCAAAGTATAATCTAATAGCTAATTCTCCAGAAAATGATGGAATATGCCACAATCCAAATAAGACTCCAAAATAAACTGTGGTTATGGGGATTGCTGCCAATTTAATGATTGTGGGATTTTTGGATTTTGTTAGATGAATGCATTACTTTAAAATGGATTATCTCAGATGATAAGTATTATGGATTGCCATTCCAAAGGCCATATAAGACCCATAATGGTTTCTGAATGTGTAAACTTTGAAGCTAAATTGATATTAAATTCTTACTTATCCTTGTTCAGGAATCGAAACATAAAGGATTGATAGGCACAATATAATTTGCATTATAAATTAATAATGCTTGTTTGTCTATCTATAGAATCGAGTTCCTTTTATATTTATTCTAAATTCATTATAAAAAATAATATAAAAATATCGCATTTCATTTAAGTAACCATAACTTATAATTCATCTCTTGAAGGGCTTTCTTGTATTATTCATTTCTAATAGCCATAATCTACGTAATTAATATATAAAAGAGGGTGTAACAGAGAACACTTCAAGGATAAGGAATTCTAGAAGGAAATGAATAAGATTGGGAGTTCTTTTTGGTTTAATTAAAATAATAAAGTAAATTTCAAATGCTTTGTTAACAGTATAATTAATTAATTAATATATTCAAATTCAAAAATGAGCAACGAGAATATGTACACCAGCGATTTATTTTAATCAACTGTTATGAGCAAGTCCTATTATCAAGTGTTGCAAGACTCAAATTTAATTGAATCGTAAGTGTTACAGCCAGTTTGTTAAATGGCAACATCTTAATATATGACATAATCTATGTAAAAACCAAAGAAGATGGAATTATTTCATCAACTGGATGAAGAGCATGATTCAGAAGATGAAGGAATTGAGGACTATAAGATAGGTGGATATCATCCAGTTCATGTTGGAGAGGTCTTATAAAATAGATATGTTGTCATTCAAAAATTAGGTTGGGGACACTTCTCCACTGTATGGTTATGTAAGGATTTTAAATTTGATACATTTGTGGCTATCAAAATTTAGAAGTCAGCAGAAAACTACTTGGAAGCAGCCTATGATGAAGTTGAGATCTTATAAAAGGTAGCTTAACATGTTGGAGAAGAAAAATGGTTGAAGAAATTGATTTAATATAAACCAAATTAGAGATTAAATCGTGATGATACTCATGTTGTTTAACTGCTCAATTCATTTGTATATAGAGGTCCATATGGTTGTCATTTTTGTATGGTTTTTGAAATTCTGGGAGTGAATCTATTGGAGATTATCAAGAGATATGAATTTAAGGGAGTTCCAATGAGATTATGTAGAAAGATAGCAAAGGAGGTATTGATTGGATTAGAGTTCCTACATGATCATTGTGGAGTGATTCATACCGATTTAAAACCAGAGAATGTTTTATTGTAGTTAAGTTAAGAGGAAATAAGAGATATCATTGAAAATGGTTAATTGACTAAAAATTAGATTTTTAAAGAAAGATTGGATTTTTATCATCAATTATTTGATATCAAAAAAGAAGAACCTATTAAATTAGAAGATTCAATAAAGACAGCTATTCATGAGGAATCTAAAGGAAATGATTTGGTTTAGGAAAGTGAATAATAGAAATTGACTAAGAATCAATTAAGAAATTAATAACGAAGACAAAAGAAGAAGTAATAAAAATAATTGAAACTATAAGAGATAGATAAGTTAATAGCAGAAGAAGAATAATATATACATAAAAAAGAGGAGGAAATGAAAATGGAAGAAAAAAGAGATCTTCAATCTAATTTATTCTAGATAGACAATAAATCATTATTTAAATAAATCTAGAAGAATGAGTTCTCAGTTAAAGTGGCTGATTTAGGTAATGCTTGTTGGACACATCATCAATTTTCAACTCTCATATAGACCAGACAATATCGATCACCAGAAGTATTAATTGGTGCAAGATATAATGCTACTGCTGACATGTGGAGTTTTGCATGTATGCTTTTTGAGTTGCTCACAGGTGACTTTTTATTTGAACCAAGAAAAGGAGCTAATTTTTCAAAAAATGATGATCATTTGGCTTAGATCTAAGAATTAATGGGTAAATTTCCTTTGAAATTTTCTTAAAGAGGATTAAAATCTAAGAGATACTTTAATAAAGATGGGAGTTTATAAAGAATACCTGTATTAAATTGTTGGTCATTAACAGATGTTTTGATTGAGAAATACAAATATAATCCTAAAGATGCAAAGGAATTAGGTACTATTTAATATTGATTTGTAGCCTCATTTTTGCAACCTATGCTTAATCCCTATCCAGAAAGAAGAGCAACTGCAGCATAATCACTATAACATTCTTGGTTAAAAAGTGAGTCTGATGGAGCAAAGATGAACGAAGAGGAATTGAGAGAATACAAAATTTAGAGAGGTTAGGTCGAATTCAAGAAAGTATCCTTTTTTATCATAATTCATAGACTCCTGAGAGTGAAGATGAAGATGCCGATAGAAGTGAAACTCCTGAATTGATTTTACCATTGCCATCTAGACATAGATATAAGATAGAGCCAAGGTTTGTGAATAGAAACGAAATAGATAGATCTTTTACAGATCTAGGATATATTGGATTTGGAGATGGTATCGAAATTGATATGTTGGATTCAACAGGCAATTGGCAATTCATTAATTGATATATCATTCTTAAGTTGATTTTGGTACTTTGTACGAGGCACTCTTTTTAAACAATCCTATTTTTGGAGATTAACTATTCAACTTTTAAATTGCAGCATCTAATTGAGCTGATTCTTCATTCACAAAGTCATCATCCTTGCTCATTTGCTTTTGTTGATAAGAATTCTTTAATGCAAACTTGTGCAAATCTTGCTAATCTTTTTTTTTATTTTATGGAGAAGCCATAGCATTACCACTCGTATCTTATTACACAGTTTTCATAGTTTAACAAAACTAACTAAATTTCGACTGTTGTTATTATTGTTATTATGGTTTCTCTAAACGACTTGAAGATCCTTATCCTGAACAAACACTTAAAGATCCTATTGTATCAGTTCTTCCATTCAAAACTGAGGTTCGAACTTACAGTTCCATTGAGCCCACTTGACTATCAAAGCTTCCCTTCTTTTATAATCTATGCTCATGTTCTATTTCATATTCTATTAAATTTTCATGAATTTCCACTAAATCATTTTTATTAAAGATCTCTTCAAAATATGGATGTTGTAAACATGCTTCCGCACTAGGTCTGTCCTTCGGATTCTATTATAACATCTTTCTTATTAACTCTTACAATTTTTGAGATGACTATTTTAGAACATATCATGTACCTATTGAATTTATTTAATGTTGTAATTAATTTCACAATTTTTATTTGCTCTTAAAATTGCCTTATAGTCAGTTCCTTAAAATGGTTGTTTGCCAGTCAACAAAATATAAAATATAACACCAGCACTAAATATATCACATTTCTCATCATAAAAGGGATCCTCCTCTTTATACATCAGTATTTCAGGAGCAACAAACCCAGGAGTACCGCATCTTTTAAAAAGGATCTCCTCTCCTAAAAATGCTGCAAGTCCAAAATCTGCTATGACCACATCCACATTAGAATCCTTAGATTTAAGTAATAAATTTTCAGGCTTCAAATCTCTGTGTATGCATTTCTTACTATGAATATGTACCAAAGCTTTTATAAAATTGTACATCAATTTCTAAAGAGTATCTAATGAAAATGGATTAGTTTTTGCTCTTGCAAGCAGTTCTCCTCCTTATAACAGATCAATTACAAAGTATATTGAATTCTATGTCTCATAAGCTTCATGCAAATGCACAAGATTTTCTTAATTCAACCTTCTCATCACACGTATCTCATTCTCCAAACTTTCTTTCCCTTTGAATTGTTCTAACATAAATTCCTTGTTAAATGCCTTTATAGCATACTAGGCCCCAGTCTATTTCTTAGTTGCTAAGTAAACTTTTGCAAAACTTCCTTTTCCTATCATTTTTGTTACTCCAAATTCATCGTGAAATGTTGTTTATAGGCATTTAAATGCTAATAATTATTTCAACAACATCGCATCTGTTGTAATAATATCAATAAATTATCCATTTCTTAACAATCTGATCATCACTCCATGTTCATTTCTTTATATAGTCATCACTACTACAGTCAATAATAGCATGCCATGAGGATTCTTATTTTTAAAGAAATACAAATGTTCTTGACCCAATTGAATTATAATTGGTTTTAACTTTTAAGTTTTTCTGCTAATTTTATGACACACAGATTCGAAAATAATTGAATCATTCTATGGATTTTCATAATTTAATTACTTCATATGTACTGAGTTAAAACTTTGACCAAATATGTTTGATTTTATGAATAACTTCGAGATTATCAAAGAATGATGTAAATTCATTCAGCATCATTTTATTTAAAAATTATTTATATTATTGAATTATAAATCATTCACTATCACTCTAATTTATATCACCATTAATAAATACTGAGTCTCAATTATTAACCATAAAATTTTTCCTTTATAAATTATTAATACTGCACAATTTTGTCTTAAGACGCTTCAAGTTAAACTAATGTTTAAATAATAGATTACACTATTAGATTCAGTAATTCTTAGTATTTAATTCTGTAATAAAGGGTAACTTTAAAATTATATTTCTAAATAACAATTTTTTGATATTTGAGTCAAAATTTGATTTAAGCCTCACTTATTCAATAACTCATCAAAATTTAATGAGAATGTTAGATTAATCAAAAAAAATTCGAGAATTATCTAGAAAAGTATAAATAAAAATATATAATATAAAATGAAAACCAATTTCAATTATTCGAGAATAAACACTTATTCATAAATTATTTTGATAAATTATATATTTATCTTAATAATAAAAAAGTATACTATTATTTAAAATAGGAATAAATAAACTAATTTTCTATGCATTTCTTAAGCTTCTAAAGAATTGGAAAATTATATTACTATTCACATCTACTTTTACAAGTTAAATAAAAAAAGAAAAGTTACATACATATATAATTTATATATTTATTTAGCTTTTTATTAATAATCTCATTTAATAAAAGCAATTAGTCTAAAAATAATTTATTTTACATGAATTAGATAAACAAGAAGAATTATAATCATAAATCATATTCACCAAAATTAGTTCCCTTAATAATTTCATCAGTATGATATTCCCAATTTTAATAAAATGGATGCTTATAAATATTTTGGGATGCTATTAACATATCTATTAAGCAAAAATCTAAACTTGTGATCCGATATTGTTATTCCTATTACTATTCATCATTTGAGTCATTCTAACCCTCAATTTATGTATTGCTTTGTTTCTCCTCCTCTTACTCACTATCATCTTGTTCTGATATTGTCCCTGTCTTCCTTTATTTTTTTTTCTACCCTTCCTTATTTTCCAACACAGTATTTCTTTTCTTACTCATAGATCCCAAATTGCTCACAGTTCTTTTAAGGCCAGGCTTTTCAAACTAAATACTATTATCTTCTTCTTCTATGTTTTGTGGAGTCTCAGGAGTATCTTCATATTAAATAGGGTAGGCTTTATTGCTTTAAGGAGTTGATCTTTAGATAATTTTCGTTTGAGATGATATCGATTGAGGAACTTAAGTTTAGTCTTCTAAAGCATTTAGATCTAATATTGACTCTTAAACAGCAATAGTCTTTTGAGACTTTAAAGGGCTTTTTTTACTTTTTTATTTCTTTTTTTTTTGCATATTCGCCTTATTTAATTAATCATTTTCCAGATCACTGATTGATTGATCATCATTAAATTATTTAGATGTAAGAGGAGTGAACACGCTTTGCTCTCTTTGTTCATGAATAGACAGTTGATTCGGTTATTAAGGAGAAGATTGCAGATTGTCAACAATTATAGATTATTTTGGTGTTTCTTCCACAATTTCTTAAGCTTCAACAATAGGAGATTAATATTCTGGTTGAATTATGTTGGATTGTTGTGGTTGATACTTTTTGATTTTAATAGGCTGTTTTGGTTTAAGTAGAGTCTCGATGATCTCCATATGATTTAGGAGTTGTAAGACTTATTTATCTAATTTGTTATTTTAGACATAGTAGTCATTGAAATCTTAGTATAAACAATCATATTCATCTTTTAGTTTTACAAGTGTGACTTGGAAAGTGTCTTAATGCAGAGGTTCTTAATAGAATTATCTAGAGGAAAAAAGCAATCTAACCTTGCCCATTAGTTGTGTTACTTTTTCTTAAATTTGTTGATCCTTACGATCATTATTCAATCTGTCAAGTCGAATAGTAGCACCAGGATCTTTAAATGAAAATAAACGAGGGTCTCTTGAGTTTACTCCTTCATCTTTGGCAGGTTACATCAATTACTTAAGCTTACTTCGATATCGTCTAAATGTATTGACAACGGAAGTGCTTTGATTATTTTGTTAGATCTAAGTAATGAATTCCCCACCATTTCGATAATCAGCTGTCTTAAGCTTTTCTTGACTATTATATATGGCGATAGTCATTCCTCGAACTCTCTTTTTAATTGGAGAAGGATCATAATTCCTGAGGGGACTGCTCTAGTATTTAATCATGGAAGAATTTGAAAGATTATTATCTCCATAACTGAGACATTAATAAGAGTCCTTGGGTTATAATTTTAATGCTGGCAGTCTAAATGATGTAGCTTAAATTCTCATAGTATTATAATTAATTATACTATATATAGAAAATAAAAACTTTATTAAAGTGAATTAATCTACAAGATAACGATTCTTTCAGGGATTTCCTTATTAATAAGCTTGTACTTATAACTTGTCATTCTGAATTCAAATTTTACATGTCATTTATCAGTAGTTTTAATTTAACCTCATTTTTAATTATTTAGAAGGATGGGTGTTTGATTTTTATTAATTGACATATAATAATTTAGAAATATTAAAATAAATTAAGCATTTTGCCTGGTTTACACATATATATGAATATAATTAAAATTTAATATATTTGTATTTAATAAACTTAATAATTATAATATGTTGACTAAATATATAAGATATAAATTAAAATCCTCTACACTGATTATTGAATATTATATTCTAATAATAATTAATTAATAGTTATAATGATGTCATTTAAATTAAGATTTAATAATGTTATTTTAATAAGTTAAATTAATATATTTCAATGTTTAATAAATCAGTCTAATCAAATAGAACCTTGTTATCTGGATAACTTCATAGAATAATTATGAACAAATAATCATAGAGGGAGGAAATTGAATATGTTAGACGCAAGAATTCATTAAAATACCCTTTAAAAGAGCAAATCAACCTTCAAAAAAGTCATAATCACTTTAACGCAAGGAATTCTATGGACTGTTTAGAATCGGTTTTTAGAGTCGACACTGGCAAAAAGATCAAAAGCCCTGTAGTTGTGATACCAAACAGAAAGCTTTTTGTTTCTAGCAAAAATGGTAGAAAGAGTCATTAATCAGCCAGTCAAGAGCCTGGCCCATTAATGCCAGATGTCAAGAAATCCCTTGAATATGGATATCGAATTGTAGTGAATAAGTCTTCAAGAGTACCTACAATATAGTTAGATGAAGAAGTAACGAAGGAAGAATCAAAAATAAACTCTTTTAAAGATCCTGTTTCCTTTACTGATTGGGTAGAGAGAATTTATGGTAAAGAATGGTTTTATTGAGACCTTGTAAATAATTGATAATATTTCTTATTCATTGTAGAATGTTTATAAATAATAAATTAATTTTAATTTTGGATGATGACGCATAACATCTCAACATTCAAATTTAAGAATAAGCCTTAAATTCTTTAACTAAATGATTAGATTAATTACCAGTAATCAAATAATTGCAAGGGTCCTTAGCCAATTTTAATAAATATTAAGGAATATATAGATCTTACATGCCATTTTTTAAAAAATAAAAAAAGAGCAATGTAAAAATTTTTAAATCATTAGATTTATATCAAAACTGATCTTTGAATATGATTCTCATAATACTTTTAATTATGAAATCAGTTATGATGATAAACTCCTTTTTTTTGTTTATCATTTTTTAATTATCAATATAATTTTTCATTGCTTTAAATTTAAATTAAACTTTACAGTGCATCTTTATAATCTAGAAAGATAAACGAGTTTAAATTAAAAATTCTAATCTAAAAAGAAAATGATCATTAAGATTAATCCAAAATTTATTATCAACATTCATTAGATGTTCTCAAACTAGTATTTCTTATCTTTTTGGATTATTCTTAAAATTGAATTCCCATTATATAATAACCATATTAATATTCAATCATCTTTCCATAATATCCCTTGTTATTAGTCTTACTTTTTTTTAATTGTTGTGTTTCTGTAATATCATTATTTTTATTAATAATGATGAAAGACTCTTCTATTAAGTAATCAAATTTCTCATCCATAAAAATTTATAACTAAACTACATTCGCTTTTTCTATGTACAGTATATCATATTTCTACAGTATCTGATGATTACATTAGATTAAAACGATGCAGTTCATAAAAAAAAATAAAGAAATTAATTATTGTGTTAAGTCTCTGATTATTAGATTACTTACTAAGTCAAAGATTATCTTTCATTACTTCTAACCTTAGCTTCTTCTACTAAATATCATTCTCATATGAACATTAGGTTTAATTATTAATGTATAAATAAATTAACATATAATTATTATCATATACAATCAGTGGAGTTTTTGAAAAGAGATTATTTCTATAATAAATGCTTAAGATCATATTAAAAGACTCTGATCATTTTTTTGATATAGTAAACATTTTCAGATGGTTTAAAACACAAAGTGTCTCCGGTGGTTTAATCTTTAATTTCCTCTTATAGTAAAAAGTTTGATGCAACTCTATTTGTGCTTTTTTGATTAAATAAATATTGGCAAGATTGAGTTTAGTCTTTCTTTTTAAACTTTTTAGCAGTCTACTCTTACTATTCTTGTACTTCTTTCTAATAAATAGGTCCTAAAGGAACAGATTATTTATTTTAAAATTGATGTAGTATTAACATAGCATGCCTAAAATCAATGACTTTATTAGTTGGCCTATGAATTTTACCAAAACTATGTCCCTTCTTATATTCTATAGGTATTTTCTTAACCAATATTTTCAGATCCTTCCTCTTATTCTCTGTTTCCCACTTATTAAGATTACCATTCTGTAATAATACATCTAAATCATATTCATCTTCAGAATAGGAATTTTGATCAATAAATCCTTCTTTAGTTTTGGCATCTAACAAATAGGCTGCCTCGCCTACATTTCTCATGCCTTTACCTGGTTCTTCATATTCCCCTTATGCAAATTTTTCATGATAATAGATGGCTTTATTCATATCTTATTTGTAATAATAGCACAATGAAATTTTATCATAAGTAAATATCTCATAGTTAGTATCATTGACTATCCATGACAATTTCAGCATTTTCTTGAGGTAAATTAAACTTTTGTCATACTACTAAAGCTTAATACAAATCTTAGATATATGCTTATATGCTATTAATTTATATTTATGACAGTGATTCCCTTGCATATTACAAATTCTCAATACCTTTTTCCAATTGGAATATGCCAATTTCTCCTTGCCATATATTTCCAATATCATATTATGAATGTAATAACCAACTAAAAACATGTTCAAACATCCTATTTTCCACAACAATCTAATCATTCTCTCCCCAATAGGTGAAATCTAATTAACTTCCTCAACAACCATCTTCTCATTCATAATCTGTAATAACTTTTGTATCTTTTCAATAAACTCTACAAACTTTGGATTCTCAAAAACTATCTATTGTAATTTAGCTGCGTCTCTCCCACCGAAAAATGTCTACTTATATTTATCTGGATTAAATTTCTAATAATTAGCTTCTCCAGGTTAATATAATTTCTATAATTATTGCATCTGCGATCTTCTATGTTAATCTTTATATTCTTGCATTCCACTGTCTGCTTAATACATTACTTGCATATGCATATTTGATGAATTCAATTCCTCAACTACATCATTCTTTGTTAAAATATCCCTCCCTTTTATGTGTTTTATATACAAAGGATCTCTCAAGAACAAATAATCATCAAATCCTTGCCAACGAAGTAAAGATCTCCAATATTGCTTAACTAAAAATTTTTCTTATAATTCAGTTAGTTATGGACTTGCCTCCTATTAAATAGAATGTTTTGAACTTGTGAATAAACTACCTTTCCCATTTGCAAATAGATTTCCCATACTTTAACTAGCTGATTCAGGTTTTGAAATTCTTTAGTACATTCGAGATCCAACGGGTCTCCCTGATTCCCTAGTCGCAACAGTTCTTTTAGTTACCAGCTTATTCTGATTATTTTAATCATGTTTTTGCTGCAGAAAGTCTTCGTAGTCTTTATTAAGGAGGTTACGTAAGGCTTTCATAATTTATAAAACAATTATTTTATATTCTAAAGGAGTAGTTAATATTATTAATTAACAATTTATCATATTCCTCTACTTTATCTCAAATTATCATAATACATTAATGAAATGGTTATTAAAAATTCATTTTGATATTTAAAATTTATTAATAAAAATTTTAGCAATTCAAGCATTTATGTTTTAAATAATATTAAGATGATAACTTAGTTGAAATTTTAATAGTTTACTTTTAATCAATTGATAATAGAGTATATGATATGAAACATTATTATTGAATATGAATAAATTTCAATAAGGTCTTGGTCTAATCATTTACTCATATTATTTCTATATGTAAGGATTCTGATTATTAAATGGAATAGGATTTGTAACTGGATTGTGATTCTAATGAATTGCATTTTATCCTGCTCCTCTTAAAGCCTGTCCTCGACTGACTTAAGAAACATTACTCAAATTTTAGTTAATTGTATTCATCTCATCCTGCTTTAATTAAGTTAGAGATTGTTATTTTAATAAATAATCTTATTTTGGTGGTAATTAACTACATAGAATGAACAGAAAAATACCCAACTTATGGTGACCATCCAATAATCTTCGCATTTAGTTATGCATCTTAATTTTTATATGCCTGCAAATCCAACATATTCATAGATTTCTCTTATCTTCCCATTCTAAGTTGTTTCAGTCTTTGTTCCTCTCTTTAATAAAATATAATTGATACTTTTCGATTCTTTACTGATCTAAATATTCTTTGTATTATCTTTGCTATTCTACTTAATCAACTTTCTTTTAAACTAAGAATTGATTGTAATTTTAAAGCTAATAAAATAGCATAAGACTTTACATCTTCTAATCTTTATTTATTCAACTCCTATTTAACACTCTTCTCCTGATATTTTCCTTACTCTCTTTCATCCAAAATCTTTTTATTCACATTAAGTGTTGATCTACACTCCTCTTGCCTCTTCAATACTCGATCTAATTCATCTTGAAGTAGTTTTCTTTGATAAGCATCCATATTTTTAGCAATCAATGACTCCAATTAGGCTTACCTCTCTAACAAAGGCTACAGAACATTGTCAATATGCATTTTCTACAATTAAGCTTAATTTTGGGAGCAGAGTCTGTAAAACTATTAATTAGATTTGATTTTGATACGTTTTTATAGTTTTCCTCTTTGATTAATTCTTTTTCTGCATTTCTTCTATTTAATTCCTGAATTTCAATTTAATCACTTCTATATCTCTCTCTTTCTTCCATATGTCTTAACTAAGATAGTTTCAAGTCTGCATCTTGTTCTTTAGCCCATTGCTCCTTCTGCAATCTCCTCTATAGGAAATCCTATTCCATTCTCCTTCTATTCTCTTCCAAAGCCTACTATTCCCACTCTAACTTTTATTGTCTCATATCCATTTCTCTAATTAAGGAATCTTATTTTTATTTGTCATAGATGGAAGAGATGCCTTTTTGCAATATAGCCCTATCTTCTAAGAATTTTCTCTGTTCCTCTTAGAATTTCAATTGTCTCCTTTTCATTTCTTGCGCATCTTCATATTTCTACTCTAATTCCTTCTACTTAATCTACAATTACTCAAGCATTTTGCGATCCAATTCAGTCCTAAAAGAATGAAATAACAATCTCATACAATAATTCTTTTTTTCTTAGATTCAAAATTTCCCTTTCATTTCGCTAAATGTCTAATCCAATCTCTTACAAATGATGTTCAATTCCATACCATTCCGATTTTAAACCCTTTTTATGACAGATATTAAGTTACTTGAACATCTTTAGGATAATGACGTCTAGTTTATGTCTGATTTTATGTAACATTCATTGGATCAGTTTCCATTTTTAATAATAATAATAAATAAAAGGCGTAAATTCTTCATTAAACTTTTTTATAAAACCGAAGAAATTATGATATAAGGGAGTTGATATTTTTCAATATCAAATTAATTATTACTCAAATCTTAATCCTCTTCTTTTCAATGTCTCTCTTTCTAGTATTCAATTGTTTAATCAAATGAGTTCTAATTTCTTTATCAATATTTCTGCCATCTCTTCATTATTAATATTCATTATTTGATGATTAACAGATAGTTCATCATTCATCTAATTCACTTATCTATCAAATATATCTATTTTTAAGGTGGAATAAGTATAGTTTAGGTACTGGATAGAATTCACTGGCTCCTTCTTATAATCAGAAAACTAATGCTAAACATTTAATTAAATATGCCTTTCATAACTTCCTTAATATTCTAATCTCTTATTATAGTTTACATTTTCTTATTTTACTCGTGTAAACTCTCAATTCAGGATTTATTCATTGTCATTCTCTTTAACTAATTAATAATGGAGATCACTAGATTTGAGTATACTATCTCATTTTAATATAGTTGTTAAACGGATTCTTCTTATTAAAATTAATTTAATTTTATATCTAAATTAGGGTTGTAATTTTCAATTTTAAAGTATCTTATCAATAAAAAATATAACTATTATTTAAATGAATTTATTGATTATAAAAATAATATTCATTATTTTGAGAATGGGGTTTTATCACATTTTCTATTGTTGATATTTAAGAATGGAGTTTAATATCAGCAATTGAAGTGTTATTTTACATTTTATGATTGACTTTTTTTAATTTTACACATTATTTTTGAGAGTGATTTATAATTATTGTCTGTATTCATGAATCTATATTCTTTAAAATGATTGTCTCTTTCTTCAGTATCGTTAGAATGTAAGAATATTCTGTTTCTGCAATCAAATATGATAATAGAAATTGTAAGAAATTCATTTTTTTATAGTTTAAGGGCTCATACAACTGATTTATCAAATCTTTAAACCATTTTATTTTGCAAGATTAAATATAGAAATGTTTTATTTATAATATTGCATGATTCCTCTTTCATTTTCTAATTTAATACTATTTTTTTGAAATAAATATTAGAGTATTGAAGTTAAGTTTTATAGCAATTTCAAAAGGGTTATATCGAATTTAGCCATTTGAGAAATGAAAATTTTGATTCTTATTAAACAAAGCAGTTTTTGATTTTTTTTATTATTTTGAATATTCTAATTTCAGTATCGTCAATTAAATTCCAATAGAATACTTTAAACTCATTATGATATACAATTTCACTTTTATATTCTTTATAGAATATATATATTTTATAAATGAGATAAATTACATTAGAAATAAATAAGGATAAAACAATATTTTAGTTTGTCTTATTAAACCAATAAAAATAGAATATTATACTAATTAATTAATTGATTTCAATTTATTAAAACAAACATGATTGTTAGATTAAATAATTGCTGCTTAAATAATATAAAATAATCATTAGAAATAGTACGACTTTGCTCTAATTTTAGTAATATTTCTAGGATCCTAAAATGGATAAGGAGTAATACCAATTAACGAGAGTAGGTCGAACTTAACTATTAAGATGTTTAAAGTTCTTAAATCAATAATTATTCCTTCTACTCTAGTTTTTGAATGGATTATTCTGTCTATATTCTTTTTTGACATTCAACTTCTAATAATTATGAATATTCCTTATTTCTGAGTTCTTCGTTTGATTTCTATCTGATTCTCAATTTAATTTGTGATTATGCTCTCTCTTATTTTAGTTTGTTGTGTCTGACAATATTTTTAATTAATTCTGACTCCTTTTATTGCTGTATTTGTCTCTCTAATTCAAGCTTCCTAATTTTCAAGTTCTAAGTCTCCTTTTGCTTAATCCATTTTTATTGCTCTTAAGTTTTCTTACGTCCCTCCTCACTTTATTACTTTTTTGTTTTTGCCATTAGTTAAGTCCGCTGTAATTACTATAATTTCTGAATATTCTAAATTAGTCTCTATCATAATAATGTGTATATAACACTCTAATTAAATGAATCATGCTCGGACTGTATGAATTGCTTCATTTCAACAGACTTCTATTGTAATTTAATCCTTCGAATGACTTTAAGTTGGTTTTATTAAATAAGGTTTATTCGATTCATTAGAAGACTGAGTTACTATTCAGATTGTTTACGACTACATTAAAATAATAGTTCATACCCTTCACGTGCTTATAACAGAATATCACGTTTATTCATTTATTTTATTATTAAATGGTTAACATCTTTACAATAAATTCATTCAATAAAATCATAATCACCATGAGAGTCAAACTAAGAGAATAATTCAATGAAGAAAAGTAAAGAGCAAATAAGTATTTAAAACCTGAAATGATTCTTAATACAAACTAATTTCATATTTAAATATAATTAATCTCTTTATGGATAACTATGCTCATGTTATTCTATATATTAGAGTATTATCAAATTCAACATTTACAAAAATAAAAAATCTATGAATTTTGTATATATACAATAAAAAATAAATAGGCCCCCAGGATAATTGCTGTAAAGATGGCCAACATCCTAAACCTATTTTTTGTATCTTCTTTCTTTTACAAGATATCTTCATCAGCCCCCAATTCTTTTTTTATTTTGTTTTATATTCTGCCTCCAAAAAGTTAATAAAATTGACACAAATAAAGGAGTACTCTTATCAATTTTATTCTGAAAATTAACATCAACCTTCTTTATTAATAATGCTTTGATTAGTGTTAAATTATAGTTGTTATTGCAATCTATAATAATGACTTGCCACCATTTCTATCAGTTTCATCAAGGTTCTCACATTCATGGTTATTAGATCAAAACAATTTTCTGTATTAACTTTCAAGAATTCTCTAATCATTATTAACTAAAATAATACATAAACCAATTACTATTGCCTTAATTAATAATAAATCTTTTTCATTAATCTTAAACAATATAACTACATAAAATCTTTCATAATAATATTGAAAAATTTATTAGATTAAATATTTTGAATTTATTAACAATTTATTTTTTCTATTATCTAATGAATATCAGTTTAAAAATATCTAAATAATACTAACCGCGTTATTAGTATAATTAAATTATGAAGGGTTCATTATTTTATCTTCGATTTACTTTAAACTATATTTTTAAATAATAATTTTTATGAAGACATTTCACTCCTTAGTAATGTATATTTACTTAAGTTCTCAATTTCTAAATATTGAGAAAAAAATTATAATTCCTTTTAGTAGTTTTATTTTCTACTTCGAAAGCAAATTCTTTTAAATATATTTATTATTAACACTTACAAATATATGATTATATTATAAAAAAGTCAATTTTTGAAAAATAATAATTGCTGAGAATATAAATAATATAATCAAGATCTAGATCTTAAAAACTTCCATTTGCTTTTGATCCATCAAGTATAAAAAGCTTTATTGCAAGAACTATTCAAGCATTCTAATTGAAATAATGGATCACTCTTCAATAATATTGTATTGCGTGTCAACTTTAAATTTACTGCTCACAAACATGTTGAAAATTATGCATTTAATCTAGAGGAAATCAATAATAAATCTGATAAAGGAGTTAAAATAATTATTTGATTGGCTTAAACTAAAATTATGTTAAAATGACTTAAATATATTATGCGAAATCAATAATAATTAAATAATTAAATATTTCTTAATTATTTAATACTTAAAATTATTGATATAAAATTCAATTATTATATATAATATCAAAAAATCATTCGTTAACTGCTTGCGTATTATATCGAATCTAATACGACGTCATCCATGTGTTATGCTGATATGCTATTAATCAGTAAAATTTTGACTTAAATTTAATCAATTTTAAAAATAAAAAAAGATCCTCTGCAGATATGCAATTCCAATCCATAATAGAAGATGGCATGAAAGAATCATCATGCCTATAACTTTAGTAATAAGGTACTTTCAGAATATTTCAAACTTCTAGTTAATAAAGCTAAGGCACAAAAAGCATTGTCAGATATGAAAACACTTGAAAATATTTGGATTACTTGGATAACATAGTAACAGACTGGATAAAGCTAGAATGAAGAAACGAATAAAAAAAATGATCCTATTGATGTGGAATGCACAGAAGAAACTAATGTAATTATTTTCACATTATATTGCAGACAGTTGACAAGAACACTCTACTGAAAAAGTTTTTTGATACACTGAAATCGAGAATAATTGATGATAAAATATATAGTACTTTTACATAAACTTAAACAACCTAATTTTTTGAAGAAGTCACTACTCAAATATAAAACAAAATAAAACTCTATGAAGACATATAGAAACTAAAATTATTATCCAACTACCCAAGTACATTCCAATTTTATTTATTACTTAGTTAACTCTAAAAGGACCTACTCTAAATAAGCTAATATGATACTAAAAAAATGGTTAATTGAAAACTACAATAATCCATATCCAAAGCAATAATAAGTTGAATAATTAGTTCAATTAACAAGTCTCTCTAACAAATAAGTAAGTCGGAATCAATATTATATATAGGTCTTAAACTGGTTCATTAATGCCAGGAATAGTCTTAAAAGTAAATCCTCTTAGCAAAAGAAGTTCAAAAAGGTCGTCGAGACTAAATTTAAGGAGCTTGCTATCTTAAAAAAAAAGAAATACGAATAAATTATTTGATTATTAAGAAAAAATCACTGAATATAATTGTGTTAATAATTATTATATCATTAATAATTGTATTCCTAATAAAATTCCTTGTCACATTGATTATCTTAGTTATCCAGGAGAAAAATCCTAAACTTCCATACTTTCTTTAAACAAACTTAGAACCACATCCAAAATTTTAAATCATTATTTCAGAATATTATAAAATTATGGAAATAGAAGCAAACTAAAATAAAGGTATAACCATATCAAAATAATCATCAAATTAATATTTAATATTATTATATCGTTTATATTATGGAGATATTCAAATGACTATTTAGAATTAAAATAAACTAAAAATACTTTTAACCAAATTTGAATTAGCCCTTGGTTTTTTTATGGATTAATAAAAAATAAGAACAATTTTGTGACTATATATCAAAGAGCTTATTGGAAAAATCATTTCTATTTAATCTTAACTCATTTATACAGATACATGATTAGGGGGAGTGATAGTAATAAATTTTTGTCAAAATACTGGAGCAAACTAATTTATAAAATACTAATATGTTAATATCATAAAAGATAGAAACTATCCAATAATTATACTTCTAGTAAATACTGATTATTCTACAAGAAGTATATTCAATTTTTAATGAAATCATTAGGGTTATTATAAATTATTTATATACTATGATTTCATTTAATAAGTGAAAGTGTTTGAATAACTGATGGGATATGCATAATAGAGGATTACCTATTTATTAATTCTTTTAATATTCTATTTTCATTTTCATTACAATGATGTGATTGCAAGAATTCATCTAGCTCACCCTTATTTTAATTTGCTATTTTGTATACATTTTCTTATGATCTTTTATTGTTCTGGTTGCTGCACTAGCATTTCATTTATAATAATTGATTCTCACTTGTTAACATCAATTTCTTACTTTTTATTCTAATTCTTATATGCGCATCAACAATGAAGTATTTTCATTAAGTAGTCTATCAAACTATGCACTGCTTCTTGGTTGTAATTCTGTGCTTTTTCTAATTTAGGAAGACAAATTTTAGGAAGTGCTGATAACTTTTTTTTGAATATGTGGAGAGCTATTTGATTTTAGGGGAAACTTTACGATTCAATTGGAGAAGTCTTAATCGGTCTATCAATACTAAATTGTCTAGCTGATTGTATTGCTTATTAAGACTGTTGGATTAATGTGTTCAATACATTATCTCCTTTTTTGTAGTTTTCAGTAGAGGAATCTCTAATATATTTGCTGATGTTTCTGAAATTAAATTGAATGTCTTACAACTAAATCTAAGTTACGTGTTGTGACTTTGCTTTGCCAGGAGTTAAATTGCTGTTGGATTTATTGTAATAACTGTGGTTCATTTATGTTAATAACAGAAAAATAATTTATTAAATATTAATGCAATTAAAATTATCATTTATTTATACACAAATGAACAATTCCTATAACAATTATTAAAAATCCAAGTAATTTTGTTAAAAATACTAAAAAACTCGTGATTAAATGATTATAGATAAAAATGATATTCAAATGAAGATTTAATGTAGTAGATCAATTTATTTATGGATATTTTATTATTTAAAGTTAATAGTTCAATAATGACACAAAGATGTGAGTGATAATAGACAAGTCCATTCATTGAATGCAAAATAAAAATATAATTACTAAATCAAAATTAATTATTTAATTAATAATATTATATAAATAGTTAAGTATAAATTGTGGTCAGGATACTTCATTAAGACAAATATTTAAAAATGAAAATTTTCTTTGCTCTTATTGCAATTGTCTCTGCATTCTATTATGATCCAAGTATAGCAAATGAATTAACTGCCTTGTCCTTTGCTGCCTATTGTCACCCAGAGGACATCTTAAGTTGGAATGTGGGCACTATAAGCCAATAATATCCTCATTTGAGCAAAATTTAGATATTCGAGAACATTGAACTAGTAATCTATTATAATTATACCTAGGAAACAAGAGGTTATATAGCCTACAATTCACATAGTTAAGCTATTACTGTAGTTTTCAGAGGAGCATCAAACATAAAGAATTTCATAGCTGACATCGATGCAAAGAAGATTGAATTCAATCCCATTTGCAAGTGCTAAGTTCATGAAGGATTCTTTGCAGCTTATACATCTCTAAAAATTCATTTAGATGTGTTAATAGGTGAGTATAGAATTAAATATCCATATGCAAAATACTATGTTACAGGGCACTCTTTGGGAGGAGCTATGGCAACCTTGTTTGCAAGTGAACTAGCTATGATCGGAGTTAAAGTAACCCTTGTAACTGTTGGATCTCTCAGAGTTGGTGATTCTGATTTTTATGATTGGTTTTCAACATTGAAGGTTACTCATTCAAGATTGACAAATAAGAAGGATATCGCTCCTCATTTACCACCAGTAAGATATGAATTTGAACATGTTAATACTGAAATTTGGTATAAGGACGGAGTAAATTATGTGATATGCCAAGAAGTAAAGGGAGAAGATCAAAAATGTTCTGCTTCTGTTTATAATCCAAATCTGAATGATCATTTGACATATTTAGGATGGTCTAGTAATTCTTGCAAAGCTGAATTGACAGAATGACAATATCAATTTTGTGTGTGACATCTTTTATCAATTATTTAGTTTATATAAGATTTTAATATATAGGTGTTCTCCTAAATATCAGATATCTTGTTTTTAATGAATGTTTATTTAAGATCCCCTTTATGCTTACATGAAATATCAATGCTTAATTGAATATATTGGGATGTATTTAGGGTTCTAGAAAGCACGTTAAATAAATGTCCTCACTATTATTGCTTAAATTCAAGTAATATATTCATTTAAGAGAATATTTGATGAGAAGTTCATAGGAGGTTAGTTAATAATGAGAAATACGAAAATAACTTCATGGTCTATAAAATGGAGGAATGATTGAAATAAGTGATTCTCCCTGGTTTCGATAACTAAGAAGGGTCATTTATAAGAGTTAAGTTATGTTTTCAAGATTAGGGAATTTGAAATAAAGGAATTCTAATTTATCACTTGGAGAATTTCAATAGAGAATGAGGTTTGATAAACTGTTCTATATTTCAGTTCAATTAATTTCTGATTTGAATTAAGTCACTAAATAGTGGTTGCGTATTATATACATTAAACAGCATATCTTATGATGCCTTTTATAATTAATATATATAAATAATACGGTATTAAAGGGAGAGATTTGAAATAGTGAGTATATTTAAATAAATAAAATCTAAATGAGATCATCAGTGTTGATTTTAGTTGTCTTAGCTGCAACAGTCAATAGTGCTTTCGTTTACAATGAAGCCTTAGCAACTGAAGAGGCTGCACTTTCTTTTGCTGCTTATTGTCCCGACACAGCCATCAACACATGGAAAGTGGGATATGTTACAACCAACTACCCAAACATTGAAAAACCTTTAGTGTTTGAGAACAACGTCGCTGTAAGATCTAACGTAATCTATAAATTTAGGGTACAAAAGGATATATTGCCTACAACCCAACATACAATGCCATCACAGTCGTCTTCAGAGGTTCCAGTAACATTCAAAACTGGTTGGACAACATCCAATTTGATAAGGTCAATTACAACACAGCATGCAAATGCCAAGTTCACAGTGGATTTTTGGATGCCTTCAATTCCATCAAGCCTTAAGTTGACTCCTTGTTCACCAAATACAGAGGATTGTATCCAAAAGCCATCATCCACGTAACTGGTCACTCTTTGGGAGCTGCTATGGCCACCTTATACACCACTGAATTGGCTATTGCTGGATACACAGTTCAATTGAGCACCTTTGGTTTACCAAGAGTCGGAGATACAGCTTATTATAACTATTTCTCATCATTCACCAAGGTCACTCATTTCAGAGTTGTCCATGATAAGGATGTTGTTCCTCATGTATGAATATTTAAATAACATTTAGGTTCCACCTGAGAACTTTGGATTCAACCATGTTGACAGAGAAATCTGGTATCACAAGAGTTCATACACAGTTTGCCAATTGGATGAAGATCCCAATTGCTCAGATTCAGTCCTTGTTCCATCAATCGAAGATCACATGAGTTACATGGGATGGAGTTCAACTGTGGACTGCTGATATTTAAAATACAATTAACAAATATTCAATCAAAAATATGTTTATTCAATTGAAAAAACAGAAGAAAATATATATAATAAATATAATATGTTTTCGAATCCTTTTTTCAAAAATAGCGGAGCTTCTAGTCCAAAGAATAATATGCAATCAACACAATAGAGACCATCGGTATAGGATATCATGAATAAATACAAATATAATCCTTCAGAAAGAGTATCTCATGTTGATGAATAAATATTAGGGAGTCTTAACGAATCCTCAAATGTAGTGAATTAATAACAAATTATAGTTTTTAAATGAACAATCAAGACATGACAAGATGTTTCTAAATCCAATCTCACCATAGTTTGATTTAGATCCACAACCAAAAAAAGATGCTGTTGCTCGGTTGACCTTTGGAGAAGAGAACAAGAAATTTGAATCGCAGAAATTACAAAATTAGAGATTGCTCAATGAGAATGATCTATTTGATGACATGTCTCACTTAAAGGATAAAGTACTAAGTATCAGATCATCATTATATCAAAGACATGTTGGAGAGATATTCAGTTGCTCTTAAAGCTCCAGAACAACAGAACAAGAGGAACAGCATTAAACATCAATTAGAATTGGATGCTAATTAAGTCGCCTAGGAATATTCATAAATTGTTGATAAATTTAACAACCCGGATTTATCAGCCATTTCAATTGCAGATAGTACAATACCAGTATATAAAGTATAAGAATGAGTATCATTCAATTAGGAACAATAATTGACTTAGATGTTTAATCTTGTGGAAGAATTCCTTACTAAATTCAAGAATATATCCTAAGTGCAATAAGAGAAGTCTTAGTTGTTACGATCGCGTATTAATGCAGGTGAATCTCAACTTCACCCTTAATCGAATAAAGCAGCAGAATCAGAGAAACAATTCACATTTCAATCTAATTAATCTAGCAAGCATTCAAGTCAAGCTGTTAAAAATAAGGCTCAAGCTTAATTTGCTCAATCTTTAACAATTGGATAATCCAATTTGAGTTCGAATCCTTATTAATAGACTTTCAGTAAAACCAATGGAAGTCAGCAACAGAGTCCCACTAAAACTACTACATATTAATCTGTCACTACTACTCTCCCTGCTTATGAATAGAAATCAATTCCTGCTCAATAACCTATAACTCAATTAGACATGACAGTTTATACTTAGTTTCCAAAAATGGATGATTCATTTTATGATCAGAAACAAATATCTATGCAAAGAATTAATTCTAAATTATAAACTTTGAAATAAAAATTACTATAGGAACTCTAAAAGGAAAATATGCCATATACATAAAAGATATTAGGGGAAATGATATCCAGTCTATAAGAAATAATCAATACTCAAGATTACTAATTGGTCAAAACCATTATTTTTAGAATAGAATAAGGTATTCAATAGTTATCAAACAATAAGGAAGGTTCAATTAATCTTTATAAATATATCAATAAGGCTTTGTTAAATTCGAAAATGAAAACAGATTTGTTCACTCAAAGAGCCTCCATGCCTGTACATGCTCCGCCAGAACAACGTAATAGTTCTACTACCATGTCTTCACTAAATAATTATTAAACTCCGGCAAAGATAGAAAATAGTAACACTAAATTCACTCAAAAAATAGATATTGATCGCAATTTCGAAAAAAAAGAAAGAGATCAACGTCATTTAGAGGAGCATAATATTTATTTTGATTAAAGGTTAAGTAATGTCAATAAACCAGATGTTCTAAAACCTAAATAATAGTATGTAAATTAAGTCACATCTCCTAACTCTGGTTATGAATCTAGAGGGTCAGTCAATTATGAAAGGAAATTGGAGGATCATAAACCATATTCTCAAGATGCTCGTCTGAGTTATTAATTGTAATTTGAATCCAGACCTAGTATAAATTTAGAATAGAGGTATTCAAGCAATGATCCAAAAAATATTTATTTTGCAACTGAATATCAGAGGAAAACAGAATAAAGTTCCTTTTAGGAATCCTAAAAATTAAATTATGAAAGGAGATCTGAAATCTAAAGACCATCTGAAAATGCTTTAAGACTATCTGATATGTAAAGACCATCAGAATAAACTATGAAGAGATTATTTTTTGATGCTGCCCTGACCTTGAAGAATAAATTGCCTTCCAATCATCCAGGAAGAAATATTATGGTTTCAGATCTCTATGAAGATTATGTAAAAGTAGGTGGAGACATGTAAAAGTTTATATAATAAAAATTTGATTGTTATTGAAAGTATTTATGTAATTACAAATCATTAATCTATCTATTTAGTTACAATTGCCTAATCAAAGTTTCAAGTTAGTAATAGATTCTTTAGAAAAAGATGAGACTGAGATGATATTCAAAGATGAAACCTTCTGTAATTCTTTAAGAAACTTAAATAAATAGAAAATAGAATGACAATATCACTTTCTGTTTTCTCTTCATCTTTTAATGATTTTTGTTTGTTTTGTTTTCAAAAAGTGTCATTTTTAAGGGATAAATTGAATTCACATTCTTATGATCTTCCTAATTAAGTTTTAGTGAAAATATAGAATATATTCTTGAATTCGACTGGATTGTTGATGAATACAAAAATGGAATGGTTCCTTTTATTAATGGATATGAGGGTTTTTTGTTATTCAAATAGTAGTAAGATGGATGTATAAAATATTGCATAAATATATATGGATATATATATAGTGAGAATATATGTTGTGATTATTCTTTAATTAAATTATCCAAATGTCAGACGTAGAGGATTGGGAAGCATATGCTGATGAAGAATAAGAGGGAAACCAAAAATAGAAGGAAGAAGATAATTCTAAATAACCTTAAACTTAATAGTAGAAATCAGAAGTGCAATCAAAGGAATCAGATATGAATAATGTTTTCGATTTATTTGGAGGAGACAAACCAGTTAAGAAAAATATTGGATAAGTGGATCTGAAGAAAATTGGTGAGAATTTTGCTGCTGCTTTGTAAAATGTGGGTCCTAACTATACAACTGAGTTCTTGAAGACCTTGTTAACTAAGTTGGAAGGAAAATTATTGTTGAATCATTATGAAGAGTTGTTCAAATCAGTGGAGGAAATTTACATTAAAAAAAGGAAGCAATTTGAAGCAGAAGAAGCCATTAAGAAGAAGAGTCAATAGCAAGGACCACCAAAGGGAGTTTCATTTGGAAAGACTAAAAACATTGTGGAAGATGAAGAAGAGGACTTTGATAACGTTGATGATGATGATGATTTCATGTGATAAATATATATATCTTAATTATGGATAAAAAGAATAAAGTGAGATCTATTGTGAAGTTCGATGATGAAAAGTAACCAGAACCTGTAATCGAAGAAGTACAACACATTAAGAAAGGAAAAGAAGAAGAAGAAGGAACAATAAAAGAAGAAATTAGCAGTTGAATAGAGACATGTCACTATTGCCATCCCAGATTCAATTATCTCTAATGCTTAATCATCTGAATTGAGAAGTTATTTTATGTCTCAATTAGCAAGGATGTTTGCGATCTTTTAAGTAGATGAAGTCATCATCCTCAGAGATTATTCATAGTATCTCCATATTTGAATTGTAGTATACCAAAAAGCAAATAATTCGATGTGGCATCCTACGTTGTTAGAAACCTATAATATTTGGAAACACCACAATATTTGAGAAAGTACTTGTTTCCAATTCACTCCGATTTAAAAAATGTTGGTCTCATGAATCCAATTGAATCAAAACATCATTTACTTACAGAATAGGTATGTCCCTTTAGAGAAGGTGTTGTTGTTGAAAGACCTAGTAAAGGTGACACATCATGGGTGGAAATCGGACTCAAAAGATAAGTCTTAATTAATTATCCATTGCAACCAGGAACCAGAGTCACTTTGAGATTGGATGATCCTAATTCCACTCAACTGACTGGTACTCCTGTCTCAAGTTAAGATGCTAAAGAGGAGGGCTATTATTGGGGATATACAGTCACAATAGAATCCAAATTTCATAGGTTATTAGAGAGAGGTAAGAAATTAGTTTGCTATTATCTTAAGATGACTTCGATATGAAGATCTTGATTGAAACAGAGAAAAGTGATGAAGCCTAATAGACGACTACCTTTAATCCCAGCCAATTATCTTAACAGCCTTTAAAATTACTGTTATTATTCTCTGGGTTACAAAAGATTACTGATTTTACAGAGAATGATGAGAAATCGAAGGTAATTCAATATATATACTTTAGTTATCGAACGAGGATATTTATGGAAAATTCGATCATGTATATAGATATGGAAATAATGATTTTGGTGTGAAATAACTCAGATTAGAGGAGTAAATGTTTATGTTTTTGTAATCAATTTAATGATTAATCGAATATAAAAAATATTTGTCGACAGGGACGAACTCAATCAAAGCATTGGTGATATTGAATTCGCTCGTTCTCTTGAAAAAACTACTATCGATTTCAGTACAGTCGATATTAATGGTCGTAATCTTCTCCATCGAGCTGCTCTTCAATAAAACCCTAAACTCATTCGGGAAATTTTGACTGAATATTCAAAATTGCAATAGCCCATGCATGCTTACATTAATTTAAATGATAAATTTGGTATCAATGCAGTCTAGATGTGCTGTTTTGCTAATTATAATGAAAGAACAGCTTGTTTGGAATTATTTATTGAAGATGGAGATTTAAATAGTTTTAATCCAAGAACTCTTTGGTCACCAGTTCATTGGGTAGCCTTCTATGGAGATGTTGAAAGCATGTAACTTCTCATATCCAAAGAGGCCATTCTCTTCAAAACTGACTATGAAGGTTACTATCCATTAGATCTGGCGGGACGGAATAACAAAAAGATCGTTGCCAATCTGATAATTGAATTTCTCATTTAGTTCCTTATTGACTATGAAAGATCAAGAGTGTCCCAGAGAGTTAAGAATTTAGTCTATGATAGATTTTGTGAATATGAACGATACATTTCAAATCCAGCCTTAAGATTGTCACTTTTTTATTGGTCCTGTCATTTCAGGTTGGCAAATCTAGAGCGATTCACAACACTCAACAGGTTCTATCCATTGGCTATCTATATGGATTCGACAGCCTTACACAACTCAATCAAGAATTCGAATATGGAGGCATTCCTATACCTAATTCACTCAAGTTAAATTAAACCATTTTCTTAGGGAATGCTGCTCTCTCGTAATGCCACTCCTGAAAACAACAGGATCTTCTCACTCAAAAAGGAGGAAATGAAAATTTACAAAAAAAGATATTAATTATATCTTGTACGTTTAGATGAATGGGAATATGATTATTTAAACAATTAGATTTCTTTGTTGGATCAAGTGGATTTATTTGGAAATACTCCTCTGCATATAGCTGCATTATCGAATAATACAGAAATGATCAATTATTTAATACAGTTTGGATGCAGAATAGATATTCAAAATAGTGAATATTGGACTCCAGTAGATTTTAGTTATTCTGAGGAAACACGTACAATCTTCAGAGAAAATGAGAAACTTAAACAGAAATCAGTTAAAAACATACAGAATTTCTTTTATTGTTGTAAATTGCCAACATAAAAGTATGATCCAGTTCATAAACGCAATTTGTATTTATTTTAGGCCATCAAAGATATAGAAGTAGATAACTTATATACAATGAGTCAAGATCTAATCATCCCTGATTTTGTTATTAAATGCAGTGCCTAACATATTACTAAACTAAATTTTTAGATTTAAGTACTTATCAATGCTAAATTCGAAGTCTATCTTTCGAAATCCCAAATCGATGACTTCTATTATTTGATGTTGAGAAGTCCTTTGACTTAATTGTAAATGCAAGCAATGATATAAAAGGTTCAAGTCAAGTTATTGGATAGTTATGATTATGAGCCATATGATTCAAATGGTCATTTTGAACCCTTTCGTTCTTTGTAAAGACAATCCATTATTGAGGAACATTTGAATAGGATTTTGAACATTCAGGAATTGATTCAACAAAAGGTTATCATAGACACTTATCGCATGCATTCATTTGGTGGGACGACTAAGATAAGAAGATAATGGTTGGAATAATAGAAATGGTATCACACTTAGCCTTTCAAATAATTATAAGATTACTTTAAGGAAGGGTAAACTCAGAATTTTAAATCCTGTTCAATTTTGAGATTATATTTTGGAGAATAGATTGCTTACTTTTTTGCCTTTAAATCTTATCTTACTTGTTTTATGATATTTGCCGCATTCCCAGGACTCATTCTTTAATTATACATTTTGGCAGTCAATGATTATAATTCATTGTTCCTTCCACTATATGTAATATACATGTCTATTTGGTCAACAATAACAGTTGAATTTTGGAAGAGGAAACAATGTGAAATGAATGCTAGGTGGGGATTATTGGATTAAATGAATCAATAAGAATTGACAACCAGATTAGAATTCTAAGGAGATGAGTACATGAATCATATTACTCATCAAATTGAGAAATATGAATAGAAAGGACATTCCACAATTATGTTTATGATTTCAATTCCTGTGTTGATTTTGTTCAGTTCTTTTATAGTTGGATTATTCGTTACAATTGATTACATCCAATAGACTTACACAAATTCAAGTTATTATAAACTGTTAGTGGGAGTGTTACAAGGCATTTGTGTTTCAGTTTTGAATATTATTTACACTGCATTGGTTCATTACTTTGTGGAGAAGGAGAACCATAAATTTGAAGAGCATTATGAGAGTTCCTTGATTTACAAGAATGTGTTATTCAAATTTATTAACAGCTACATCGCAGTCTTTTATACCGCCTTCATTAAATTAGACAGTACTTACGAAGAGATATTCTATATTCTTGTACCTGTGTTGGTGATCAAATAACTGAGTTACTTGTGTGCCATTATGATGATTCCTTAGATCATCTATAAATATAAGGAAAGTTCTTATTTTAAGTTGTTCAAGGAGAAATTGAATCTAAAACAGTATCAGGATCCAATTGATATATTGTGGAAATAGACTACAAATGTGCCACTTAAATCTTAGAGTAGAGTGGTGATCAATCTGACAACCTAGTAGATACAACAGAACATAGACATGGATAGTGTTGAATTGAATGGTCTGAAATTGCCAGCCTATAAGTATTTAATGACCAACTATTTTATGGAAACTATGATAGATTTCGGTTTCATTACTCTTTTTACTGCTGCATTTCCTATTGGTCCTACTATTGCCATGATTATGAACATCATTGAAATAAGAATGAAGATTTATAGTTTTAATAGTGTATTTAAGAGACCTCAGGCTCAAAGAGTTGCTGGGATAGGTGATTGGATGTACATTTGGGAGTTCTTAAGTTTCATTGGAGTCTTTACAAATTATGCATTAGTGTTCCTGAAGTAGGGAGATCAGATTAATAATTATCTATTTCCAGATGGGAGTGTCACTCGTACAAATATGTTGTGGTTGTTCTTGTTGTTTATATTTTTGAATGTGATTCTGAAGTATGTCATTCAATGGATAATTCCAGATAAGCCTAGTTGGGTGAGTGAATGGGAAGAGGACCTAAAAAATAAGAAGAGATAGAATTCAGAATTAAAATAAAAGGAAGATGAATGTCAACAGTTGAATAATAGGATAAGTAGACTCGAAAAGTAGAACAATAAATTGATATAGAGATTGAATAACAACGAATAAAATATGAACAGTATTACCCTACCAAATGAGTCATTATTGCAATAGACACTTTAGAATGACAGTGGGTCGTATTTGACTCTATACTATAGGATGGAGAGAGACATAGCATTAGAGAAATTGAATCAGATATCGAAGTTGCTGAAGTAAAAGAAGTAACTTCTGATAGTCTGTGCAGAGTGTCAAGTAAATGAAGCAGTCGTACTCTGTCAATAATGTAAGATTCATTATTGTAAATTATGTTATGTTGATTTATGTTAGTCACACAAAATGGAATCGATTTCAAAGGGATATTATAAAATGTTTTATTATTCATTGCCATAGGTGAATCAATAAGGATTGAAACACCTTTATGACATTTTGTGTACATATTATGAGAATAGATCATACGGAACAAAATTATTCTTATCATTCGAGGACTTTTGTATTGATGACAAATATATAATCAACAAATTGCATGGTGTTTTGTTTAAGAAGAATAAGATATAGTGGGAGGAATTCAACAAGTACATTCAACAATTGCAGAAGGGAACATTTGAATAGAGAGTATTGTTAATGTACGATTTCATGGATGAGGACAAACAGGGAATGATAAGCAAGGATGAATTCCAGAACTATGCAGTGTATCATATGGTATAGGACACTAATTTTAGAGATGTTCAAATAATGTCCTCAGAAATGGAAGACAAGAGAGAGTTGATTAGACAAACAATCTCATCTGCTTAACATTCCCAACAGATTAGAGAATATTTGAATGCTTTACTATAAATATGATTATTATTGATTTTTTGTATATTATAGGAATAACTGGCGCATCCTTGGCTGAATATCTCTTCGCTTTGCAGAGTAGCTACTAAGTCTATATAATGTTATCATCCTTGCCTGTTTTGAGCGTGTGGTTTGCATTGAGATATAAGAGAAGACACTTCAAGAACGATCGGATAGAAATGTTGATACTGTTGCTTGTTGGCAATGCATTAAGAACCGTTTGTTCTACACATATCAGTGAGATGTATTTTGCATTATTCCCAATAAAGGATTGCTTTATATCATTCCAATCTAGAATCATCATCATCCTAAAAAGATGTTTCTTTGTCTTCCATTCGTAGCCATAGTGGTTAGTGTTAAGTTAGAATTTAGCTATGAACACACATTAGTCGGTTATACATTCCTTCTTCTTGTTTGGTTGTCAACTCATCACCAGGTAGGTAAAGTCCATTAGGTCTAGAAGAATCATAGTTACTCCAAAACCTGGATTAATCCATCTGATAGTGTGATCGTCAATTAGAATGATAAGTTCGATCTCGTGGTCAATCGCTAAGGCAAAATGATATCATAAACATCAGCTCAACGTAAACTGTTGGGCACTGATGATCCTATCCTTATTTAATAAATACTCCAGGAGATTATCATCCATAAGCTAGACAAATAATTCAAGAAATGCAAAATTGCCACTCTCTTCTAATTGATAGAAACCACAGATCTTATCAAATGTAAAGTTTTGGATTGTTCTACACCTTTTGGAGATAATTTTATGATTGAATTGACCATCATTCATGACAATGTAGGTTTGAACTTCTTAGACTTGTTTGAATTAAAAGATTATTGGGAAAGGAAGGTTACTAAGTAACTGATGAATCAACTGTTTCGTAGTTTTAGTCACGAATTTAGCACCTCATTGAATTGTATAAGGATACTAGCAGAAAATGCCATTGAAGATATCGATGATGATTATATTGTCAATACTTGTATCTAACCCGTTTTGAATTCATGTTACATTCTCAACTCCATAGTTCAAGATGTCAGAGATTTCAGTTTGATCTTGTCTAAGAATTTTGTACTCACCATTCAGACACAAAACATTTACTTACTCATTCATGAAGTAGCTGAATTGTATAGATAACAACTCAATATGAAAGGTGTTGAACTCAATGTTAAGATGAATGAATTCCAGATTCACACAGATGGCCAAAGATTTAAATAAGTACTCAATAATCTATTGTCCAATGCCTAAAAATTCACATTCTCTGGAAGTGTTACCATCGATGTTTAACAATAGACTATTCATGAACAAGAGTTTATTAAGGTTAGTGTCTAAGATACAGGCTCTGGGATGGATTACAACACTTAGAATCGATTATAAGAGTTCCTAAAATAACCACATAAACGCAAGTCCAATCTTAATTATGGTCTAGGTCTAATGATCAGCAATACTATTTGTAAAGGCCTATCTCCCAATTATGAATCTGGTATACATTTTCAATCCAATCATAAGACTGGCTCTACTTTTTGGTTCTTCTTATAGGATCTCAAAACTCTGGATATACCTGAAGTTGTTAGCAGGAGAACCATCAAATACAATAAAATGGTCAGTTAAGGTAAAAGCATCTTAGAATAAAGTTTTCTCATTAGTCCCATTGATAATAAGAAATAATCATCTTTTACATTCTCATTATAAGGAAAATAAAAGTTAATTGACAAATAATCAGAAAGTAAGTAATATTAATATAATAGATTTTTCCGAACCAGATGATGCCATTTGTGCTCCTTATGTTTTCAGAGAAGGACCCAAGAAACCAAAAAAACATAGATATCCTCAAATTGATCAAGTTGTCAGCGAATATGCTGAAGAAAGAGCCAAAATCCTTATAGTTGATGATGAATTTGTTAATATCTATGCACTAACTACTATGTTAACAAGATTAAACATTAAGTGTGATTCAGCACATAATGGTAAAGAAGGCTTAGAAAAATTCAAACAATACTAATATCAAGTTATTCTTATGGATATCGAAATGCCTATCATGAATGGTATCTAAGCCACTCAACAAATAATAGAATTTTGTCATTAAGTAGATCTAGACCCTCCAATTATTATTGCCTAAACAGCTTATACTGATATGTAGACCAAACAAACATGTAAGGAAGTGGGAATGGATTATTTCTTATAAAAACCTATTAGTACAAATGAGATTAAATAAATTCTATAAACTATTTAGTTAACTTTATGATGAATTCTATTTAGTTTAATCTATTTCAAAATTATGCATTTTCTTAATCTAAAATTCTGAATTATTTAATAGACTTGATCTAAATTATTATAAAACATAAGATTTTATTAAAATATAAGAATACTTAATTCTTTTAAAAATCAGTCAAGAGAATTTTATAAAAAAACAATACAATAAAAAATGAATTTATTAAACTTGAGAAATTGATAAATTTCATAATAATTCAAGTGTTAATTCATTTATTAAATCTTCGAAAATGTGATCTGTTATTTCAACTATGGTTTCAGTAGTATCTGTATATGACCACATATACTCATATTCTTGTAACTATAAAATATGGCATTAACGATTACTTCATTGTTGATACATAACTATAATCGTTCGTTTCGTAATTGAGACAAATAATCAGAATTGACTAAATTCTACAAGACCTACTCGTAATTTAAAAATTATTCAGTATTTTCTTCATCATCATTAATCAATCCGCATAAAACCGATGCATAAAATATTAGTTTATCCTTGGCTTTCTCTAACAACTGATGAATATTCTCATTGTTATATAGGATGACAACAAGATTCCTATTGTATTCCCAAGGGTATGGCTGGCCATTGCAATAATAAAATGGACGATACTGATTCAGAATTTCGTTGAAGGTGTCAAATATCGCTCTATTGTGAATCTTTTCATACAAGGAACTATTTTGCTTATTCTATGATAATATCATACTTATAATTCGGTGAAGATGTATTCCTAGATAGGATAGCGATATTTGTCATCCTCAATTACTTCATATCCATGAATTTGTCGCAATTTACTGAAAGGCTGTAAACCATAAGGATAGTTCATTCTCTTTATGAATGAGTTCAAGTTGGTTTCTAATTTAAATCTTATTTTAGTACCTATAATATATTAACATAGAAGTTCCACGAATAGACTGATGGTTCCAACATTGGTTTGAATCTCAACTTCATTTTGCTGTGGCTAAAAGTCAACATCAATAATAATGTCCTTCCTCTTGAAGTTGATATTCTTCTGATACTTTGGGGTACTTAATTAAAGATCTGATTAATCTAAATAGCTAGACTCGAATGAAATTTACTCTAAATAATATTGATGATAGTACATAACTATTAGATGACGATGGATTTGTTTAATTATAATTCTTATATGCACTACAAGTCCCTTTAGGTTTTCGATTATATTTTGTTTGTGACATTCTGTATATTCTTGAGTTGTTCTTGATACTGATGCAATTTCTGAGTTTATTGGTTTTGCCATTAATGAAGCACTTGATTATTATTATTGAAAGATCTAGGAGAGATCTTTTGTTACTAGAGTAGGTTGTTAAATGCATCCATTTGCATATTGACTCTAAGTTTAATGCCTTCTTCCCTTTGGTGGCATATCTCATTAATGATATTTAAAGGGAGACTCTCTTGAAATGCGGATTGTTAATGTTACTTCTGCATATCAAGTTTTTCATGTATACTTGTTTGTAAGGCTTCATCTTTCTTCTCTTATTTGATATTTCTCAGAAACTGTTATAATTCAATCATTTATTTCTCATTCATCAATTACAATTCTTCAATAATTGAATTCAATAACATTTTATGAGGATCCTCACTCACAGAGAAGGTGTTTAATCTGATAGAACTGATCTTACTTATTTGAGGTTGATAATACTGCACCTACGTTTTCTGTTTCTTAGATTTCTTCATTTGGGGACTGACAGTTGTTTTCAACTTCTATTTTTATTTCTTTTTGCTTTAACTTCTAATCTGTCTTTATTGGGGACTTAAGACTTTTTTTAACTTTTAAGGTGATTTCGATTTGGATGTGGTTCTACTTTTTGGGAATTTGCTCTTGATGTAACTTTGCAATATATCTTTGATATGTTTCTGAGGTGACACAGTAGTTTTCGATTGGGTTATAATGGAGCTTGTTTTAGCTTTCATTGATTGAGGACTTCTGTTATATCTTCAATTACCTTTTAGTAGTTTTCATCTTCTTCTTGAAGGTGGGCTTAATGTACATGGTCCTCCCATCTACACTGCTATTATGATTCTGCTTGGGTTTCATAATATCAAATTTCTCATTCGGAGTAGTTTCAGTGAATAGACAAGATGATCTCAAAGACTTGATCTCACTAGCTCTTATACTTTGTTTCAGCTATTTCAGTTTGGCCTAAATCTATTGTATTGGTAATATTTTCTAACGTCTCTATTTATTCATTATATATTATATTTTAATAATCAAAATATGAATACTCATACCATAGAGACCTTCGAATTCATCGTAACATCTACATGTACGCATTGAAATAAGTAAGACGAGTTCAATTGTCAGGATGAATTAATCTCACTCTAATATCTATAAGCATCATTTACAAATATAGATAATGTTTAAAACTAAAATTAGTTGAGGATACATCAATGGAAGCTAAATTAAGAAATTTATATTAATAATCAATGAGTATATATATACAGATCATTTTTAATCAAGAATTATGAATTTCCGAATGACGAATGAGCTGCATAACATATGGGAAGGTTTTTCCACAGATTTGACAAATTTCTTGCTCATTTCCTTGTTATGGTTAATAAGCACTTTACTGATTCTAATTAATATTATTCTATTGGATTGTTTGATTTTAAATGCTTTTTGGTTCTGGAATGTTCTTTCTTTTCGGAAAAAAACAATCATGATCTTCAATCTGTCTATGTTTTAGACAAACCTCCTTGCCACAAGTCTTGCACTAAACACTATTCAGAGATGTTAATTTTGTATTGCAGGTTGGGCATGACTTCTTCTAAGTTGGTTATTAGGTGCACTCCTTCTGGAAATGTTATTCCCAAACGATATTTTCATTTTATCCTGAGGTATAACTGACTCCCTTATTACATATTGGACATATTATGGCTTATTTCTTAACTGATTATTTTTTGCACTCATGAGCCTCAGGGGTGCGATGCTCAGAGCAAAATGCACTATCACACAATTAACATGTAAATGGAAGAAAATCCTACTATTTGCAAATACTGTAATTGCATCTTTTTCCTATGCTATAATCTAACATTTTAGATTAGTATAATTTTTAATATTAATTTATTATATTTATAAACAATACTTTGTTTCAGATTTTAATGGTGAAGGCGTATTTCATTAAGTATTCGTATTCTAACAGAATAGTTCCTAATGTTATTCCATATACCTATCTTCACATAGAATTCTGTATTCTTTGTTAAATAAAACATTAAATAGATATAATTTGCATAATTCTTAGTCTTTGTAATATAAATTGAGATATAAATAGTGTAGTGATATAATGGGAAGTGTTAATAATGAGTATTTATTATTAATATTTAAATAATTAATATGATTTAGTAGTAACAACTTCAAGAGGATGGAGCGAAGGCAGAAATAAAAGAGGATGGAGGTATCGTAGCTTAGTATCCTGAAGAGAGTCGAAATGATCCTGTTCATAAGACTTCAACTAAGAGGCGTACCTCTTCTAATGATTCATCTCCCTCATCATCTTTCGAGAATAAGATCGGAAAGCGTTATTAATCCAATAGTGAATTCAAAGTCCATTTTTATGTGCGTCATGTTCACATGAATGGAATGAGTGATAATGAATTCTTGAGTTTCATAAAGAGGAAAGGTATGTATGGTAATATTTAGTTAATTTGGCTGGATCATGTGAAATTGTGTAAATGTTCAATTAGTAAGGGTCATATTGTGATGTAGCTATAGGAATGTCAAATGACGATAATGCCAAATTAGTATACATTGGAAAAAAGCATTTCAATTTTGGACGAAATGGTAATTGGTTTTTTGGATGTTAATCTTATAGGAAGACAGAAGGAGACTGTAGAGTTAAGTGATGCTTTCAAGAATTATTTGGAAAACAAGAAAATGTTGGATAAAGAACATTTGGAACGCTCTTTAAGAAGAAATGTTTAAAATTCAATTATATCCTAGCAATAATCTAAGGGCAGAAGTGACAGTAGTGAATCTTCAGGGAGATACAAAAGTAGGAGTTCAAGCAAGAAGAAGAATAGAAAGAGAGGGGATAAAAAATAAGCATGGCAAGGATCGAAGAAAAGATCTCCATCTTCTTCGAGTGAACCAAAGAGGGCCAAGAAGAGAAAGATTAACAGACACTCTTCACAAAGTTCGTCTAGAGATTCCAATAGGGAGATTGTCTAACCTCTTAAACCTTAATAAGTTTTTACGGATAAGAATACTGTGTACATCTTCTCTATTCCATAAGAAGTGAATGAGAATGAAGTGATTTAAGAAATTGTGTAGCATCATAAATAGAGTGCTCCTATTAGTCACATTTGGAGTTATTATTTATTTTAAATATTAAGACACTTTAGATAAGATGCAATTTTTGGAGTTATAGTTTTAAGATGAAAATACTGCTCAATTTCTATGCAACTTGAGGCCCTGCTTACATGTTAAGGGCATACCACTTTTGGTGGTCGCTAAAAAATAACGTCCTGTTTAGGAGTTGTTAAGAAATTATGAGGTTCAAGTTGAACTCGATAGAGATGTGCTTGCTTTTAATGTGTATTAGGAGTTTAAAAAATATGGAGATCTTATTGGGATTTATGTTTTTTAGTTAAATAGGAAGTATTGAAGAAATTTTAATTATCAAGTTATTTACTCTTGTATTCATCGTCCTCATAATTGCAGGAGGCTTTACGTCCTCCAGTCCATTTATAATTGACTATTAATGATTAAATAGTGAATGCTAACGCCAAGATTATTGATAAACCTATTGATATCCAAAGACCCCTTATCAAAGAAACTTTAGCTTATTAGCTGAACAATTAAACTGATGAAGATGATGACAGTAAAGCAATCATTATATTTTTATAAGACAAGAAAAGAAAAACTAAAAGAAAAGTTGAAAAACCTTAGAAAAAATGAGAAGCCATTTTAATTTAATATTCAAAAAATATATTATTTACATACAACAAACTCCTTTTACTACACCAATTCAGTTCAAAGGAATATTAAACCTTATAAGAATATGCAAATCTCCTCTCATCCCCCTTATTGAATTTATTTTAATATTAATTTTAATTTATAAGGGAATTGTTGGTATGCAAACTTATTACCCTGATGGTTAATTTGAGTCAATACGAGATATTCATTGAGACCTCATTACATAACAAACTCTGGAGAATCATCTCCCATCATAACACCATCTCCCACTATTAATCCACAGTTAAAAATGCACTCCATCATAAATACCCCTAAAGATCTTTCACCATAACAGCATTATTAGAAAATCAAAGAATTTTTAATAATTCAAATAATCCGAAGAATTATTCTCATTAATGGAATTAACTCTTTTTCTGCTCTTGTACTTCATTAAACAAAGAGTACTATCCCTGATAACACTCTTTAAACAATGATATCTATTTAAAGTGCTTATAAACCTAAGAATTAAATAATGTGAAATTAAAACTCTTTCTTTTCTCTCACTTTATACTTTCGAACTCATTACAACATCATCACCATATCATTATGCAAATAATTAAGTGTTTTACTTACACAAAGAATACACTCTATTCTATAATTAAATTATTGAGTAAATCATTATAAATTTCTTAATAATGCTCTCTAAATATTCATGAAAATGTTCCAAAATCGATAGTTGAGCCACAGAAAAGGGATGTATAAAAACAACAAATTCATAAATGATATAACTATACTTTATGAATTATATTGTTATGAATCTACATAAAATTAATAAATTAAATGTGTGGGTATTTAAATATTATTTGGAAAAGTTTTCAATTATAAATTCAGGTATCAATTAAGAAAAAATGAAGAGATATAGTTTATTAAAGAAATAAATGAATAATAAATTATTATAATGGATACAATCATCATTGATATTTAGTTATCAATTTAGATAAATTACTCACAGCAATATTGCTTCCTGAAAGTACGACAAGACTATTTTTATATTATGTTTTTTTGCATCCTGCATAAGCTATTGCTGAATTGAATTCTGCTTTAGCTAATTCACACTATGCTTTTTCAACATCCTAAGTGGTAACGAAAATAATTTCATCAATAAATCCCTCTATAATTTGAGAACACATTGTTGATTCACTCCTAGTGGAGCCATACAACATAACTCCAATAACTTGGATTTATGTTAAGGCTATGTATTTTAGGTAGAATGCAATGGCTGCGATCAAAGCACCACTCTTAAGTGTTACAAATACATAGTCAATTTTAGTATTTGTCAAGATTTACCATTGATCAATTTCAAATCCAATCGTAGCATAGCCTCCGAAAACATCGACGTCGTTTAATAGATCTATATAGTCATAGCCATGATCTTGAGCATATTTGAATGCTTCAATCTCGATGTCTGGTTTATTTAATTAAGAATTAATAACTTAAACATTTGGTAAATCATTAAAAGTATGTATTTCATTTAAATGTTTGCAAAATATAATAAGCTATCCAAGTAATTAATAAGGTTTTATTTTAGAGGATAATTATTAATTATTTATGATAGCGGATAAACCTGGATCAGTTGGAGTGTCATCTTAGGGAAATTCACTAATAGTCTAATCTTCAGATATTTCTTATTTCTTTTCTTTTTTCAATAATTTTAAACACTCTATGCAAGCCATAGCTGCATTCCCAGAGGAACAGATGACGAGATTCATTTAGTCCATCCCTTTATGCCGTTTTTTTTGATGCAACCTATACAACATATGATATATTGCTCTCATTTTGACTGATCCTGTTGGTAGGAGACTTTCTAATTTGCAAAATATCCCTCCTATTTCTTTAACAGGAGTTAACTAGAGTGAGGATTAATCAAGAACTCATACTTTAATCGGTGATTCTTCAGAGTAAATGCATTGTTATCCTAGTTTAATTGCTTAAACTAATTCTGGCAATAAATACTTAATTTCACAGGATATCATAGAACATTCCTCATTTTTTTTCCTACTTTAAGCACAGCCCATCTAATTTATTAATAAATATATTTTTTAATTAATCAAATGTTTTCAAACTTAGGAAATTATGCAAACAATTTAGTATAAGCAGTTGGAGCAGCCCTGATAGCTCCTCCAACTAAGTCTGTTTTTCTAACTAAAGGAATGTTGACCCCAGAAGAATTTATTAATGTAAGAGATATTTAAATTCATATTAGGCTGGAGATCGATTAATAAGTAATGGAGGAAATTGGAAATGGTGTAAAGCCATTAGTGATCAATATAAAAACAAATACTTACCAAATGACAAATAATTTTTAATCCAAGAAAATATTATATCATATAAAAGAATTAAAGATTTAAATAGAGGAGGAACTTTCACTGAATAGTAGGAAGGCGAAGACGTTACAATTATTAGATCGGAGGAGTAGCCAATTCAAGAAATTACATAAAGTCAAGATAGATATTACACCTTATACATTACATACGATCTCTATTATTTCACTCCTAGATTGTATTTGAGTGGCAAAGTTGATGATAGACAATTGACATATTAAGAAGTCAAAGAAGTAATCATCTATCTCATATATTTTTAGGATGTCTCAGGAGAGTATGCAGATAAAACTGTGACTGAGGAGAATTTCCTTGAATTGAATATCAAGTTGCCAACCATTCACCCTTGTAAACATGCTGATACACTTAAATTCTTTGTAGATTAAATGAGAGACAATGGATGTCCAGAAGAGAAAATACATCCTGATAATTCATTAACGATATTTTTGAAGTTCATGAATTCAGTCATTCCAACAATTTAATTTGATTTTGTTAACACAATTGAGCTTTGATTCATTTATAAATTAAAAAAAAACAAATGTTAAAATCTATTGCATTTTCTATTAACATAGTTTGTTATAAAAAATTAATTTAAATGGCAAATGATCAAGAACAATTTTTAGTATTCTCGAATATTTGAAGAATTTTATATTTCATAAGCATATAACTTTGATTTCTGTAGATTCCTTTATGATGGAATAGTTATATAGACCAATATGTACTTATGAATACTTATGGCAACATAGATATTTGTGTCATAATATTTAGATATAAATTAACTGATTTGAATTTTGTTTGATAAAATATTCTTTTTATTTAATTTGCTTAATGCAATCATATAAAGACACTGATAATAATAGTGAAAACTTGAATGAAGAAGATAAGTAATGTAATAAAGATTATAAATTAAGCAGCTCAATAAATAAGCAGGTTCCTTAGTTCCCATAAAAAAAGGCCCCATCATATTCTAATGAAGTTCCCCAAATACTCAAATTATAAAATTAATTCAGAAATGCCTAAGGAAATACAAGAAGAGAATTGGAATGTTAACTAATAAAAAGATTGGTCGATCTCAAAAAGAATAGTGATTCTGATTGGTATAGATTAAACGGAGCATGGGCATAAAAATACACAACATACTTATATGACAATTCGAGTACTTTGCCAGGGCCAATCGACAATACTGACTTGCTATAGAAGAAGAATTTAGTTATGAATGCGGATTTCTATGTGGTGAATGAGACAGTTTGGAAGTTCCTTCTTGAAGAATATAGTGGAGGTCCTGAAATCTTAGATGAAAAGATTCCTCCATCTCCCTCATCCAATGCTAGTTCTACAACTGACAGGGCAAAATCGGTTGATATAAGCATAGTGTCATACATATCACAATTGGATATAAATCCTGAGATTCCAATTAAAGGGTTAAAGAATGAATTATATTTTTGCTACATGCATTCCTCTTTATAATGCATGATGTGTATCTAAGAACTTAATAACTTCATTCTAAACAACATCAATAGATAACACATATAATCTATGCCATTGTGTACAAATTATTAGGAGCTTCTCCGATAACTTAAAGATACTTAATAGGATTATATAAAAATAAACTCTTTGCGCAATAGTATCGCCAAAAAATTTAATCCAAAATATCAACATGACGCATAAGAATTTTTGTTGTTCTTATTATCTAGCTTTGAAGATGAAATAATCAATTTCAATAAAAAGAATGGATAATAATAGACGATATTACCTAATGTCATTGATCAATATCTTAAAGGAAAGATGGTTAGTGAAATCCATTGCAAAAATTGTTCAAAGAAGTCTTAAATACTGGAAGACTTTTTGAGCTTGTCTTTGGCATTGTTGAAAATAAATTCTATCAATTAATCTTTTGATGAGTTTCTTAAAGATGAATTGATTTAGGATTATAAATGTGACAGTTGTCATAAAAAAAAGACAGCAATCAAAAAGACGAGAATAACCAAATTACCTTAGTATCTTATTCTGCATTTGAAAAGATTCAAGTTTTTTCCAAAATAAAACAAAATAATTCAACATATTAAATTTTCATTAGAATCAAGTTTTTGTGGTATCAAATACAGTTTAGTTGGAATCATTGTACATTCTGGATCTCTAGAATAAGGACATTATTATTCTTTTTGTAAGAGATAAAATAAATGGTGGCTATTCAATGATCAAAAGATCAAATTAGTAAACAATAATGATGTACTCCAACAATAAGGATATATTTTGTTTTATTAATAACTTCTATGATTATATATTTAAGTATTTATTTAATCCGTTTTTATTTTATTTATAATAATGAAAGTAATTGCAGTGACTTTAGTGTTATTGTTAGCAGGAAATGCCTTTGCTGGTGATCTCATCCACAAGTGAGTTCTATTTATATTCACCATAGATATCCAATTATTGGCAAAAGTAAGCCATCCTTGGTTAGCATCTTAACAGAATTAGAAAGCAAATTGACTTCAGGTGGTTCTGTTGACACAGCAGTCAACTTTTTGGATAATTTGAGAGCATCTATTGATTCAGAATAAATCAGACATGATTAATTATACACAGATCAAAGAAATCAATGCAGTGCTGAATTGGAATTAAGAACTAAAGATGTTAAAGATGCTGAATAAGTATTGAACAGAGCAACCGAATAATATGAAAATTGTTCAACCTCAAAAAAGAAGGCTGATGCTGAATTAGATAACAATTTGGATAGTCAAAAAGTAATTGATATAAATGTAACATTAGGCAACTGATACTGATATCAAGATCTTAGATTCAATTAGATAAGCAGGTGCTTAAAATTACAATGCCAAGAAATAAGATCACATTGATGCTTTGAGATCAATCTAAGAAAGTTTGAAAATCTTAGATAGTTTCTAATCAGGAGGTGCCTCATTGGCTTAAATGTCAGAGATCTCTTTGAGAATGATTTAAGATGCAGTTAAATTGAAGACAACTAACATCATGAGTCAAATTTCAAGCATTTCTCGCTTAAATGCTCACATAAAATGGAGGGTATTTATATTATTTTAATTGATAGCTACATTGAAGTTTTTGAGAGACTTAAATAACTTTTATAAAACTTAGAATAGAATTTGTATACAAACTTATAAAAGATTTCAGAAGAAGAGGATCAATCCATCTAAGAATATGATGACAGAAGAGTTCATTTGGTTGAATATTACAACAACTTGAAGAGAACTGAAAATAAATTAAGAGATCACATTACCACCATGGACATTTGCTAAGATTAATAATCAGCCATCATTGATAGTGCAAGAGGAAAGAAGGTATGCTTCATATCTATAGCTTTAAGGTTAGAAATGGAGAAATCTTTGACAGTGCTACCAAGAATGTGTAACGATTTCGCTTCTGAATATGAAAAGGCCACCTCAGTCAGAAAATAAGAATTAGATTTAGTTGACAGAGTTAGATCTAAAATTATTGAAAGAGGATAATGATATAAAAGTTTATTAAAATAATTCATACCTCTATCTGCGACTATAATTTTTCATTTATAATTTCTTTTAATTTATAATATTAATTTAATCAAAATCACTTCATAATTCTTTGTGTTTTATTTATTTTTTTAATGACTTCAACTCTACTAATTAATCATCAAGTCTTTTAGCCTCATTTTAATGGGTCTAATCCATTTTGTAAATCTATTTATATTCAACTCATTACTAAAGTATTTTATAATGAAATCAAAAATTGAGACAAATTCTAAATCTTCTATTATTCTTATGGATCTGAGCTTTACATTAATATAATTAATCAAATTTAAATCTATTGAAATTATTTATAAAGAACACTTATATTCTATTCTATATATGATAATTTAAGTATGAATTATTCCAAAAAGTAATAAATAATTATTTATCTCTATATTTTATCTATAAATGGACAGTTAATAATAATAACCATAATAAATATTCTAAGATAATCATTTTTAAGTGCTTGGGAGTAGGTCAGATAAGGAATCATTATACATAGCCAAGATTTTCTTAAGAAGGTTTGGCAATGTAGAGTTACATTCAAATGGAGAAGCCACTAATATAAGCGTTAGAATTGCAGAAAGATTTCAAAGAGAAGGTATATTCACAAAATAATATTTAGGCATTGCTACAATTACTAAAATTGATTAATTTACTATGAAAGCAAATGAAAAATAAATAGTGAAATTTATAGTATCTTTAAAATTGACATCGGAGGGAAAGTGCAGAATAGATGAAGAATTAAATTGATTTTTATTAACATTTATAGGTATATTTAATTAGTAAATTATAATCTATTTGGTTATATTAATTTGATATCGGTGTATATTTTGATATCCTCATTATGAATTAAGATAAATTCGAATTAATTTATATATAAAGGTATCTGTTTTATACTACAATTAATCAATATTTCTTCCCAAAAGAATGACTAAAATCTTGCTCACTAATCTCTATAGATTATTCAAGATTATCTTAATTTTTTGGTTTAAGTAACTACAAAATCATATTATTCTTTTAGATAAATGTCTCATGTAATGTGTGTATTTATGTCATCCAAAAATTCTACTATTAAATTGCTTATGATTGAGAGGCTAGTTCTAGTATACATAATTAATGTTGAAGTAAGATTTCATTAAAATGTAGAATAGGCATGGTTTTAATAATATTGTCCTCATTTAAATAGATATCTCTCTCCATTTAAATAATTTCTTACCAAGGTTCTTCATATTTTTTGATTTAGAGCCATTCTTTGAATTAAAGTAATTATTAGATTGTATTATCAATGATATTGGATATATTCATTTTTTATTTTGACTAATTATCAAAATTCTATTTTAATCTTTGTAACTAATTTTTTAGTTATTCAATTTTTTTTTGTTTTATTTAGGATTGTTCTTAATGAGATGAGTTCACATCACATATTAAGGCCTCTTAACTCGAGTATTTCCCACATCTAATGGGTTTTTTAGTTAGCAATGCTAATATGTTGTCCATATTTACAAATCAATATATTGTTGCACTGAGGTTCTTAGAAGATATTTGAACTGCTGGATCGTTCAGATCTATGCGATTAGACATTTAAAAGTAAATTCTCTTTCTAGAAATTCTTCTTCATGAAAAATGAAATTTATAATTATAAGATAAATTAAATGATGTTCAATTAAATAATCTTTAACTCTTTTATCTATTTTAAAATTCTTATTGTAATTAAATTCTATTGGGAGATCTTCTCTGAGTTTGCAAAGTTTATTTAGTTTGTGGAAAAAGATTGTCAAATTCTAATTTATTAATTTGAGATTTGTTCTATAATCTGAAATTAAAGAATAAAATACTTTTCTAGTTATTCAGCATTACCAATGGAACCTGGTATTGTACTAGCCTCTTTGACTTTCAATTTACTGAATTAATAATTCAGAACTTTTGGTAACTAGACTGAATAAATTGTTTTTTGGGATGGGCCAAAATCCATGACTGAAGTTGTTTATTTTGATAAATAGAGTCTCTTTTGTTTGATAATTTTGGAAGGTGGGAAATATGGTTGTTTAAATTGATCTTCATTCAAATATACAATATTTTGTATAGGTTCTGATTTCTTATCAGTTCTCTTTTTATGCAAAACTACTTTGTCTACTTTGAATTTAGGCAATATTCTGTTGATATTGATTTCTTCAGTAGATATTTGAGATTGTTGACAGAAATAGAGAATCTATTCAACATTAGGTCTTAGTTCCGCATCATAACAAATCATCAATCTCAATAAATTATTCAAATTAAGACTATAATTTGGGTTATAAGTTAGTTGGATGCCTTTCAGTATTTTCTTATGTAAAATATCAACATTATTAGCTATTATAGGTGGATCCTTGAACATCATCTAATATAGCATATAGCCAGCCATCCATATATCTGATTTATGATCGTATATTTGAGACTTAATAAATTCTGGTGCTAATAAATAAATATCTTGATAGTTCTATTTGTGTAAATAATAGAGGATGTTCATTTCTCCCAAAATCGTCTTAGCTTTGCTTTAAAACAAGTTCGACAATTATAATTTACCATGGACTCTTTTTGGATGAAATTATTGTAATGCAAGAGATATCTACATAGGACATGTTGGATACCTCTTAAATGATATTCCAAATCTCTATTTCCTTCAAAGGGTATTCGTATTATTTATCCAAGTATTCACTGACAATGCTAAACTTCAAATTTTTATCAATACCCTAAGTATGTCATATCACGATCGAAAGATGCCTCGTAAAATTTAACAATGTGAGGATTCTTATGATTAGACAATTTGTTAAGGATTTTGATGATCGATTAAACTCTTTCTTTCGGAATTCCTTCCAGATTGAATATACGAAGCATGTAATTATATCCACTTCGTTTCACTATCACTGATTTCTTGTAAGTGTTTTATCTTACAATGTTGACAACCTAAAATTGTGGAAATAACTGCTCTACGCTTTTCATTAAATATTAATTTATAGAACTCATTATATAGTACTATAATAATAAAACAATATTACAAGTACAAATCATATCCATATAAATATAAGTTTGTTCATTATTGTTCATTTCTCTATACTAATAAAGATTAATCCTAATGAAATCCTTTTACTGGATTTTAAATTAAAAGAAAAAATAATATTGCAAATCAGATCTTCTTTATTTGGTAATTAATAATATGGATATACGACCAGCAATAAGAAATCTAATTTACGTTGTCTCTAACTTCATTACGGAGTCTAAATTGAAGGCATAACTTGATTAACTCTATTTGCTAACTATTAAACCAGATTCTAATTTAGAAGACATTGAAAAATATATGATTAATCTAGGAAAGAATACTATGACTCATCATAAAATTAATTCGTAGCCAATTTTATTGCCTTCACCTAAACAAAATAAAGTCTAATTAATGTCAGGAGTTAATTCACCTGCATTTTCAAGTGGAATGCCTTTAAAGACAGCTGGATTCGGAAGCAGAATTCAATATCCCACTCCTTTGAAATCCAATAGAGATAAGGATGATAAACAAAACAATTCATCAGATAGGCAAATCTCTTTTAAATTTGATACACCCAAAACATCCCCAAAAAATGTCAAGTCTAATGACAAACAAATAGTGGATATTAATCAAAAAATAAAATTGTATACTGAAATGCCATAATCCTTCAACACAGTTCCGATAATACATACGGAATACGAAACCTAACTCTAAAATAAAATCACTCCAAAAAGTTTACCTCTTCCAAATGATAATAACACTTAACGACATGAAGAAGAATAAAAAGAGATAAAATATGATTTAAATAAGATTTCAGGTAAAATGCTATAAAATATTCATCAAAATATGAAAGAGATGAAATCAAACACTTTTAAATTAATAAAAGTATTTGAGAATACATGTGAGATTAAGACTCAATCTTCTGTGGTACATTCTAGTCACGTAGATGCTTCTCATATATCTCTGTTTAGAAAATCAAAAAATGTAAATTAAATTTGATTACTTATAGCCTCTTTTTAATGGAATTCGTGGCAAAATTACAGATTAAGATTTAAATAGTATCCAGTAAAACTTTTTAATGAAAAAGTTAATTGTCAAAGCCAAGCCCAATGAAGAAATTCAATATGAAACTCCAAAATTAGACATATTCTTTGTAACAAGCGTTAAAGGATGAGATAGCCATTATGATTTAATATTGTATTAAATAAAAGATTAAAATTAATATTCGAAATATAAAAATCATTATTTCAAGCTTATTCGTAAACTTTGATTACAAATAATTAATTTATTAAAGATGTAATTAATATTCATGTTAGAGATTAGACTGTGATTTGCCCAAAGATCTTTCTTCCATTTGATTATTTCACTATAATTCATCGATTAATCCTATAATCAATCCAAATTAACAATCATTTAATATTAAACACTATTTAAAATGAGCATTCGAAAATATCATAATTTAAAATGAAATTAAATCATCTATCTATTATTTTTAATGATTATGGAAACATTTTATATATTAAGAATCTTTATTTTTAGTAGTATTGTATTAAACACTTAAAGCAGATCAATACTTAGCAAACATATTATTATTATTAGATATTTATTCTTTATTTCCAAAAGGTTCTCTTTTTATACTTTATTGATATCCATTTTGAATTTTAAGAATGATATTAATTAAATATATTCATTTGTTTTATTTAATAACATTTTGATTTAATAATAAATTCTTAATAAATATGGCTTAGAACTAATAGAGTACAAGAAAAGTTTCATTTTTTGAAAAATATTTCTGTTGTGGCAACACTCAAGAAGTCCAAGAGCCTAATACTACAAATCAAATGTGTATAATAATTTGACAAACATTTAGATAACACTGTTAATGAATATTTGAAAATTAATCAAAAGAATCCAAGTCTTTATATATTATAAGAGTTTGATGGCGTATACTATGATAGGAGCAAAAAAATAAAAACTATCCATCCCCTTAAAGATATATCTATCAACAATGTAATAACAGAGAGAACCCAGCATTCGTGTCCAATTTGCTTTTGCTATTTTAATTGTAGGTTTTGTTCTTATAATAGTTATATTGGCATCAAATTGCTGCATGAATTACATTTGTCATATTTGTGCATTAGAATTCAAAAGCCCCAAATGCCATTTTTGTCAAAATGAAAAATGCAAATATATTGATGCTGATTCAAAGGAGTTCAAGATTTACACAGATTCATAAGGAATATAAATGTTTGCTTTGCAACAAATGAAGAGAGACACAACAAGTGGGTGATTTTTATTGTTATTTGAATCTACTAATTAATTAATGATAATTTAAACTTCTGAAGACAATGACATGACATCAAATATTTATTAAAAATAAAAACTTTAATTTTGTGATTGACTAATTTTGTATTTAAAAAGAATATCATCTTCCAGACCAAGAGGCAACTTATTTCTTGAACATGATGATTACTTCATCCAAGATGGCATTCTCTTCTTGTCTCTTGGCTTTGGCTTCAGCATAATCAGCTCTCTTTGATTCCAAATCAGATTAAGCTTAATCTAAAGCATCTTAAGATTCTTATAAGATGATCTTTGATTTGGCTTATTGGGCTAAAGCAGCTTGGATTTACTAGAATTAATTAGTGAATTATATAATACAGTGGCAGTTCTATCAGCAAAGACTTATTTTCTTTCATATTCAACTTCCAATGTGGTGATTTCAGCTTCAGACAATGAGACCCATCCAGCCAATTCCCATGAGGCATTGATTTCATTTTATTTCAAATTTTCTAATGAGCCTTCTAATTCAGAATGTAATCCTTCAAGGACACCCAAGACTCTTTCAGCTAATGTTTATCCGTGTCCAGATGATTCTGAAGCCTAAGAAATGTATATTTGATATAATTACTTATCCTTCTTAGGCAAGAGCCAAGAATGATTTGATTTAGTGTTCTTAGAATAAGTTGCTGTATTACTTCAATTTTTCAGCAACTGATTAGGCTTAGACTTAGGTGAATTCAAAGGAATCTCCATTGACGATGTATCCAGCAACATCTTATTTGAGGAGTCTGATAACTTCTAAAGCTTCTTAATTGTGCTTGATGGATTTAACAAATAATTAGTTGGAGAAGCATTAGTTGTCTTGGAGTGTTTCAATTTTAGCAGCAATTGAATCTCTTCTGGCTTCATTCCATGCCAAATAGTTTTTGGTTTATTTAAGTACGTTTTCATACTCAGCTCTGTTTTCGACAGCCTATTGGAACAATTTTTGGTTAAGAGTCTTAATTTTAGTGAATTATTCAATGGTTTAGGCACCAACCCATTCGTCTGTTTCGTTCTTTTGGTCAGCAGCAAATTGGGCATCGATGTTAGATTGTTTTAAATCATTAAGCAATCCAAAGACTGTGTCAATGGCATCACTGGCCTTTGTTCCTGTTTAAAGGAGAGCCAAGATTTAATCCTTTGTGCTGGTGGCATTTGAGACCACAGCCAATGCAAGAATGATAGCAATAATTCCTTTCATTTATTTATTAACTAAAAAACGATACATCTCAAAAACGATTTAATTTTCATATAATATTTATATTTGATATGATCATAGTTGTATATGATTGTTTTTAATATTCAAATAATAACAATTAATAATGACATTACTCAAATTGAAGAGCACGCATAATCATAGGATGTTTAGGCAATACAATAAAAATAGTATAAAAATGAATATAGTATTATTTTGAAAATAGAGTCATAAAAATATTATTATTATTAATATCTTGAAATTAATGCTAACTAGGATAACAAGGTACTGCTAGATTGTGTATTAAGAATCTCTATTAATTGAATCATAAAGCATAGGTTATGAATGATGAATCATAATATGTTGTAAAAACAGATCGAATTTACAAACCAACCTATACAATTGAGTTTGATAGAATTGGAGAAGTGCTTCTGTATCCGAATTAAATATAATTAACTACTCATGCTATCCTCATAAACGTCTTACAATATTCTTGAAATATCCTTATGTTCTTTGTGAGACAGCTATTCCCTTATTAATTTATCTTTGGTTCAAAAACTCGTTGGATATTGAATGGTATTGGAATAATCTATTTATATATGCCCTTTCATTTTGATGGATTCCTAGAATGTGGTAATAGGCAGCTTTTATTAAATTAGGTATTGGAGATCATTATAATATAAAATACATAGACTCTCATTGTTGAGAGGTGGAAAAATACTTAATATTGAGACGAATACTCTTGCAAATGTTAAAAATGTGTATTGGGTTGAAACCTATTAATTCCATCTATAGACAGCAGATTTCAAATAATTTGATATCTGCTGTCTATACTGACTATTTAACAGAGGAAGGTCGATTGAAATATGAATTAGCATGTAAACTTGATCATATTCAAGAATTGGGTACAACAGTATAGTATGAAGTAATTTATTTCATGAAGTATATCAATAAATATTGGAAATAGGAAAGAGTAGTACATCATCCAGAATTGTTTGAAGCAGCAACAAAAGGATATGTAATAGACACCTCCAATTTTGTAATAAACACAGCTCATAACATCAGATAATTCGAAGGTTATCAGAATTAGTGAAATTGGGTATCATAATAGAAATCAAAAGAATATTTATTTAAATCAACATGTAAAATTAATCACATAGATCAACTAAATTACCAATTTCCTGTACTGTCCAATTGTTCTAAATCAATTCCATCTCCATATCCAATATATCCTAAATCTGTAAAGGATCTGTCAATAACTCTATGATCCACAAACTTTCCATCCTACTTTTTAAACTTATCCTATTGAGGAGTCTAAGAATTAGAGCCATCATATGATCTGGTTGAAGCCTAACAATTAATTAAGGATTGCATACCCTTCTATAATTTTACAACAAAGTTGGTTAGATACCATCCACAGCCTAATCCAATTGTTCTACATCCTGATTGACTTTCTTTTATTTAGTATGCATTTTGTATTCTTCCTCATTCATTTTGTGTCCTACTCCAGAATCTGTTTTTGATTACAACCATCCAGAACTTGGAATAAGTTCTCTGAAATTCTAAAATTAGAATATCTAATCGATATATTTCTTAAGTTGACATTTCCTTATTTATGGATCTAAATTATTATGACATAATTCTCTCTTTAAAGCTTCTTAAGCTGTAGTTCTATATTCTGGTAATTGGTGTAGCATGGGCATCATAAACGAGGCAAATGACAAAGCTTCTTCTTACTTAAATCTGTATTTCTCAGTCAAAACATTGTATAAGTTCCAAAAATGTAATTGGGGTATTCTTTTCATTTGTCCATTTGATTAGAAATATCTCTATTTATATAGATTGCTTAATATACCTTGGCTTTGACTCCTCTTGTGCTGTATTCAAATGGGAATTTGCCTAATAATTCTTGAATCTAAGCTAAATGATCCTCATTCTTTGAAAAATTAGGTCCCTATCTGGGTTCAAATAAGTAATCTCCTGTTAGCATTTCAAAAATCATGCAAGCGAAACTCCAAATGTCAGCTGTTGGATTGTATTTGACACCTATTAACACTTCAGGGGATCTATACTATCTAGTCTAAATTAAGGTTGAAAAATGATGATGAATCCAACATGCATTGCCTAGATCAGCTATTTTCAAACGAAAATTATCTGGCAACTTCTTTTATTAAGTAAAAGATATTCTTATAAAATATTTAGATAAATTACTTTTTTTGTTGTTAAAACAATTCCTTAATAGATTTAGGCATTTCAATTTAATCTACTTCAACTTCATGCGATTCCTTTCTTGAATCTTCATGTTACTACTTCTATTTCTTTTTCCTTAATAATTTTCTCTTTTAAGTCTTAGATAAATGAGTAGTGCTTTCACTTAATTCGTCATCCTCCTTTTATGCAGTTGGCTCTGGAACAGAATGTTTCTCAATCCCTAACATTTATCTATAAATATGAATCCTGTCTGAAAATAGCTAATTAGAAGTCAATTATCCATTCTCAACTATATCTTTAATCTCTTCGTCTGATAAACATAGTAAAACGTTTTCAGGTTTCAAATCTGTATGAATTACTCCACATATTCTATGAAGATAATCCAATCCTATTAAAATCTACTTTGCCATTCTTCGAGCAATATCCATTGGACACTTAGGTTAAATCAAAATATTACTCCTTTGTATTCGTATCTTTTAATTATTTCTAGTAAATTAACACCCAAAATCTCGAATACCATACAAAAATGATGACCATAGGGTCCTTTATATACAAATGAATTTAATAATTAAACAGTATGAGTGTCATCTCTATTGAAAGATGTCCTTCCTTACTATCAATTTATATACTAATCATCTTACATCTGCATAATACTCTTTTAAAGACTGAATCCAAACGGGATTCTAAACATTCTAAGCTACTTTTTGAAGAATTTCAACCTAGTTGTTAAATTAATTTATATACCTCATCATATGCTGCTTCTAAATAATGGGAAGCACTCTTTTGAATTTTCAATGCAACATAAGTATCATATTTGTAATCCTTTGCCAACCAGACTGTAGAAAAGTGTCCCCAACCTAATTTTTGTATAATCACATATCGATTGAGTAAGATCTCACCAATATGAACAGGATGATAACCTAAAATCCTATTTGATTAAAGCAACCTCCAATTTTATAATCTTCCATGCCTTCATCTTCACTGTCATGTTCTTTATCGAGATGATCCATCAACTCTCCTATTTGTTCATTTCTGAAATATAAATTATTCACAATCATACATAGCCTTCCCAAATTTAGTAGATTCCTCTTGATACTCCTCCTAACTCATTCTTTGATAATAAGTTAAATAAAATAATCAAAATAGATATACAAATATAAAATTATATAAATGAATACTTCAAAAAGTATATATGATCAACCTCTCAATAATTCAATTTCAAAACAAAGGTATACCTTTTCAAAAGCTCCTCGTGAAACCTATTCAACTAAATAAATGTAATCCTTTTATTCTAACCTAGAAATGGATCTATGTACAACCTTCCTGATAGTTTAAGCAAGAGAATGGCTGGAATTGGTTTTGGCTCAAAGTAAATATGTTGCAATTACTTTCTAGACATGATTTTACAAAATACGTTAAATAGGTTCCTGCTCCAAACAAATATGATATCAAGAGTTTCGCTGAATTGAACATTGAAGAAAAGAAAGGAATTCAATTTGCTTTGGGCAGAGAAGATACTTGGTTATAAGGAATATGGGCAACTCTAACATAAACCACTCCCCCTCCAGATCGCTATTAAATACCAAGCACAGTTACAAGAAGACAGAAGTTTACTTTTGGGTAAAGAACGCAATCATTACAGAAGTTTAATACTCCAGGTATATGATTAAAGGAATTATCCAAAAAGGACCTGGCAATTATGAGTATGTGTAAGCCATAACATAAAAAGGAGTCTATCCACTCTCTAAGTTTCAAAACTCAGGAGCCTGCATCATTGGAAAAGATCAAGAGAGATTTAAGACTTTCGGAGGTAAATTCTTGAATATCCACATTAGTAAATGATTATCCTGAACCAGGCAGATACTCGGTGGAGAATACAAGTATTAATTAATCAGGCATTTACCCAAAGAATGGGATGAGATCTGCAGTGCAATAGACTTTTAGTAAGTCTACAAGGAAAGGACCTTATGAAATAAATAAAGTCACCCCTGGTCCAGGAAGATATAAAATGTTTTCAGAATTTGATTAATGAATATAAGTATTCAAAATGTGTCTAATCTTTTATTTAATGGTTTAAAACTATCCACAGTTCTGGCTGTGTTTGGGAAATCCTATTATTAGCTTTGTTCAGTTTTGATGGAACTTATCAATTATTTCAATTCTAAATTCATCTTTTTCAGTTCTATTCTTGCACACTCCTTCAACAGATACATAAATTTGATTAGATAATTGAAATCCAAAAAATGATCATATTCAACTTTGTACTGATCCTATAATTGGCAATACCTCCATAAAAAATGATCTTCTACCCACCATACATCTACTGGTGTCAACTCTCCCATTTCAAGAGACTTATAACACAATAAGACTTCGACGGAGGTCTTACATATCTTATTATAAAAGTGTTACAATCAATATCATCTTCCCCAGGTTGGTATTAAAGTCATTCAATTTCTTAAAAGACTAGTTGTATACATAATTAAAATGATCAAGTAAATCGTCCTATTCTCTATTTCTAATCTTGCGAGAATTTAAAAAGAATACGATTTCTTCAATGAGATTCTTACTCAATCTTCTTGAAATTATTTTTTATCTCTCTAATTTCGTTATTACTAAACTGTCAATGTCTGGATGTTGTTGCATTGGAATACTGTAAAAATATCCCACTAATTTTGTTAATGTTCTTTCTTTTCCCTTTAAATTCTCAATATTCTATCCTTAACTACAAGCACCCATTTATTTTTATTATTTATAATAACTTATGGGCTCTTGCTCTGGAAAGCGTTCTAACAACAATTCAGCTACTAAGAACTCTAATAATAAACCTGAAACAGATAATTCTTCCCCTTAAAAACTTTAACCGAATGATGGTATATCAACTATATTACATTTCAGCTTAATCTTGTCTTGGCAATTTGATCATCACAAGCGAAAAGCTAGGACGTATCACAAAAGATTACACACTTTTGAATCCACCCTTGGGAAGCGGTATTCAAATTATTCAATCACCTTTAGGAGCATATGGGGAAGTCAGAAAAGCTATCCACAAGAGCACAAACCTAATGAAAGCTGTCAAAATTATACACAAATCATAAACTAGCAAAGAGGAATAGGAGAGATTGATGAATGAAGTTAAAATGCTTTAAAAATTAGTAATCATTCTTAACTATTCAAGGATCATCCAAATATCATTAAAATTTTCGAATTTTACTAAGATGATAGATTCTTTTACATCGTAACAGAACTATGTACAGGAGGAGAACTCTTCGATAAAATTAGACATGAGGGCAGTTTCTCAGAAAAGAAAGCAGCTGAAATCATGAAACAGATATTATCCGCTATCAATTATTGTCATGATGAGAAGATTGTTCATAGGTAAATTCATTATAAATATCCTCGTCAAGGGATTTGAAACCAGAAAATCTACTATATGAATCTGAAAAAGAAAATTCCATGCTCAAAATTATTGATTTTGGCACATCCAAAGAATTTGTTCCCAATTAAAAGTTAAATTAGAAATTGGGCACACCTTATTACATTGCTCCTGAAGTTCTAAAAAAGAAGTATGATGAAAAATGTGATATTTGGTCTTGTGGTGTAATCCTGTATATTTTGTTATGTGGGTAAAACATATTATCTAATTTGAGATATCCACCGTTTGATGGAAAAACAGAGGACAAAATTATGGAGAAAGTGTCTAAAGGTGTTTATTCATTTGATACTCAAGAGTGGGAAGAAGTTACAAAGGAAGCCAAAGAGTTCATTAGAAAAATGCTTCAACTCGATCCTAGTATTTAATTTATTAACTATTGTTCAGGTAAGAGATATAGTGCCCAACAAGCTTTAAATGACCCATGGATTAAGAAATTCTCAAATCCAACTGAATTTGATAGACCCTTAATGACCAAAGTCTTAACAAATATGAGAAAATTTACAGAATAGCAAAAATTATAAGAAGCTGTTTTTAAGTTTATTGTTAATCAATTGGCCACAAAAGAAGAGAAGGCTGAACTATTAAAGATCTTTTAATGTTTGGATACGAATCAAGATGGAAAATTGAGTAAAGAGGAGTTACTTGCAGGATATTCAAAGATTATGAAACCAGTTGAAGCTGCTGAAGAAGTTAATCGCATATTTTAATAAGTTGATAAAAATAATTCTGGTTCTATTGATTATACAGGTATATTGATATCAAATTAAATTCTAGAGTTTGTTATTGCAACAATTGATAGATAGTAGTTGTTATCTAAATAAAGATTGTAAGTAACTTTTCGTATGTTTGATAAAGTATTTGATACATTTATTTAGGATAAAAGTGGAAGTATAACAATAGATGAATTGAAAGAGATATTTAGTGGAATTCCAGAAGAAATGTGGAAATAGGTAGTATAGGAGTTTGATTCTAATTCTGATGGTTAAATTTCATTGGAAGAATTCTTTTCAATGATGAAGAAAATCGATTGATTATTTTAGACATACTCATATCGTGATATTTTTGATTATTTAACAAAATAATAATTCGTCATGTTTATAATTTTGCATCATCTTAATTTATGCTATTTTAAGAACATTTTATTTTTAAATTTCTTCTAGGAAATTGTCAGACTTTAGTAGTCTGGCTGAATTTCAATTAGTAATACTACTTTAATTTCAATAACCTATTCAACCAGACTAACTATAATAGATAATTTAATTGATAAGAGTAAAAATGAAAGCGATCAGATAATTATAAATCATCCGCATATTTTATGAAAAATTTACAAATTCCAAGAAAGCACCCATTTTCGTAATAAATATCCAAAGATGAGAGTTATTTATTAAGAAATAATGTTGAAAAGATGATTTCATTTCATTCCTCAAAAATAGAATCGGACTATGTTAGAGAAGTATTTAATAAATCCTCATATGAATTTACGCTTACAAAATTTAAATATATTCATTTTGTACTATTGAAGTTAAGAATTTCTGAAGAAAAGAAACTCCAGTCACATAATTTAAATGATGTAACAATTATTAATATCGGTTCATAAACACATATACTCAATAGGAAGTAGAGTTATTGTTCCTTTTATACAGGTTTTTTGATAAAATATGCTGAGTTTATTGTTTGTTGTTTTATTCATAAAATTTGGCTGTTGAATTTATAAAACAATGTCATAAATATTTGGAACTAAGCTTGACTTTTACCTATTATGAAAGGTTTAGATAGATGAGTAATAGAATAACTGAGATTGGTGTGAAAAATGAATAATTAGAGTGTCCATGGATGCTACAATTTAAAAATCAATGTAAAGCAATTTAGATAAATTTCCTTCTTGATATGCCTTTAGACAAAAATTATTGAATGCTATAAGTAGGAGGAGAATGTAAAATTGATTATTGATGTAATGAATAAAAATTAGACCAAATTTTCAACTTTTAATATTAGAAAATGCATTATATTTTAAGATAATGAGTGATTATTTGAATAGAATTTGAAATGTTAGATAAAAGATTGTTTTAGAAGTCGAATTATTGATTGAAGCGTATTGAATGACTTTTTAATAAAATAAGATTATGAATAGCAAATTATGTATAAATAATGAAATGAATCTTATTCAAATTTAATAAGTATTGGTTTTAAATTTTATATATATATAATAAAAATAAAGATTCTAACCCATGACTAAATCTGAAAATTAGGAAGCTTAAGCTAAATCAAGTAGAAAGTACCAGAAAATTAATAAGGAAGAAAGAAGATTAGTGTTAAAGCTTCTTTTACATGACAAGCTCTCTTTACAAGAGGTATCAAATTAATACCAAATTTATGATTATGTCTAACCATTATATATGATATCTTGTTCATTTATACTTTTAGGTAGCGAATAGGCTGTAGCTAAAATACTGTACTGTACGAACAATATAAAAGGCGTATGAGAAAGAGGGTAGGATAGGTAAGAAAGAGACTAGAAAGAAGAAGCTCAAGGTGGAGAATATCTTGAAGATTTCAATTATTAATCCTCTCACTTTCTAACTCTCTGAGCCTATTGTATCATCGGAAGTTAGTCAGGTAATTTAAAATAAATTTATGTAGATATATATTGACAAACAACCCTCTAAGGAAGACTAAGCTAATTTGCTCTAAGAATAGCGTTCTCTTCTTCAATAGCATTGTTAAAAACTATTTTCTGCATTATCATAATAATAATAGAAGGCTGCAGAAACCTAGAATCCATTTTATTACACAACTATTTAAAATTTATTTTTGGCATCACAACTAATATTCAAGCAACTCCTCGAAGTTAAATAGTAAATCCACGTAAAACAAGAATATGAACCTGTGTCTCCAACTCCTACATAATACCCTCTTCAAATTCAACAACATATTTACTAACCAACATATACCATGATGTTGCCACGAGTTAATTCTTGATTATTAATGTTAATTGCTATTGAATATCAAAAAAGAAAATAAAAAATTATTATATTTATTTAATTAGTTGTAACAACAATTTAAATTTATAATTATTTTCCTTCTTTTTTCTTTGAATTCGTTCTCTAACATTACATTCAAGCTTCTGCATCAGCATTTTCTAAAACTAATGCATATTTACCACAAATTAAAACAATACACAATATGATTTCTCATTGATGATTTATTAAAATTAATCACTTTAATTAAATCATTCATTTCTTTCATGAATTCGATTCAAATATTCTTATCCCATAATCTCAATGTCTTATTCATCATTCTCCCTATTTTCTATCTATTAACTTCATGGAACACCATACACCTCAAATTGAAATGCTTATCATTCCTCATTATACATCTTTCATTTTCTTAATTGTTCTATAGAAATTCTGGAAATTAAAACCTTCTCATGATTCCAATCATGCACTATTTTCTCCAAATTTTTTACTAATCTACTAGTCTATCTAAAAAACCTAATATTTCTATTATCTCGATATACATTCTTGAGATTCTATCCAGTTTCTATAGCTTTCAAATTTAGTTATATTTTTAGAACTCTTATCTCTATCAATAGTCACTAATATTATTAAAACATTAAACTTGAAAGTATGTATTAAAGAGTTTTAGTGTACAAAATCATAAAAAAAGTTTGAATTTCTGTATTTTGTTTCAAATACACTGACGAACTCGACTTAAAATAAGTAAAGCACATGAGTACAATAATTTTATCATTCATCTCCCATTAATAAAATAATAAATTTCACAAATTTACTGAACATTTATCATTACAAAATATAAAATAAGGAATGAATAGTTCTCAAATAATTAAATAAAATCCTAAGAATATTGTATATTTTTTTAAATATACAGGAGTATTAACAATTTTAGTTATCTTATATTCACAGTTGAGTATTATACACAAGAGACCAGGAAATTTAAACATTTCACAAGACTCTATCTTTAATATTTTTTATTCGTATATTTAATTATGAATCTCTGTTGATTCAATAAACTACGCCTAAAATTTAATTATAGTCCTTTCTTATTTTGATTAATATCATATTGATCATCAATTAACATCTTAAAAAAGGATCTCAGAAAAGCTATAGAAATCATCTAAATCTAAAACCTGATCAAAGAATATAATATATAAAGTCTCAATTCTTTTGAAGTTTTCGAAATAAAATAATTGAAAAGAACTATTGAATTTATTTAGGACAATGTTTCAACATATATAAATAAACTATTGTAAAACTCTAATTATTTTGGCAGAACTTGATCGTCCATCAATTCTCAGTTTATTCAATAAAGTTTGGTAATAATTAGAATTCATATTTGAGAATTTGATAATTTATAAATGTTTCTAATTAAATGAAAATATCTATATAATAAAATAATTAATTTATGAAAAAATTATTATTATTCTATAAATAAATTATATCATCAATAATTTCATCAATTTTTAATAACATTAACGAGAACTGTTAGTATTATTTTAATAATATTGTTTATTCATCAATTCAAGTTGATATTTTAGATTTACTATTATAGATAAATATGAAAGGAGGTTCTCAATTAAACTTTTTCAAATTGATGGATGTCACCTTTATGATCCTTTTTTCGATTACGCTTCGCATTTGTTTAGTTTTATTTCAAAGAACTTTTAATTAATTTTCTTTGTTTATTTTTATTGATTAATCACAGTTATGGAAGATTAACACCATTACATAAAAATATATTAATTGTTTATTTAATAAATAAACAAAGCGTAAAGATGATCATTTTGATTATGATTATACACAATATTGCTTTTTCTGATTGTAGAATTCAGCATCCAAAAAAGCATATTGGAATAGTTCGGAAACCAATTTCAATTTTATAATTGATAGAGGAACCCATAATAGGATAAGAGAGGATTAACCAATTTCAGAAAGAGAGATTAGAGTTTGATTCCAATTTGGTGTTATAGCAAGAATTGATTGAAGAGGATGTCTCTGAATTTCCAAAATAAAATTATACGATTCCAAAGTATGAATAGCTGATTGAGGGGAAGCAGAGTGCATATAAGTAAGAGTTCCAGAAGGTGAAATACTTATTGATTAAGCTGCACTATAAAGAAGTGTTATTATGCTTGTTTGTAGTATCGGTTTTTTCATCTTTTATTTGGTGCATTATAAAATTATGTATTTTATTCCGGCCTTAAAAACAATCGGACAATGAAGAAGTATTTGCTTAATGTTTATTTAAAGTTAGGAATAAAAATTATTAGGAGCTGATTATTCTATATTAAATTCTAAGACCATAAGTGATGATGAATAATTGAATCAAAGTACTTAAATTAAGTATAAAATAACTGACATGACACCATAAATAAGAAATCCATACGACGAAAGTTTTGTTAAAGCATCAATCAAAGCAACCACAAGAGGATCAGCATGCGATTAAAGTTTATTGGAAATAGATGAGTTGTTATAAGAAATGCTGAAATGAAGATAAATACACATACAATTCTTATTATCTATATATTTATATATATTGGTACTTTTATTATTTAATATTTTAAAAAATCGAGTAAACTAATGTAATAAGCAGAGATACCAACATTCTAGTATCAAAAAGTCAATTAAAAACTTGTAAATTAAGAAGGAGAAGAATTTGATTACATTATGGAAGATAAAGTAAATGTTAATTTTAAGTGTTGCAAGTTCTCATTTACAATTTGCTCTATCTTTTAACCAATATTTGGTATATATTTAATATATTTATGAACCTTGGCTTAATTGCATTTATGATTTACACTTTTGTGTTAGTAATTCTAAAATGAAAAATATAATCATTTATTATTCTTTGAAGTTGGTTTTTTTGTAAAAAAATGCATCCTTGATATATTACTATTTTTTTTATTATAATGGGGATTTCTCAACCTAATCGAATTTATTTTGAGTATTAGTTTAGGACATCTCTCTAAACTTAGCTCCACTAGATTTTAAAAGACAATGTATTATTAATTGTTTTGCTATATTATTTGATTGTGATATTCGACTTCTACTGGGAACTACTTTATTATCATATAGAATTGCCAAGAGGAATAGACAATCTATGATGTTAACATGACTAAATGGTTCTGCTCCTGCTTCCTAAAGATGCTGTAGTTGGACTCCTTGATCTTATTTTATTTATTTGACAATATTATTTAATCTCTCTTGGATTGTACTAAATTTTTCTTTCTTTATTAATTCTTGCATTATGATTTCAGAGTCTTATTCTATAAGAGTTGAAGTTTTGATAGGATTTAATGGAGGTTCATTTAAAATTTATAAGTTAATTAAGAGTCTTCATGCAAAGACTGATTGAATGGATTGCTATAATATTGGAAAAGCGACTTGACAATCTTTAATAAATATTTTGCTCTTAGAGAAAGTTTTTAGATATGCACCTCTTACAAAAAGGTTTAAGTTTGTAATATTTTGCACTTTGTAATGTAATATTTTTTAAAATTTTATAACATTTGGATGAATTTTGATGTGTGTCCAATTGTTCTTTAGATGGTTGACCAATCTTTGATATTTTAAGGAATCCTATTTTCAGAATCTTAGAAAATAGTTAATTACTTAGAATAAAATTATAAAATTGTATTCCTGCTTTTTTTAAAGTATTAATGTCTAATCTAAGCAATTATTCATACATTAAGAAGTTTAAAATTAATATAAGAAAGTACTTAAAGAACTTCTCTCTCATTAATCATTTCATCTTCAGAAATTTTCTAAGTAATAAGTGATGCAAGTTTCTCTTATTCATTCATTTCTAATAAATATTTATAATTAAATAATTTTTATAAAATAATAAATCATTAGGTCCCAATCTGACATATCTGCAGAAGATAGAAGAGTAAGAGAAAATGATTTAATTCCTTAAAATAATATCTAAAGAAACTACTGGTTTTGAATCACCTTTAATGCAAATTTAGAATGAAGTTGCTAAAGAATCAAAATTAATCCAAATTCAATTAAATTACCTGAGGCTAAATCAATAATTTTAACATAATAAAATGAAGAAGAAAAATAATCAGAATGATTCTAAACATTTTTATCATAATTTAAAAACTGCCTACAAAATTATTGCCATCAAAATCAAGACCGAAAAATAATTTAAAGAAAAATATTGAGTATAAAATCATTATCATTTAATTAAGGTATAATAATCGTAATGATTCAAGCAATTTTGGTAGTAAGAAAATTAATAGATTGGCATTTAAAGAGTTTTAGAATAGATACGCTTGATTTTATAAAATTGAAACCTAATATCAATAAAAATACTAAGGCCTTGATTGCATGGCTTGATGATTCATATAGTGATGAATTGAAATTTATTGTTTCTAATACTCATATAATATATTTGGATTTAAGTCATAATGAACTAGGTCCAAAAGGGATGGAAATATTTTGGAATATATTAAAAAGTTACTTATTTTAAATCATTAGACTAGTACAAATTACTATGATAGTCTAATTACATTAAATTGATTATATAGTGCTTTAATTCAATATACTGACTTATATCATATGTGTTTAGATGGATTCAAAATTGGCTATGAAGATTATAAAGTTGCTGAAGTCTTAATGAAGTTAGCAATAAATTAAAATCATTAAGGAGTGTATAATATAAGATTCCATTATTTAAGATATGCAAAATTTGAGTTAATCTCTATCATCATTATAATGTCATCTAACAGAATTAAAGTTAAAGTATTGTTTTCTAACCTCAGAAAGTATAAGTATATTGTCTTAAGGATTGGCAAATAATCAATCTTTGATTTATTTGAATTTACAACACAATAGTTTACTGATTTATCCCCTAAATGATATAAACAAATAAGAACACAATCAATTAAGAAATGACTTTATTTAAATTGATCAGTGTAGCTTTAAGGAGGATTAATGTTTTGAATTCATTAAAATTGGGTTACAATTCAATTTCTGAAATAAATACCCTATTGAATGTTATTGGTCCTGATAATACAACATTAACTGATTTATGAAAAATTTAAGAGAATCCCTTGTTTTTGCCTTAAGTAGAATAATTATAAAGAGATTCTAAGGCTTCAAATACTACTAGTCATCTAACTATGTAATTTTGAAACCAATCAACTTCGCTTAAATCCTACATAGAAACAAGAAAACTATAGGTTTTGGAACATATGATTGATTTTTTGATAATATTAATAATTAATCAAAAAAGATGGTATTAGAATATTTTCTAGATATTCCTCCTTTGACTAGAATCATAGTTATAAGCAGTATTTTATTGAGCTACGCAACGTACGTGCAATATCTAAAACCCTCAAATCTCTACTTAAACTATAAGCTTGCATTTCTTGAATAGTTCTAAGTATTTAAATTATTTTATTCTAGCCATGGAGAATATTGACGAGTATTTTATATTTTGGAGAATTAGATTTGATTATGGTCTTAAGATTATTCTTTTTGTAATATTTGTAGCAATACTTTTTAGTTAAACCATCTCATCATCTTTGGAATAACATACTTTTCCAGGTATTGCTAATTACATATACTACTTACTATTGAACCTAATCACAATCACTTTAGTTGGACTGTTGTTAAATGAGCCTTCTCTAACAGAATACTTTGTAGAAGCACTCATATATGTTTGGGGGAGACAAAATCAAGAAAGAGAATTATTATGTACCAAAATATTTTGAATATTAAGTTATGTTCATAATACCAGTCAAAGCTTAATACATGGTTTGGTTTTTTATTTTGATCAATATCGTAACAGGGAGGCCAGTCTAATCCAATTTGATAGGAGCAGTTATCGGTCACACATATTATTACTTTGCTTATATAGTTCCCAAATTACCTTCCTTTAAGGGAATAAATCTACTCAGTACACCAAAATTTTTGTAATACTTAATCTCAATATTTTTAGAGTTAACTTGTGTGGAAATTTAGATAGACAAAACGTTGTACGCTAAGAATAAGGTTAAGCATTTGTATTTTGATATGATTAATAGCTGTTATATATTCATTATCCTTTAGATTAATTTTTCAACTATAACTTTTTATCTATGCCTTTTAATTCATTTTACAATTCTTCAAATCTGTAATCCTCTATAATTTTTAGTTATTCATCATCATCTTCCAAGTCATTCCATTAATTATATTAAACTGATGAACATAAGGATTAATAACTAAATATATTTCTTGATAATTATTACGTTTCAATATATGTTTCTTTTTTTTTCTTTGTAATTTTCTTTATCAACCTGTCAACTTCATCTAGCATCCACTTTTCAACCTTAAAAGGCGATTTTAATAATGTTTCTCTAAACAACCAATTGCCATCATCTATAGAATAAGTTTCAGCCAAAAATTTTTTATTAATTTCAAAATCCAAATGTATACAATTAGGAAATTCATTTCTGATTGCACTTTCAATTTTTTGAATCTATATTTATATTCACACTAATACTTATATATGTAAACTGGCAAGAACATATTCCTATATTTCTCTTAATAATTCTTATAAGTATTCCTCTCTATCTCTATAAGATTCACTATAAATAACTTTGTCAAATCTCTCTAGGTATTTAGATTCAGTATCTTAATTTATTTGCTAAATTTATTAAATTTTTATATCTACTTTAATATTAAAAGTTATTTCAGCTGAAAATCTAAATTTCCTACTCCCTAACATCACAGCCTTCTCATTTTAAATCTTTTCAACATATTGATTTTATTTGATAATTTCTAATATTTTCTTGACTTCAAAATCACTAATAGATTATTCCCCCATCAAAGAACTTAAGTTCTTGGCGCTCAAATGATATGCTAATTGTCTATAAAATGCAAACAATATGAAAATACAATTAAATTAAGCCGATTGCCAAAGATCCTACAATTTCAAATGCATGTGTAGGGTAAATTAAGGTAAATGCAGAAGATAATAATGGAATTAAAGTAGATCCTAGGGTTATAGCATTCTCATAAAGAATAGCTTATAAGACTGGATCCTTTTTTTGAAATACTGATAGAAACTATTTAAACAATCCTTTTTTTATTTCTTCATTTGAATCAACAGCTTATGCATCTCTTATATTTTTGAAAACTACACTTGTTTCTATACCAATGGATAGTAAATATAACTATCAAATAATGAAATAGGCATACAGCTAATCCCCAAGCATTGCTATGTATTTCACCGACATAATGACCATAATTATAAATATTAAGGAATGACTCATATGAAATAGAGGCTCCAAAGTATAAAAACAAGGCTGATGGTATCAAAGCTACTAGATGTTTCACTTTTTCTATTCCATATGGGAATTATTTATTAGGACCTACTATATAAGTGATAAAATAACCCATAATTAATATAATTTGGGTTGCAAATAAAATAACATGATTGCTTGCATCAATCATAGATCTTGTTAATTCAGCCCAAAAAGTCTATTAGCTATTAATAAATTTAAGTATACTTAGTAATATAATAGGCAGCAAATTTTATAGGTAATTAGATTGAATCATTAAAAACTTCTCTCCTTAAGACATCTAAATTAGTTTTACGATCCATTTCCTCTTATTATTTTAATCTTTCTAAATAGGTGGGCAATTTATTAGCAAATCTTGATCCTTTGTTTGACTTAATTGATCTAAAAATTTTATGCATAATTAATGTTTAATAAAATAATTCATATTAGTAAATAAACTATAGAACTTCTTATAATAATTTTCAATTCTATATGCAAAATATAATTGTATTATAAAAGAAATGATATTTTCTTTTGTATAAAAATTTAACTTGTTCTCTAGTTCACTTAGATACTGCTTTACATAGTCCTCAAACAAATTGTTTATATTGTTTCCTCGATTCGCTTTTAATTCAAAAAAATTCAAGAATTTGACCTTCTTTATAAATTATATATAAGAGTTAAGTAACATAATCTTCTGTTGCTTAATGTTCTAACCCATAACTATTTTGCAAATATCTAAAAATTTAATGATAAAATATTTAGTAAATGGAAGATAATTAAACACAAATTCCATTTGACTATATTACTTTTATCAAAACCATACCAAATCATTACCCTTATGAATGCATGGGATTTATACTTATCCTCATTTACATCTTTCTGTACATAACAGGAAATACAACCAATAAAAAAATTGCATTAAAATTTGCATCAACAACATACGACTTTTTTAAAACTAATTTTACCTCTGTTGGTGTCACAAATAAAGAAAATGGACCACTTCTCTAATCCATTTCAAGTAATTCCTTTGGGTAAACTTTTCCTTCTATATTTTGTAGATTTATTGCTTAAGGAAGAAACAATTTAAATTGTTTAGCTGTCACTATTGATCTAAAGAAAAGATAGGATTTATTGTCAATGTTATTCTTTTCATTCATTTGGCCTGAAAGAGACACAATCACTATTGATATACCTATAGCAGCCTCGCCATAACCAATTTGTTTTGCTTTAGTCAAAAAAAGAGACGCTAAATCATATAAAGAAGCCAATATCGATCTAAAATATCTTTGTGAAAAGTTATCCATTGATAAAATTGATGACAAGTAATTTAATAATATATTTATAGTTTAACACATGTCACACTTGGTGAAGGTAAAGAACCTTTGACAACCATTTTTGATTTAAAAGTATGTCAAGCCTTAAAAAAATATGATAAATACATATAAAATATTCACTTTACTGATTAAAAAACACTTGTACCAAAGTAATTCCTTAATCTATATATTAGTCCATATCATCTTAGAGCTACCTTAATTAATATTGAATCAATAGAAGATTTTACAGAATTCATTTAATTGATCCTTTAAATTGTAGATAGGATTGCTAGTTTCAAATTATCATCATATGCTAGATAATAATATGAGGAAGAAAGGGCGAAATTTGAAGAAATCAAATCTAGAGATGAAAAATAAAAGAAAATTGAAGTATTGAATAAGTTTTTCCACTTTAGGAGGCATAAAAAAAGAAGACAGAGAAATTACAAAAGGAAAAATAAAAGTTAATGAATCTCCCAAGAGAATAATAAATCAAATTGTAAGAAAAGGAGAAGAGAGATGAAATCAAAAAAAAATATGCAAAAAGAACTATGTATATGTGAGATAATATATTATGCATAATTATACAATTTAATTTGCACCTAAAGTTAATTGAAAATACAGTGATTATCAATAACTTCTATTCTCTTATTCTCTTAAATAGTTACATGTTTTATTATTTGAAAATATCAATCATTAGCTCAAAATCAATATGTTTATAACAATAAAAGCCAACCAAATATTCTAAACTAAATTGATCTTTAAGAATTTCAAAAACAGAAAGAATAACATTAAGAATATATAAGTAACCTAAAAAAAAATTTTCAAAATTTTATATATAAAAAGTAAAGAATATAAATAAGTGATCAACAAAATTGCTTGGGGATGTTGAAAACCATCAGAAATTATTAACATACCAAATTTAAATGGAGTGCCATAAACTCTTATATCTTAACCTAAATAGATCATTTCTGTAATTGTTTCTGCTCTGCTTGAGATGAAATTATATTCCAAAATTTGGATATCAAAGTACTTATTTTTTTATATTCCTGGAATAATAAAATGCTAAAGGTTACAATCACTTTCTAATTCTCACTTAGTTTTAAGAAAAGTAGATTTGTAAATCATAGTACTAATACAAAGTTGCAGAGGTAAATACTTATAAATTTTTAGGATATATATATTATCAATTTCTAAAAGTGCCTTCTTCTGTGATGACTTAAAATTTTTAGAGAGTATTTTACATACTATCTAAAAAACATTATGGCTTAATGTCACATTAACTATCGTTAAGATGATAGCACATTTCATCATTTGGAGAATTTGCAAATTATTAAGTCGCAAATTAATCATTATTATTCACACTGTTTCTGTTAAATTCTGCAATACTTTCATAATCTTACTTATACATTAAATTTTATAGGTTTTAAATTTCAAAGTGTTAATTCAAGATGGTTTTTTATTAGCGTTCAATTTATAATTTTTATATTTAAAGAATTTACTTAAGTTTTGAAATTTCTTTAGTATTTGATAGATTAGTATTTTCAACCACAGAATTTTACTATTTTTCTGTTTAATTCTGTATTGTTTAGCATAAAATATATTTTGGATCATTTGCTTCCGATTCATCATCGTCAAATAATAATTAGATTGTATCATTTTCATTTTGAGAGAATATTTTTTTAGTATTTGATAAGTTTAGATTATTATTTGACAAAAAGAATTTATTAAAAAAGGAAGTTATTTTTTTAATTTATTTTTAGAGGGTGGATTCTGTTTACTAGAATACCTATTTCTATATTGAAATTTGTTCTTTCAACAAATTAATTTATTCTTAATAATTATGTTGAATTAATTCAGGATTATTTTCCTTACCATTTTTTTGTTTACCTATTTTGAGAACCGTCATTAATTTAAAGTTTTCATTCTTAAATTTTGAAATTTCTTATTTTTAAAGAGATACAGTGTTTTACAGATCGTTGATTTAAGATGTTAAATTTTCAGATTGTTCTTTCTGTTTTGAAAGCCGATTACAAATTTATTCTATTGTTTGATTAAGTATTAAAATATCATCCTACATTTATTTGTTCGATTGCTATAAAACTTAATTATTTATTTGTAATTGAGAATTTTTTTTATTCAATTCAATAATTAATTGCTGTTTTATGTTTATTTCATTCTTGTTTTCAGTTTCTTCTGTTTTGTAAGGAATACAAATTGAGGTACAAAAGGTTTTTGTATTTTCTTATAGATAATTGATAGAGTTGTTTAATCTGATTTGATCATTTCCGTAACCTGTGGTTTTTAGTTTTTGACCTTATGATTTACTGGGTAGTAGGTAATTACTTTAGGTCCTTTTCATTTTCGGAGAGTCTTTTTGATGAAATGTCTTGGTTGATTATTAGGTTTTTAATTTTAAGGAGGGGTTCATTAACGATTAATTAATATTAATAAAATGTAGGACATAGAATAAGAAAGATAGAGAAAATAAGATATATTGATGTAATAAGTAGTGGAGGCAGGTTATGATACTATTGCATTCCAGGTGTATTGTGAATAAATAAAGTAAAATGGCAGTCAGGATATAGATTTGTGGACATTTGAAGAATTAGAAAAAACAATACAAGATTTCATCAAGAAAGAAGAGTAATTTATTTTAATCAAGTATATAGTTAAAAAGAAATGCAATAACAGAATCAGTAGATCGTACAAAATGACTAAAGATAACTTAACCTATAGACAAACAATACGCTATTTTAGATATAGAAAGTTCAGGATGATAGTAACTTTTTTACAGAAGTCTAATGTTAATTGCCAGGAAGAACAAGGTTAACAGATTACATAATGGAAAATACACATAAAGTATTTTATGTTATTATAAAAGCAAGTGGAAATATTAATGAGTGAATATATAAGTAAATCTGATGGCATCATATCATCTTACATTTCATTTAAAATTGAAACCAAGCCAATCGGATGGGTTGTAAATAGAAGATTTACTGATTTTCAGAAATTGAGAGAAATTTTAGTAATGACGTACCCATGTCATTTGATTCCACCTATTCCTGGAAAGAAATTGTATTTATATAATATATTTTTATAGGAAATCATAGACTGGGGCAGCATATTTAGAGAAACGTATGAGAATTATGGAACTATTTTTATAGAATTGTTTGTATCATCCATTATTTAAGACTCATCCTTTGTTCTCTGACTTTTTAGAAATCAATGATGATGCTAAATTAAAAGAGAAATTTAACCAATTTGAAAAATAGAAAGGACCATCCAAACCATAGGAATATACAATGATTAATGGTTCGTGTGTTTTAGAAATTTCCAATGAATTATCGAATTACTCGAATTCTTTGTCAGATTACTTAAAAAATTCTTAAGATATTTATAAAAAGACTGGCAATAATTTTAATAAATTATGTACAGATTTGGAAAATCTAAGTAATACATTAACGTGCAATTACCGAAAACTTTAATACTTTGGATAAACTAACTGATAGTTTTATTAAATAAACCAAATCTAAAGGAGCTATTGAGCAAATCTAATTAGTTTATTAAGAACTATCAAAGTTTGTTACCGGGTGGTAGTGTGGAGTTAATTTTTAGATGAAGAATGTGAAAGTGATTAATAGTCTTATGAATAGGAAAATTTTTATGAATTCTTTAGATATCATAAAAAGAAGTAATCATCTGCATATGAATATTTATAAACCAAAAATTAGTTGCAACAGAAATATCAGAATTTGAAGAATAAATTAAATGAAAAAAAAGAATAACTTTATAATAAAGGAGATCCTACAAAGTGGGAATTACCTCCTGATATTCCAAAGACAACCAAAGAATTGTAATTTAATAAAGGAGAAGCCTTTAAATACATGTTGCCGAACGAGACAAAATAAGTAAGTGAGGTAAGAGAAATGTATGCATTTATGAATCATTAACTGCAAGATGAAATTAACCATATTGATAT